GCTCGTCGGGGGGGAGATCGGATTCCGCGATGAAAATTCTCAGTCAAATCAACGAAACATGGAAGGATATCCCTCACCTCCAATCAGATGATGGCAACAAGGACCCGAAGGGGAGAAGGAAAGGCAAGTGCCACCGGATTCCGTGCGGAAACCCTCACCCCGGGGAGGATCTGCGGCATCCCTCCCCCGTGAACTCTCCATCGGCAGGAGGGAACGACGAAGGCACCGCGGAGAGGATAAGGGAGGGAGTGGGAAGGGGAGGGAGGAGGAGAGAGAGAGAGAGACGAGTCCAGGGAGAAGGAGAACAGTACCGATGAGACGAGAGAGGAGAGTGAGGATGCGGAAGGGGCTTACGGGGAGGTATTTATAACGCGAGGGCGGCCGCGACGGAGATTTGCGGGGTTTAGATATTTGAGATACCAGCAGTGCGGAATTTCTCTCTAACAAACCCTACCTCGTAAATCGCGCTCTAGTTCCCGCCTAGTGGACAGTAACTTCACTGGTCCGTAGGCGGTAAGAGTAACCAAATGAGCTCATAAATAAAACGACGGTTTCTCGCGCCGGTGCCTTATTCCTTCCGACTCTTTCCTGTTAGTGGAAATGCGGAGGACTCGACACGAAGGGCCTGGTAAAACTGCATAATACCCTTGATCTTTTTTTATTTAGAAATGTGCCATCGGCGTGCGGTCCACCCTAATCAGCTGGGCCCCTGGTAATCAGCAGCAGCTCTCTGGCCGGCCTGCTGCGCCCCACCTCCCCGCTCTTTCTTTCCCTGCCCGAGGACAAGCAGGCTTCACATGGGGCCTCTTGCCAGGCCAACACAGAAGGCGCTTTTATTTATTGGCGGTGGTACCTCTTCTTTCAGTGTACCACAAAGGAGGTTGCCCCTCGCAGGTCACTCCTTCCACCTCGGCAGGTCATGCTTCATCAGACTGCACCGGAAGGATGGAGGGAGAGAGAGAGAGAGAGAGACCTTCATGTGGCCGTCTCTGCGACCGAAGATGTGGATGTGGAGGAGGGAGAGTGAAAGAGAGGCACAGTAGAAGAGCCGGCCGTTCGGGCGGCGGTGGGGAATAAAGATCGGATACGCCGCACCAGTCTTCCACCTGAGGAGTTGCTCGGCGGCCGTACCTCTCTGACACGGCCCCGCCCTGCGCGGCGAGGATCGGTGTTTATTCCGTTGTTTACGTCTCCTGTCCGAGAGAGAGAGAGAGAAAATGGAGAGGGTGGGGGTCCATGTCGGCGGGATGGGCGGTGGCCATTTCTTCGCGGAACCTCTCTCTGTCTCTCTTTCTGGAAACGACGGAGGCGGCCTCGCGACGCAGAGCAATACACCTGCCTGCATTCTCCCGTCGCTTGCTCTTCTTCTTCATCTCCGGTGTGCCGCCGGCTCGCCGGAATTAGCCAGAGAGGAGATAGGGGATGGATGCGTACCAGAGAACTCCATCCGCATCTCGTCAAGTCTTCTCCGAGATCCGGCGCTCCTCCTTCCTTCGCCAATTCCGTCTCCCGTCGTCGTCCTCTTCCCCGGTGGTTCCTTCACTCTCAGTTCAGCGACGGCGACTCGCGGTGGCGTAGGAAGATCCTGATCACCCCTCCCCGTATGCGTAGTTCATCGCAGTAAGATACCATGCGATTTGGGGAATAATAATGCGGTGAGTGGGGCCCAGCTGGTTTACTGAAAGTGGCAGCTTCTGGAATGATCTCCCCGAAATTAGCTCGGTCCGAAATATCTGAGCAAATTACGATTATTATGATGCTGAGCAGAAAAAAATTAAGAGCGCGAAAAATAATAAAATTAAGCGGTGCCGTCGGAGGAAAATGACGGCGATAATATTTACAAAATTTGATAAAAAGTGAAAGCCCAAAAAAGGAAATCTCCCTCGACGTCAACTGGCCGTCGCGGTCTCGGGAAGGACACTGGGGCCCACGATGGGCTTTATTAATTGACGTGAGGGCCGTTGCCGTGGCTGTCAGAGCGATGGAGGCCACGCAATTTTCGTACTACAGCGGGCCCCACTCACATGACGCGGACTCGTTGCTGGCATGTGGCCCCCACGACGGATAAGAAACTACGGATCCCCCGTTTCCACGTGCAGCGAGGATGACGTTCACCTCTTCCTCTCTCCTCCTCTGCTCTCCTCTTCTCACTGACGGGTCGGTGCGCCGAAATCCGGGTCCGGCCCTCTCTGGGACCGCGTCGTCCAAAAAAAGCCCGAAATCATAGTCAAGTTCCGGGCCGGGGGCCCGACTCCCCCCATTAGGCGGCCCGAAAGAGTTGACTGGGCCTACAGCTCCGGCATCGGATCGACAGCGCCACGGTATAAACCGCCGCAGATCGATGAGAAAACTGGTTTTAAAATGTGCGTATATATATTACATAGTTTTGGCGATTTTTCTCTCATAATTTAATGCTACACAAAAAACGAATCCATCTGCGGCCGAAGATATACCCACTCTCTCTCACTGTTGCGACATTTTCTTGACATCTATATATAAAAAAATCCATCGCCCACTTGAGAAGGCAAGGTGACCGGTGTTCCCCCGCGCAGGTGAGAGGAGAACTGATCTGAGCGGCGTGGACGGACGGACGGTGCAGGAACTGCGAGGTGACGACAGGCGGCGCCTCTCTGACCACGTCAGCGTGGGGGGACCCTGTAAGGCGTAGTTAATTCCATATATGCTAGGAGCTCGAGGCCGGACTATAAATGCGAGCGACCTAGAGAGAGGACATACGAACTGCGCCCACACACGCACATCGTTGTACGTCCTGGTTCAAAGTCTCGGGGTCGTGCCCGCAGTTGAATCACATGCTTCCCTCTTTGTTCCCCGGCGTCAGGCCCGGAAGGCCATTGCCCACTTTGCCCACTGTACGACGAAATGACCCAGAGAGAATCGCTCCCACTCATTCATTTATTGGCTCCCCGCTTCCCCGCCTCCCCCGGTCCGGCCGAGGGCCGTCGGCGTTCGAGGAACAGCGACCCCCCACCGGAATCTCTCCTTTCTTTAAAATTCTCAGAGCTCCGCATGCAGCCACCGGCACTGCGATATGCGGCCCCGGGAGGGCCGGCCGAGAGGGAGGGATGGGGGGATTCAACTCTTCTGCCGAGAGGACACATGACTGGCCCAAAAGCGACGGTCATGTCCGAGAACATCCTAACTGGTTTTTAAGTTCACCCTGCCGCCGGTGATGCCGCTGACTTTCTGGGTCTCACATCGAGGACACATCGGAGATGACCAAGTCGACAACCCTCGATTGATTGAGTTGAGTTGAGTTGAGGTGAGGTGAGGTGAGGTGAGTTGAGTTGAATCTTCCTGGCTACGCAAATCGTGTATTCCTCGCTTAATAATCACGTCACACTGGCGCACCGGTCGCGTTCGACGGAATCCCGTGACGTCACTTGGATGAACTAAGCGGATCCACCGCCCCCACCCCCACCACCCCCACCCCCCCATCACACCTTTCTGCGTGCCGGCATGTGCACGTCTGTCCGCAGCGGCCGCAACTCCCTCTTGGACCGCTGTCCGAGCGCGCCGAGGCATGAGCGGGCACGTCCTCAGCGCACGCACCGGCGCATGTGCCCTGCCCTGTGACGCTGCAGACGGCGGACGCTGTGGCCGAGTGTACGGTGAGGTGAGTGCCTCTGGGAACACCGCCGCCAGAGACAAAACTGGACGGCCTCGACGATGTTGACCCAGGGAATCACGATGAACTGATGTAATTACCAAGTAGTTAATTAGCTCGGAAGCCCCGATGCTTATCTCGGATTATGCAAACTTTGAGGAAAGACTGTGGTTTCAGAAAACAATTAGTCGGACTTTTCCGTAATCACAGACGGAATAAAAAACAAGAATGTATTATTTTTCTCCAAGTGGTGGCCCACCGACCCACGACTGGATAGACCATAAACATCATCATTTGGTTTGTGAGGGGTGAGAAGAAATTGGTGATTTATTGTATTAAATGATGTGAATTTATGGCGCGCATTTTACCTTGGAAATAATTATTCGCATGCCCAATCCGTATTACTAAATGTGAAGCCAGTGTAATGAGAATCGATCCCCGAATATTTCCGATAAATAATCTAATTATTTTTCACTAAATCCCTATTATGGGTTTTGACTTTGGTACGAATGACACCAAAACTGAACCATGTAGAGCTCATGCTATTTACTCGTCGTCGAGGGTCGACGATTTTCACAAGAGAACGACGTTGACTAGAATAACATAACACTTTTGAGTATTTTTCGTCTCACGATCATCCCTTCTATCTAGAGAACGAGTTTTAGGCTCACATGGTTGCAAGGGTCTCCTCCCCCTCATCACGTGGAACTGGTGGTGCTAGACTGGGGGTGGGGGGAGGGGAAGATGCGATGTCAACCAGGGCAGGTAGTTGCTATAAAAAGCATACAATTAACCACCTAATTATGGGGAAACTATGGTCGTACCCAATTGAGTTCGCTGTGGGCCTCCAATTGGACCCATTGATTGAATCGGACGGCCGTCCAATTAGGAGAGGAGGCTGCAAGACCGGGATGAGGGACAGGACAGGGAGAGAGAGGGGCGTATAGGGCAGTTACTTTCGATTTATTTTCTAAGCGAAATATAAATTCAGGGCAGTTATGTGAGTGGTACGGTGGGAGGCTCTTATTTAAATAATCAATAAATAAACAAATTTTCTGATGTGGATTTGAGCGAGGCGAGAGAAGGATGAGAGGGTGGGAGTAGGTGGGGGAGACTCTTTCTCCACGTGACGTGGAGGGGGACGGCTTCATTATGGCCGAGGGATGGAAATATTTTAATTTACGAATTATTTTGTTTGGATATTCGAAAACCCTGGAGAAAATTGGTCACTCTGGAGTTGGGCTTGGGCTTGGGCTCCGAGGCCCATTAACAACAACCGCGACTTCTCTGAAGATCTTTTTTTTTCGCTTCTCAAAAGACCGACTGTAGAAGGGGATGGGAGACCGAGCTTGGGGAGATATTGTCCAATCGCGCCATGGCGGAAGTCCTCCGCCTCCCCGGTCATTTTTCGCCTTCGTCCCTGCGACGGCGATGGCAACGGCAGCGTTCTAAGGGGAGAGCTTCTTCCCTCTCTTCTACCCCTTCCCTCTCGTCGTGCTCGAGTTTGACGTTCGGGTCTGCTGGCTGCTCCGCGAATCCCCAAACGGGCGAGATTTTCTTCGTTGCCTCTGCTTCTGCTTCCATCTCGTCCAATTGGAGCGTTGAAGAGGAGGGACGACCCAAGGAGGGGGAGGACGATCAGCACCCGATTGTCGGCGAAGCGGAGGCGCCCGTTTCTGTTGAGCTAGAAACTATTTCCGGAGAGGAGCAATTCGACAATATCAGCGCAGAGGCGGAGAAGCACGGGGTGCCGTTCGTGGTGGTCTGGTTAGTCTTTACCACTGCCTTCTTCCCTGCAGCAGAACTTCTGAATTAAATGATGCAGACGCGAGGACAAGAAATGCCATTTTGGAACAGTCGTCTCATTCCTCACGATTCTCGTACTTTCTTTTTACCCGTTACTATTGCAATTAAAGACGATTATAATCACCACCCGCTGGCGCCTATCCCAACTTGGGATTCCCCGAGAGCATCACCTTCTCGAAATTTAGATTGATTGTACTAAGGCAACCATTGGTTTGGACATCGTGTTCAATCTAAATATATGCCCATATTTGCAGTTCATTTATTGCTCCAATCAACGTAGCCTTTCTCCGTGCACATTTATCTTTCCGAATGCACGTCACATCCACCTTCTCTTCTTTCAAGATGCCTGCCACTTCGACTGCTCTGTCGTTACTCTCTCACAATTATCATACGACACAACGAAATTTACATCATGCCTTGTTCCTCCTTTCCGTAAACTGTTCTTACGTAATCATTGGGTCATGGAACTTCAGCGACATTGCATTTACGAGGATCTTCGTAGTTTCTCTTCTGATTGCAATTATATTCCACTGAAACTCACCATGTAACGGTACGATGAGATTAAATAAAGAGAAGTTTTCATCGGAATGTACAAAAGATACCAGTCGCAAATAGTTGACGAGAAAGGCTTATGATCTGTTCTTCAACCTTCGAGAATGAGACTGTTGATTTATCGGCTTGGATTCTTTTGGTTGAAGGACATTCGTGCCTCCAAATTCTATTCGGTTAATCAACAGGTTGAAGGGTCCTTCTCTTCAAATTCTTCTCCCTAGAATTTTTTTTCTCTTAGTGCAGAGAACCTATGATTCTTCTACCCTGAATATCAATTCGTCTGGCTTCCACTTCTTTTTCTCTCCTGTTTTCTTGAACAACAGTAAATTCAAACACTCCAGATATTTTACAAAAGATGACATTTTGTTAGCTCAATGGACTGCCACTGTTGATTATCTCCATTTATTCTTATTCGCTTGTTTTTTCTGGACTAGGCGAGCTTGTATCTAATTCCGATCCCTATTCATGCATGACTGTCTGGCTGGCTGGCCTGTGTTGAGTTCCTAATCTAATACTAACTGTACCTCAAATAATATGACAGATATACAAGTGGTAGCTATACTTGTCCCAGAGAACTTTAAAAAGGTTGACCACTCGGATTCACTGTTGTCAAAAGCTCAGAAACCACAATTCAAATACTTACATTTAGTTTCAGTTTGGCTCTACTTTTTATGAGGCATTTGGAAAGCGGCACAAAACTTTGCCGTTTGCTTCCATCAGGGATGCGTGTCAGAAATGTATTCAGCTGTGGGTCCGGGTTCCAGGAATAGAACTTCCTCATCTTTATGAGGTAAAAGAGTCAACGATAAAATATTGGATCCCAGATTCTCCATTTGAATATCAAAGATCTATTTATGAATCCTCGTCAAGTTCGATTTGGATATTGTTTTCAGAATCTCAGCTCATTGAATCCTGATTATGGTGACATTAGTAAATCTAGTCCAAGTAATGGTATGGATTCAATGCGTCTGAATGTCCAACTGCAAGCAGCAGCCAATCATGTTTTGAATTTATTATTTTCAGACTCTACAACATGCAGTTTGCAATGAGTTTTATGCCACTACCTTTTTTTGACATTATTTTCTTATTTTTATCTTTTTGACATGTAGGATGGCACATTGGTGCAGAAAATGCATATATCTGAAGCCCAAATTGGAAAAGTTGGCAGCGACTTACCATCCAACGTTAGATCTCTCACTGTCTCTTTCTTATCAATATAATACATTTTTTTTCATGTTAGTCGAATCGGCATCCCCTTCGTTGTGAGAAAATGTGATCTTTTGACGGCAATGTTGTCACGATTTTTTATGATGCAATTTTTGGGTATTGCATTTGAAAATTCATCCAGTTATTTCCTTCTTAAGTAACATGTCGAATATCAGGTCGGTTTTATTTGCATCTGGGTTTATATTTTAATATTTTTTTACTGTGTGATGGTTATACGTACATATGTATTAAACATCTGTATTACATTATGCCACTTGTCCCTGATTCTATTCATTTCTTGTCCTGATCTGATGTAAAATTTGTCTCAGAATCACGATTAAAACTCTGTTTGCGAAGAAGCTATATTCTCGTTCCTTCTAATCAGCACTTGTCATGGGTAGGTTCCATTCTTAATATTGTCAACCTTGAATTTATTTTTTTTGGAGAGTTCTCAAACAGCTCTGACAGTTTCTGAAATCCCCCACAAGCAACACTGGGTTGGGAAAGAAGCCTCACATTACACTGAAGATGTGTTTTTGATACGAGGAAGAGCTTTTGATCAACGGTTCCTAACTAGAAATATATTTTAATGGTTACTGGCGAGGGTTCCATTTGTGGTATGATGTGGAGATAGTTTTCGTGATATCCTGGAAAACGAAGAAGGAAAACATAGTACCAGGGCGGTCCATCTCTACCTAAGTATAGTGTACCATTACATCACTATTTTCAAGGTGATTCTCGGTGACGGGACATCTTGGAGCTTTCTCTAGAACCTTGTTTAACTTAAAACAAAACAACTTCTAATTAGTTTTTTCTTGATGGTTTATTTATCAAGTGAGGCTATCTAGGGGTTTAATTAATTGACATGAAAAATTCCATATGACTATGAGAAAATGAGAAAAAGATGAATGATTTCTTATAGTTTTCTGTGCCCTTTGTTAATGCTCGGATTCTCCATTTTGATTTCGTTATTTATCCTTTCTATTAAGGACAAACTTCTCCAATGTCGGCAACCTGCATGGTTGCCCAAAGTGTTGATGCAATCCTGACATGCGCAACTGACATTTCTCATACGGTGATATGGTTGCCAGCGGATTTTTTAATCTATCCAACGACTTTTATTGTCAGTGTTTATCTGGGTTTTAGATGTTTCAAATTTTTATTTTTGTGAAAATTGTGCAACATCTGCCAAGCTTTGCTCTTGACTATGAGTCATGGGCTGGATGAGATATCTATTGGGGATTATCCATTATCTGCTGTAATGGCAATCTCTAAAGGAAGATGGCATGAGGATCGTTCGTGCGATCAAATTATATATCATGAAGAGTTATTCTTTTGGCCTCTTGATCCATTGCTTTCTATTTTTATACCTTTTTCTTTTTATTAAAAGGGTGTAGTCTCTGTTCATATAAACAATGCGGAGGAACATGAAAGAATAGCTTTTAGAACTTCTATATTAGCTGTTGAAGTAAAGGGTGAGATTATGAGATAAAGAGTGGTCTTGATTTTCTTTTCTTGAGTTGCTGTTAAAACTTTGGGGGTAGACTGATGGGTGGAAATCGTGTCATTTCTTGGGGTGAGCAAGGGCGTTTGACTCAATGTTATGCGGAATGTAAACATTTGTTTTCTTTGGATGGGTAAGAATCATTTTAATTTATGACAGTTGGTAACCATCACTTTAATAGAAGTCCATCTTGATCATATGCTGCACAAGGACTCGTGTGACTGTAACTTACTCTCAATTCAGCATGCGTTTTTCTGCAAAAAGATGGGGCCTCTGGGAGTCCTCTTTTTCATTTTTTTTTTTGGCTTAATTTTTTTCATTTACAACGGTCATTATTTTTTATTTCTCTTACAAACTTGTTTCTGTTTTGTTTTTCACGCAGGATTCGGTTCTATTGTGTTGATGTCAATTCAGTCCCTCATAAGTTTGTGAAACGTGCTGGCGTCACTGTAAGATTTTATCTCCTCGTTCTCATACATATTGGAAAAGAGTAGAAGTTTCTACTTGGTAGGACTCAGAATCACAATTGGTTGGACCCGTGACTAGGTTTCATTGTCTACGCTTTCGCTTCCTAAAATATTTTCGAACTCAAAGGCGTGAAATTATTTATTTCCGATTTGGTGGATTTAATTCTGTTATATAGTGAAGTCATGTTAACTAGAAAGACACAGCACTAAACGGCAGAATATTCACTTGTTATGCGGCATTTTATATGCTCGAGTTGATAAGCATGTGGGCAACGATTTATTTGAGAAGAATTTCCGAAATCTTTGGTACTTCCAGTTGTTTATAGTAGGACATAATAAATGACGTTATCCAGCAGCACATCATAATTAAATAACAGTAAAATTTTAGCAGAAAATTAATAAAGAATTAATTTAAACATGGAACGTCAGCAGGTTGTGAAAAGAAAGTAAGAAAAGGAAAAAAATAGAAATGCTGTTCGTTCGGCATGGATAATATTGAAAATGGAACGGTGTTAAATCTCTGTGAGAATCACTTAAGCAATGCTAAATGTGAATTTCAATTATCTATCTTGCTGAATACGTCCCGCTATTCATCTTTTGAGTCAAATGAAATTATTTTTCCTTTAGTAGGATGAGAAATTGATAAGATCCCAAATCAGATAATGACGAACCTATCTTATTTGATGAAAATAAGACAGAAACTGAAACAAATGAAGAGGCAGAAATAGTAGAAGAACTAGGAACAGATTGGAGAGTCGCATACAACTCCCGATTTTGAACCCCCAAACCCTCTTGTTGATCCACGAGCACAATACCACCGATTTTCCACTCTATTCCTTCCTCCCTTGCTCCTTCTATCCTGCTCTTTGCTATAACTTCCCTCCACTATAACTGCTTCTTGCTATAACTGCTCCATCATTCAATCCTTAAGTAATGCTGACCGTTACTTTCTTATTGGGCTTTGGGACTTCCTTCTAAAATATGTGCGTAGATGCTTATCAGAAATTTCGCAGAAATTTTAGCCATTGACGATTCCTTAATCTAGGTCAATGATGTAGGAATGTTCAGGATGGCAATGATCATCTAAGTTCCTGAGCCTAGAGTTCTGCAAGAGGACTTCATGTCCAATAGTTGAAGCTCAATTGACGATATTTAACATTTCCAGTACTAATATAACTCTGGATGATCTGTTCAAAGTAGGATTTATCTTCATAATCGGAGAAGTCATGCAATTAGTTTTGCAATATCAACTATTTTAACTCTCCATTTATTAAGAAAAACTGGTCTTCAGGAATGCTTACAAATGTTTTTCAAAGAGCTTTTCTCTTTCAAAGAATTCGAGACGTTTATGGATATGTCTGTATATATTTAACTTTATGTCTGGATGATGAGTTTCTCGTGGATTTTACTCTTTTATTTCCTCTTAAATAACCATCCCCAATTTAAAATTGTACTGGGTTACTCTGATATTCCGTCTACTACGTCAAAATTTAAAATATATTTTCTCCCATTGTTTTAACAATTCTAAAGTTGACACATAGTTTGGACAAGAAGATTGAGAAACAAAAATTCACACATACTGATCGTATAAGACGGATTAGAAACTCTAATAATCGCTAGGACACCAAGGCTTCATTAGTCTTCAATATCCTTGTCAGTTCCATTGTGCTCTTGCAAGTTTAGATTATTTTACCTCCCCATGTTTTGGTTCCATGTTCCTCGAAACTCTATTGTGCCATATAAAATTATCTCAATGAACTATATTTCAGATGTTTTTTTTTTTTTACTTGAGATCCGAAAAGCATCTACATTAATTTCATTTCATCGTACTTCGACAACCCTACTGATGAATGCATATGATCAACATGAACAGAGAATCTGACCACGGAATATGTTATTGATGTCTCTGGTTTTTAAGGAGATTTAAAGTAGTTGCATTCCCTCTAGTCTCAAAGTACAAAACAATTTGCTTCAAGATCATTTCATGTCAACAAATGAGTCCTTATCTTACATGCGGGGTCTCTCTCTACTGAAAGCTCGCATGTTTTATCAATAAATGAGATGAACCAGCATTTCATTGACTATTTTTTGTCTCTTTTCTATGTAAACCTAAAAACATGGACAGAGGATGCCGACTATTCAGGTAAGCGTCGAATTTCCCAAGAATTTCTTATATTTCCTCCTTATCTGATCATTAAATCGCGAATATTGCAGCTGTGGAAGGACTCCACGAAGCAAGCTGAGGTGATTGGTGGCCACAAAGCATGGTTGGTAATAAACGATGTTCGCCAGATGATAGAAAATGCCCTCTGATCGACATTCATCGTTTTTGCTCGTTAGTGGCGGCATTCACTCCATGGAGTGGAACATAGCATTTGAAAATTGAGGATGAGAAGTCAAGTAGAACTCGAGTTTAGTGGGCATTTTTTGCGCCTTTTCTTTCTATTATAGTAAGTTTTGTATGGTGGGAAATAATTTCAGGCCGCGACTCTTTGAGTGCTTAGGATCTGTTGAGGATGGCCAAACGGGCAGCTTATTCATATCCATGGGTGTGTAGTTATTATGTGTGGGGTTTTCTGAAAATGTTAAGAGGGTTGACTGATGATTGGAGAATATTTTGCAAACATCCATCATTTTGATATAGAAATCTATTACTGTAGATATGGATTGTGGTTAATATGAGCATGATCAGCATTTAGAGACAAAAGTGTTGAAATCTGATTGATTTTATTGTGGGTTTACTTCTAACAGGAGCAAGGGTTCGGGTAGTTGCATGTACAAAAATGGAAACGATGTATTAATTAGTCGTCGACAATTCTGACCAACTCTCAATCACTCTTATCTCTGGTTGATGTTAGCATGAATTAAAAAAAAAAAGGGGGCCTTTTTAGGCTCTAGCTCTCCCCACAAATGAGGCGACTTTTTGATAGATCCCTTGTCTTAGTGGTTCTGCCCTGAGGTCTTTATTGGCTTTGTTTTCAGGCCTAATGGTTAAAAGTCAACGGTGTTTTTCCCATAATATTCCGTTACTACTTGAGTAATGCTATCCAAATATTAGAAAATACAGAATACTAAGACGGACCGGCGTGTTTGGTGAGAGAGAAAGAGAGCGAGAGAGATGCAGGGCAGACAAAGTGGAGAGAGATGTCAAAAGGCAAAGGTATGGAGATCACAAGATTGAATGCAGATGAAAGATCATAAGGAAATGATGCACCAGGATTTATGGGGCTTTGGAGAAATCTTCTGACATCTATGGAGAGAGTTATCTTTAAGAGAATCACAAATAGAAAGAGAACCTTACAACACCACTACATCTCTTTCTTCGACATGAAGATATCTTCACTCTTGAATGTGGTGGTTTCTTATTGCTCTGAGTGAGACTCACCCACCAAACTAATAGAGTAATCGATCATATCGAGAGAGAGAGAGAGAGAGAGAGAGAGAGAGAGAGAGAGAGAGAGACCCAAAATGATGGAAGAAGTGGGAATGCCCCCAATTCTTCACTCACAGACTGAGTGGCCTTCCCCCACAATCCTCATAACCTCTCACCACTTCCCTTACAGCTTCCACTGCATCTCTCATTTCTTAGTAATGGAGGAGGAGAGAGGGACATAGACAAGAGATAGAGAAGGGGACATAGTTCGTGTACTCCTGCTTAACATCTTGTTAGGGGTTAAATCATGTTAGTGTAACATAACTTAGGAATCGATCTTGTTAGATCGTATTTGAAGGAATAAGAAAGATGCTAATGATGGTGGATCTCTACTGAGTTATTGACAAAAATGGGATATTTATTGACAAATAGATTATTTTTTGGGGCCTAGAGCCAAAATATCCAAAATTCGACGATGAAAGTACTAATGTCAACCATATTATGAATTTTAAAGGAGTTGGATCTTAGGTCAGAAAATAACCAGTTTATCTTACGATTCAAGGAATTTATAAGGATAAAAAAAATTGGAAATCACAAAAAATTTAATGAATCCCACTTATTCTCTAATTCAGCCCTAATTTGGGCCTTTAAATAATTTTACATAGTTTCTGAGAGAGCTCTTCTTTTGTGGGCTCCCCATAAATTGCTCTAATAACTGATACATCATCCTAAATCATTTTTTTATAATTATATAATATTCGCAAATTAAGCTTATATTTTCTTGATGAGCTCCTATTCATTGAACCTCAAATGGGCGTGATGTTCTTCATAAAAGTTTTTTAAGCTTATAAGACGAGAGCCCTCAGTCATAAAACCTCGTGGCGCTCATCACAGTTTCCTGATCTGTCGTCTCGGTCAATGACAGCAAGAGCTCGATTTCCTAAGAACCAGGATAGGAAGAAATATGAGCATAAAGGATGTTCTCAGAGAAACGGTTCCTTGCCTTTCTCGCTCGCCATCCACCGACCCTTCTTCTACATCCCGTTCTTCAGAGGAGAAGAAGAAGAAGAAGAAGAAGAAGAAGAAGAAGCTTGGCGCTAAAGAGCCACAGATGTTGGCCCCAGCAGGAGCTCAGCGCTCAGTAGAGGATGAGGCCGCCGCAGAGGGGCCCACGGTTACCCAGCTCTCCGGGGCTCTGCAGGGATCTGTTGTAGAACTGCGAGGTCTCGCTCCTCGCGCGCCGCCGCCGGGCGGTCTTCCCCTCGGAGAAGGGCGAGCTGTGGCCATTGGATCGGAGGAAGAGCTCCAGATTCTGCTGGTACTTCTCCGCCGAACCCTCTCCGGCGGCGGCGCCGCCGTTGTCCCCGGATTTCTGCTTGTCACCGCCGCGCCGGTCTTCGTCGTCGTCGGACCAGTACCCGTTCTCCAGGTCGTCTCTCATGGCGAGGTCATCGTACTCCTCGTCGGACTTGGTCGACTCCTCGTCGACAGAGCCCTCCATCTGAAGGAGACCCAGAAGAGGTGTTACAGAGGCGAGGAGAGAGAATCGGTTTCAAGCATCCTCGCAATTCCACCATGAACGAACAGAGAATGGCCCACTGTTTTTCCATTTCCGTACCTCTTCGTCGATCCCCCGGCTAGCCGCGTCGCTGAGATCTTCGTCACTGTCGACGTCATGGTGATCCTCGGCCTCTTCTTCGCTGCCGCACACCGAGAAGTCTTCCTTGAGCTACATGGTTACAACGAAAATCATCCCCTACAAGTTAGAGAGAGAGAGAGGAAGTATGGATTGAATCTCATCCGGCAAACGATCCTATGCAAGGAGGGTAGCCATGAAAACTTACTATAGGATGATAAAATGATAGAACTCTACCCCAAATACATAGTTCACAAAGAACACGGTGCAAATCAGGAAGTGGGGAGACAGCAAAATACACAGATGATGACAAACAAGAAGAACAAAAACAAAAAAACAGTGGGTACCTCCTTGGCGTGGCCCTCCGACATCCTCGGCGAGCTGCAACATGAAGAGTAATAGCGGCTCCCAGTGTCGGTACCATCAGCCCGCGACTCATCAACACTTCCTGCATGACTAGTGCCGCCAGTATCGCTTGGCCAGGCACTTATCCCAAACCCACCGAACTGGAGATTGACTGGCTCCGCCTTCCCGATCTGCAGCGGCCCATACATCGGACACCCCACTACCTTCTCGCTCCCACTGCTCGCTCCGCCGGCAACGACCGACTCCATGGGCCAGGCCTTGGCGACGGAGCCGTCTGTGTTCAAGAGCGCCATCAAGTGCCTGAAAGATCCCTGCCTCTGGATCAGTTGGTACATCCCCTTCGAGCTCAGCGAATTGGCCGCGCACTGATTCCTGTACTCCTCGTCCACCACAGGGACCGTGTTTGTGACCGGGTCGTAAATCTGCTCACCCGCCGCCCGCCGGCGCAGGCAGCTGAAGACCGTGGCGTGGATGGCGGCGACGCTTCTGTCGACGTTCGTGTTGTTTATCTTGGGGACCAGGTGCTTGTCGGCCCGGTTGCAGAGGTACTCCTGGATGGTTCTGATGTTGCGGATGTACTTGACGTACTTGTTCTTCGCCGGGTCTAGTGTCATGTACTTGGCCCGAACGGCAAACCGCTCCATGTGTTTCTCCTCGTTTGTGATGTAGATCATGAAGGGTATCAGAGAGGGATGCTTCTTCATGAGACCCATCTGCACATGAGAAATCGAATGGAAGATGCTCAGCCACCATTCGGAAAAAAAAAAAAAAAAAGAATCTTGAAAAATGGTCGAAGGGGAAGTATACCCACCACGAAATTAAGGCTCAGGTGGACTCCCTCAACAACAACAGACTCTTTTCGTTCTTCCCAGGCGGTGATCAGCCGGTCAAGGCTGTCGATTACCATCTCACTCTGTGCTTTGAAGCCTTCGATGGCCATCTGCTTCTTGCTGAGCAAACCGACAGCGGAAGCCCCATCTGAGGTACGAGCATCCCTCTTTGTCTGTGAAACCCCGGAGGATTCCTCCTTTGGCAATGGCGTAATGCCGGCTAGTTTCTTCGCTTTCCTTCTTACCTTTGCTTCTGCAACAGCGACGGGATCGAGGTGCTCACCGGCATGATAGGTTGAAGCCCAGAGAAGGGGGTTTTGTTTTTCATCCACAAAGCTTCTCATCATGTGCCTGATCGAGTCTGTAGAAATCACAGTGGTCACACCCAATCTGCTGCCCTGTTCACCAAATGCGCAATTTATGAATGTAGCGTATGATAGCTTATGAAATGGATATCTGGACCTCATATAATAACACTTTATCAAATAAAATCATAAATGGCGTCACCAAATGACAGCCAAAATGTGGTCATCCAATTCTGGCCAATTAGAAAACGGAATGCTAACTGCGAGAGTATTGATTACTGCCTATATAACTGTCCTAGATGGTCAGATTATGATAGAAGCCAACAGGTTCATATATGGACGCCTGGCTTCAGCCCACCTAACATGAAAATTTACAGGATGACAGCAGGGGCAGTCTAAATGCCAAAGCTTGCAAGCCTCTGATGCAAAAATCAGGTAATCCGCTGTTGCAAATTTCTATCACTCGATAACTCAAGGGCAATAAGAATCAAGGAGAGTCCAGGTTTCAGGATTAGATACCATGAAATGCCAAGATCATAAAAGCGATTTCTGATTCTTCACGGGCGACACAAAAGGGATTTTGAGTCATACCAGATCAATAATATCAAACGGAAAGGAGCACAAGAGGGAAGTGAGTGGAAATAAACACGGGATATGCCTCCGCAAATGACCACAAGCCAGACAGAAAACATGAGATGAAAAGGATGGTATTGGGTTTCAGATGGGCTCTGAGAAAAATATATCATCGTTTCAGCGAGTGGAATAAGAAATGTACCAGCAAGGCAGACAAGGTAGATTTCCCACACCCACTGGTGCCGCAGAGAAGGATGGTAATAGATTCCTTCCTTTCTCGGATTCTGCAAAATAGGACAAAGAAACGAATGATTTCAGAGGCAAGTATACTATTTAGAAGAACTAGCAAGTTTGAACATAAAGATCGTATCTATTCATGCATTAACCACTGAAGAAACGAAATATCATTTCATCTTGAATATATCCTTCAGTCAGATGCATGAACATCTCTCTCAAGGAATGCTGGACCTTCCAGAATCCGAATCAGGGGAACAGAAAAAATCATGAAATTAAGCTCATCTTTACGTCTCTCTCTCTCTTTCTCTCCCCTGTTTATGTGTCTCCTCTTCAGAATGTAAAAGAAAGCTGAAGTAAGATGAGTCGCTGGAAAAATGCATTACTGAGAAGTTTCTACATTAACTCTCTTAATTCTCGATGCAATACATCACAAATATTTTAGTATGCGGGACCACTGAAGAGGAAAATAAGCATAAGGAGTCCAAATTTCGGAACACATATATGAACCATCGACATTCGAAAAATAAAGCGGAAATTAGTAATTCGAAAGAAATGAGAGATTTTTCAACGTACCTGCATGCTAGGACTAGATCGGCTCTTTGGTTAGGTCCTACATACTTGTACTCTGATAGAGCATCACAAACCACATTCAAAAATGTTTCTCTACCAACAACAACAGTTGTTAGCCTCTTGTACAATTCAAACGGTCTTGCGGCATTCTCTTTGGCGTCATCTATGCCGTTAAGGTCATTTTCTTCAATAGGTGTTATTACTGACATTCCTCTCTTAGTATTTGCATAAGCGCCAGTTGAGCACTCAGCCCTGAAGACTTCAAATACCCTTCGGCTGATCTGACAAGAAAGAACCAATACCTTTCAGCCTAAAACCTTCAAACTTATAAGTGCCTATTGCAATAATATCTAACCAAATAAAAAGGCGTGATTGATTAAAGCGTCAGCTATAAGTTGATACATTTCTCACCAATGTATACGTACACACCCGTAGACATAAAACCATACAATCCATGTGGCAAGAAAAAGAACCAGAAGAGAATAACGACAGTGCCCAGTCGTGAGCTCAACATCGGATAAAGTAGCATTTTACAAGAATAGACAATAAAGCTAATTCTCGGATGGTGAGGGATTCCACGTCCAAAGACACAGATCCCAGCATGCAGGGACAGCGCAGATACCGCTCCCCAGATATTCCTTTGAAAAAAAACATTGGTCAATGACGAATTCTTTATTTTTTCCTCACCACATTCTGTATCTTACTCTTTTTTCCCCTCATTCCAGGAACAACAGATGAGACATCAAGCCATACGGATAATCATTTCAATATATTTTCCTATCATGAAATTTAGAAACCTACATACCAGACAATACGTAAAACATCCAATATATAAACAGGTAACGATTTTTTTTCCTATGTCACACGACTTAGAATAAACAGGACACCGTGAAATCTGTAGATATCACGAAACACATCAATTAATTACAAGAACAAAAGACCCTGGCAAAGAACATCTAAAGATGTAATAAATTGCACTAGCCAGAAAACGAAGTAATCTTCCTCTACGAGATAATTTAGGATAGGATTTCGTATGTTGGGAAAAATTTGATGAATAAAGTGACAACTAAAGCAAGCACATGCGCATGTCAGTTGAGATTCGGGACGGGGGATTTATTTTTTACGATGAAAGATTTCGTGCTTCGCGTCTGCGGAAACCGTTCGGATACAAGATAAAAAATATCACCAGATGTGCAAAAGGTCGACAATTGCAGGACAATGAAATCTTACTTTGATCTATTTCCCCTCTTATACCTTGAAAGCGTGGCGTGCTTTGCAACCCATGAGCTGTAAGGTGCTCTGTAGCACTGGTCTCGTGTACCGAAACGAATTAGGAGGAGAGCAAGACGAAGCAGGACATGCAGGGGAAGAACGCAGAAGAGATGCGGGGAAAGGCCTCTCCGTTCCACCAACGCTCTCCTCTTCATCAACCACCACTATGTACAGAAGCTTGGGCGCCTCTGCCATCCCGACGATTCCCTGGGGAAAAAAAGAGGGTAGCTAATCAAATCAATATTACGAAAAAAAGGAAAAGACGACAACGAAGGAAGAGGAAAAGGCAATATTGGTCCTGCCAGAATCTCATGCAATTCGGCCGTGTTCTCAAATATCGGAAATAAATATCACACAGAATCAGGGAAGACGGAGAAACCGGCATTCAACTATGCAGAGAATCTCAACGGCGAGAACAATGCGGGTGGAGAGACCGATCTGGTCCGTTGGAGGAAGCTCGCACTGAATGGTACCTATGAGATGAAGGCTGCCGCAGATGATACTACGAAGGCCAGGACTTCCTCTTCCTGAAACGATGGAGGGGAGGGGAGAGAGAGAAGGACGCAACAACGCTGGCGGTAGGGTTGGGACTTCTGTGGGCAGGTGTAGGCAGGCATGGTCGACCATTTGAGCAGGACAGAGAAGAGGAGCCGAGCTCCCCGCAACGAGATCTCGCCATTTTTTGTCGCGGCTTCCACGCATCTCGCAAGCGGGGTTACATGTGTCTCCTCCTCTCTCTCTCCTCTCTCTCTCTCTCTAAAACTTTCTAAAAGCTTACGGGCACTCTTCCCACGTGTGAATCGACGGTGGAACGTGTCAACAAAAAAAATCTGCAGGAGGCCCCCGTCCAAAAATGAATCGGGTCGGTTTCTTCACAATCCGCATCGCCACGTGTCCGAAATGAACGGTGGGCACCGTGGAGCACCGTAACCGGGTCGTTAATTGCGACGAATACGAGGGCCGCTTTCGTTTTCCGAGAACGGCCTCGGGCCGGGTCGTCTCCCCCTTGCGGATCCCGCGCTTCATCACCGAGACGGTGCGTTTACCGGCTGCGGGGAATAACCAACATCTGACTTCTTTTGGTCGCATTCGTGAAGAGGAGCCGAAACGTCACGTCTCGAAGAGAATGATGTGTCATTAACAGGGGTAGGACCAGCCATGTCGAGAAGCCGGGAGCGACGGCGAGGTCAAGTCAACGTCCGGTTCCCACAAGGGTCAGCAGTTTTGCACCGTTACTTTACACAAACGTCCCTCTCTCTCTCTCTCTCTCTCTCTCTCTCCTGCCCCGTAGACTTCGAACGAGTCACGGAGACTCTCTCTCTCTCTCTCTCTACCCATTTGACAAAGTCTTCCATTCCGCTCCCTCTCCTCTTCAAAATCCGCGCGCTAGGAATGGGGTGGGGAGAGGGTGGTTGACTGTCGGTACCCGGTCAAATTTTGAGGGTCACCGGTGGCACTACCGTGGAAACACTTTAGTTTCCAGAACGAGATTCTCGTGGGGAATAGGCGGGCGATTTTCAGATCGACACGACAGGGCGGCTTTGAGCTTATGGGCCCTTGACACGGTTTTCAAGACAGCCCACTGTTTATGAAACTTCTAGAAGGAACGCGGCCTTTCGAGCCGCTTCTCCTAGTTTCTGATCCTCATTCCGGAATGACGATCTCATGCTCCACAACAGCAAGAGTGAGGGAGGGGGGGGGGGGGGCGTCTCTTTCCACGAATGTGTTCCGGGAAAGGATTCTACCGGTTTGAATGCCGTGACTCTAACTTGCTTGCGCCGTTCCCGGCACGCCAAACCGCCGAAATCAAAGGCTGATTCGATATGGGATCGGTGAAGAGCACGATATTTTTTTTATGGTAATCTACGTGTCAGCTTGACCGGCACTGACAGCTCGTAGATTCTTGCGACGTGGTCAAATGTCCAGGTGGACCCCCCGCTCCTCGGTCTGAAACCACCCCTCTCTCTCTCACAGACGATGTGAGGAACAGGAGAGAGAGAGAGAGAGAGAGAATATTTCCCAAGTAGACTAATTCATAAAAACGAGGGGTGTTCTTTTTGGGCCCAGTATGGGATGACAGGCCCGATGAGCTTGACTGGGCTGTTCACAGCCCCTTTAAAACCTCGACCCAGAGCTCTGAAATACAATCACAATTACGACTGAAACCTCCTTAATTTATAATATTTACTTTAAACCTTATACTATAAAATATTTTTCAAGTACCCTTTCATTCAGGAACCGTTTCTCATGAGAATATTCGGAGGTTATCGATAAATATTTTATCTTAGACAATTTATTAAAGACGACTAAATATATGACGTTGAACGCTCAAGTAAAACCCTTGCTCAATTCTCTCTCTCTCTCTCTCTCTTCCCCTCATGGCTCCGCCGCCGCAAGCGGGAAGGGCGAGGCCAAACATTCTGGTGACTGGGACGCCGGGGACGGGGAAGACGACGACCAGTTCCCTCGTTGCCGAGGCGACGCAGCTCCGGCACATCAACGTTGGGGACCTCGTCAAGCGGAAGGGGCTCCACGATGGCTGGGACGAGGAGCTCGAGTGCCACATCATCAACGAGGACCTGGTATGGAACCCGTATAAACCCTTGGTTTTTGAGTAAGCCTGTTCTCGCACTTTTTATTGGCGCCGTGTTGTTAGTTTTGGAGTTGCGAGATCCTGCAGGTGAATTGATTTGGGATTGTTGGGGGGGGGGGGGGGGAGTTGATTTGTCACTTTTTATGCACATGCGCTTACACTGCCATCTATGTATCCATTCAATTGTCCCAATTTGTGATGTGCCAAAGGGTCATTTTTATTTAATATTTATTTTTAATGATATTTTAATTTTATTTACCGCCTCCATATGTTGAAGATGAATATGGGTATGAGATTGCTCGAGTATGCAAAGTGAGGGATTTATCACCCTAATCACCCCAATCACCCCAATCACCCCAATCAATCATCCCTCTCTCATAAAACACTCGAATCTCCTCCTGTCTTCTAATATTGTCCAGATAGATCACTGCATTTACCATCACCTGAAGATCATGTTCTTTGCATCATGATAGACTCTTCCAAAAAAAAAATCTCAAACTAGAAGATAAAGAGTGCATGCCATTGTGGCTCACCAATCTTGCAATGATCTTAGTGAACCTTGTCCTTGGTCAAACCCAGATTGGTGAGCAAAGATTCCATGCACTGTTGCGACCCTAGATTGATGAGAACGAGTTGATTAACTGTTCATGATAAATCTGAGCAGAGTTTTCATATTGTTGTGTTCCCCTGTGTAATTATGTTCTGATCGGCATGAGCCAGACGTTTCCATCATTAAGAACATACAAAGATGTCGAGGGCAGATTCTTGTCAATCGTACTAAACCCTAAAGATGGCAAGCGCCATTATGCCCCAATATAGAGCATTCGAACTGTGTTTAGTCCCACTCTCGGTGGATTTTCCAAGTTGAAAGCTCGGTGAATCAGAAATTTACAATTAATTTCCGGGTAGAATAATCAGAATCCGCACTCTAACCTGTCAGGTGTGCGACGAGCTGGAGGACATGATGGAGGAGGGTGGGAACATTGTCGATTACCATGGCTGTGACTTCTTCCCCGAGCGCTGGTTTGACTGCGTTGTTGTCCTCCAAACTGACAACTCCGTCCTCTACGATCGCCTGTCCTGCCGGTAACATAATAATCCTCGTTCAGGCAGCTTCCTGTTCTTATGATCATCAGCGCCATTTATTGCTGGAAGACGATGATGGTTGCAGGGGTTACACGGGCTTGAAGCTAACGAACAACATCGAGTGTGAGATCTTCCAGGTGCTGCTGGAGGAGGCGAAGGGGAGCTACCGAGGGGACATTGTGATGGCGATGAAGAGTGACTCGGTGGAGGATATAAGCAGGAATGTATCGACCTTGACCGGTTGGGTCAACAGTTGGGCTCCTGCCAGGTTGTCTTCATAGTTCCTTCAAACGCTGGGGTGCTTTGCTTCAGCAAGTCAATGATTCCTCCCTGCGATTTGTAGTGTAAATGTTCTGAGAGGGAAGATTTGCATGAATTTGTTCATTGGGGTTTTTTTATAAGTGATTTTTTTTTACAGATTATACCTGCGTATGGTAGCAGTGCCAGTTTCCCTCTCCATTTGTGCGGTCTGGTCTGTAGTGTTAACTGAGAGGAGGGAGGATTTGCATGTATTTATTCATTAGGAGACGAAGTAAGTGAGTATTGATCTCTGTTGCAAGTGATTTTTATAGATAACATCCTACTTGTTGTAGCAATATCAGATTAGGACGTTTTTAATATTTTTATGTTAAAATATAAATAATAATTATCAATGTTTTCTTATTACCCCATAAATCAATGAAAATAATAAATCAGGAAGAAATTTAAGGGAAGAAAATTTATTTTATAATAAAAATATGTTGGGTAGGGTGATATATGAATTGAATTTATAATAAAAAATTAAGTCTACTCCCTTTCGTTATGTCACTGTAATATTGGGTATTAGAGAAAGGTCAACAAGAGGTTTGTTTAAATCATCTTCTTGTCCTCTTGTCCTAAGGGTGTCGTGTTCATTAGTGAAATCTCAGCCCTTTGGTCCCAAAGGTAGTGAAGATATATGGGCTCAATGTCAACCCTTTGGTCCCAAGGACAAGGAATCTATCTTTGTTTAACCAATTGATTTCTTTGATGGTGTCATCGTCTTTAAGTTGAGGTTGATTAACATTATTTTATTTGTGTTAATTAAGGCGTGTGTTTTCATCAACGATGCAATCATCAAAGTTCTTCATCATCTTCTTGTCCTCCTGTCCTAAGGGTGATGTGTTCATTAGTGAAATCGCAACCCTTCAGTCCCAAAGGTAGTGAAGATATATGGGCTCAATGTCAACCCTTTTGGTCCCAAGGACAAGGAATCTATCTTTGTTTAACCAATTGATTTCTTTGATGGTGTCATCGTCTTTAAGTTGAGGTTGATTGACATTATTTTGTTTGTGTTAATTAAGGCGTGTGGTTTCATCAACGATGCAATCATCAAAGTTCTTCATCATCTTTTTGTCCTCCTGTCCTAAGGGTGACTTGTTCATTAGTGAAATTGCAGCTCTTCGGTCCCAAAGATAGTGAAGATATATGGGCTCAATGTCAACCCTTTGGTCCCAAGGACAAGGAATCCATATTTGTTTAACCAATTGATTTCTTTGATGGTGTCTTCGTCTTTAAGTTGAGGTTGATTGACATTATTTTGTTTGTGTTAATCGAGGCATGTGTTTTCATCAACGGTGCAATCATCAAAGTTCTTCATCAATATGTTTATCACCAAATTATTAGTCAACCATGTCCTCTTCATCAATATGTTTTATCTATCTCTCTAGTCCAAAGGTCAACTCATCTAAGTCTCAAGTTATCAATTTTGAGAAACCTAAAATCAACTAATAGTATTAGAGTTTTAAATCATTATCATAGTGTGGGTGAATAATGTAAAAATATGATGATATTTTTGTTGTGTTATGGATTAACTTGAGAAGATAAACTATAATTTTGATGATTTTTAGATATTAACTTGATTATCTTGAAACTGATGATATTTGATGTGACTTGAATACACAATTGATGTGGTAACTATATTGATGTTTAGATTGCTTGAATAATGATCTGGTGTCTGAATTATATGAGTATGGTTATGTCATAGATATGACTTAGACAAATTAGATATAAGGATAATAAAAAGTTTATGCGAGGTAAAGATGCAATCATATCACATGTAAATATTAATGCTTAAATTTTTTGTATCAAATAGCTTCAATAATATATGCACGTGAGTAATCAATAAAAAGACTTTGAATATGGAATCATGAGAAACAAATTTTATAGATAATTATTAAATATTTGATTTGATATTAATTTTACAATATTACTGACCTCATATATTCACGTAAGGGTAGAATGATATAATAGTATAACTTTTTATACTATATTAATTTTTATCTCAGAAAATATGCAACAGATATTAGCGTGCGACCACTCAATAGAAAGTTGATTCAAAGAAAAATTCAAGACTAAAAACCATTCAAAAATATTTGAGATATCAAGAGACTGATAATTTTTTTACTTTTTAGGGTTACTATTTTATGTATTTTCCAGGATTTGCAACGACCTGTTAAGGTCCATTTTAGCTCGACCATTCGACCCGATAAGGGGAAAGAGGGGGTGGCCCACCCTACATATAAATAAGATGCTTTGTTCATATTCAAGGGCAAGATAAAAAAATACACAATTTTAGGCAATGGCTGATGCTCTAAATACAACTCTTCTTTCTGTTCATCTACCTTCTACTCTCCAAAGTTCAAGGATCAGATACATTGATTCAAAATAAACTTCGGACACGTCTCTAATGGTTCAAAAGTTTAATATTTTAACTTAACATCCTCAAACCTTCTTCAACACCTTCAACAATTCATAGTGAACATAATAGAGGAATTAAAGTATGTAGTAAAATTGTTCTTCATTATATTTTTGTGATTTTGAACTATTGTGGTGTACTTGAACTAGTTGAGACACGTGTCGTGTGTCGTCAATGTAGTCATACAGTATGTTGAAGCACATGTGGTGTGTTTGCAACAAAGAGACCTAAGGACCTAAGAACTCTAAGGTTAGTTTGTCATCGACTCGTGGAGCCGAAGAATGTAAAGGATCCTTGATTCCCTTAAAATCAAAAGTATGTTTATAAGAGGAATAGTGGAAATGAGGTGGAGTCCTTGAAAGTGGATATCAGGTAAAGGAGTTGACCAAATCACTCTATGAATTATTTTTTTATTAGCTTACTTCTTTATATTGATAAAAAGATATAAATGATATATTTTTAGAAAAACTAAAAGTAAATTCATCCCCCCCCTTCTTAAATTATTCAACCATTTAGGGACATACAATTTTAGGAAAGATCTTGCTAGGTTCACTCTCTATTCTCTCTTTACTCACACAAGTCTCTATAGTGCATGAAGTAAAAACATCCAATTTGTTGCTATAAAAGAAAGTATATATACAAACAATTAGAAAACAATTCAACCTAGCAAGTAGACCCATTAACATAGTTTAGAGAAAATCATTAAAATTAGAAGAAAAGTAAAAACATCCAAATTTGACTGCTATAAAAGAAAGTATATATGCAAATAATAAGGAAACAATTCAGCCTACGAAGTAGACCCATTAATATAGTTTAGAGAAAATCATTAAAATTAGAAGAAAAATAAAAACATCCAAATTTGCTGCTATAAAAGAAAGTAAATATGCAAACAAATTCAACCTAGCAAGTAGACCCATTAACATAGTTTAGAGAAAATCATTAAAATTAGATGAAAAATAAAAACATCCAAATTTCCTGCTATAAAAGAAAGTAGATATGCAAACAATTAGAAAACAATTCAACCTAGCAAGTAGACCCATTTAAGATAGTTTAAAGAAAATCATAAAAATTAGAAGAAAAGTAAAAACATCCAATTTGCTGCTACAAAAGAAAGTATATATACAAACAATTAGAAAACAATTCAACCTAGCAAGTAGACCCATTAACATAGTTTAGAGAAAATCATTAAAATTAGAAGAAAAGTAAAAACATCCAAATTTGACTCCCTCTCAATACAAACACACCTAGAGGTCTAACCTATTTTGAGACTAATAAATTCCCTCCATCTTCAGTCCAGTACGAAGATTAAATCCTAACAGGAGGGAGGATTTGCAGGCACTTACTGTTCCAGGTGTGTGGGTGCTATAGCGTAAATGTTATTAGGGGGCAGGATTTTCACGGATTTCTCCTTTAGGGCTCGCAGTCGGCGGTTCATATGGGGGTTTGAAGGGATTTCTACACTAAAAACCCCACCGACTTGGTCTCCGAGGTCGAGTGGCTTGGGACGCCGCCGAGGTCGGCTGGCTTGCTCCTCCGGTGGCTGGCGTTCGAAGAGGAAGGAAGAGCCTTCCTCCTTCTGGGAGACCTAATCCGCCCTCCCCGCGTCTTTCCTCCTCTGTTTGCTTCTTCTCCTCCCGTCGGTGGGGGAGGGGGAAGATAAGATAATGCTCCTCCGAGTTCTTCCTCTCCTGCGCGGCCCCCGCGGGGCATCTTTCTCGTCGTCCTCGTCCCCGACAGCGGCGGCGGCGGGGAAGATCCTCGAGATTGGGAGCGTGTTGAGCCTGTCGAGACGGTTCTCAGAGGCGGACGTGTTGGCGTACTCGAAGGTCAGCTGGGACACGAATCCCGTCCACTTCGACCCGGAGGTCGCGTCTGGAGTCGCCGGATTCCTCGGCCCGATCGTTCACGGCATGCTCGTCGCCTCCCTCTTCCCCCGGATCGTCGCCTCCCACTTCGTAAGCTCCCTCTCGATCTTGATCCGTGCAGACGGCATTTGAATTAATTCAGGCATCTTGTCTCAATCGACTGGATGAAACGATGGGGACGAAGATCTTACTTAACTCGGCCGTTCCCGCTGCAATCTCTCGATCGAGATTTCTGTTTGGGTGGTTACTTCTGCGGATTGAGGACGAGAAGCGGTGAAGCTCTCGGCCAAAGAACCTGCTCACATCTTCGCGTTCGTTTTTGAATCCACAGCCGGGGGCCATCTACGTCTCGCAGACGCTGCAATTCAAATTGCCGGTGTACATCGACGAGGAGATCACCGCACAGATTCAACCGGTCGGCATCAGGGAGATCAAGAAGCGATTCATGTACGCCCCCGAAACCTCCATCGGTTTCGCTCTTCTTTCTGTTCTGATTGTTTGCCCTCCCTGACGCTCGTCAATCCATCCCACCAGCGCGAAGTTCTCTACCAAGTGCTTCAGAGACGGCGGGGAGACGCCCGTTCTCGACGGCCACGCTACGGTGATCCTGCCGACCTTGACGTTGAAATCATGGCCGGCGACCTGACCGCCATCATCATCGTTGTCGTCATCTTCTTCTTCTTCAGCCTCTTTCACATTCCTCACCATCCTGCTGCTCGCATCTTCGACCGCTTGGTCCAGAAGAAAAATGTAGAGAAATTTAGAGAATTAACTGACCAACTACTGTGTTCATCGCCAGTGGGTTTGGGAACAGCTTTAAACGTTGACATCTAGCGGAGGGCAGATTGGAAGTCGAGCCCTCCTCATCCTCCTCGGAGAATTCAAAACAGAGCCGCATTCGGCATTTCCATAATTCACGCCAGGGCAAGAAGGGGAAGGCGGCGGAAGCGCCGCCGGGCTGTCGCAGAAGAGGCCGCCGGCGCCTCTCTCTCTCTCTCTCTCCTCGTCGAGAGAGTTTCAAGCGCCCACCGGCAGGGGGGGAGGAAGAAGAAGAAGCAGCAGCAGCAGCACCCGGCCGGTTCTCAGACGGAAAGGGTGCCGGCTGACGGCGCCGCCACGGGAGTCCTGCGCTTGGGCTTCTCGACGACGATGGCCTGCGTGGTGAGCACCATGCCGGCGACGGAGGCGGCGTTCTGGAGGGCGCACCTGGTCACCTTGGCCGGGTCGATGACCCCCGTCTCCACCAGGTTCTCGTACTGGTCCGTCATTGCGTTGTATCCCATCTCCCACTCGCTCTCCCTGACCTTCTCCACCACCACCTCCCCCTCCACCCCCGCGTTCTGCGCGATCAGCGACGCCGGCGCCACCAGAGCCTGCGGAGAGAGAAAGGGCGTCAGAGAGATCTCTCGGTGAGGTGAAGTAACTAGTAAGAATGATCACTCGGAGTCACCTTCTGGATGATGTCGGCGCCCAGCCGCTCTTCCGGGTCGTCGATCGTCTCCCTGATCGCGGGAACGCAGGTGGAGAGGTGGACGAAGGCGGCGCCGCCGCCGGGGACGATGCCTTCCTCTATGGCAGCGAAGGTGGCGTTCTTGGCGTCCTCGATCCTCAGCTTCCGGTCCTCCAGCTCGGCCTCAGTGGCTGCTCCGACCTTGATGACAGCGACGCCGCCGGAGAGCTTGGCGATCCTCTCGGCGAGCTTCTCCGAATCGTAGACCGAGTCCGTCTCCGCGAGCTCCTTCTTAATCTGGGCGATCCTCGACTGGATCTCGTCCTTGGTCGCCGCGTCCGCGATGATGGTGGTGGAGGTCTGTGAGATGGTTATCTTCCTCGCCGTCCCCAGCTGCTCCACGGTGGCCTTCTCCACCAGAAGGCCAAGATCCTTCGCCAAGAACTCGGCCCCTGAAAACATCAGGAGAGAATGAAAGGAAAAAGCATCAGGAACTCGTAGTGGGAGGGAAGGAAAGGGGGAGATCTTCCCCCACTTTTTTTTTAGGGGAAATCGGCGACCTACCAGTGACGATGGCGATGTCCTGGAGCAGGGCCTTCCTTCTCTCACCAAAACCGGGGGCTTTGATCGCGGCGACATTGAGGATTCCTCGAAGCTTGTTCACGACGAGGGTGGCCAGAGCCTCGCCGGTGACATCTTCGGCGATGATGAGAAGAGGAGCCCTCAGCTGGGTGGTCTTCTCCAGGAGCGGGATCATCTCCTTTATGGTGGAGATCTTGTGGTCCGTCACCAGGACTCTGACGTTCTCAAACTCGACGGTCTGCTTCTCCGGGTTAGTCACGAACTGGGGGGACGCATAGCCTCGATCGATCTGCGAGGGTTCAACGGCGAGAAGAAAATATCAACGGCGAGGCAGAAGGATGGGCTTTTGACCGGATGGATGGATGGTCGGAGGCAGTCCCACCTCCATCCCTTCTTCTACGTCGATGGTCGTCTCGAAGGAAGATGAAGACTCGATGGAGAGGACCCCGTCCGGGCCGACCTTATCGATCGCATCGGCAATCATGGTGCCGATCAGTTCGTCGTTGCCCGCTGAAATAGTGGCCACAGCTGCAAACAGAGAGATGCCGCCTTAATATGTTCATCCTTCTTCAATGGGGGGCCTCGAAGCAGAAATGAAATCATCGAACTAGGATCGAGGGGAGGAAGATCCTAGTTCGATGATTTCACACACACAGTCGACTAGAGAACAATCACTGGAAATGGAACCAGGATGATTTTAACAGCAGGCGAGGATTCACGGGAACGCACCTTTTATATCGCCCCGCCCCTTGACGGGCCGAGATTTGTTCTCGAGCTCCTGCACAAGGGCAGCGACGGTCTTGTCGATCCCCTTCTTGATGGCGACGGGGTTCGCGCCAGAAGTGACACTCAGTAGTCCTAGCTTGATGATTTCCCTCGCGAGAACGGAGGCGGTGGTAGTCCCATCGCCGGCAGAGTCGTTGGTTTTGCTGGCGACCTGCACCGGGGACAGCGGAGGGCTTCATTCGTTATCCACGGACGCGTTCGAGCCGGCGATACTCAGACCTAACGGATGAAAATGGCCATCACCAGGGGAGTAAGCAATCGATCTTACCTCCCTGATCAAGGCCGCGCCGGCGTTCTCCATGGGATCGGCAAGCTCGATCGCCCTGGCGATCGTGACTCCGTCGTTGACGACCTTGGGGGTTCCAAATTCGTCGAGAACCACATTCCTCCCTTCAGGGAGAGAGATGGAACCGATCAGTCTCATCCTGGACCTCACAGAGTCAGAAAGATTTCACCGAATCGACGACATTCAAATCAACAAAGAAGTCAATAAAATCCACATCCAGGCCTCGAATAGGAGAGAAAAACTGGAGAGAAATCACAGGAAGGTGCCAATTGAAAAACCTAAAGCAGCGAAGAACGGAGAAGAACGTATATTAATTTCCGATTTCCTCGATGTTTCTCTTTAATGAGGTAAACGAGGAGGAATCCACCTACCTCGTGGACCGAGGGTGACTCCGACGGCATCTGCGAGCTTCTCGACGCCGGCCTGTAGGGCGCTTCTGGACTTCTGGTCGAAGGCGATATCCTTAATAGAAGCTCGGACGACGAACCTGCGCGCCGCGGCCGGCCCGCCGCCGGGCCTCTGCCCCTGTCTCACCCTCCTCGAGCTCTCCTGATGCAAGCAGATCACGCAAATACAGCACAAGAGCAAAGATCGGTGAAAGGATTGCAGTGAGAGAGAAAGAAAGGGGGAGCAGAACCTGTCCAGAGTACCGGAGTACGGAGGCGGTGGAGATTGCGTTGGCTGCGGCCATCCTCGCCGGCGACGTCTGCGGAGGAAGAGGCTCCGAACGCGCCTCTCAGAAGAAGCGAAATTTGCAAGGTTCGAGAGAGATATGTGTCACTCCAGCGACAAACGAAGGTTTTTGTAGGAGGTTTTAGAGAGATAGAAGAGAGAGAGAGAGAATTCGACGGCTACCACCGCTCCGAGAAAGGGGATAACAAACTAGGGTTTGCTCGCAGAGTAACGGGCTGCTTTCGGGCCGTGGTTGGAGGCCCAGAATCAGGCCCATTTCCGGGTGAGGGGAGATCCAAACCTCACGACATTAAGTGGACGGCCATCACAGAGGGATTCGCGGGTCGAGCCGAACAACGGGCTTCCAACCATCCAGGCCCGGTCTGCCCAACCCATCATCCACAGCGAGAGAGAGAGAGAGAGAGAGAGAGAGAGAGGGGGGGGAGGTATATTTAATTACGGAAATGTATCAGGAGGAATGGTGGGGAAGAGAAAGTAAGAAAAATGAAGGCATCTAACCCCACCACCCCAACACACGTGCGAGCGCACGTACTAATGGCCATGTCCAAAGGGCCACCAACTCTTCTTCCTCTTCGACTCGGATGGCGGCAACTCTGTACCCAGAAAGTCAACGGATCACTTCCACCGGCGGAGATGAGCAGAGAGTGGGGAACTAGAGGGCTTACCTCCGTGTGGGTAAATTGAGTTGTAGTGCACCTCAGCCCAGAAGCTCAGTAATATAACTGCGAGAGAGAGAGAGAGAGAGATGGATTTTTTTGAGTTACCCCGCTTGAGAAAGAAAAAGAACATGGATACGAGCAGTAGGAAGAAAAGCATACCTCTCTCTGATTTCTGTACGGAAGGTAGTATCTCAATGTAGCACGTATCCTTGAAAGATGTGAAGACGAATATTCTAACTCCATACTGGGCCAGGACAAGAAATGCGGAGCCACGTCAAGTTCATGCTCATCTTGCAGTGATTTGATGAAAAAAAGAAGAAAAGGGAAAACAAACAAGGTTCCGGCGACGAAAATGGAAGACTGGGGTAGCTGGTTTTTTCTGGGTGAGTCAACGTTTCCGCGGTTTCATGGGTCTGACCAGGATAGTCAACGTTTTTTTTACTAGATTTGAGAGGTGAGGTAGTGTGAACAGGCACTGCCCTGCCCTGCCGGATCATACTCTCGTGGCAAGGTGGGCACTAAAGAGTAAAAGTTCACTTGGAATAGAACAGAAAATCGAATTATAATATGTTTATGGAAGCAGAAATCTGAATAAAAAATGTTACCATACCGAGTCTGCAGCAGCTTGCAGAGTGACGTGGTCGCCCCATTCACCAGTCCTGTCCATGCGAGGGGGGGGGGGGGGGGGGGGACAGTCAACGCGTAGTTTCAAGGAATAAACATCTAATGAAGCAAAGTGTCGCGGAGTGGAGAGCTAACCCGGACATCTTCTTCAAGTATTCATCATATGTCATGGGGACATATCCCCCATAGATCTCAGGGTGAGATTTAAGCTGCAATATCATCCGGGTAGGAGTGAGGAAATGAAACCCAAGGTACTTGCCCCACGTAGATTCATGAAAAATAGTATATAAAATATTGCTGTGAAGAGGTGAACCAACCTGATAAATAACTTGCTGACGGACAAATGTGTGATGCTCTGCGGTCCGGTAGAATTGATCGGATAGTGCCCGAAACTAGGGAATAGGAGATTCAAGAAAATAATTTCGTTGAATGAGAATTCAGATTGCAAAAATTTCACCAGTGAATGAAAGAAGTGAGGCACAAACATAATCGAGCCTTGATATCATTGATATCTCTCTAAAAAAGAAACCGAGGGAAGAACAATCTGTCCGCTCATTCACACCTTCAATATCATTGATATTCAATATAATGCATTATATTACAGTATATTGCATTATATTGCACTGATGTACCATTCAGCAAGGGAGTAGTAACCTTGAATTGCCTAGTTTTTTGCCCATTGGAGACACTTGACCGCATGTTAGCATTAAATGAGTATATCAATGGGACTATGCGAAGTTCCCAATGCTAGCTTTCACCATTTCACTGTCTCTTCGTCCTTTTGGGTGTCGGCCACTTGCTTTTTTGGACAGCCCTATACGCACGATGTTGTTTGTCGATGCATTGACAAGGATTACGAAAATGTGATATGATGGTTTATCAATCAAGTATTCATCGGCATCATCTAAACAATTAAAAAAGATCAGATCAAAGTTTCCAATGCAGGTTATTTACTGGGACCACCTACAGAGAATGAGCATCTGCATGACACAAAAATGTTGCACAACCATAGCTTGATTTCTATAAAAATCCATACCCGGTGCCTTTGAACTTGGATTCGAATAAACATCATAGGGCTCAAAATCATTGTGTCAGCAGTACGAATCCACTTGTCAGCAGGAGAAGGATTTTTTATATAGATTCATTATGAAGTCATCCAATAAACAATCTAAGTAATCACCTACTAGAGAATTCTAGTACCAAAGAAATAAAGGACTTGGGAACATATAAGAATTATATTTCTGAAAAAGTGTAATGGACACCTCATCAGTTAGATAAACTATAAGAAACCAAAAGAACGACGGCAAGACATGGTTAATAATTAAGTCATAAGTAATCGTTAAAACGTTTCATGAGCAAAATCTGCATTTCCCTAGCAGGAAAACTAAATTTCACACATAATTAATTTCTGATCAGATATCGATAATTCGATACCTTTAATTAGTTGAATAGTAAAATAAAGTGGTCACCCGTCTAAAAGCTTGTTTTTATCTTTACCTATTCCCAGAGGTAAAGATTTAACAGCATATTAAAGCTAATCAAGTTATATCTGCATCCTAAAACTAAATAAGATTAATCCAAGTGGAAATGGTTAGTTTCGGGATAAGTTCTGAGGTTTACATTATTCATCAAAGAATTAGAAAAGTTTTGATTTCCTATTAACAAGTAATAATTGGGAAGAAGATTAACAGATTCCACAACCAACCTGACAGTTACCATCTCCCTCAACCTTCCGCTCAACCAATTCAAATAACTGTAACCTGAATCAAACATAAACCACTATCATAAGCCAAGACTGGAAAATAGTAGCGTAAGGATGAAGTACTGGAATTTGAATCTGCATGTATATTCTAATGTGCAGTTTTCAAATAAATATAAATAAGAACAAAAAAGGAATAAAACGAGGTTAGCCAAATGCATAAATTATTCGACCTCTCAAGTTAGAAATATCAGCATAAATAGGAGAAAAAAAGGAGACTTCTTCCAAATGGAAGTCCTAAAGCACATTAGATAATCTTACTAGTGGACTTCTCCCAATGTTCATTATCATAATTCTTACTCTTCAGAGACGTACTGATTTATAAATTGAATCTCAGGAGTACTTTAAGACGTTTTTCTGAGCCTTTTTTTTTTTCTGACCAAAATATATCTTTGCGGCCAAGGGGTATGACCGGTGACTATGTTAACTCTGTGGCCTAATAAAAGAGAACTACCCAAAAACTACGAAAGAAGGCCTACTGGATCTTTACTTGAACATCTGATCATAAAATAGGTGGATTTAGTTTGAAACTGATTCTCAGATGAGAAAATAAGGGATGATGTCAATCGAACAAGGCCAAGGTATGGCCTCAATGTCATCAGGCAAGCAAGCTCCATGACAAGCTCAGCGAAAATATGCTAAATAAACCTATTGCCACAGGTTGTGGATTGATTTAATGATAGAGACTTCTACCAAAAGGTATGTCCTCCAGTTATAACAAACAAACCTTCCACACTAACTTCCTCCCCTGAGAAAAAGGGTATAGCACGAGTGGAATTCCTGCGGTAGGTCTAGGAAGGTAGAAATGGCTCAATTAGAGGAAACAGAGGTAGAAACACAGGCAGGCCAAGGATTCAGAAAAGAAAACATACCATCCCCCAAGCCAAGGGGGCAATGGATCAAGAGAGGTGAGCTCGGAAAGAGTTGCGTTACAGGGACCAAAACGAAAATGGATATATTCTCAGAATCGGTTCTGTTTCTTTCCTTCTACCGTAGTTGCCAACAGGGGAAAAATGGAAGCCACAGGTAGCTGTTTTCCGTTCCAAATGATGCCTAAAGCAGTAAGGCAAAACAACTAGGAAATGTAGAAATTTATAAATAAAGTACCCTATATAAAGATGACGAGAAAAAAATCGCCAACATTTTACTCTTTTCCTAGGTCATTCCCTGGAAAAAGAATTACTCGACATTAAAAAATAAATTCACTAGAATGAAATAGTAAAAAAAACACTGATGTACCGTTCAAGGAGCCTTTGATGATCGGAAATAGCCTCATCTGCAGAAGGTATTTCTTTATTGATTCTTGGTTTATGCTGTAAAAAAAAAGCTTCAAAATCAGAGAAAATGAAGGGCTTTTGACAAATCTGAGTGGATAGGCTAGCACTCCACGAGTCCTCCCATCCAAATCAAAAGTACCAGACAGTTTCGAAGTAAAAATACTTAAAAAATAATATGTTAGCGTGAGAATGTTTTTTGGAAAATCATTCATAACGTACTGTCGGCATGTAAAACTGATAAAGGAGAAGATATTAGAGATTTAACTATTTAAAAAGACTCACAGGTGTAGGAGCAACTTGATTCAGCCTCTTGCCTACTTCATCTACAGTGTGGAAATCATCTGCCAGCTCCAACATCCGTTCCGTCAGCTCATGAAAATTCTCAGGACTTGAGCATGAACTGGATGCTACATCATCTCCATCTTCCTGTCGTCCATCATGTCCTGCATTAAAATAGTAAAGTTAATGAGATCCATGCAGTAATGAAGAAATTGAACACTACATATCATGGTTGCCTCAATACCTGATACAAAATCCCTCATCGTTGACCCCTGCCAATCCTGATCAAGCACATATATATGTGCATGTTCTTCACTTGGATGTGAAAGGCCAGATGCTTTTGCAAAAGCAAGTTGCGAAAATTCTTCTTGAAGAGTATGTGCGATAATCTCATCACTCTCTACATTAGTGTAATCTGTGCCTAAGTTACCTTCACTGGCATACTGTCTAGCATAAAAGCAAGAATCATTTTCACAACACGAACTTGACCCTGGGTCACATAGATGTTGGAGACCCCATCGAATAATCTCCGGATCGTGCTCACACATAGTCATCAGCTAAAACTATAGACTTCAGAAGAAGATCTGGACCTTTTAACGTAGATTTATGATCCTCCTGACAATTTTACGTCAAGATGCTTATAATTAGTAAACATAGTTTTAAGGAAAAAAACAGATGTCATAATCAATTCAAATGCAGAACATTTTTTTAACTTATTGTTGTATAAATTAGAGACAAAAACTTCAGTAATTCATGCATGGAACTTAGCAAACCGTGAGGTAGCCAGCCGAAATCCTCCAAAAGGATAGTGAAAAAACACATATCTTCATGCTGCAGCCAGGAAAAATAACTAGCCCCCACTTCACATTCCTGACTGATAGTACTTTCTTCCTCTTTCCATCCGATTCCCTGCCTCTCAGACCCGTCAATGCCAATCCCCTTCCATCCTATTATCCTCTCTCTATCAGTCATCTCAACCGGCTAATAAGTTGCCATTCTTTACATTCCTTACAAATGTCTGACCTTTTAATTTTTTAACTCCGTCTTTTTTTTTCTCTATCCTTGAATAGGATTTTAAATTTAAATACCTTATGTCACGCGGTTCTGGTTTCCTTCACTTGTGACAAAACTGGAAACAAAAAGCTTACCGCAGCAAACTCCAGCCCAGGTGCATAATCAGGATCAGACCACAAAATACGATTAGGTGCCAAACCAGGCAGATCTAATTTTGATCAGAGAAAATATCGTTTTATAAATAAAAAAATTCATAATTTTGTGGATTATATTTAAATTTTTGTTTCAGATCAATCTGTTGGGCTCAAAATTTGAATCGACTAGTCCAATCCGAATCTAAATGTTAGTTTCCCTTAAAATCGAGAAAATAATTTTTCTATCAAATTTAGCATACGTAGACAGATATTCAAAATAATTTTTACGCAGACTGTCCTCCTGGCTACTAGTCATCTTCTGGGCTAATCCAGAACAAAAAAATAGCTTGCACCAGCAGATTAGGCGTATGAAGAATAATTTACCATCAATCAGAGAAGTAGACCTCCAAATGAAAGTAAAGAGTGACGATTTTTCAATATAGTAACAGAAAAACTAATATTTTCGGGTAACAACAATAATTATATTTTCGGGCTTCTCCAACTTGTAACGAATTCTGAGAAAATGTTAAAGGTATTCATTGCCGTAAAATTTTGCACGATCTCATCGTTCTCCACCTACACAATCATTCATAACAGTAAGCGACATATAAACTCTATTCCAACCGCACCTTCGAGAATTAGAGAAGCGGAAAAAAATGGAGAGCGCAACAGAACACATCAACAGTATAAAAGGACGCCTGCCTGGATATATGTGCTTCCGGCGTAACTCAAAATTCATGAACGATGCACAGCTAGACGAGATGAACGAATCTCATGCCACCATATAACAAGCCTTACCGTGCAGATTAGGAGAAAAAAAACCCAGCACTGCAGGGAGGAGATAAATTCGTACGACAGAAAGAACGGGATTGCTTCCACGCGAAGCCAACTCCCATGCGAGGGACGAGAGACGAAGAAAGGTTAGTTTGGATGGCGACCCAGCACTAATGGGAGAGGGGAGAACGAACGGAGGTAGACCAAGCAGGGACGGAACGGCGGCTTCTAGACGCCACGTTGAGCAATTAGGCGACCAGAATTGAACACAAAGAATACCAACGGTAGATTTGGATAGATCACCGAAGATGCGCAGGGAGAGAGAGAGAGAGAGAGAGAGATAGCGGGATTTTTTTTTTCTGCGGACGTCGCAACTCCCGCAAAGTCGATTTTAGCGGCCTCCAGGGCGGGCAGGTAGAGAGAGAGAGAGAGAGAGAGAGAGAGAGAGAGAGAGAGATGGTTGCCGCCATTGACCGTCGACGATTATATCTGAGAACATCATGGCCGTCCATTTTCTTCGTGCCGTGCGAGAGGATGGTACTTTTCCCGCCGGGGAGGGGAACAGAAACTTGACGGGTTGTTTTGAGTGGGGCCCACGGTAACCTGTTTCGGGCTGGGCTAGGGATGTTACGGGCCCAGCCCATGAGACCCGGCCCGGCCTGGGGCAAGTCGCACTTCAGATAGGACCCTTGGCGGGAACGGTTGACATACCACTTCGAATTCTTTCTAGGGCTCGAGGGAGGAAGGGCATCTGGAGCAGGACACGGCGTGTGGGATTGTCTGGCATTCGCGAAGATCCGGTCCCTGCCGGCGGCCGAACACAGCCGGAGACTTGCCGTTTTGACCGAGATCTCCTTCCTTCCTCACACGGCGGATGCCTCGTCTCGGCGGCTACGTTCCTTGCGGTGTAAGGTTTCTGCTGTTCTCATTGTCTCTTGATTCCACGTCGTAGATCTCCGATCCCATGTCGGAGGGCCGATCGAAGGTTTTACATGGATGATACGATGCACCTGCGGGAAACTGAAATAGAAAAGTCGCAGTAGGGAGGATGCAAACCGATTTCAACCATGTCAATCCAGCTACACTTGAATTCCAACACCAGGATCACAGGATCATCTGATCAGAAAAGTACAGAGATGCTCCGAAAATGGAGCACGAGCATCAACATGCTTCCGGTGGCTTATTGTTCGTCAGTATCATCGGAAACCCCTTACATTGACAACAGATGTTCGGATAATTTCTACGGCCTTCCGAGGACCCTGCACAGACATGTCCGAAATCTTCGATGAGGAAAGGTTTTCGAAACGGATGAGCATCAAGACCTACTTACCAGATTCAGGTCCGTTTACAGGTCAGCCACCTCCCATCTCCAAAGCCCCATTTCAACTTTTGTCCACGGTTTTTCTTTTCTTCAGGTGCTGATTCGCTTGAAGGAATCAGATAGCGTTCTGGGTTTCCGATCTCCGCGCTCTCGACTATCTTCTTTACTGTCTCGAGCAGCTCGCTCATCTTCGGCCGAGTTTTAGGCTGTCGGGCTAAGCATTTGTTTGCTACCATTGAAAGTTTATAGGCGGACCTTAGGGAGTACTTGCCTTCTAGCCTTGGGTCCAAGATCATGCGGAATCTCTTCGCGTCGGAAATGTAGGGCTTCACCCACTCCAGGAGCTTCTGCTCTCCCTTCGGTCGGTTTGGATCCAGAGGGCGGCGACCCGTGATGAGCTCATAGAGGACGACGCCATAGCTCCATATATCACTCTTGGCAGTGAGCCTCCCTGTCTGAATGTATTCAGGGGCTGCATAGCCGATGGTTCCCACAACCTGGTGCACCAATTTGTTTCAGAGGAATCAGCTTGATTCTGTGCGACCATTTCTTAGTCAATTGGAAGTATCTATATGACAGATACAGTAAAGAATGCGGAGGCTAGGAGAAAGGGAGACTGTAACTACATCTATGTTCTTGCGTTTTTTTGGCGACTGCAGGGAGATCTTTGGAATATATTTAGATCAGCAGCGGACTCAGCCACTAGAGGGGCGAAGAATGTAAAGGGTAAACTCTGTTCAGAGTTCTCAATCCGATCATGTTTTCAGATGCAGAGAAATCACAGGGAGAAGGATTCCGCTGTGACCGGGAACGCCAGATCTAGGATCATCGTCTTGTCATAAAGCATGCATGGTCTTACTTTCAGTGACAACTTATTGTGGTTAAGTTCTTCTAAATCGCCAAGAATGGGAAAATTTGACTAAAAAGTATGCCTGATAGTATTTTCATGTATGATGAAGCTAGCCCAGGAAGGGGATCTCGTAAGTGATGGTGCAACACCGGTTGATGCAACTGTAGAAAGATGCGAATTGCAAGGAGAAAAAGCAGAAGATGAGTCCCACATGAGTCATATGGAAATTGATTCATTGAAATAGGAAACTTTAGGAAATGAGTAACCGGTTAGCAGTTTTCTCTCTTCTTTTTTTTTCGAAGTGTCGAACTGGCCCATTATTTCGGGACTCAAAATCTGCTGCAATATGTGGTGAAATCTTCACTACCGATCATTTGAATGGTACTTCAAATAAGAGCAGGGTACTATATCTGGGCGTAAAGATAGCTAAAATTGTGATACGAACATACCGCCGTTGACACATGACTCAATCCCTCTGCCGGCCCTTGTCTAGCCAACCCAAAGTCAGAAAGCTTGGCATTCCAATTCTCGTCTAATAGTATGTTGGATGTTTTCAGATCACGAAAGATTATCTGCATAGGAAAAATCATGGCCTTTAGAATGTTATCAGCAGAAGTCAGAGCTAAAAGTCAAAAGCATCATATGGAAGGATTAATCTGTTCAAAAACTGGAATAGCTCAATATGACTACAATGTCAGCAGTCAATCGAACAGAGTCAGCCTGAACCATCCAAGCGCATACGCTATGGCAACTTATCTCAAGCAAAGAGTACGAATAAGAAGTACATGAAGACGTGACTAATTTATGTGAAAAATATGGACGGCAAAAGGAGGAAGGAAGCTAGAAATACCTGAAAACTCATTTCTTCGTGAAGGTATGTTAATCCACGGGCAGCATCGAGGGCAACCTTTAATCTCATGGGCCATGACAAAGTCTGAGCTGACCGAGCTGACAAATGATCTTCAACGCTTCGGTTAGGCATAAATTCATAAACCAATAGTCGCTGAATCCCCCTTTCATCATCTTCGGCACAATAACCCACTAATTTGACAAGATTCTGATGATCCACTATCCCAAGAACGTTTACTTCTGTCAACCACTCTTTATGCCCCTGAGTAACATAGGAATTCATGAGGATTTACCTTCTTCCGTGGGGAAAAACTTAATAAAAGAAGATACCCATCGACTGAATTAGCATCTAATGAGATATGACTTGCAAACAATATGAATTAGTTTTCATCGGATAATCTTATATTAGAGAACTAAGAAATTTTCGTGTTTCTGCCACAAACTGTATGAAAAGCTGATACACTACTATGCATCTCCCCGCTGGTAAACATAAGCTAAAGTTAGCATTAATGTGAACTGCTTCAACGAGCTAACTCAAGCGATCAGTGAGTATTGGTTAAAGTTATTTATTTCCCGATGATGGCTTCTTTTTTTCTTTTCTTTTTTTGAGAAATGAGAGGATGTCCGTTTTATAATGCAAATAAACCGGTGTAAGAGAACCTTGCCTGCAAGCCTCTTGTGTTCAGCTGTTTCACGGCGATTTCTTGTCTAGAATGAGGACTTTCGAGACTCTTGATCGTCCCCTTGTAAACGCATCCGAACCCTCCTTCACCGACCATCAGAGAACGACTGAAGTTCTTTGTGGCGCTCTTCAGCTCAGAATAGGTGAATACCCTGAGGTTGCTCGGGTGCTGAGAAAAACTTGGGTACTCATTCCTCCCCAGTGATTCCATACTGATTTCAGACACATTCAGAGAGTTGAATAGAGACCCTGATCGGGTCATCTCTCTATCTGTAGAGTTGGTGTAGTACGATCGCCCCGAAGGGGATTTTGTCGCAGTCGACTCATCCTTCTTAGCCCCGTTAGAGAAGCCGAAACACTTCATGGCGCCCCCTCTCTGAGCCGCTCGAGAGCCCTCCGACTAGCCTTGCAGCGTAGAACAGACGCAGTGCATGGTGAATTGGGAGCAAACCCTGCGTGCCAGCATTCGAGACTTGCTCAGTGTGTGAGCTCCCTTCCAAAAATCATAAGAAGCACGGAAAATTCATGGTGAAGCCAAATAATAAATAAATACAAATCCTCTGTAAGTTCTAACGGAAGTTCAACAATTTAAGGAATTCGTTTCATTTCATCCAAACAGTTTGAGCAGCTTGCTTACGGAAGATTCTCAAAGAAGATCTGGCAAGCACCAGGCAGAGGAGAACACCTCCTCCTCCTCCTCCACCTCCACCTCAGTCACTATCCCCCTCATCCTCTCTTGCTGCTGGGGATATAAACCCTCCTACTCACCTTCGGGACACTGAATAAGCGCTGCTAGGAAATTCGCTACTAATCTCCAAAGAAGCAAGGCTCTTCGGAACTTCATATAATTGGGGAAACTATCGGCACCAGCAATCAAGCGCGAGCTACGAAAATCAAGGCAAACACTCGGCAAGACGAGATAGTTTATGGATCATCGGCATGCGCAGCCGCCGAAAAACAAGACTCGTCTCTGCATGATCATCGACGAAAACTCGGCAAATCGGATCGGGCAAGAGATCCTCCTATTGCCAACAGAACACTTCTCTCAGGAAAACGAATAACGACAGAAAGAACACATTTCCACCCGAAAGTCTTCGTGTTATGTTGCTGTTCCCGATTCCTCGTGGAGACCGATACAGAAGCAAAATTATAATTACCTCGCGATTACTCTGTTTCATCGTATCAAACGTACGAACTCACCTCTGGCCTGCAGGAACCCCGTCTTCTCAGGATTTTTCGGTTGATTCCAGGAAACACCGTGAGGACGAGCACCGGAGGAGAATCAGCATCCCAGGAGCAGCCTAAAATCACAGATTCGGCGCCTCCCTCCTACGGCCAGTACGAATCAGCAAGGAATCAGTGGGTCCGGCCTCAGAAAGGCAGCGGTCGGCAGGGGGAGGGGGCAGATGGGGGAAGAGGGGTGTCTCAAACCAGGGGGGATGTGCGGAGAGACGAAGTAGAGAGGGAAGTAGAGATGGACGGGCTGGCGGAGACCAGATACCGCGAGCTTTCGGAGAAGGAGACCGGAAGAGAGGGAAAACTATTAATTGGCTGCCAGACCAAATTGACCCAAACCCCCCTGTTGATAGAATGGCCCTCGATGTGTAAATTGATAATTTATCCGGGTTATTATGTAATAATAACATCAACGTATGTTAATGACCTATAGTAAATTTTATAAATAATTTAATGGTGCAATTTAAACGTAATATAATACTCCCGATTGATTGTACAAGATGTCCCCCGCACATTTAATATTTTTTAAGTCACCATTTACGCCTAATTTTTGATTATTTGGACAAAATGCAATAAATACCTGCGTAGATATTTCACGTAATTATTAATTGCACAAGCCGTCGTCTTGATAACTGTATCGGATTTTTAATTTTTTTTATAGAAAAATCCCCTTAAATAAAGAAACTCCATAATAAATGTAGAATCTATCCTCACACCTACTTAATTTCATATTAATCACGATTTACGCCTGATCTTGTATTATTTGGAAAAATGCCTTAGATATTTGATTTATCGTAGCAATGACCGTCTTAACGTCTCGGGATGGGATCACCGGACGTGGACATGTTAGGTGGCGGCGCAGCGGTACGCGCTTCGTGGGGCCCGGTCATGTTCAAGCGTTGACCCGATAGACTTGGCGTTATCGTCACCGAACTTTAAAGGACACAGGATTTTACGAGCCAGACAAAGGATTTTACGAGTCTGTGAGTCCCGTGCCCCGCTAGATCCTCTTTAACTTCTCTAGTGGGTGAGTAACAAGAATGGGGCCAGGGCTTTGAGTCGGACCTAATAATCATCCGGCTAGGCCCGTAAATCTGGTTATGGATTTTTTATTCCATCATAAGTAATAAATATAGTCTCCTAAAATAAAAAAAATCAATATGTTTTTTATTTTTTATTTTTTTTACTGCTGGAGACGGGTCATGGACGTTGAACGGATATGGCCGAAGGGGTCACATGACGAGACATGAGACTCGTCCTCTCTCTCTCTCTCTAACTATAATTCTGGTCGTCGAAGTTCTCGGACCATCTTCTTTCGCGTTTGAAGTTTCTTGTTCGAGGGAGCAATGCCGTGGCATCGTCTCCCGTGGAGCGCGCTGTGATGACGGTTGATGCTGCTTGCATTGAACGCTCCCGTAGGTCTGAAGAGAAATTGAACGCTCCGTTCCAATCTCTCTCTCTGAAACACATACTGACGGCTTCAAAGCGTGAGAAAGATCCCGCTCCCGCCGCCTCCAAGGAAAATCGAACACAGGAGAATCAAATGCATGTCGTGACGTTCGGGTCTTTGACGATTCTCGATATCAGCAGCGAACGGGCCCGTGAGGCTCGAGAGTTAAGCGAACAAAAAGGTATAAGCACTCAGTGTTTTTCTTATTTTATTTACCTGGTATTGCTGGGAGAAATCTCATAACTCGAATTCCCTCTCTTGCAATTTTATTTCCACTGGTAACACGAGGCTAGAAAATGGGGCATCTGCTCACTTGTTAGTCAATGGCTAGGAGATGAAAGTAAATAAAGGTTCACATTTTTTCAGGGCAGCTTCATTGTATACTATAGTTAGATTACATTTATAGACTGTACACTAACTAGTTGGATTTTACCGGGATGTCCAACCAACTGATGCGACTCGAAGAAGAGCAGGTGTGTGAAAGGCGAGGTGAGCAGGGCTCAGATATGTATGATCAGATGGTCATTTGCAGTTAGTTTTTAGTGCACATATCTTCTGCCTTCTTTCCAAAGGGGGAGTTTCTTGGTGAAAAAATTTGTCTTTATTTTATTCTTGATTAGACATCCTATTAATATTGTCAAACTGTTGCTTATATTGGAGTTTTCATTGGGATAATATTTTTATTTAGGAAAGTAATTCAAGTATAGTTAGTCTACTATGTACGATAAATATGAAGAGTTGATTCTTCCTAATTATTAATTATGCTGAATGGTCGATTTTTGTTAGATACATTAAAAGAGCAGAATCTTGCCTTAGAATTTGTCTGAGGTTGTATTTCTTTGGGTTTTTAAGAGACCTTATGAAGCAGATATGTATAGTTGCAGAAACTAAACTTTATTTTACATCTTCTAGAAAAATGGAGACGAGCAATTGCTTGAAGCTTAAGAAGAATCTGGATGTAAACTGATACGATTCCACTACTAACCTACAAAAGGTATAAGAAAGGAGCACGTGTGCAGCACGTGAGTGGGACTATAAGTACAACATGAGAAGTTGAGGTTTAGGATGGAAAGTTGGTATTCTAGAGAGGCGGGGGAACCCTCTCGAACATTGTTCTCCACTTTACTCTTCTTCTCCTTTTTCGTCTCTATATTTGAGAAGGTCATCCTTCTCATCATTTGCTCTCTTGCTGTTGGTGAGGGTTCATGAGTTCAATACGAAGTATTCTATCCTTTCTGTTTGCCCCGATTTGGTCCTACTCTTGAGGATTGTATCATTGATATTAGAGCCGTGATCTTGTCATGACGAGCACTATGGCGCCAAAGATATCAGACACACATTTTGAAGCTCTAGGAGTAGACCAAAAAAGGATGGTCGAAGACATGCAAAAAGCAAGGGAGGAATCCACAGATTTGATGCGTCAACTCCTATAGAACATGCAACAATTTCAGCTTACAATATGTATGAGATTGAAAGCTTTGGAGAAAAAGGAACAACTTAATTTACAACCAACATCAAATTGTCAACCAGCACCACCAGAATCATGACACGAGATACCACCTCTCCACCCTCATCAAGAATATATTCTAAATGAGCTACAACTGGTCATACAACCATACAGTACACCTAAAAAATGGAAATACTTAGGGAGACAATCTTGAAGGCTGGTTAAGATGTGTTGAGAGGTTCTTCAAGTTAAATAAAGTACAAGAATGAGACCAACTAGAAATGACAATGATGAAGCTTGATGGCCTAGCATTGGAATGGTACTTATGGAAAGATGAAAGGTATCATTTCTACAATTAGCAGGACTTCCGAATGCAATTGAGAAAATGTTTTGGCACTACAATAGAGGGAAATATATTCCACAAATTCTTAAATCTTTAATAAGATCAATCAGTCTAAGAATACCGAGATGAGTATGAGTGTCTTTCTACATATCTACTGAAACTCCAAGATGTGATCATGAAGAATACTTATATGAAGCCCATATGGGCCTAGTGGGACTGATGAAAATTATGAATGTGTCAGTAGAAGCGGAACAACGCATTCGTACTCTTTGGGAAGCATGAGATAACCATTTACCAAGATCTTCTTAGCAAGGTAAATGTTACTTTTAATAAGTTTGTTGATAATTGTTTACCTGTACGGTATAATGAACAAGAGAAGACCAAGCATCCAAACCCCCTCATGGAAGTTTAAGTGCAATTCCTCACCAAAAGCGATAAGGAGGGACAATAGTTACCAGAAACATATCATGTTGACTGATGTAGCGTACTAGAACCGTTGTAAAAAAGGACTTTGCTATCACTGTGAAGAGAAAATTAGCTCGAGACATCATTGTAAAAAACAACTATAGATTCTGATTGTTCATAAAGATGACCAAGGGACTTCTGAGGATATAATACAAGATTCTAGTCTCGACCAACAGAAGGAAAAGCATTGTTCATAGCACAAGTCTCCCTAAACTCAGTGGTGGGACTCATGTAAGTAAGAATCATAAAGATAGAAGGGACATTGCAAAGACAAGTGATTATCATCCTAATTGACTCAGGTTTGACGCATAATTTCATATGCTCGGAGTTTTGTGTACGCCTCAAGGTACTTTACACAGAAATCACGAATTATGAAATCCTCATGAAGAATAAAGAGGCCTTCCAAGATAACAAAATTTGTAGGGGTATTTTCATACAAGTACAAGGCTTAGACATGACTGAAGACTTCTTACCACTAATATTAGGGAGCACATATGTGATATTAGGAATGCAATGACTTAGCTCAACAAGATGGATGCATGTAAATTAGGGGACATTAACCATGAAGTTCATGGTAAATGGCGTGGTGAAAGTCCTCAGAGGAGATCTGAAACTATCTAAATCGGAACTCTCACTAAAGATGTTATAGAAAACTATCAAGAGATAGCCTTCGATCTTCTTAGAGTTACATCAAGTGCAACTACAATCCGAATCAGTGAGTACCATTAAGACCACCATAATTGAATTCAAATTCAAATAGTTATTTTCATCTGTGTTTTCTCCTATAATCAAATTACCGCTAGAGTGTGAGGTGGACCATTTCATCAACATTGTTCCTGATAGCAGATTGGTGAACCTACGTCCATATTGGTATTCCTACTTTCAAAAGGATGAAATTGAGAAATTGGTACAAGAGCTCCTAACGATAGGATTTATTGAACCATCACAAAGTCTTTATGCAAGCCCTATCCTAGTAGTGAAGAAAAAAGATGGGGGATAGTAATTATGTGTAGACTATCATGCCCTAAATAAGGTAACAATTCCCAATAGATATCCTATACCTATTGTGGATGAGTTGATTGATGAGTTGCAAGGTATACGAGTATCTTCTCTAAGTTAGATTTAAAGTTGGGACATTTAAAGACATGCCATGTAGAACTCTAGATTCTCATCCATTTATGTGTGGGTTTCTTCTGTTATCATAGGATTAGTTGGATGATATGTAGGCTTTTTCTTCACTTTGATCCAGTCATACTGAGATTCATTGCTATGATGTTACATCCCCTTTGTGCTCACATTAAAATTTTTCTAGTAATTCGATTTCTTGTATGCTTGACTTTCCTTATAATGAAGTAGACAGAAGAGATTGAAAACTTTTAAATAAGAGGGGAATGGACCCATCTTGACTTTTAAGGGACCATACCCATTCAATCATACTCTTATTTTAAATCATTCTGATTTCAGAATACCTAAGATGAATCCAGTCATATTATTATTTTAAATCATGCAGTCATACTAAGATTCATTGCAATGGTGTTACATTAAATCATTCTATCATATTCTTATTTCAACCTTTAATTGGTACATGAATCTTGAGCTCAACTGGAGTAGGAAGATGATGCAGGGGGAGCTCTTGTAGTGAGAAATATTTCAAAGATGAATCATGCTCTCTAATTAGTAACAAGAAAGATATATGTTACAACTTTTGTCTGTATGCTTTTTTAGTGTATTAGAAGGGGAAGCTGCATCGAAATTTTCTATAATTTACCTGTTCTACTCTCGAAGCAAATCATTTGAAACCAAATATGAGCTTATCCTCGATCTTTGCTGAAAATATTTAATGCGGGAAAACCAGGCATCATCCCATCCACATCTGATTCTGGTGATGCATCATCCATGGAGCGTAATTGGCACAGAGTATTTCTAGTGCCGTATCAATTGAACAGAGCATGACCCTTGAATAACAACCACTTCTCTGTTTACTTTCCCCCAAATCTTCAATTGCCCATGATATTATTAGTGTTTTTTGTTTCTTACATCGTCTCTTTTCTGCACATATCATCCCATTTGCTTAAATTTTTCTTTGACAGCCATGATCAAATGCAATAATACTGTAAATTGGGTACATTGTTTAATATGGTCTCCGTACAGGAGCCCTCCCTGCTCTCTCTCTCTCTCTCTCTCTCTCTCTCTCTCTCTCTCTCTCTCTCTCTCTCTCTCTCTCTCTATCTATCTATCTATCTATCTATCTATCTATCTATCTATCTCTAGCCCCCCCATGGTCAATTGGGAACGATGGATCCGATTCTCCTGTTTTTGGATCCAGAGATGCAGTGAATCCGACAAGAGCTTCGTCTCTCTGTCTCTCTCCCTCTCCCTCTCCCTCTCCCTCTCCCTCTCCCTCTCCCTCCCTCTCTCGGTGTCTCTCTCTCCCCCTCTCTTTCTCTGTCTCCTTGTCTGTCTGTCTTTCTCCCTTTAGATATGTTTATGTATACGGGTCCGTAGTGAGGGATCCGATCCAATAGGAGTCCGTCCCGATAAAGAGGGGGGGCTCTGTTTGTGTTGTCCGTAGAGGTCAGACTGTGGAGCTGTTCGGTAATGGACGGGGGGAGAAGACGATTCGGGAGAGATGAGAACATCGGTGGCGGCGTTTCGTAGCTGCTGTGTTCCTGCTCTCTTCTCCACCGCCCCGCTGCTGTGGTCTGCTACCTCTCGACGCAACGCGTTCTCTTTTCCCGGGCCTTCTGCTACTCCACTCCGACGCCGGGGGCTTGTGCTGCCCTTCCGCCTCGCCTCCACCATCCCTCCTCTGCCACCGCAGGCGATGTCGAACATTGGTTCTTCTTCTGACTCTGAGTCCGCCGCCGCCGCCGCTGCATCACTGGAGAAGCAGTTCGTGGAATTTCACGCCCGGCTCGAAGAGTCCGGGAGCGTCCGCGAGCGAATCCGTGGAGTGGTGACGGAGATGGAGACGGTCATTCGGCTCATGCAGTCCAGCATCCTGCTCCTCCACCAGTCTCACCCCGTTCCAGGTTTGTTGGGAGGTGTGGGGTTGAGGGGTGGTGAAGAGATTGACGTAGCTCGCCGTCTTTTCTTTTGCTGGCGGTGGTCAGGGTTTCTGCTGGTTTTAAGGGTTCTGATTCTTCGCATGTTTCCTTTCCTTTCTTTTTTCCTTTACGGGGGACAGAGGTTTTGGGGAAAGCAGGTAGTACGATTGGAGTGCTGAAGGAGCTGTTTGGGCGGCTAGGCGGAATACTCAGAGGATGCCCCGGTCAGTATTACAGGTATGGAGGGGAAGATGGTGGTGGCTGTTGACAAACTCTATTGAAATTTCATTTGCATTTACTCTCTATCTCTCTCTCTCTCATTCTCATATGTGTGATGGATAGGTACCATGGTGATTGGAGAAGCGAGGCACAGACTGTGGTATCGCTGCTAGCTTTCCTGCACTGGGTCGAGACGGGGAACCTCCTCATGCACAGAGATGTCGAGGAGAAACTTGGATGTGAGTCCTTTTTCTATAGCGCAACCTCTGCATGGTGTTTATTTGGTTATATTTCCTCAACTCCCTATAGTACCATTGATGTATGGACTTGCTCAGAAATGTACGGGCCAAAACTCTGTCCTTTTAGACCAGAAAAGTCAGCTCCATCAGTTCAGTTTAGATAGCTTGGCTTGTGAAGATTATAAATGCATGACATTCAAAGTCTGTCAATTATGAACACAATACAAGGATCTTTTATGTTTTTTCTTTTCTTTCTTTCTTTTGAGGAGAGGAGTTGTGAGCAGTTTCTTTTAGAACTACACATGTAAGGTGAGAGCCCTGCGAGAACTCCTGCTTCCATACTTGGCCATCAACTGGCTTTGAAGATAATGGCATACTGCTTAATGTCTTCTTGGCCTTAGAATTTCAATGCAAAGAACAGTTGGCTATGAAAATATTTGAATTAATGAAGCATGCACGATGCATACAAGCTACCTTTGTTATTTTAGCTCGGGTTATTTTTAAGATTAATTTTTCCTTTTGTGTTCATAGAATGTATTGCATTTTTCTTCTTGTGAGTATCCTCGTTATCATATACCGTCTGGTTAACATGCTTAGTCCTCCACATTTGTAGAAGGAAATTTAATGGATGGTTCGATTTTAAAATCTAAGATGGGATGGCCATAATTTACAATTCTCCGAATTTTCTGTTAAAATGATGCTTATAATTTTTTTAATTCCATCTCATTTTTTAGTGGATGTGTCAGAGTTTGGTCTGGATATCGAAGATTATCTGATTGGTAAGTCAAAATTCACTCAGTACTCATAACTTTTTCATTGTGATAGTTCAGTTTATACATGTGGTATCGGGGAATGAACTGTAGCTATTTCTATAAAAGGTAACTTGCTGCTATGGACTTTATAGACTGATGCATGAACCTGTTAGGGTAGATGAACATTGACGTATGGAATTTTTGTTTCCTGGTGTATTTGTTCTACATAATAAAGGTTCTCATTTCGTTTTTGATCCATTGATAGATAATTTGAAACAGAATCAGATGACCTTCTTATTGCTCTCGTGGAAGTTTCTCTCGTTTGTTTTCTGTGTTTTTTATGGATTGTAAGAACGCCACAGTTGGCTAATCTGGATTTTGCTTTTGCTTTCGCTCTTGCAGGATTGTGTTTCATGTCAAATGAATTGGTAAGATATTCTTTCTCTTTCTGCAATAAAAAAATAAATTATTCCATCATGTATCATAACTCTGTGGACGCTACAATCCCCCTGACTCCTCGTTTTCAAACAGTCTCACTCAATTCACATGACAGGATTTTTGCGAATGATCTCCATTGTTTTGAAACTCCTGTGAATTATATTTTGTAACAGAAATAAAACTTAAAGAAGGAAAAACGGATAAAGAGAAACGGAGTTTGATGAAGGCATTTTGTATTCCTCGTCCTTTATCAATTCCCTTATTATTATTTGGCAATACTGTATTACAGTACTGTACTTCGACTAATGGCTTACAAAGAGGAATATCAAGGCCTGACGTTCTCTAATCCTATCCCAGCCTAGGTATACTGTGAACCGTGTCACAGCTGGAGATTACGATTGCCCGAGAAAAGTTCTAAAGTTCTTAACTGAGCTCCATACATCCTTCCGGATGCTCAACCTCAGAAATGACTTCCTGCGAAAGAAGTTTGACAGTAAGCTCTCTGTTCCATTTGTTCCCCCTGCTCCGACCTTATTGTTTGCTTGGGTTTTTCTTATTTCCCTAAATCTTAGATAAGATGAGTGGAGTTGCACTCACCATCCTAGCCATCCCGGGAGCTTTCTAGGCATAACCCCCCTCTTTGCATTTGCTCTATAGGCATCAAGTATGACTTAAGGAGGGTTGAAGAAGTTTTTTACGATGTCAAGATCCGAGGCCTGACTTCTGAAACGTCAGCAGCCGGGTGAGGTCCCATCTTGGAGGGGTGAGTTCCCACTGGGCTTGTTGATGATCCTTTTTATCTCTTTCATGGCTTTCAATCCCGTACTCTCTGATTTCTTTCAAGCACTGTGAAAAACTTGGAAGCCTGGCATGTGTGGTGTGTCACCTGCGTGAAGGTGCTCAAATTTTACTAGCTATTGGGTGGCTGCTGGGGGCTTTTTCGTGAGCCCCCTTTGGAGAAAATCTCTGAAAACAGTCCAGTGGGTTTGGAGAAGGCTGCTGTGGGGAGGGGTCTAGTGGGGTAGGGCTCTTGCTGCTGGACGACGGACTGAGGGCTCCTCGGGCTTCTTCAAATCCCTCTCTTCTTCCTGGTAAGGATGTCAAGGTCTAGATATTCTTAGCTGCTGTTACAACACATCATAACGTGTTCCATGTCTCCCCCTTGAGCCGTTCGAAATCATGATAAACAAATAAACCATTGAACCCTGTGACGCCCTGTATAGGCAAGCATTTTGAGCGCTCCATCTGAGTAATCTCAGAATTCGGCCCCTTGTCTATCACCAAAGCTTCAGATAAGTGGGTGGTGTTTTATTCAGGAGAAGGTTTCACCCACAGTGCAGACACTTCTTCGTTAAATAAGGTTCTGGAATGCTGATATTGAATAATGAGATATCATAATATCATCAATGATCACAAGTAATCACGGAGCCAGGAAAGCTCCAGATTTTCATCACAGATCACCTATTTTCCCCAATCGTGCATTTCTTCTGAAGGGAAACACGCGGTAGAGAAAGTTTTTGAAAAGTATAACCACAACCTGGGTCAGGAGAGCTCTTCATCTTTTGTTTCTTTTCAGGGAAAATTTGCTGCTTGGAGCTCGTTGGTGAACAGCTCCTGTGGAAGCTGGTACGAAGGGGGTGACCATCGTTCATGAGAATCTCACCAACTGGGCGCATTGGTTGGTACGGGTACCTGAAAACCACCAACGGGCCTCTCTGGAAAATTTTGACCCAGTTGCTTTTGGTACCGTCCAAAGTGTTATTTACTTCCATACTATGTCGCCCATGAATCTTAGGGCTGGAACACCTCTGATCTCTACGTCAACCAGTGGGGCTTGGACTATCCTTAAATCCATGAGTTCTGAATCATTGAGTATCATGTCCAAGGCACGCATTTGATCCTACACAATAGAATGGAAGAATGAAAAACTCATAGCACAACCTGTCTTGTTAGCTCACAGATCGAGCATGGATAGTAATAGAAAAGTGATGATCGCATCTTGTCTGAGGACCAAACTTGCAGGGAATTAGGAGAGGAGGGGATGTTCTAGATACAAATGTCAACGGCAAGAAATTGTTTCAAAAATTTGGAAAGAAACGAGCAGTAAATTCTGAAATGTCTGCATCGCGCAGGAGAAGTAGTCTGTACCTTTCTTTTAATGTTACAGAACTTGCAGTCTGATGAAGATGGTGGTAGAACCTGGTTGACAATTAATCTCTTGACTAGAACACTTTCTTTCTTTAGTGAGGCGCGTAACCTTGAAGATTCACTGACGGCCATGACCTAAATAAAAAGCATTAGGTGGTCAACCTTAACCTGACAATATACACAGTGAGGCAAGATAATGAAGAAGCTATTTGAAAACATGAAGCGAGCCAGCTTATATTTCACTGGCAATTCGAGCTATTCACAGTTGATATTCTAGGAACCATCTCTCCATCCAAGAAACATTGCTAGATATCGTCACTGAGGCTCCACCCATCTGTTGACTTGCGGATGATTCTGTTTATCGTATCTTAAAGTCATTGGAGAGCTATTTTCTCCCATGCCCAGCTAATTCATTCTGCTTCATTACTTGTATAAACACGTTGACTTTAGTAATCATGAGGAGGGCTATAAACAAAGGAACAAGACTTTGGCTGGCGCTGATTAGATCTAAGTGGTGAACAAACGACAGCATTATAGAAGATCTAAGTGGGAATCTCATCTCGCATGGGTTTTCACACCATCTTAAACCAGATTGACCTGGGTTAAGTCTAAAGCATAACTCGAAATGCGAAAATTTCAGATACTCGGATCTACCAAAGAACCAGCAATCAAATAAATGGGGAAATAGGTTACCGTTGGTATAGTCACAATAATGAACTCAGTTGAGTCCTTGTCGCGGAAAAGCTCACGTACTTTTATCATCCTCTCCCTTAGCTTCTCCAGCTTGTCAGACTACAGCAATGAAATATTTACATGCTATTTACAGAAATTTCAGTCGGTAATGCATCATTTTTCAGTAGACAACAACTTACAGCATCTTGACGTTCTCCGTCCTGTCCAAAAACAGACTTTATGGCTGAAGTTGCAGAGGATATCTTCTTCCTGAGCTGAAGGGTAGACAGGAAAGAAAGGAAAGAGAGAAACATCAGCGAAGTGGTAATCTGACGTAATTCGATTCTCACTGAAGTGTTATAATGAACTACTAGATGAACCTGGAAAGAAAAATGGCGATAGACATTTCAAATATGTCAAAATAATTAGAGTATGGGTCAGATCTTTTTGACTTAGTATTTCATTCAGATCAATGTGAAATTTAACCATAAAAGTTTATGAAAAATTTGAAGTTTACTGTCACAGATAAGATCTATCCTAGCTATTATGGCACAATACCCTGTATATCACCTGCCCGGTACCATTTAGCTACCTTCATTCATGATTTTAATACAAAATAGAGTAAGGCTAGCCAACTCAAAGCACAAAAAAACTTTCAAAACTGGGTACATCCGTGAATACTCTGCTGCAACCAGATATTCAGCTAGGATGATCGGATGGGGATATGAGTTTATGCTAAAAACCCTCTCAAAATAGTAACTCCAACAGCTGGAGAAAAGTCTAAGAAAATTAGGAGATCCAAAAGATAGATGAAATCACAGACAGCTATTTCTGCAAAAGTGAAGTGTTCAGAAATGAATAAAAAGTTGACAGATCAACCATCACTTTGGAAACAAAGGCTACTTCTCAATTGCAGTGCATGTTGCAGATCTAAGGTCTGCCCAAACATCAAAATGGAAGGATGTGCCGAACTGATAACTGCCAGCTGAAGATAGACTTCGGAATGAAGTCGAAAAAAAAAAGCTTAAATTTGTGATGGATCACCGTACACATTGAATAAATTCCTTGTCGTAATATCTTTGAAGATCTATATCGTCAGAGCAAAGCCTACAAAGGGATACGTACTCTAAACTGAAATCAGGAGATTTAAGCAAGTTTCCAAACAGATAGAATATAGATATACAAGCCACAGTATCCTTCAACGTTTAGCCAGTGCCAATCCGGCATTCTTCACAATCCAAACAACATAGTTAATATCTCAGGTGCAGCCCTTATCATAACATCGAAAGGAACCTGGTTGAGACAAGTTGGGTTTCAGCTCAAAAAATTATAGCTGTGCCATGTCCAAACCTACTGCATTGGCACTACTATTCACAGATGGGTACTGCCCATCCAGAACGATGTCAGCTCAAAGAACTAGGATACTTTTTCGTACATGGAAAGTCAAGTTGTAAAGTAAGGTCTGACAATCTAACAGCCCTGCCTGGACAAGCCAAACTCAACAGTCAGATTTTGGTTGAACCCAAATTACATTTGGCCTGTGCAGTTCCCATGATTGGAACTTTAGATGGAGGAAAAAGATGAAAGAAGTTATAAAGCCGCAACCTAACAGCTGCATAATAAAGAATAATTGAGTTGGCAAACATCAGCTAGTTTCCAGTTAGTCTAACTTGAGGAGAAAACTTATCAAAATTATGTCTATCGAAATAAAACCTATATAAAGAAAAAGAGAAGAAATGAATATATATCATGGTTACGAGATGTATATGGAGATAGGAGACTTAATAAAAGTGGCATAACCGAGACACAAATGAATCATGAACTCCATAAATATAGCACACGACACATATGAAAAATAAGTTATCATATGACCAACTCTAACTGTAGCCAATTTCAAATCTAATTAAGGTAATAAATGAGATATACAGGGTTCTTGAAGCATAAGTTTCCTAAATAGATAATTACGGCTTCTAAGAAATTAAACTAAAAGCCTTTGAGACACTAGTATTTTCAGTTGGGTACAAATCGGGTTTGAGTTGGGATTGATAAAAGAAAAACCATGCTTTAGCTATTAATATGTTAGATGGAGTTGGCATTCATATTCCATTTAAACTGAAAACTTCATAGGTACCTTTATAATTCCTGAAAGTGATATCAACCTTGATTAATCCTTTCTTATTCCACTGTGACTCAAAGCTTACTACATTTTCCATTTTGAATTACTCTTTCTCAATGTTAATTCACTAACCAAAGTTTGTAATGGTGTACTGCATCTTGTTTGATAACTTCTTATAAGTGCAGCTTGTGCAAAACTTCCGCACATATACAGAACTCAAGAAGCCCAGTAATTTTTTTTTTTGCAGAATTAGAAAAATATGGGAAATTTGAGATGCATACCGCCATAATCTTTCCAATGGACTTATCCAGGAAGTCTGGCAAGGACAAGAGCCGAAGAGTATGACCCTAGAAAAATGCAAAAAAAAAAGAAGGGAGAAATCAGTAATTATTTGAGTAAATATTCGGAAACGTTAAACAATGTAAAATAGGGTTGAGATATATCTTATTTACCGTAGGAGCAGTATCAAACACTATCCGGCTAAACATTTTATATTCCTCTGCTTCAACAAATTGCATAACCTGGACATAGGAGTGATATTAGGAAACAGTAGCCATTGTGAAATAGAAAAAGGAAATCAGAAAATCCAAGAAAGAAGTAAACCATCGCAATTTAGAAAGAGAAAACAAAAATCACAAGGAGAATTACAAGCCTTAGAAATAGCAATAGCTTCATCCAGTCCAGGTGGCGGTGTGTCAAGCAACTCGCCTAGCTTTAATTCTCCTAGCTTGATGAATTACAACATAAAAAAATGATTAATTAACAAGAAAAAAATATAAGAAACATTTTATTTAAGATGAAATTATTTTCGTATCTGAAAAAGGGTTGACCAAGTTCTCAGGAAGGTAACTGAGAAAACGTGCAAAGAGAGAACTTTCTTCGTGTATGCGTTCATACTTGGATACAATATGCCTATGCTATTAATATTTAAAGATTCACATACAGTACATACGAGAGACTGTAAAGACAAAACATAACAGGTGTCAGCTCCTACCTGTTCAGCAAGCATTCCAAGACCCATGCTGTCCATAAAGTCCTTGACACCTGTTCCCCCACTTGTTTGACTCGCAGAACGAAACTCTTCCCTGGCTTTTTCTGGGTTTATCTGTGAAATAATCAAGTGCTTGTTAAACACTAAAGTAAACATACTGGCAGGTGACAGAAAATTACTAAATGTCAGCAACTAACACCGCATACCTCGAGGGCAAAGAGTGGATAATCCATTCCATCAACAGGTACCAACGTTCCTCCACTAACATCCTAAAGACAAATCAGGTAAATATCAAGTAGTAATTTTAACAGAAAAAATAGGTTCACATTCAGTATATCTCAAAAATATAAGCACATACCTGTGCAAATGAATCACTCAAAGAATGTGCAGGATCAGTGGAGACCACAATGGTAGGATGCCCACTATTTGCAAACTTGACTGCAAGGGAAGCAGCACAACTTGTCTTACCGACACCTCCTTTCCCACCCAGCATGTAGTACTTTCTCTGGGTTCCAGCAATCATGTCCTCAAATCCTGCAACGCTTTCTGCCTGGCTTGCAACTGACCTTACTGAAAATTTTACAATGTATAATTGCCTTCAGAAGAATTCTAACATTATTACTAAATTAACTTTTTCTGCATTCAATGAAGTATGATACTCAAAAAACGTGAAAACATTGCCAGATACCTAAGAGCAAAAGAGCAGTCAGCAAGAATCAGCAACTCACCAACTACAGATACTAATACAAAATTTGTCTGCATGAACAATATATACACAGATAAAGCTCAACTACCTGTCTTTGGTATGCGGCATTCATGATCTCATGTGATACATGATACATTTGCCACAAAAAAACTTAAAACTATAGAATTCTCATAAATAAAATATTTATACTCCACCGTCAAGAATTTCTTGTCTCTGGCCGCTTCTGTCCACATTTTTCCGATACATGAATCCCCACAAGTTTCCTTTATCGGGAAAAAGATGGGCATTGAACTTGATGAGTGGAACTGTGAAAAAACGGCAAGCGTGCGGCGCAAAAACAAGGACACGTGATTTAATTTTCACGGAAAAAACCATTGCTTTTGATGATGGAAATCTTACCCACTTTTCATGTCCGACAAAAGTTAGAGGTAGGATTGACGGCAAACGGCTATTTGGCCAACTGTGATCTTTCGATTCATGGGACTATAACTACCCATCTACTTTAAAAATACCATCAGAAAAATGAAAAGAAAAAAACCATCTCCACAGAGCCAATTGCTGTCGTACTTTGAATTTGCCTGTAAAATCTATCAATAGACTGAGGATAAGGGGCCAACGATGACGCCACCTTGGAACGAACCCCCACGGGGCGGCCTCTTGGCAACACCGACGGAGATAGAGCTGCAACTTCCAAATGCACGCCGCTGGTGGAAACGAACAGCCGTCCTGGCTATGTTCGAGACGAAGCCCACAATTGCAGACGAATCCGTCGCCGAGAAGCCGTAGACGGAGAGAGAAGTGGTGATGGAGGGAATCCCGCGGGCAGCCATGGCGCGAGTCTTCGGTCAATGAGGGGGGATGACAAACCCTAGCAAACCAGGTGCCCAGCTCGGAGGCTCTCCGCCGCTGGGTGCCCTTCGCTTGGCTGAGCTCTTTGCTCCGATCGACGATGGATAGATAACTCCTTCCCGGCGGGTTTAGAAGGATGCATAAATAAAAGCGAGTTTGTGGGCCCCATCGGCAAACAAGCCACGTGGCACCAATTCTGCCACCCCCGGTGATGTATCAATGGACCGAGCTAAAGCCACTGCAGCCCACCTTCTGGCCCGTTTATCATCAACTCGATCGACCCTACGAACCAGTTCGTCCTGATCGGATCGATGTGAGCTGATCCTACGGACTGCGATCCCGAAACGTGTCAGACGCCCACTGGGGGTCTCATCACGGGCGAGCGAGCCCACTGTAGTGGGGGAGACTGGATATTGTCAAGCTTTTGGACTAACCAGGCCCATTTGAATGTTTGGAAACATATTATTTATAATTTATTTTAATTTATCCTTGAAGAAGAGCTCACATTTTTTTATAAAATATGTGATTAATTATTTATATATACACGAATATCTGTATGCTTCATGTAGCCAATGATCTTCATTTATGAGTTTTTAAATGAAAATAAGAAATGTGATGAATTTAGTAGGTTTAGAAAAAAGATCATAAAAAAACTAAATTAATGTATTTTAAAACAGGAACCGAAAATGAAAAAATAAAAAATCCAAAATCATAGTTGTTCGTTAAGACACTCAATATAAAATCATAATTTATATTCAACAACACTCCACGATCCGCCTATCAAAATTAATATATATATATATATATATTATATTATATTAGTGTAAACAATATATTATACAATATGCCCAAAGTCAACCATACTATAGAATTTTAAAAATTATCAGGAGATATATCATTAGGAAAAACCATATGTTCTTTAAACCAAACGTACCCAATGGGCTTGGCAACGTAGAGTCAGATGCAATATGACCATGGATTATCCCTCCCTACTCTTTCTCTCTCTAGGATATAGTGGGGTTCAGAAGGCGTATATGACCCTTGTCTTAGAGGCCTCCGGGTGGACCAGGCAAGGCTCAGCCCATTGATACCCCTTCTGATCCTATCCCAAGCGCATCTTTTTCCCATTTCTGGGCGTGTAGTTAACGCACCAACTCGATTTGACCCAATCAAAACGAAATGTTGAACGCACCTGTTGATAGAAACTCATTCTACCGACCGTATTCCCAATTCACCGGGCAGAAGTTTCCCTCCGGAAGAGGATTACACGAGGAGGGAGGCACGAATCAGAGACGAAGCGTCGTTTGGATCGAAAGATTCGGGTGCGGCGTTTAGTCCTAATCGCCCACGACCCGCATGCGGCGGCTGCAAGCCAAGCCACGATGCCCCTCCGCCACCAACGGGGGTGGTGGTTATCAGGTCCTCTCCCGAAGACTGACCCCTTTGAAAGCTCCGCTCCATCCTCTTCCCACCGGCCCCGGCGGCTCCATCTCTTCCGCGCTAAGCCTGGTAGGGACCGGCAGGCCAACGCCACCCCCGCCGTGCGCCATCGTTTAAATCTGTGCTCGGGGGGGCGTTTCAGAGTGAAGCTGAGGTTTTCGGTGATGGCGAGTGGAAGCCATGGACTCGGCACGGCCGTAGTGGCGCACTCTGTGAGGGTGAGCCTGGTTTCTTCCTTCCCGGCCAAACGGGTTCTTGCTGGAAGTTCTCAGGGATGACGGGTGCCCCGGGGGGGGGGGCAGGGAGAGGGGAAGAGACCTTCGGAGATTTTTTTCTCTGCATGGAGGCATATTTCTCTTCATGTTCGGTCCTTCTTTGTTTCAGACGAGGAGGAGCATCATCAGTGTGCGGCAGAGGAGGCAAGAGCTCGAAGATGAGGTGGGTTGGCCTGCCTGTGCATCTTGTTTAATCTAAGATGAAACCATGTGAAAAATGCATATTTAAAACCTTGGTCGAGAATCGTATATAAAAAATCTCTGGGCAGGTGGGAGACCTCATGAGAAAGCTAGGCCACGAGGAGGAGGTTCACCGAGTTCTGGAACGGGCGTTGCAGAAAACCACCCGATCCGTTCTAGAAATTCCAACCTTTCTTCCGCATACGGTAACATTTCCAACTCTATCTTTTCTCTCTATCTTTCTCTCTCTCTCTCTCTCTCTCTCTCTCTCGCTAAGATTGGTGAAGCTTGGCCCGGATCAGATACGAGTTTTTCCTGGGGTGGAAGGATTTAAACACACGCTGGGCTCGGCAACCTCGGGTCACACGCATTGATGCCCTTGTTTTAAAATATGCGTACGATGCCCTATCTACGATCCCCTCCTCCGTGGTCTGTGCAGACGAAGGAGCTTCTGGCAGAGCTAGACATAGTGGAAGGAGAGATAGTCCGGCTAGAACACCAAGTCAATAACATCCATCATGGTCTGACGAACACCTCAACAACTGGTCAAATCGAATACGTCAACCCACGGACGACGACGGCAGTTCCAGTTCGAGCTGTGAACCACGAAGAGACGACGACGACGACGATGAAGAAAAAGCCGGACATTGAAACGAGACCCATGTTCTTCGTAAACCAGGCCACGGGGAGGGACTACATCTATGCCTACAGAAGAAAGGAGAAGGCTAGTAGTTCGGCGGAACCTAGTGAGAAGGAGAGTCCTCGCATGCTGGGGCTTCAAGACAAGGCAACAAACAAAGGTGGGCTGACTGAGGAAAAGCCCCCGGGGCAGCTGCCGTGGAATGTAAGTATCATAAGAAATAGCCATCATAAACTATAAATAGAAGCTTTATTTATTGAATATGCACTATGCATCTCTGGCCTGTCTTCCACGGACATTCTCTCTAGTGGGGTTTTTCCGTGTCCGGATTAGTTTGCAAATATTATTATTCAGTCTGGGATGACGCTCTGGTGGCTAGATGTGGAAGTGCAAAGTTTTCTAATAATTTAATTTATATACTCATAATAAGTTCTCTTTGAAGACTCGTTTTCAGCAGTACCAACGAGACTAGTAGTTGAAACAATAGATCATGCTTAACATTAATATATTTCTTTCTCCTTAAGTCAACTTGTAGTTGAAACAATAAATCATGCCTAACATGACTATATTTCTTCATCCTAAAGTCGAGTATATTTAGCTTATACTTATTTGTAAATCATGAACATCACAATTTACCATGATCGTCCTATCAATTAATGCTATATCAATTAGTTGAAACTTATTATTGACAAATCAACTAGGCCTGTGGCACTAATTTTAACCATTTACTAGCCAGTCAAATTTTATTATATCAACAATTGGAACCACATACTATTCAGTCAAATGATCTATATCACCCTCGTGGGCCTTCTAACATTCACTCAATTGATCTGATATCACCAATTTGAGCCATCTACTATTTGACGAGATTTCTATTAGCCGTTCTAGCCATCCTCTTTACAACCAATATTCCTATTTCACATTTGAGCCATGTGATGACCGAACCATTAATATTTTATCATTAATCATAACCATCCACTGACCAATTCATTCGTTTCATATCATCTATCTGATGTTATATCATTAATCGATTTGGGTTTTCGTACGAATATGAGAACCCACGGGTCTGCGTCCGTTTGTCGCAGAACCTACAACAAGAGAAGAGTGTCCGCTCCACCATAGCAGAGACATCACCGAGCCCAAGATCCTCCGAGAAGAAAAGTCGGAGCCCGCCGCCCAACAAGCTCTCCGAGAGGATCATCAAGTGCCTCATCTGCGTCTTCTTGAGGATTACGAGAACCTCGAGAGCGACGGAGTTGGAGAGATCCAGCTCTATGAGTAGATCTACCTACTCGTCTCTAGGCTCGAGGAGCATCCATCTGGAAAGCAGCTTAAACCCTAAGTCGGGCCAAGCCATGCAGCGCGAGACGGCGAGCCAGGACCCGTACGGCATCTTCCAGATAGAAGGCTCGATCACGAGGGACATCGGACCTTATAAGCACATGGTTCGATTCACATCTGGCTCCATGGATTCGAAGGGTCTATCTGCTTGTTCACTTCTCCTGCGAAAACTGAGGTCAGCTCTCTCCCGACAATAATCTCCCACTGCTTGCAAGAGTAAATCAAACAAGATTCTAAGATTTTCCTTTAGGGTTTTGATGAACGACCTGAGAGAAGTTGATCCGACGTTCTTGACTCGGCGGCAGAAGCTTGCCTTCTGGCTCAACGTTTACAACGCTTGCATCATGAATGTACGGTATATATAGACAGGGTCTGTCCTTCCTAATGTAAATTCTTGGACGTTTCTAAGGTTCGGGGTTGATCAATTCAGAGTTTCCATGGATTCTTTAGGGTTTTCTTGAACTCGGCTTGCCTTCTACACTTGAAAAGATACCCGCCCCTGGCAGCAAAGTATGAACACACACAAACGAAAATCCCGCATTATATCATTTAGAAAACAATGATATTAACCAGCAGAATGCTCATTAAACACCAATGGTTTAACCCAGGCTGTGATCAATGTCGGAGGCAACGGGCTGAAGGCTGTAGAAGTAGAACAGCTCATCCTCCGGCTGGCTTCTGAGACTAAAAAGGTGTGAGCTTTCTATCTTTGCCTACAGCTGCTGTCTCTCCCTAAACTTTCTTTCTGACCCCCCTTCAGCAGAAAGAAGACGAAGCGGTCGGTTGGACCAACGGACGTGAGAACCCAGAACCCAATATCGCATTCGCATTATCCTGTGGGGCCAGATCTTCTCCTGCTGTAAGAGAAAAGTCGACATCGCCGTAAGAGGAAACCCTTGTATGAAGAGCTGCCATGTCGGGGAGGGCTGATGAGTGCTGATCTGTCTGTCCTAGGTGAGGATATACACCGCCGAAGGCATATTGTCGGAGCTGGAGAAGGCGAAGCTGGAGTACCTGCAGGCCTCGGTAGCCGTGACTGAGGCGAGGAAGCTCGTGGTTCCGGAGCTGCTGGTGAGGAACAACGGGAGCTTCTCGGCCGATCCCGCCGCGCTGGTGGAGTGGATCTGCAGCCAGCTGCCGACGGCGGGGACTCTCAGGAGGTCGATCACGGAGTGCTTGAGGAGCCAGAATCGCAGGAAGATCTCGGAGATTGTAGAGGTGATGCCCTTCAAGTATGATTTCCAGTACCTCTTCTTTATTTAGGCCGCTTTCACTCTCTTCCGAGGATCTCCCGCAAGAAATCCTTTCGGATCAATATACACATTAACAAGCATAGCAAATTGATGTTGTTGCTGTTTGGTAGTTTGAATGCATGAATCCAAGACACATCGATCATGAGAGTATTCACCGATTATTCGAGGATTTTAGAGGGGCCATGGAATTCCATAAACTCTTCATTATTTGAAGTATTTTTGTATCTCCATGAAGAAATAATCTGGCATATACCTCACTCAATTTGCGCCTTTAAATATATTCTCCTTTTTTAAAAAAGCGATCCCTATTTAGGAAAAATAATATTCCAAGAATAGGGTTCCTCTCACATCGATTTTATAACTAGTTGACTAGAAACAATGAGCATTTATGCTATGCTATTAAAATAATGAATACAAGTTTTCATGAAGAAGTCAACGAATGCGAGATAGAATCCACCATCCTCTGGTTTCGCCTATGACAGCGAGTGTTCACACGGCTGAGTTCAACACTGTCATGGGGTCCAACTCCAGCTGACGGCGTCAACGCCACGGCCCTAGCGAAGTTCTTGATCGTCTAATCGGGATCTGAATGAAGCCCTCGGTGTGATCTCCCAAACAGTTTTTAAGAATATCCTCCAGAGAATAAATTCGCGCGTCAATATATTGTTTGCATTAATAGTGTATTCGAAAATACCCTATTAGTTTAAATAATAAAAACGAAAATTTAGAGAAAATGGAAAAGTAAACCGTGATATATAGGGATATGCCAAGTTTTTACCATATGAAGTATTAAAATGACGTGAATTTTATTTTAAAAATAAATATAGAGTGCCTCTCTCTGTCTGTCTGTCTGTCTCTCTCTCTCTGTGATTATTAGTTACGGCGAACTGGATCAGACTAGCAATATCCATTTTTTGAGCATATTCCAAGTCTTAGCTGGACAGTGTGTGGTCCCGGTGACGGCCGGCCAGTCCCGTTGATACCCTCGGTGAAAACATTCGAGTTAACGTGTTCCTGCCGAACTATTGTGAGCTTGAGTCAGGCGGAGTTGAGCCGGTGGATCTAGACGCAATCGGTCCGTTGACGTGGATTCCCCGGGTCAAATGGCGGGCTGCAATTAAAAAGTGGCCGAACTCGAATTGAAGGATGAGCTATAAGAGCTGTTCCTGAGGTGCAGTGCACCGGTGGCCCGCCTCCCAGATGCTCCACCCCGGCGGAGAAGACAATCTGTTTTCTGCAAGTTCCCACCGCTGTCGTCTGCTGCCGCGCCACCGACTTCTCTCCAGCTTCCCCTTCCTCCTCTCCGCCGCAGCAGCGGCCGCCTCGCATGTGCAAGAAGAGAAAGGACACCGTCGTCGAGCATCCCACACCCAAGCCACGGACCCCCAAGTTCTCCTCCGCTTCCGGCAGCCCCATGGCAGCCTCTGTGGCGGGCTCCAGCACGGAGTCCGCCACCAACCGCGGCCGGGAGGCGGCCAGGTCGTACTCCGTGAAGCCTTCTTCCTCCAGTTCCTCTGATCGCTTATCTGTGGCGAGCATCAGGGAGGCCCTCCCTGAAACACCCAACCTCTACGAGTTCTCCGAGATCTTCTCCGCCACGAAGAGCCCCCTCGCGTGGCGCCTCCCTTCGTCGTCCTCAAATTCCTGGCACTGCACAGTCCGGGGCAAGGACGTGGTCGTCTTTCAGCGCCGGTTCCTCGGCGAGCCAGCCGCGCTCCGCCGCCGCGTCGGCGCCGCCTCCAACGTCCACCACAAGAACATCGTCCGCCTTCTCGGTGCCGCCCTCGGCGGTGACGATGTCTTCCTCGTCTACGAGTATGTGAACGGCGCGAGCCTCCGCGAGTGCCTGAGAAACCCTAGGAATCCGGGATACACGCCGCTCGCCTCGTGGATCGACAGAATGCAGGTCGCGGCGGATGTCGCGCAGGGCCTCCAGTACATCCACCACTTCACCGCCGGCATCACGGCGTCGCCGCTTTCAAGGTCTGATAACCGCCGCCACAGCAGCATCCGTCGCCGTCCCATCCACGATCGGATCAAGGCCTCAAGCATCGTGATCACTGAGATCGACCGCCGCGCGAAGATCTGCCACTTCGGCGCCGTGGAGCTCGCCCGAGGAACCTCCTGCTCTGATTCCGACGGCGACGGGACGGAGATGGAGGTCTCCGAAGATCTCCCCGCCGCGCCGTCGAAAGTACGGAGATCCGGCAGCGCGAAGGTGAAGTTAGAGGGGACGAGGGGGTACATCGCGCCGGAGGTCCGCCTGGGAGGATCTGCGTCGCAGAAATCCGACGTCTTCGCCTTCGGCGTGGTGCTCCTGGAGCTGATCACAGGGGATGAGCCAGTGAAGTATACCTATGACGGAGAGAAGAAGGGCTACGAGATGGTTTCCCTGATCGAGTCTGCCAGGAGGTTAATGGGGATCGAGGAGCAGGGAAGGGAAGTCGAAGGGGAGATGGCATCTTGTGGGGAGGACCAGTCGGCGGTGGATGAGAGACGGCGGAGGATACGTTCCTGGGTGGATCGGCGGCTCAAGGACTCGTTCCCGGTGGAGGTGGCGGAGAGGGCGGCGCGGGTGGCGCTGGACTGCGTGCAGCCGGTGGCGGAGAAGCGGCCGGACATGGTGCGTGTGGCCGCGAAGCTTTCGGCGCTTCTGATGCAGTCGAAGAGCTGGGCAGAGCAGCTAAGGTTTCCTGAAGAACAGACTGTTTCTCTGGCACCGCGATGAGCAAAAGGAAGCCCGCCGTCTTCCTCCACGGCGATGGAAGCGCCAACAGGTACAACGTATGACGAATAATCAAATCAATAGAGATATATGGTGATTTTGGATCCATTTCTGAGACCATCGGACCAAACTTTGAAGAGAACATAGATCAATCCCTCGTGAAAGAGAAACAGTTGGATGATTTCGTCATTGATGATCCCAACAAGTAGAAAGTAGAAACGGAAACCCTAAGCGATCAGATCGAGCAGATCGAGGAAAGGTACGATGGAGTAACATCATCCACCCTGATTAGTCTTGTCCGTAAGACTGGAGCACTTCCCCTGCGAGACGGCAGATCCTCCACTCCTGGTGCACCTCTGCCCCCATCTCCTGGTAGAATTTGATGGCGTTCTCATTCCAGTCGAGGACGCACCACTCTACCCTTCCGAGTCCCATCTTCGCCGCCTGCGCCGCCACCGCCGACAGCAGCATCCGTCCGAATCCCCTCCGCCGGTACGCCTCTCTGACGAACAGATCCTCCACGTAGAAACCAGTCTTAGCCAGGAAGGTCGAGTAGTTGGGGAAGAAGAGCACGAATCCCGCCACAATCCTTCCTCCGCCACGTACGGAGGCGAAAATCTCCGCCTCGGGGTCGGCAATGGGGGAAGCCAGATCGATCTTCCGCGAGATCGGCGCGAACACCGGCTGCACCTCTCCGTTCTCCGCCGGGATCTCCCCGTGGGAGACCTCGAGGATGAAGACTGTGACCGATCTGAAGGGGGGGACGGGGTCCTCCGCGGGGAAGAGGGAGGAGGAGAGGGACGACTCCGTGGCGGAGAAGAGGTGCGTCAGGCGTTCAAACTCTGCCATCTGCCGGATCATCTTGAGGATATGCGGGACGTCGCGGTTGTCGGCGAGCCGGATTGTCCCCAATATCTGCGGCGGCGACGCGGCGATGGCGGACGACATCGCGAGGTTCTTCAACCGGCTTCCCGTGGATGGGTGGGGTTTTGGGAACCAATGGATGTACTCAGTCAGAGAGAGAGAGAGAGAGAGAGAGAGAGGGTCCAGCCCACGAGAAACTGGTGTTGGGCCCAGAAAAAGATTGAAACTTTGGTGTGGTAAACCCCACATTTTGTCTTGCACTGCACCCATCAGATTGCGAGGGCTACACTTGCTGAAAACTGTGAGTGCTTCCCGCACTTAGATATAGTTGGGTATTGGGGGACTCCACTTACCCAGGCCCTTTCCTGTGCTATAAAAACTGGCCTGCCACCTGAAGCGGAAGCTGGAGACAACAAGCCTTCCCATCTCATTAAGATCTGGTCACAAGCTTCTTGCCTGGTTTGGCCTCCCTGCGGATAATAGACCCTTCTCCGTTTTATTTCGTCTTCCTTGTCAGAGTCTGTTGCTTCCTCTTCGTCCCTCTCTTCCCACTCTTCTTAACATGAGGGCTCTTCTCTTGCTTTCTCTTATCCTCGCTGTGATGACCGTTTGCTCGGCCTACCATAGAAAGCTCGTGGTTGAAGGAAACAGCGGCCCCCTGACCGACGCGGGAATAGGTATAGGAGAGAGAGAAGACACGAAGAGCGCGCTGAGGTACACAGGGAGTAACGCCGACAATCACCATAGCATACCCAGACCGCAGTACGGAGGTCGGAACGGAAATGGAGGCCAGCAAACCCCAGGCGGAGACGATCAGAGTAGCGGTGGGTCTGGGGGTGGCGGGACCAACTAAGGTTTCATACGATGTCTTCCCAGCGATCAGATCGCACGTTTGAAAGAATACTCCGTCAGCGTGGTTTCATCATAGAAACTTCATGGGCGAAGGTCAGGCAGGATTTCCATTTGGTACGTACGATATGTGAAGTGTCTCTAATGCGTTGAAGGCCTACACCGAAGTAGGTGCTACTCGTTTTATGTCATCTGAGTGCTCTGGACTGCACTGTGGGGCTCGGGGAGTGGGTTTCATGTGTTATGTTTCTATGTCCTAAGTTCACGAGCTATAGCTTTCTGATGTAATTTGTCCGGAGGAGAGTTCGAGCCGGAAAACATCATGCTCAACTCTGTGATGTCCAAGAATGTGGAACAGTCGGGGCTTTCACCATCCTGACTTTTCTGTTCTTACGATTTTCTGATTTAATGTAGTTTTTTCCCCGGATTATGGTTGCTTTCTTTCATTCAAATGGAAATTCTAGTTCTCCTATCAATTAGAGATCTGATTGACTGACGAAAAGCTCAAGATAACAAGTCATTTGGTCCTCAACGATAATTTGATTAGTGACCAATTGGAGGGTTTCAACCTCTGCGCGTGAAAACAGATGCAGGGAGACAAAGAAGGCGGAGGGAGGGTCAACCCTTGTCCCAGAGCTCGATTTTGCATCCATTGTTCTACTGCCACAGGAATGACGTGCATAGTAGCTTTTATTTGGCCACGAATATGATAGATTCATGTTGACAAATTATATTTCATCATGGAGTACATTCCAAAGGTTGAACAACAGCAGAAGCAATGAATTCATATGATTAAAGTCGATAATTTTTATCTCCTCGGGACCGAGTATCATCTAACCTTATAAACTGATGATAAACAAAAGAGGCCGGTTTTCCTGGTTTTCCCCTTGTGGGCATGCATGTCTCTCATCTTTTGCATGAGAGTTCCATTTGTGGAATAGCTTTAGCTTTGCCGAAAGCGGTAGGGGAGAATGTTGGGTAGTTTGGTACCGCAGAGAGGAAGAAGACGCCACTCGGAGTCCACCAGCACTTGTAGGTCTATCACTCCGCTATTGTGTGATATTAAAACTCTTGTGGCCGCCGGGAAATGGCTGCCCCTTCCGTCCACGATTTGACCCCGGTGGAAACAACACTTCCCTTCTATTCTCTATTTTCCACCGTCTTTCCGCTGTTTCAACTATTCTCTATTATATGTGAAGTCGGCTGCGAGCGGCACTTTCCTACTCGTTATTGTTCTGGGATTACTAGCCTGCGAGATCCACGGGGTGAGGGAGCATCACCCGAAGACACTTTTGAAATACGACGATTCGGTAGGATCATCCAACTGAGAGGACGGGAACCCTACTCTCGGATGTATTGCCACCAACTAGAAACTGGCCTCCACCATGAAAGGTGAACCCGAGATCAGCGGCCAGGGGACGTCGATGTAAATGGGGAGAGACTTAGCCCTCCTAGCGGTCGGCGAAAACTGTGAGAATTTCGATAACAACTAGAAAAGCCATGGAGCTATTTTCCCGGCTTGACGTCTGCTGGTACGCTCTACAAGACTTCCTTCACGGAGCACATGGGATGTCTCCAAGGTCTCACCCAAACGCCCGTAGACAGAAGCTTCGACATGAGACGTGTTCCGATACAGACTGTTAATTTGCTTTTGACTTCTTCTTCGTGCGGTGCTTACGGTATCGTGCTTATCCCTCTTTACGGATAAATTGATGCCTTTAATCATTGTGCTTCCTAGAGACTCCAGGGTTTTCCAATCTAAATTCTGCTTCCTCCAGGGGAAATCTTTAACACAATCACAGATCATTCAGATTGAAAGAATGAGATGGTGATTCTTTCCTCCTAAGACTCGATTTTGAAGTCAGAGTTTTTGGCATGACATATAAAACGTAAGGCTTATCGAGTGAGGTAAAAAATTAACCCATCCTCCCTGAAGAAGTTGGGTTCACGCCGCCAGTGACTGGATTTTTGGCAGCACAGAGAGAGGAAGAAAAATCTAAGCTTGGAATGGCTTAATAATGAAATTACCGATGAGCAGGCACGATCACACTCAATAACAATCAAGTGGAGACTGCAGGGGACCAAAATAATGAAAGGGTATGATTAAGGTGCTGATTAGTTTTCTAAATTAGTGTTATAACCATTTATTTCGTCGTTTGCCTTGCCTTCCAACTGGCATCCTACCATCAAAATAATGCATTAGATTTCCTTTTTCAATGATATATAGTGAGAAACTTTTGGAACATGTTATAGAGGATGTCATTATTACAAAATTAATTTAGAAACACAAATAAAACTATGACTTAAGTTGGCACATTTATTTTGACAAAATGTTATAATATAGTTGAAACTTCTAAAAAATATAAAGGTTGATGTACTTTTACAATTTTTTCACAAGATGTGTCAATGGCACAAGCTAGAATGCAGTTGTCTAATTTTGATGAAAGTCAAGAAAACAATCCCTGGCATCCAATTTTGATGACCAAGTCAATAAATAACAAAAAATCAGGTTTATCAATCACATTTGGACTTCAATTTGACTTCGTATTTTATTTATTAATAACTGGAGAATGTATTGTATAACCTTAATCTCATATCTAATAGGATACATTTTCAATACATATCGAGATGTACTGTGAATAGTTTATACTGTGTTCTATGTTGTGAAAATTAAATCAAATTCATGATGTCACAATAGATGGAGCCAACCTTGGAGTCAAATATGAAACAATTGTGTAAAAACTTCTGGATACACAATTGTTATTGTACATTAATGATGCATTTTACTATCATTACAACTTTATATGGTTTTATAAAGCTACAAATGTCATGGGGAGTGCTAACACATACCCATTGACACATTTTTCTATGATCACAATTAATATGACACATGCATGTTCCTCAAGGATTAGACTTGAAAGTTTCTCTAATTGGTAGAGACTAAGATATAAGGGTTTATAATATCATGTTGACATCATTTCATGGTACAATTTATAAACAATGTCAACTCCAAACTATATAAGTAAATAGTCTACCTCTACAGGGGAACTCCAAACAAGATCATAACTAGCCAGACATCATTCAGGCTCAATGGGGATAAGGGGGAGCCGGGGGGGGAGGGGGGTGAAATTATGCGCCATGTGGCTCCACAAATGCTGTGACCAGATTTCAATATTAATAGTGGGATGATCTTCGCATTTGGTCAGATGTAGATATCTACAAGCTGACTATGCAGTCGTCAAATGTTCTCAAATTTAGTTTGTGAATGCCACCTAGCACCCTCCTCTCCACCTGTTCAAGTCTAGTCTAAAACTAAGCTCTCTCTCAACAAGACTCACGTTGAGACCCACCACCTTGCCAAAGCATCAAACCGACAACCTTCAGTACTTAGTAAAGCAACAACAGACCTACATACAATGAGAGTACGAGTTCTCATGGAAAGAGGAGCTCAAGCTCTCGCAGGGTTTCAGCGGGCAGTTTGTCGAAAAGGTTGGTGGAGATGAAGATGAAGGTTTGTTTCAGGACATTGTTCACTGGAGGGCCATCTACAACATCTAGATGCTCATCGTGGATGCCATTAAGAATACTATGATATGGCATTTGTGGATGGCCCTTGGGATGACTGAGTTATAATCATAAGATCATAAGAACCTTGGCCGGTTCAACAGGGAATACTTCCACATTAGCGCCGGGCATGGTTGCCTACTGCAGTATCTATGCATGGATCTTGTCAGTTTCTAGTCCATTTAGGTGACTACAAAGCTCTCTCTCTCTCTCTCTCTCTCTCTCTCTCTCTCTCTCTCTCTCTCTCTCTCTCTCCCCCTCTCTATTTTGTGAGAAATCTAGATTTCTATCATGATTGCGACCATTCTAATTAAATTATGGACAATATTTAACTAACTAACTCATTGTTTCAATTGGACTTGAAGCGGTTGTGTAGGTTGGGCACTCTGACAACGAGGAATAAAAAGAACTATTAGTAATTGATGGAAAACAAAGGAAAACTAAAGAAGTCATTAAAGGCATGGAGCGGAATAGAGCATTTGATGACTTACTTCAAATGTTGTTGGGCAGAAGTGAGCCAGCTAACCTAAGCCTCTCTTCTCTCCTCCATATGAAACCCTCTCTTCCATTTTGAAACAGTTTGAAAGATTTGTTTTTTAGGGATTTTTTCTATTTCATGAGTTCCTCTCTCCTCCCTCTACTTCAGTCATCTTTTATCTCAAATCTGAGTGCCTTTTCTCTCAATTTGCAACCTTTTTTTCTCATCAAGTAGTGTCAAAGCTCTAAGCTCATTGTATTGAGTGTTTGCTATTATGGAGATCGTAGCCATATAAAAGAGTTTCAAGAGCAAGATTAGTGCAATCTTGAAGATTTCTTACCATAGCAAGGGGTGCGAAGAATTCAAGTGAAGATTTTTGGAAGAGGTATCCCCATTGACTAAAAGTATGTCAAATGGTAACCTCTCAACGTCTCACAACCTCTTGTCATTTTTTAACGAAGAGAAATATGATTTTTTTGGTATTAAGGTGATGACATTTTTTTTTCACAAGACCTATAATATTAAGTTGAGGATGATTCTAAAGATGAGAAGATTGCTAAACTAGGAGTTAAGGAACTTCATTAGAAAGATGCTAAAACTTTATTAATATTTTCACAAGTTTTTTCAGAAGTTATAATTACTAATGTCATGAGATCTTCAAAAGCACAGAAAACATTGAAAGATGAATTTTATGTCGATAATGTGGTTACAACAGTAAAATTTCAAAACTCTTTGTAGAGAACTTGAAAGTCTCCATATAAAATATAGTGAATCAGTTCAAGCTTTCTTCTCTCATGTTGCATTTTTTTTATTAATTAGATAAAAATATTTAGGATCATATTACAGAAAAAAATGTTAATAAGCTTTCCATCTAACTTTTATCACATTGTTACAATTAACGGACTCTTTCTACACTAAAAATGAATTAATGGACTCTTTATTAACACATGAAGAAAGAATGAATTCATGAAAACATATTTTGTGTATGTAGTTTAGCCTGAAGTTAAGATTTTAAAAAGTAGAAAAATGATGAAGGCACATCTAATTTATAATGTAATTATAGAAATAAAGGAAGAGGAATTTATCATAGTCATGAATAAAGAAAAAGTTATGACAAATAAAGTTTTGTACATCAAAAGTATAATGGTAGTGATAATCAAAATAAAAGGCAATTTTCTAGAAAATGGAATGCAGATTTTATAGGAAATATAGATATATTGAAGCCTATTGTTAAGACAAGACAAAATAACAATAAATTATAAAATAAGAGAACTATAAGAGAATGTAATATGATTTTTGAAAAAAGTGTAATCATCTCGAAGTTAATTTATGTCATAAGAAAAATCACTTAATGCTACAAGAGAAAATGGTATATATATTGCACATTAGTGACTTTAATTACAAGTATATAAGATGTATGATTTCTTGGTAGTACTTGCAACAATCACATGACATGTAAAAATGAGTTCTTTCAAAATTTTGATACAGCTATGAAATGTCAAATTCAAGTTGGAGATGAGAAAAGTGTTCAAATTGAAGGTATTAGAACCATAATTTTCAAAACATTATTATTATAACTAATAATTATATTTGTGAAGTGTATATTTATGACATAAAATATTGGTTATCATTTTTAGTTGGAGAGTAAGGTTGACTTGAAAATTATTATATGCTAATATTTGTGATTTGAACAACATCAATATTTTTTTATTGAATATTGATGATTTTATCGACATGAGTTGTGTATACTTTTTGGTTTATAAATATGAGGTATTAAGAAAATGATATAGTTTAAAACTCTTGTAGAAACGTCAAGCATATATGTTATAAATGGATAGAGGGAGATAATTTTTATCTCATGAGTATAATTATTTTTATAAGCAATAGAGCATTCACATGCAACTAATGATAAGAAAAACTCAAGTGCAAAATAGAATTACCAAAATAAAATATTGAAAAACGGTATAAATGATGCAAATCATGTTTATTGAGAAGCATCTTCTGAATGAGTTTTGAACAAAAAATGTGGCGATAACAATGTATCTTATTAATATTTCTCTAACAAAGTCACTCATGAATTCTGATATCATTGAAACTCAAACATAACCCATTTAAAAGTATTTTGTTTTGTTGCTTATGGATTACTTAATTCTGATGATTGTGATAAAATATGTAAGAAATATAAGAAATATATTTTTATTAATTCTAGTGATAAGTTTAAGGGTTATCATTTATATAATCATAAAGTTAATAACTTATTGATTCGTTGAGATGCTAATTTGTTCTTATGATTGTAGAATCATCAAGTTATGAGAAGGCTCAAGACAAAATGAGTGGAACTACTATAATGAAATAAAAATTATATCAATTGAATAAAATAACAAAGGAGATGGTGGAACTACCATAAAAAAAATGGAAATGATCAGTTTGAAATAGATGCACAAAGTGAAGTAGAAGTTTGATGAAAATATGAAGAAATACAAGAGAACGTTTTTAGTGAAAAGTTATATGTAACAATATGGTATTGATTATTTTAAAATATTTTTTATAGTTATAATATTTGAAGTAATTTAATTATTTTGACTATAATAGGACAAATGAAATGTGATGTAAAATTTGATGTTAAATCTATACTTTTGAATAGTTCTTTGAATGCAAATATTTATGTTGAGTAGTTACAAGGTTTTCTAATTGATGCCAAAGATATTGATGTTTACAAATTGAATATGATACTTTATAGACTTAAAAGATCATTAAGACTATGGTATAACATACTTGATTTCATAAAAATTATTTTTATAGAAATGATAATGAGCTAACTCTTTATGTGAAGATTAAAGAAAATGGTATTTCATTGCATACCATTTTGCTAATGGAATTATAATACAGAATCATTTCTTCTATCTAGTTTTAAGTTCAAGACTTCTATGATGGGTAAATTTAATATAATCTATTCGTGATTATTTTATTATTTTTTTGGACTTCAATTTATTCAAAATGATTGTGGTATATTCATTTCACAAGAAAAGTATGCATAAGGAGTACTCAAAAAAATTATCATGTTGAATTGCAAGATTTTCTTTACTCTAATGAACATAAATAACATGTCTTGATGATGTGACTATAAAAATTAATGAACACTTTCATAGCAACCTAATTAGTGGTTTAATGTATTTAACTCAGTATTGACTTGATATAATAGTTTCATTTAGTATTATTTCAAGATTCATATACTCTCCATTGGTTCATTAGTTTATAGTAGTAAAATGGATTCTTCATTAAATGCAGGGGACAATCAACTTTATATTTTATAAATATGTTCTTGAATTCAAACTTTTTGATTTTACTAACCGTGATTGGGCATGTTCTATATATGACATGAAGAAGACTAATTGATTTACTTTCAGCATTGGTTTAGTTACAGTGTCTTGGATTTTTTTAGAAATAAGAAATTACAATATCATCATCTGAAGTATTGTATATTGTTACATCAATGGCATGACAACAATCAATATAAATCTGATTTTTTTTTAAGAATATTAATATACTACAATCAACACCAACATAAATTATTAAAATATAGAAGGATGAAACACATTAGCATTTCTCATCATTTTATTCAAGATCAAGTTGGACTAATTAAATTGAGATGAAGCTTTTTTGAACAAATGATTAAGTTACATACAACTTTAGAATTATGTTATTTCATGTTTATCAAATTTTGTGAATCACTTGATGTTGACGTTTTGATTTAAGGGGGAATGTTAACAATTAATATAAAATACTCAAAGAAAAGATGAAGAAAGTGTCAAAGACGTGAAGAGGAATAGAACTTTTAATGACTACATTAAATGTCGTTGGGCTGAAGTGAACTGACCCACTTTAGTCCCTCTTCTCTCCCCCATATTAAATGTTTCTCTTCTTTTGAAAATGTTCAAAACATTTCTTTTTCAGGGTTTTTTTTCTGTTCCATGAATTACTTTCTTCGTCGTCAATTCCGTTCTCTTAAGATTTTGCATGTTCTCTCTATATATTTGCAGTATATGTTTTCCCACAATAACTTAATGATTGCATGAGTGAAAGTCACGACAAATGTCCATCTTTTATGAAGTGAAAAACCCTAAATTACTCAAGTCATGTTCTACATCTTATCTTTCTCTAGGAGTATCCGTAGGTTCGGTGGGTCAGAGCATTGCCAACCCCGTTGGCTTAACTCTTGCATAAGCCCACCTCGCTGCTCATTTCAACAAACCACATGCAATCGTCATTGATCACTGTACATAATGGGTGATAGGTATAGGATACTGTCTAATGGGTGATAGGTGCGTCATGAAAGGGATATTCTATGAGGCATCTTCCTTGGCTGTACACTGGAAGCTTAATAAGATCACGCTCCTCTACGATGACAACCACAGCACCATTGATGGAGATACGAGCCTTGCTATATCAAATGACATCTTAGGACATTTCAGTGCTTTGACAGAGCGATATTTATTAGGGTGAATTGGAGGACCAGGGAAGCAGAAGGATGACAATATTTTTTGAAATCTGAAGAGAAAGATTGTAACAGTCGAAACGTTATCAGGTGAAGGCGCTCATTGGAAGGCTGTTTGGATGGGAAGGACGGGACCCATTACACGTCTTCCCCATGGTTTGTAAGCCCTCATTGAACGCATCATTTTAGCTATAAGTGGGATATTCGTTCGTCCATCACCCATGGTTTATAATTGTCTAGGAATTAGAACTTGGGGCTGAATTGGGAGAGGCTATGGAGAAGAAATGGTTTCAGAGGAACTGAAGATCTGTTTGGGAGGATTTTCTGCCGGTAAATAATCATTCTTTAGATTCGTACTACTCATTGGCCCACAGTTGGGTTTCAGAGACGGCCCAATAGGCTCGTCGAGGGCCCAAAAACATGTGATAAGGTGATATTTAGGTGTAAATATGATTTACATGAACATGAATCCCGGCCCAGAGTATTCATTTTTGGGTCTAAAAATTGTCTGTCTGCTATACTTCGTCGCAGAGCAGAGCCCATCACCAAGGTCACCACCCTTCTCTCTCTCTCTCTTTCTCCCTCGCTCGCTCGCTCCCTCGCTTGTTCTAGCTATCAGGCATGATTTCAGACACAGGTTTAGTCAAAATGATGTAAAAGAAGACTGAAGAGATCCATATCTGATCTTGGATCTTTCAGATTTACAGGTCGTGCGAGAGAAGATAGCGAGATTATTGATGAAAATGGCGAGGTTGTACTGGTGAAGGGCCGTCGGTCTGTGGAATCTTGGAGTTGTGGGGGAAATCAGATGGTAAGGGTTTTCTCGGATCTCTGCCGCGCCGTGGTTTTGTTGATCGAAAGTGACAGGAGCAGAGTCTTTCCACCGGTGTGTAGATTTGAGGGGGAGATGAAATCGAAATCGCCTCTGACTGGATCCACAGTGAACTACGGAACGTCGGTGGGAAGGTTCCATGGAGGTTGAATCGTCGCGGAGGCCATCCGGGTGCAGAATGGCCGCTCGGTGGTCGCCAGAAGAGCCAACGACCTCCCCACCACTCATTAATTAGATCCCCTCATGCGACTATAAACAATAGATGGAGACCTTTGACCGTCCAGATTCGATGAGAGATATGGAAACCGAAACGTCTGATCTGCGAAGAAGTAGACTGACAGAGAGGGAGGGAAGATTTAGGGATCCTGATGTATGAGACGAATCGAGATCACGCTAGCCGCGACGGGGATCTTCGATCCAAGAATCCCTTGAAATTGGGGGCAGAATCAGACGTGAGCAAGTTGAGAGTAACCAGAGGGGGAACAGCTGTGCAGATCGAAATCAGGAAAAAAATAATCCCCTCGGGCATGAATCTAATTCTACTTGATAAATTATAGACAACTACATATGTTCAAGAGGATCATTGCGGACGGGATGGAGAAACGGTTTCGATCATATCATGAGGCGCGGTGGGGGATCGCAAACGCCGGCGTATTGCTCGGAATCGGCTCATAATAGAACGGCTCGGCCGGGTGCTGCCAGGCGGACCATCTGAACTCGGCACTCTCCTTGTCGTCCCCCCCACCGGAGACCTGCTGCTTCTTCTCCGGCGCCGCGACGGAGGCAATCTCTGCGGGCCCCGGCAGCGACAGGATGTCCAGCGGCGACAGGAGGGGGATGGCGACCTTCCACTCCGACGCGCACCCGGACGGCGGAGCCACCTGTATAGACGACGGCGCGTGCATCCGCAGCCTGCTGCTGTTGCTGCGCCGCAAGACCTTGCCCCTGCTGGATCCAGGAGAACCGCTCGCCGACGTTTCGGCCATGGCGGAGAGACAAGCTGCCCTCGGACGAGATCGGATGAGAAAGAGAGAGAGAGAGAGACGTGGAGGATTAGTTGAGTGGAGAGAGAGAGAAGGTGCCACTTTATACGACCAAGTTGGGGCATCTGACTGGGCAGCCACCATTACTTGAGGTCCAAGCGCGTCATCGGTTCGTGCGGAGGATAGAAGAAATCAGGGCTCTCCTGAAACGGCCTTCCCCTTCCGTCAGATTCACCCGAGAGCTCTCCGGTATTTGACCGCTATTCCCCTCTCTGCCGTTAGATACATCCATTCCCCGGCGGACACGTGTACAATCTAACGCACGCGTAGGAGGTAATCTTCGGCGATAAGGTTCAAATGGACGGTTCAACCGTTGACCACGTGGTCTCTATTCCACGCGAGAAGCGCAGATGAAAGAGACTCGACGAGAAGTTTGACGGGATTAGACGGCGGTGATTCCGACCATCATGTCAGCACGCCGATCTGACGGTCTGATTCGAATCAGTGGCGACGTCCACCCCGCCCCCGGCCGCGATGGTCCAAATAATTATACACACTTGGTCAAAAAAAATCCAGGGATTTGATTTGTTTCTATTCATGGTGGGGGTCGAGATCTGCGTGGGAGGTGCAACCGGGCTGCTTCAGGTGGGCGTCGAGGCGAGTCAGCAGCAGGCGGATGGCGTCGAAGAAGGGGTGAGACTCGGCGGAGGCGGTGAACTCGTTGACCGCCCCGGCGATCTCGATCCAGCTGGAGCCAGGGCTCGACTTCTGCACGCCCCGGCCCTTCATCAGCCCTCGGATGGCGGCGACCTGGGCCCACTCGTTCGCTTGGGCGTAGAGGTTCACCGAGAGGGCGTAGTGGCCGCTGCCGCCGGGCTCCAGGGCCATCAGCTGGCTGGCGGCGGCGCAACCCATCTCCGTGTTCGCGTGCGTCTTGCACGCGCCGAGCAGGGCTCCCCACACGGCGGCGTTCGGCTCCACCCTCATGCTCTGGATCACTCCCAGGGCCTCGTCCAGCCGGCCAGCCCGCCCCAGGAGGTCGACCATACAGCCGTAGTGCTCCGGCGCCGGCGGGATGGAGTAGCCTTCGGTCATGCTCGAGAAGAGTCGGCGTCCCTCCTCGACGAGGCCGGCGTGGGCGCACGCGCTGAGGACGCTCACGAAGGTGACGCCGTTGGGGGCGGTGTCGCGTCCTTCCTCCAGTAGGCGGAACAGGCATAGTGCTGCCGCGGCACGGCCGTGCGCCGCCAGCCCCTCGATGGCGGAGTTCCAGCAGAAGAGGTTCCACCTCCTCAGCTTGAAGAAGACCATCAGGGAGCTCTCCAGGCTGCCGCACTTCGCGTACATGTCGACCAGAGAGGAGCCGATGTAGACGTCAAGGAGGCGGAAGCCGCGCCGCAGGACGCAGAGGTGGGCCTCTCTACCGAGGTCGAGGGCTCCCAGGTGGGCACAAGCCGATATCACCGTGGCCATGGTAACTCCGTCGGGGCTTACCCCGGCGCGCTCCATCGCCTTGAAGGTCTCGACGGCCGCCTTGAACTGCCCGTTTTGGGCGTAGCAGGATATCATGGTTGTCCACGAGACTAAGTCCTTCTTTGGCATCCGGTCGAACAGCAAAGTGGCCGATTCGACGTCGCCGGATCTCGCGTAGCTTGCAATCATGGTGTTCCAAGCCACTGTGCTCCTTTCAGGCATATCTTCGAACAGCTGTCGCGCTGACGCCATGTCCCCCATGTGAGCATGAGCCGAGATCATCACCGTCCAAAAAACTGCATCCCTCTCTGGCATATCGTCGAACACCTTCTTCGAGTCCATGATTCTACCCAACTTTGAGTAGAGATCGATGAGGGCGGTCTGGACGAACACGTTGGATCCGAAACCGAGCTTCAGCGCCTGAGCATGCACTGCTGCTGCGAACCCGGCCGCCGCCGGCGACACCTGCTCGCAGGCCTTGATGACGAACGTGAAGGTGTAGCTTGTGGGACGCCTCCCCTCCCTGAGCATGGCGGCGTACAGCTCGAGGGCCTCCGCCGGGGCGGAGCAGAGATGGAGCCCACGGATGACGGCGTTGTACACAAAGGCGTTGGGATCCGCCACCTGCGCGAACACCAATAGGGCATAGTCGATCCATCCGAGCCGCGAGCAGGCGGTGACGAACTGGTTCGCGAAGAAAGAATCCCGGTGAGCGTCGTTCTTTATCACGGCGGCGTGGACCAACTTCAGATCTCTGATGCAAGAGCATTCCCTCAATGAGGAGACGATCAGGCGCTGCAATGTCTGAGATGAGGATATCGTCTCTGTGAGCTGGAAGCCAGAAGGGGTCGGCAGAGAAGGCGAAGAATCGAACAAATCAATGAATTGCTTTAATTCATATAGAATTTTCTTAATGCGTTTCCTCATTCTACGTAAATAATTGAAGATCTCATCATAAGAATGTAATTAGCACCTACTTTGGTCAATGAAATGATCCAAATTTAATCCAACCTGCAAGTTCAATCAATAAACAGGCCTAGAACCAGTCATCCTTCAAGTTTAATTCAAACGATCAAAGATTACAAATTTCTTATAGATTAAAATGTGAAAAAATCGCGTTAAAACAATATCTTCTTATTCCAAGGTGATTCAGTGTCCTCCAGAGCTCGGTTTTTCATCTTTCCAAATAGAGGCTATATTTAATGCTTATTTTGAAACCGAATTCTGTTTATGGCTCCTTGATTAAGATTTTTTGCACAGAGCGGTCGCCGTACTATGAAGATACTAAACCTCAGCATTCTTACGGAATTCCAATAATCTGGCGCAAATATCTTGTAAAAATAGCCAAATATGGCAGGTTTGAGATGCATACAGTGATAATCTTTCCCATGGACTTGTCGAAGACGTCTGGTAGGGACGAAAGTCGAATTGTACGACCTTGTTAAGTTCAGAGATAAAGCCAGAGATCAGAAATTCCGCGAGTAAACCACTAAGCACGTTCAAGCGTTTTTTAGAAGTATCAAACGCTGCACCGTTCTGCTTCAACAAATTGCAAAACCTGGACATAGAAATCGGACGAAAGGAAAAAGTAACCATCTCAAGGTGGATGAATCAAAGTCAGATGCAGAGGCAGAGAGGAGCAAATTTAAGAAAGGAATAATCGACAGCCGCGAGAGGGATTACCAGGATTGGGAATGGCTACAGCCTAATCCGATTCCTAGTTGGAGTCCGGCGAGTCATCCCGATCGGGATGAGCGCACAGGCATCGGCTTCTTGGCGACATGGATGGAGATGAAGCCACCACTTCCAAACGCGCGCGGCTGGAAGAGGTGGGCTGCCATACTGGATACGGTCGAGACAAAACCCTTGGCAGCTCCGAGATCCGCGGGCGAGGAGAGACAAGAGGGAGACACGGCGATGGAGGAGACCCCGAGGCCAGCCATGGACTCTGGCTTCCCTTCCGATCGTGGCGGAGAGAAACCCCTAGCGAACTTCCCTCTTGCGCCAGAACACCACCGCGGGAGAGTTGAGCGTACAAAAAAGGCGGACCAGATGCTAGTTACCAAAATCTTTGGGGGCTTTCTCGATATTTTGGCATCAGCAAATGAGCCTGGCTATATATATCCGCTGAATCCTTCCCTCTCCAGAACCCTAAATCCTAAACTCTCGGAGCACTTGCCAGTGGCCGCGCCCCCCGTCTCTCATCATTCCTGGTAAAACTCCATCTCCCTGTGTAGCTTCGGAAGAACGTCAAAGCTTTGAGCCTCGATGTCTAGGAAGTGATGCACAGATCGAAGGCTTTCAGGCGCCTCTCACGTAGAAAAGGCCTGCTGAGCTCAAAAATTGTGCAACATCTGGATTCGCCTCTGTGGTAGAATGCCACTCGGTATTTCTCTGCTGAGCCGGATGACCTACCCGCAGATGGAGGACGAACATTTTGTTCTCTCTATCCGTATTCACGATTTCTCCGTTTCGTATCACTGTGTTGCGTTTACTTCCCACCTTAGTGGAGCTCGCGTCGTGGAAATCCTTCTGTTCTTCGTCATCTATGATCTCTTCGCCTTTCAAACGATTCTTTCGATTCCTTTCGTGTCCGGCCGATCCGTTGGTGGAGTCAGACTTGCCACCGTCGGTCCTGAACTTAGCTTGAACGGTCTCAGGGGGAGATGGCAAACCCCAAGGTCTTCTTCGACATCCTGATAGGCAAGGCCAAGGCGGGGCGGATAGTCATGGAGCTTTTCGCTGACGTCGTCCCGAAGACCGCCGAGAACTTCCGCTGCCTCTGCACCGGCGAGAAGGGGATCGGGCGCTCCGGCAAGCCCCTGCACTACAAGGGCTCGAACTTTCACCGGATAATCCCCAACTTCATGTGCCAGGGTGGGGACTTCACGAGGGGGAACGGCACTGGCGGTGAGTCCATCTACGGCCTCAAGTTCGAGGACGAGAACTTCAAGAAGAAGCACACTGGGCCCGGCGTCCTCTCCATGGCCAACGCCGGCCCCAACACGAACGGGTCCCAGTTCTTTATCTGCACGGAGAAGACCTCCTGGCTGGATGGGAAGCACGTCGTCTTTGGGCAGGTGGTGAACGGGTACGACGTGGTTCAGGCGATGGAGAAGGTCGGTTCCGACAGCGGGCGGACGTCTTCTCCGGTTATGATCGAAGACTGCGGCCAGATCACCGACGAGCACCCCTAACTGAGTGCCAAAACGTCTCTGTGAAGATGGATAATAAGCTACACCTTGGTTTGCGTCAGGTTAGGGTTTCATCAAGCTAATTGAGACCCCCTTCCATCTCCTCCCTCCTGTAATGAATGCTCAATGGTCCCGTCACAAAGGTGTCCGATGAGACTGAAACAACATGTTAGCTTCACACTGGAGATATTCATCCACCAGGAAAACAGCAGTCAATCAGTGGAAAAAAGCGGAACCCTTTTAGGCAAGTTTCTTGCTTGCAATCAGGCCACAACTTCGTGTCATTCAAGATAGGTTTGATTTGGTGGGCAGGACGAGTGGGGGTGGGGGGGTCATCTTCGTGGTTTCAGGGCTTCGAAAAGACGATCACCAGAATGTTCATCAGAAACGAGAGTCGCGTAGCTCTAAATAATTCTGACCATGTTATGATACGAAGTGCGACCGAATAACTATGGAGAAATAGTTCCAAATGGCTTCTATTACCAGCATGAAATCATCATGTTAAAAAATGTGACATTCGCATGCGTGTCATCTACAGGGCTCTTCCATTCTTTTAAAAAACTCAGAAAGGAAAAACCTGTGATAGACGCTGGTATTCATTCCCCCGTCGGCATTAATGACGAGCTCCGTGCTTGGAAGCGGGGAGCCCTTTGAGCACGTCCCTGAGAGCGTAGTAATGGCTATCACACTTGTGGTCGGAAATCAGATTACCTGAGAGTATAATTTTCTGGAAATGCTCCCCGGGTTCCCTCTCCCACAGCGAGTAACAACACTCTCCTCGCTTCCCGCCACCGCTGCCGCCGCCTGTGTCGACCGTCCTCTTCAAGTAGTACATCGTCCCCGGCACAAAGAGCTCCTCTGGGGTCGCTTCATCAGGAGGAATCATGGCAGAAGCATCACTCCGCGGCTTTGGAGAATCTCCGATATCAGCCGATTCTCTCTTCTTGGATATGTCTGCCCCAATAGAATGTCGACTGTATGAGACTACCGTAAGAGGCTACATCGCACCAGCGAATAGTGTTTCACTTCCATGTTGGAGGGTCATCTTGGGCTTATTCTGGTCACCCGGTTACAACTGGGAGACTAAAGGTTTAAGATCTCTGATAACGCCACAAGACTTCTATGAAATTTAGCTTCTAAGGTTTGCATGTAATACAAGATTTGTAGAAATAACCACACAAATGGACACAATACATATAAAACATAAAGAGGATAACAAGTACTTCTCCAGGGATTCTAACTCCACGAGCAGGCTAGCTTTGAAAAGCAGGACCACGGGAACGAAAAAAGTTTTGGTGGTTACAAGCTCAGATGTGAACAATGTTTTGGGGCATTATAAAGATGGTGTTGTCATTATTATTTGAATTTTTCTTCAAGCGTTACACCTCTGAGCCTTTTACAAAATCTGGAAAAAAACTAGTTCTCAGGTCACTCTTTTGTGATTCTATGCATGACTAATTCAGGGAAAATTAGCAGAGCAGATGAGGAAGCATCAAACCTGAATCTGATATTTTCGTGAAAGTGGCATAATCAGAGAGATTCCGAGCAACATCTTGAACTAAAGATACAACCTGCTTGGCATTTCCAACCCACTCTACGATACTTTTCCAGTCTTGCCCCTCCAAAGCATTCCTCCTGAAGAAAGAAAGAAGAAACATACTTAATGAGAGACTAGGTAAAATGCCTCGCATATACTATGATTAAAATGAAAATGGCCCGCCCCACATCAATCCTTATTATGATAAGTTGAAGAACTCGCCACAGTTGTTTATAATTCCATTTGTACTTGTTCTTATTGGATGGCTGAATAAGGCATGTGCCGTTGGATACAGCAGTCTATAACTCTTAAAGATGTTCCTTGTCAGGGTAAAGGTTTAATCACACTAGAAGCTATTACCAATGCCAAAAATATCTTCTTTCAGATAACTTGTTAAATACTGTATAGTTGAAACAATAGACGAGACAAATTTTTTATCAATGATAAGGAAAATAACTCATCCAACCAACTGTGGGAATGATGCGGCTGCTGTAATGCCCAATTATAATGCATCAATCCGATTCGTTGATGAACTCACGGTCGTTTTAGCAAAATAGAAAATAGTTATCCGATTCATATAAATGCAGCATGCCATTTCATTTTCGCACAGCCTTTTAATCTTACATCAATAATAATACATTCCCGGAGGTACAGGAAGGTTAAACCCTGCGTTTACAGAGGTCGAATTTCTAAAGGGATCTTTACCAGTCAGTCTGAAGAATGTCATTCCTCAATCTAGCAAGAGAAGCTGTGCTTAACCGTGGAATCACATCATCCTGCCTCAAGGGAGAACAGGTAAAATGAGGGACGGTAAATTCAAAATAAGAAACATAAAAAAGCTCTGTGATAATGAGAGGACAGATAAGACCTGAGTTTTAATTTTTTTTTGAAAGATTTAAGTCACCCAACTAAACTTTGCGTACCTGCAAGACAACTGTGGAGACGTAACTAGAACAGTTCTCAGCGAATTCCTTAGATACGCAAGGTGGAGTCCCAAACCCAACAGCGGAAACGACAGCAGGATCAAATCCAAGGTCTTCTGCTGATCTTTTCCGAAGAATAATCGCAAGCAATGCTGCAGCAGCACCCCCAAGGGAGTGTCCTACTAGTCTCAACTTATATCCCTGCATGTATGGGAGACATGCATGGGAGACGATGGATTATTTCAAGCAGAACTGAGGTTAATATTTAGAGAAGGAACCAAGGCTGTGGAAATAATAAGGTTCTGACCAAGGGAAAAAAGAAACCATGTGAGGCAACAGAATTATCACTTGCCTTGTACTTCTGCAAGCATTTCTTTATAGTTCCTAGTTCATGGTGGAGGAACCATCGGGCAGCTTCAGCAGTTCCAAAATGAGTTGAGAAACCTTCAAGCGCAACTTTTTGATCACTCGAAGTAATCAGATCAGTAATAAGATCATAAACAGTATGAGTTCCGCGAATTCCAAAAATCACAAGTTTATTACGGACATCAATCCCAATATAATAGCCAGGCCTCATCACACTAGAATCCTTAACAAACTTTAGAATGTTTGTTTCTCGAAGCATGCTGTGCCTTGCAAGACCTGCGGCGTTTTCCTTGTAAGCCCCTTTTGCCAATTCCACGTGGTAGATAAGGTCCTCAACCTAAGGAGGGCAGATCATTGAATAGCTAAAATTAGATCAGCGCCTTTTTAGTCAGCATGTCATGAAACACAGACTAAGAAAGGTTATCCACATGCAAGATCGGCTTTAAGAGAAACAATACTGTAAGATCAAATGAGTAAAAAATAAATTTAAATTCGACGAGCCGTATCAAGATAATCCAATACAAAATTGAGCCCTTCAGACTAAACAACAACACCACAATTCCGAGAGCTTTTGTCAACCTACCCATTCATATTCACCTATCTAGAAAACTTGCATATTCCCTAAACTTTGGACAGGGGTTTCCCAGAGCAATGTTCATTAAAATCAAATAGATCTTATAACCATGGATCATCCATCGAGAAGGGAAAAGTGAAAAAGGAACAAGATAAGGAAAAAAAAGGTAATTGGAATATCTACAAGGTTATCAGCCGGTTATTTTGGACAATATCAGCCACAGTGATTGCAAGCCATTTTCTGCCCAACTGCATGCAGTCAGGGAATAAAAATATGACGATACACCGTCACAATGAATCTACTTGGCAATAACAAGACAATATAAGATTAAATAACCCAAGTTAGAGAAATTACAAATGAATCTGAAAAAATCTGCAACCCCTTGATACTTTCAGCTTTCTCAGTAGAACTCTGACGTAGATAAATGAGGTACAAACCCAGTGTAAGGTCACTAAAGCTCCAGTCCTGAATGCCAGCTTTGCTTCTTTGAAGGTTGGAAAAGATCTCTGCCAGAGAACGACTGTAGGATGGTGATTTCTGCTGGCCATCTTTCTCTACATATGGGAAGAATCAAGACCACAACAGCAGACCGTTGTGTCAATCAAAGTGACAAGAGAAATGGGAGCACTGAAAAATTAGCCCCTATAGAAATACAGAAACATACAGAGGATGTGCAAAACTCAATGAATTATTACTCAAAGGCGGTATCATGCCATGCAAAGATAAGAATATTAACCAATTAGAATTTGAGGATTGATCTCTCAGTTAGCACTTAAACAGTGCTGAAAAAGAGATGGCAAGACAAAACCTGCTTCAGATGCCCACTTGTACAATTGCATTGCAGGCTCAAGAGCTTTAGTAATCCAGTGAAGTTCAATTTTCCATCTCCAACTACTCATGTCATCCTTATCTGAACTATCAGCGATGTATTCAGAATCATAATTTTTTATTTCAGTCAATTTGGTTACCCCAGGAGACTGTGGCACTTCGCGTCCCTCTGTCAAATCAGATCCTGCTCTCACGCCTCCTCCAGAATCAGAATTTTGAAACAGGCATCGGCTGAAGGTGCTAGATACAACTTGTTGATACGAATCCCGCCTTCTGATCGAGCTTACACTACTCTCTGCATATTTAAGAAGATATCGTAACTAAACAAGTTTCAGAAACGGATTCCTTCAGTTTTGTGCGTCACAATCCCCATACCATATTTTCTATCGCGTTTTCCATCCACACTAATATGAAAATGAGGAACACATCGAGTGTTCTGTTCCTCTTCACATATTACGTTCAAAGTGGGGAAAAAAGCGATCCACATTCGCAACAGAAATCCTCGTCAGAGATTTGCAAACACTACACAAGGGAAGAGGGGCCGAGCAGAGGAAAATAAGAGCGAGGTACCTAGGCGGAGGAGGAGACGCTTTGCCATTTCCACAGGGAGACGACCGACGCGAGGCGGGAGACCCGAAGCATGGAGGCGAGGGTTGATGCTTGGATCCCTTCCTCACCTCCTCCGGACCTCTGCCACTGACGTCTCTACACCGCAGAGCGCGCACAAGGCGACGGACTTTGATCTCCCGGGTCCTCAACGCGGCCACCTGAATGCCTCTTCCTCATCCTTCTGCACATTCCTTCATCACCTCGGCTGGGGTTTTATGGAAGGGGGGGGATCCCGTCACCTCCCCACCTTCGCAACCGTAGTATTGAGTACGTGTCAGTGTCTGAGCAGGCTAATACTCCTCTACGATTCAGGAATAAAATTGGGACTTAAAATAAATTTTGTAACCTAAAATAGGTCACCTAATTATATCTTGCGTATACTTATATTTTGGAAATTATCTCATTTCTTACGAAATAATGCCTTAAATAATCAAACAGTGATATTAATTTCCTGAAAAAAAAAAGTATGATGGCATCAGCTTGTAAATCACTACTTACAAATAATTTCAATTTTCCCCATTTTTAAAATATTGCTTATAAATATTTGATCGGACGCTGATTTAAGAAGCAAATGAGGATTTGACTGAAACTAATGGAACAAAACAAGAACAAAAGGATACCCCAATGCTTCGATACCCCTCTCCTCCCCCTATTTTCTCCTCTTTTCTTACACTTTGGGCTTTGCCCCTTGGCCCCTCCTAATCTATGCAATATATCAGCGGCCTATCAATACCCAAATAATAAGATTGAAATGTATGATTGTAGCTTAGCGAGGTTACAAGGAATCAAGTCCAGATTCCACCCATCCAAGGAAGATGAGAAAGCCAATCCTGCTGCGAGGTCAACATCACTTTCCTTTCATCTCCCCTCATGAACACATAACATCGGCGCATTAACATAGGTTAGTTATTTATCATAATGGGAGAAATCAAGAGCCACAGGGGTGAAAATAGCCAAATAAAGAGCCTGCATATACAAATATGGCACAATTCATCTCAAAGCATTGATCACTCCAGAAGCTGAATTATTAGAACTAAGAAACGTGAGCACTCCCTTGGAAAATGAACAACTTGATACCAAGCAATACATAATACAAGCCAAAAGATTAGCTCCAAGTGTGTTGCCAAAAATAAACAGAATGCTTCCAAGTCCCTTCAAGGATATGGCACTCGCAATCACTTCCTTCATCTGGTAGAGAGAGCAAAGAGGTCGGTTTCCAGGACTTTGATCAGCCAAATAGTCGAATCACGAAGAGTCCACAAGGTCAACTAACTTCAACTTCGGTTACTTTGAACCCCAGGTGATCATGGAAATGCTTTGACAATACGTCAAACTTTGACTTAAATTCCTTAGCTGCAGGTCCACCATCAACTCCAAATTCATTAAACCTAATAGGGAAAAAGATGCATGCTTACGAGTCCATACAAGGTGCACCCGTGCCCAGCTAGAAACAAAAAAACGATCAGCATTCTATGAGCATCAGAGCGAAAATTCACACCTTCACGCATTATAAAACCTACATAGATGTTTAATGCAAGATTCACATTCGCAGGGTGCACAAAGGTGAAAATTGTAACTAACAAACCTCAAGGATCCATTAGTTTCTGGTTGACAGTAATCTGGTACATATGCATCATAAACATATACTGTCTTAAGAAAAAAACATATACGTAGGGTGCACCGCTTGTGTGAGAAAATGAACTTCACCTAAGAAGACTAGGAACCGCAAAGTGTAAACTAGATAGGTGAAAGTGTGATGAACTATTGGAACCACCTTGCGAATTGTTTACTCTCGGATTTTAATGTAGTCTAAAAACTAGTTCAAGTTGGAGCTAACTTAATTATGAAATTAGGCCCATATTTCAGTTTTTACCTCTTTTTATTTTTTATAATTTTTTTCTTAAGTCCCCACTATTTTTCATTCTTTCTATTTATATTTTTAATTTCATTCAAAATTCAATTTTTCTTTGAAAATTTATTTCAAATATAAGTGTCAAATCAAACTTTGTTTAAAACTCAAATTTCATTTGAAATTCAATTTTTCATTTGAAATTTGATTTCAAATATAAACGTCAAATCAATATTATTCAACTTATTTAAATGCACCCCACATAGCTTAGGAGGCATTTCAATTTTCAATGAATAAAATTTCATGTGTTTCTTCTCCTTGAAGTTCTCTCCCTCTATTGGTGAACTCCAACACTCTTGTAGACTTAGGGAACCCAACTGATTGATTATGTGAACTCAAAAGACTTGTCTTTTCAACTTGTGGATTCAAGACAAATTATAACAAGTAAAGTACATTTTTTGAAGATTTGAGACTTGATTTCAGCCTCCACAACATCAAAGTTGTTTGTAGTTCGTCCAAGTCATTCGTTTCTCAAGTTTTGATGCGTTAGATTCCTAATTTCTCAAAAAATGACAAGCCTTGTAGATCAACTGTTTATAATATATTCATTAGATAATTTCATAAAGTTGGGTAACCATCCACTAAAGGCACACATTGAATAATTGGGATTATGACGTATCTAATCATTCAAAAATCAAATTCAATAATGGCAACAAAACTACTATTGAATCATCACTTTATTATTGATCATAATAACTTGTAATTTTAAAATTAAGATTTGTATATTAAGTTTAAATCAAAGATATATTTTTCACAATAATTAATCGATTTTACACTAGAAATACAAACTCCTTTTCATTATTTTTAAACTTATAAATAGTCATCAAATTTACTTATTGCAAAATATTTTTGCAATTTCAGTTCTCCCTATTTTAAAAATAAATGATATGGGGATAAAAAATGGATATAGATCTATCAATTATATTCTTCATACTTCAGTCTAAGCAAGTTAAGTAGATTTAAAAAAAAAATGATCACACTAGACCTTGGAAAATTATATAAAATATCCTTTCAATCTTTATGTTAGCACATTCAAATACATGGAAATAGTTCTCAATCTTGCTACATCGTGAATGTCATCAAAATAATAATAAAAAATAAAACAAAAATCGAGTGGCCTGAAGGTACCTTCTGTCATTAGTTTGGAGTAAAATTCTTATCACTTTGAAATCAATATGGAATGTCTCTAATTAACTAATATAAGAACATAATAGTTGTAGATCTCTATTTTGAATGGTTACATGAAATAATTTCCAATCATGCAGCATCATTGGTATCATCAAACTAATCCGAAAAAAGAAGAAAAAGAAGCGAGTGATTGGAAATTCTTTTTGAAGTTAATTCGGAGTAAAATGCTTACCACCTCAAAATCAATGTAGAACCTCTCCATTCTATCTTGAATGGTTAGAGAGAAATTTGAAGGATTTATGTGGATGCTTATGAGATTCATGAGCACTTACATGCCATCATGGTGCGATTGCACCAAAGGAAGAAACAAAGACACTGCAGAATCTAAAATGTACCCCCCAATTGAAGGCAAAACTTTAAGAATTTTATTTGTGCTATCCTTTAATGTGGCTTGACTTTTTTCGAGGCTGCCACATCAAATGCTCGTATTTAATGCATAGAGGAGAAATGAAGTGTGGGAGAGAAATGGTCAATTGGAAGACTGCAAACTCAATGGCCCATTTATGAGTTGAGTATGCCACAAAGCAGAATGGTATAATTGTGAGGTGCTTATAAATAAAAGGTCACCTCTCCTAATTCATGGCAACATATAGCAACCCTCTTCTACTTTTGTTCCACCATAAACAGAGATTGTTTAAGAGAGAGCTTTCAAGGAAGATCTCTTGAGTTGATGAGTGCATCAGAGGGTGGGTCAAGATCAAGGATTTGTTCTTTAGGATCTTGGAAGAGTCAAGATTATGAATCTATTCTCTACATTTTTTAGGAGTGATTTTCTTATACTATTTTTCGCATTTAGTGTAGTTTTCGTCGTCACATGTAGACGTAAGAGGTCAATCTTCGAATCACATAAAATCTTTGTGTCGGTACTCTTGTTGTAAATTATTCTTTTTTTTTACCTTACTTCATATCATGAACATTGCTTCCACTGAAGTCCATACAAAGTCTTACTCTAACATGTGTCATCTCGACTTTTTTAATGTAAACATGTGAATTGTGCCAAAATTGACTTAATAAATAACAATGATGATATACTATTGTGAAAGGCTTTAGTTGATCCCAACTAAGATAAGGCTTAAAAATGTTTGATTAGTCAATTGCTTCTTCTAAATCATAAGCAAAATAAGTAAATTGAAAGCCAATGCCTATGATCTAAGTTAAACAATCAATCGCAAATGCAATTAATGGCATGCATGACTCATATGTGGTTGAGTTTGATAATGAGAGCCTTTGGAGTCATTCCAGATTAGAGGTAAGCACCAGCAAAAGCTTGTGAAAGAAGTTACTCAATTCTATGTTGCCAATTCTTCGAAAAAGGTAGCAGATGAGAAGCCAAAAATCTGGAAGCGAGTTGCATTTTGTAGGATCAGTCATGGAAGCGAGTTACTCAATTTTGTAAAAGTTGAGTGAAATAAGAAAATAGTAAGTGAACAAATCACGATGAGAATATGACACAATAATTTAGAGGTTAGTTTACTACGTCCAAAGGCGACATTGAAATTTACACTCGATGTAAAAGAAGTAAAAAAAGAACACTCCCCAAGAACTCACATGAATCTCTAATCTTGGCCCTCAAATCAAGTCAAAAGTCACTCACTTTAAAACTCTTTGCAAACACCTGGGGAAACGAGCCGGCCGTGGGATGAACCCCGTGGACCCCGCTTTATCTCTCCACATTAAATGCGCATGATTATCGTAAACAGCTGCCATATGAGCAGAAAACACCTGGTCATGTGCTTACTTAATGACCAAAACAGTGACGCCAGTAATAGTTTCGTCGACTCACATAATGGTAAGAAATCCATTTACTTCAGGTACACTGAAGGTATCTAATCTACTCCTGCATTAGACGCATTACTAGAAGTCCTGACCGGTCACGAAGTCCTGGTCCGTTCTCCGGCCGACGCGAAACCGCAGGCAGAGAGACAGAGCACCGAGTTCCCTGGGCGAGGATCGAGATACCTATCACGCCGACTAGGGGGCCCGCACCGCAGGAACCTAGATTTCGCGCAAATCTGGCGGAAGGAGATGAGGGTGCTCAGTCCTGAAAGGCGGAGAAGAGGAAGACGGACGCAAATAGCACTCTTTCCACGAACGACACGAGCCCCATCCTCGCCGATCCGGGATCGGGCAGGCGATCGATCGACGAAAAGCGGGCGGCAGCGGCGGCGATCTCGCCGAGTATCCAGAGGAAGCCGGCGGCCTCTCATGACGCTGGCGCGCCCCATACCATGTCCTACAAGACCAATAATTCGTCATTTTGACCGGTAAGTCAAAGCCCAAATTTCTTGCCGGGCAGCCATGAGCCTTCTCTCTCTCTCTCCCACTCTCCCCTGCAAGCTCACGATTTAGGGAGTTGGATAGAAGAAATAGAGCACGATTCCTCGACCGGGAAACTACAACGAACTGATGAGCTTCAGAACCGATGACCTGAACCCACGCATGAGCTCCCTGGGAAGCGCCAGGCTGATCTCGAGCCCGCTTCCGTACTCCCCCCACTCCGCCATCGACATAGCGCTCGTCCTCTCGATGGATATGACTTCGATCTTTCGAGGCCGGCCCCAGCCGAAGTCCACCTGGTACAGCCCCAGCTTCGGCGACCCAGCCACCGTCAGGATCCCCTCCGAGGCCAGCGAGTGGATGTCGCGGATCCAGTTTTTGGCCCCTCGGAAGGCCCCACTTCCTTCCAGATCCCGGATGACCTTCCAGATCGCCGCCGAGGCGATGTGCACCCCGTCTTCCTCCTCCAGATCGCTCCCCTCGGCCTCCACCCAGCATATCCCCAGGCAGTTCCCAAAGTACGTGGCCGGCAATGGGGGGTCCAGCCGCGCCCTGCACCCGGTGACGAAGCCGAAGTATTCCGTTTTGTCGCCGGAGCCTCCCCTGGCCTTCACCAGGGAGGCCCAGATGAGCCCGGCCGCCAGGGTGTAGGGCGAACACTCCTCCATGCCCGTCCTGCTGGAGAACCTCTCGCCCATTTTCTTGAGCTGCTCCCGGCTGAGGGCGAACGTCGCGCGGACGACATCGTTCTTACCGTGGAGATCCAACGGGACCAGTCGCCGTTCGACTTGCAGCAGTTTCAGGTCGTGGAGGAAGGTCCTCTCCAGGCCCTTGGGATCCCAGACGACGCTCCTGTCGTAAGACGGCGGCGCCGCAACGTGACAGGGGCCCATCCCTCCCATCCCTCCCATCCCCAGCCGGCAGATCCCAGCCCATGTTTTCAGAAAGTGCGCCGACGTACTGCCGTCGGCGACGGCGTGTGAGACAGTGACCCCAAGGGCCACGCCGGCGTCGGGGAACAACGTGAACTGAAGCGCCAGCACTGGTTGTCCACCTTCCGTCCCGGGCGGCAGCGGCGGGACCAGGGGATAGAACCGGGCGCAATCCCGGGCATGGTTCCCGGACATATCGTGGAAGTCGTCGCCGCTCTCCGCTACCGTGAACGCCACCGCGTCACCGCCGCTGCAGCGGATTTCAGGCTTGCCCTCGGGCGACCCGAGCCGCAATCTCCCGGCGAGGGGACGGAAGTCGCGGAGGGCGAGAGAGAGGGAGAGCTTAAGGCGGGGGAGGTGGCTCCTTAGAAAATCGGACAAAGAGTAGGGGAGGTCGTAGAAGAAGACCCTCTGCACCGGGTGGAACGGCAGGAAGACATAGTCGAAGAAGGTGAGCGGGAGGGTCTCCGGCGCGTTGGGGCCAGGCGCCGGGGAGATTCGGGACTGCTCGAGCACCTTCATACCGGGGACCTCCGGCAGCTCCGAGCGAGCCATCCTCTTAAACGATAGGAGACAGCTAACAAGGCCGCTTCGTCATCGGAATCTATTTAATAGGTGTTCAACTTGGGTTTTTAGTATTCTACGAGATCTTTGGGGGAAGATGGTTTGAGAAGGTATGTGGATCTGATTCTTTGGAATTGGTACTGGGTGCAGTCCAGAAGTCGCATGTATGTAGAACGAACGGAGAGTTCGATAGATCTTTAGCTCGGCCCACGAGATTCAAGACTTATTTTCCCTCTTAAATCTATCAATTATTTGTTATTATCTAGAAGAGAACAATTATTAGAGATGTTATTATCAATATTACTATTAAGGTGACCTACAACAACTTTGGCCATATTTTAAGAGATCCGTTTATTATTTTCCAATGGAATTTTCTTCCAATTCTTTCGGATTCACACACATCAACCCTGACAACCCAGTTGTATTAAAGGCTCTAGTTTTTCTATATTGACGGACTCGAGGGCAAACTATATTAATCTCCTTGAATCCCTGTAGATTCAAGTTATAATTTTTTTCCATGACGTCCTCTACATAATAAGGCCTTTGGTTGGTTATATTGGTGGCATGTCATATCCTAATTATAATACTAATATGTCTTATTTATATAACCATGTTCACTTTTATTTAAAACATCCAATTCAAGTTTCAGGATATTTTACTGAACCCCCTAGAAATAAGGTGCTGAAAAAATTTCTACCCATGTTTGCAAAAATATGAGGCACATAACGTACTTCAATATTTTATTTACTATATGAGAGATTTTCGCTTGTAAAGATGATTTGTCGAGCCATGTATCTCTTTTAATTAGTTTATTCACGCACTTGTTTAGAGAAATTGTGTTCCTAGTTATACAGCATATGTTTTATTTATATTAAATCATTGACGCCAATGAATATTTAACTAGTTCTAAAAATATTTGGATCTTATACGTCTGTACAAATATATTCATATATGTAAATAAATATATAAATATAATAAAATATATACAATATCACTTAAGAGTTAGTTTCGTCCCTGCAGCTATTTGCATGCATTTTGAACAATCAACATTCATGCAAATAGTGCAGTGAGTAATTTTAGCCCATTTGTTTTCTTTTTTAAAGAAACTTATCTTAAAATTGACTGATTCATAGGGAGTAAACAAACGAATAAATGACTTGTTCATTACAAAACCATACAAAGAAACGTTGATTACAAGACCTTTCTTTAGAGATTGGTGAAGATTTGCTTGCTCTATTATGCAACGTACACTGCCCCTTGACTGCCTTCTCATAGACTAAACAACAGATTAGTCCGTCAATTAGACACTAGTTCCCCCCGGAGGCGAAGATGACTTATTCAGGGCATCGGAAACGACAGCGGTGAACCTACCCATGAGGTCCCTGGGAAGTGCCAGCCCGATCTCCAGGCCTCCTGCGTCCTCCCTCCACTCCGCAATCGACAAGGAGCTCATCCTCTCGATGGATATGACTTCGATCTTGCGAGGACTGCCCCAGCCGAAGTCCACCTGGTACAGCCCCAGCCTAGGCGCCCCCGCCGCCGACAGAGTCCTCGCGAAGGCCGACGGCGCGATGCTGCGAATCCAGTTCTCGGCCCCTTCCAAGGCCCCTCCTGAGTTCAGACGCTGGACCGCCTTTCGGATGGCCGCGGAGGCGATGACCGCCCCGTCCTCCCCCGCCAGATCGCTCCCGTCAGCCTCCGCCAGGCATACTCCCAGGCAGTTCCCGAAGTACGTGGCCGGCAATGGGGGGTCGAGCCGCCCCCTGGCCTCGAAGACGAAACCGAAGGCCTCGGTTTTGCCGTTGGACACCCCACTGGCTTTCGCCAGGCAGGCCCATATGAACCCGCACGCCAGGGCAAAGGACGAGCACTCAGTTGCCGTCTTGCCGGAGAACACCTCGCCCAGCTTCTTGATCTGCTCCTGGCTAATGACTGACGTCGAACGGACGACGTCGTTCCGACCATGGAGGTTCAATACCTCCATTCCACTGTCGTCTTTAAGCAGATTGAGGTCGCGGAGGAAGATCCCCGCCAGATCCATGGGATCCTGAATGACGCTCCTGTCGTAAGACGGCGGGGCCCCCACGCGGCCGTCGGGGACCTCTCCCATCCCCAGCCGGCACGCCGCTGCCCAAGCCTTCAAGAAGTTCGACGACGTGGTGCCGTCGGCGACGGAGTGTGAGATGGTGATCCCCAGAGCCACACCGGTGTCGGGGAACAACGTGACCTGTAACGCCAGCAACGGCCATCCGGTTCCCGTCCCGGACAGCAGAGGCGGCACCAGGGGATGGAGCCGGTTGCAGATCCGGGCGTGGTTCCCGGATATATCGTAGAAGTCGTCGCCGCTTTCCGCCACCGTGAACGGGACGGTATCAAGGTCGCTGCTACGGATTTCATGCTTGGCCACGCCGGAGGAGGGATGTAAGCTGCCTGCGAGGGGACGGAAGTCGCGAAGGGCGAGGGAGAGTGATAACTTGAGATGCGGGAGGTGGTTCGCTAGAAAGTCGGACACTGAGCAGGGGAGGTCGTAGAAGAAGATCCTCTGCACAGGGGAACAGAACAGGAAGATGCAGTCGAAGAAGGTGAGGGGGAGGCTGTCCGGTGCGACGGAGCCCGGCGCGGGGGAGATCCGGCACTGCTCCAGCACCTTAATCCCGGGCTCCTGCTGCGTCGCCTCCATCTTTTTTTCTTCAATGGCCGACATTTACAACTACTCTGGCGGCTGGGGAGGTAAAATGGAGGGGTTGGATCATCATCTGGAGAGAGAAGAACCTGTCGCTTTTCGGGACAGCGGGATCAATGGTCGGCGACTTTTCTATTGCCATAAAAGATCTGATCATGAATCCACTGGGAACTGTTCCGTTCATGAGACCAACAAATATATCAACAAACGTGGCAACAAGTTAAAGCCTGATCAAACGTGACGAATGAAAGTTTCAGCTCACATATTTCAAGATTGAACAAGTTGATGATATCTTCCCCAAAGTGAATTCTAATGCCAACCTTGAATATTCTCTAGAACGCTTATTTGGTTTGAATCCCTAAAGACTAATTGACATATGAATAAGCCATAGAAACTTGACAAGCATCAACAAGTCTTCCTACTACGGCCCTTATACGTTCTTTTAGCCATATAGTGAAAAGATTAGCACTCTCTTTTGTATTAAAATCTTATACGTTCTCTGTGTATGTTTAAAGACCCTTTTAAGAACGAGTTTAGAAAGAGAAGGAGAGGAATTCTAGACGAAAGTAATGTATGCAAAGACATAAGGGAGAAGGAAAAAAAAGAAGAAGACTCAGGGATTAAACAACGATGACGTAGGTAACCACGGTGACGACCTCAGAGTGATCACGGAGTAGGTAGACCCAACTAATACGAGTAGTTATCAATAATAATGATATAATAATTGAGAAAGTACAAGATAGACCCCGGAATGAATATATTAAATAGAGTAGATAAGAAGCACTGATGTTTGCATAATTGACAAGACTCGCACATAAATTTAGAGAGAGAAAGCTACGGTAAGATTTTTTATAATTTAGAGAAACAATGACTTAAACGGCTCAACTTTTTTCTCTCTCCTCGCGGGAGCTTCTCTCTCTCATCAACGTCACATTCAAACGGCGAGATCTCTCTCATCTGACCTCAGATCGTGCTGAAACTTGTTTCATTCGATTCGTAATCGGAAACTATCAGCATCGAGCCATCAAACTTGGAAAATGGTTGATTGATGCTCTCGGTCTCGCGATTTCTCCCTCGAGAGGTATTTTTCAGAACGTTATATTCTCGGGGTAATATCTACTGATCTACTTGGCTGAAATATAATATCCTTATATCAGTAGAATCGTATTTTCCTGATTTACAGCTTTCCCTTCTTGATCATTTTATTTTGATGCTTTGATGAGTAAATCATCGTTTTCATCGGCGGACCCGTGTCCGGCCGATGAGAAACCGAGGGAAGAAGCACGCTTTGGGCCTGGCAACGGTCCCAAAATCGGAACCGTCGATCGCCTGAACGGTCGATTGACGGACGGTCAGGATTTGCCGTCGGCTGGAGATCCCCCGGTCCCAGAGATCGAGGCGATGCCAGCCGGCGCTGTTATTTCAACCGTTGATCTACAGATCAACGGACTGGATTTACCAGAGGAAAAGGCGCCGCAAGCGGCTGACGCCGTTTCCTCGGTTACGGTGTCTGTGACTGCGTCAGCCAGAGCTGAGACACAGGGCACCAACGGGAGCTTAAATCCGTCCGTTGAAATTGAAATCAACGGAACAGATTCGGTGCCGCAACTTTTTGCGGGCGCCGTTCTCTCGTGTGCGACGCCCATGACGTCATCTGCGTCAGAAATGGCGGGCGCAGCAGCCCAGACAACCGGAGGCCAGACCGCGCCGGCTCACGGCGTGCTGGCCCAGACCAGGGCTGAGCCGGAGTAGGCCGCAGTAGCCGAAGCCACGGTGGCCGTGGCGGCTCCGTCTCAGGCCCAGCCGGCCGAGGTTGCGCGGAGCACGGTCGTGCCGGCCAAGACCGCGCAGCCCAAGGGTCCGAAGGGCAAGGCTACGAGGACCCAGGCACAGGCCCAGATCGTGACGGCCAAGGTAGGGCAGGCCCGGGCAGTACCAGCCCAGGCCAAAGCCGCATTGACCCAGCCCAAGCAGGCCCAGGCTGCCCTAACCAAGGCCGCGCCGGCCCAAACTAAACCGGCCCAGACCACGCCGGCCCAGGCCTCACCGGCCCAGGCCCCACCGACCCAGGACCCACCGGCCCAGGCTGCTCAGGCCCAGACCGCTCAGGTCCAGGCCGCTCAGGCCCAGACCGAGCTGGCCCAGCACACCCAAGCACAGCTCACCCAAGCCCCTGACCCACCGGCCCAAACCACTGAAACCAGAGCTGCTCAGGCCCACGCCGAGTTGACCCAGCCCACCTAGGTCCAAGCCAAGTCTTGGGCTCAGTGACTAGTAGGACAACACCCCACTCCTACAGTGGCGAATACACCGAGATACAAACTATACCTCACTTATGATGACGGAATACCGTCATGGGGTTACATTGATGAAGGGGGAATGAGAATAGTCTCATTTTCCTCGAAGGAGGTCTCCCAATTGGCGGAGGCCTTCTAATTTTCACTGATAAGATGCTTCTCTACGAAACGTTCCCACCTCGATGATATTTATAGGATCTATTTGGCCCCTAGACATTTTCAGGGTAAGGTAGTCATCGACGCTCGTGATTATCAGAGCATCTTTATCCATTTTGAGCTCAAGGCTGACTATCGGAAAGCATGGAGTAGGACCACATGGGAGATCCAGGATACCATTATGCATACATATAGATGGACCCCATAGATAGACGGTATTTTCTGAGAGAAACAATTGCACTCCAGTCTAGTTTGGATAGGTTTTCCTAGTCTACTAGCACATTTGTTCACGCCTAAGGCACTTGAGTCTTTGGTGAACGCAGTCGATACATTTATACGCCTAGATCCAGATATTAAAATGTTTAATCGCCCAGGTTATGCACGATTATGTGTAGAGACCTCTTGGCCCCCCTTCAGCATATGATCATTGTGCAGAATGGGGATGAGAAGATTTATCAAACAGTCATATACGAGAGACTACCTCATTTTTGTACCCACTACATAGTTTTTAGACACACTATCCACACTTGTCGACATAAGACCACCCCATCATCTTCAGAGTCTACCATGACTTATCTATCACCCATATTGTATGATGATTATATCACTAAGGCAAGGAAGACTACACCTAGCCGCCCTCCCATATAGAGCTCGTGTGCTCCCTCTCGACCACTGTCAGTCTAGACTGGTGTCCCTCCAACCGGTTCTAAGAGGACAACCCCACCTACATTGGTGTCATATCTTATCTCTCGAGCATCCACATCCACCCAAAAGGGAAGGAAGACAGTAGTAAGCCCAACACCTCCCATACCAACAAGTAAGGGGAAGATAGTTGAGACATCGAATGTTTTTGAGGCTCTAGGTACCTTGACCGAGGAGGCTGACAATGTTCTCATCACAGATAACAATATCAGCCCACGAGTTCGACGATACTCCCCCAAATAGGGGGGGCCTACTACTACTTTACCCTCAATTAGCTCCTCTCCATCCATCAGACCTTCACCTCTTACTACCTCTCTGTCACCAACTAGGCCCCCTTCATCTGTTAGACCCTCTATACTCTCACATCTTCCATTATTATTAGCCCCCCATCACCTAGGTCTGCACCCTCCCACACCATACCTCGCCCACCCTCCCACCCACCTCAATCACTCGATAGGGTCCCCGATAGGAGCCCACTAAGTACATCCCTATCAGACCCTCCTTCTCTTTCTCTTTCTCCCTCCTTGTCACCCCAACCTCCGGATCCACCATCGAGCACACCCTTAGAGAGCTTGAGGGAGCGTGAGAGCCCTAGTAGGGGAGAATGCTCGACGAATCATCGAGTAATCTCTCTTTCATCCTCAGTAGAAGACACTAGCAGGCGCTCTACATCGAGTGATGAGGACTCTGGATTTGAGTCCTCATTAGATCTCCCTATTGAGGCCATTGACCTTCAGAGAGGATACCAGATAGAGATGATCGACAGAACTTCACGACGACGCTCTTCATATGTCACGAGATCTAAGGCTCGTGGCAATTGCTACCACCACTCATGATACCTAGCCTTATTTGGAACTGTCGAAGATTGGGCAACCTCGAAACACAGTCCCACATTATTGAACTCATCAATAAGTACCGACTAGGCCTCATCGAACTTATTGAACCTATGATACCATCAGATCACATTCACCCATTACTTAGACACCTAGGCATAGATCAATTTCATTCTAACCCTACGAACCACATCTAGTTGTTCTGGAAGAGATCATATTCTCTACAACTACTAGTTAAGGGGCCACAACATGTTACGATGAGGGTACTAGGCTATGGCCAAGAGCTTATATTCTCGGTTGTTTATGCTTCACATAGACACCAAGATTGTGAGACTCTTTGGGAAGACCTAATACGATATACGCGAGATTATCTTATACTAGTTGATTCTCCTTGGTTCATAGTTGGAGATTTTAACTACGTACGTAGAGTTACTGAACGTTAAGGGGGACGGGTCCCTTGGGCCCATCACATAGAGACGTTCAATGATTTTATTTTTCGCGAGACCCTCATCGAGCCTCCTACTTTTGGCGAGGTCTAGACGTGATGCAACGAGAGACAAGGAGGTGCAAGAATATATGAGCACATCGATCGCTACTTTACTAATAATATTGTAATAGTGTAATGTCCTATATTAGTCACACTCTTATCTTGCTATAGGTCAGATCACACATCGATCCTTATTCTCCCTAACTTGAGAGCTAGTACCCCTAGACCTCCTTTTAGGTTTCAGAATATATGGACTCGGCACGAAGGCTTCCAAAGCTTCGTGCGGAGTCATTGGCATGGAGATATCTCATACTCTCCTATGGAGAACCTCAGTTACAAATTGAGGCATCTCAACTTCACCTTAAATGATGGAATCGGCATGTATACGAGAATATCCACACCCAGGTAGAAGAGTTGAAGAAGGAGCTAACTGGGGTCGAGAGACAACTGCAGGCTCAATGGACTGACAACACTTGGGCGAGACGAGTTCGAGTGAGTGAGCAACTAGAGGAGGCTGCGCGACGACAAGAGATATATTATCTCTAAAATCACGCATCCAGTGGCTACGCGAGGGTGATAGGAACACACGTTTCTTTCATACCTCGATCGCACACCGATCTCAATCTGATTATACATCTCTTCTAGAGATGTATGATCAGGACACATCTCGTATGCAAGAGGTAGGAATTGCATACTTCCGTACCCTTCTTGCTTCTCAACTGATTGAGATCTTTGAGGATATACTCTCATCGATTCCATCCTTAGTTACCCACCAGGAGATCTCATTTATTATGACCATACCTACTAGGGAGGAGATCAAAGATGTGATCTTCTCAATGAGTAGAAACTGAGCACTTGGGCTTAATAGTTTTCTAGTGGATTTCTATTCAACATGTTGGGACATCGTCGGAACATATTTAATTCATATCATCAAAGAATTCTTCCGCTGCAAAGTCTTCTCACAAAGTTAGAAAGTCACCTTTATTGCACTCACACCAAAGGTGGTCAACCCAACTTCTTTTAGAGATTTTTGGCCTATCAGTCTTTGTAATGTGTGGTACAAAGTTGTATCCAAGATTATTACAGCACGACTGAGTGTTTTTCTTGATAGGTTCATATCTTCAGAGCAGTACGGATTTGTTAAGGGACGGCACATTCATGATAACGTCATGCTAGTTTACGAATTAGCACAATCCCTTGACCAGGACATCCGTGGTTCTAACGTCATCATCAAACTAGACATAGAAAAGGCTTTTGATAGGATCGAGTGGAATTTCCTTACCGAAGTGCTTCGATGCTTCGGATTCACTAACGAGTTCATTGACCTAGTTGATGCATGCGTTAGGGAGAACTATTTCTCCCTATTGATGAATGGCACTTCCACACCTTTCTTCACGGCTTCGCGAGGGTTACGGCATGGTGATCCCCTATCACCCACTCTCTTCATATTGGTTGAAGAAGTCCGTAGTCGAATCCTCTCCCGAGTGGTGACACGTGAGCTTATTCAACCATATCATTCGAAGAGGGGTTGTCTGATCTATCGTATTTTTTATTTGTTGATGATGCGATACTTTTCCTTAATGGGTGCGAAGTGTCCATCAAGGGACTCATGACTATCATCTCGAGCTACGAGCGGGCTGCAAGTCAACTCGTCAATGCCTCGAAAAGTAGTTTCATGGTGGCATCTTCTGCCACCATTAGCACCATACAACGCATACAGAACCTAACAAGGTTCTCGCGTGGTCATCTACCCTTTGATTACCTTGGATGCCCCATCTTCCTTGGACGCACTCGAGTTCATTACTTTATTCCCTTTTGTGTAAGTTGAGGAAGAAACTTGATAGATAGAAGCTTCAGCTTCTATCCTCAGGCGGTCACATCCAATTGATATGCCATGTCCTCATGAGTATGTCCTTGTACCTACTTGCGGTACATGGGGTACTGGACACCGTCTTATGATCTGTGAGGTGGATTTGTACCTCCTTATGAGATGGTCAACTTGACAGGCCTCATCGTCAACGTCGAGTTTTTTGGGAGAGCATATTGATCGATGGACAAGGGTGGCCTAGGGATTAGATGCCCTGAGGATAGCCTCGACATACTTCAGAAGAAACTCGTATGATGGATGAAGACGACGAGATCACCCCTAGGGACCTTTGTGTTAGCCAAATACGGCGATTGGGCTAGTCAACTAACCGACATAAAAGGAGGAAAGTGATGGGCAGATTGGCAAAGAATTGATTGCAGATGAGGCCTTTAATCTGATGGCAAGTGGGACGAGGCACTATTAGTGCTTGGTATGACACTTGGCTTGCGGACACTCTCTTGGCCTCCATTACCTCTTTTATGCCATCTTGGCCTCGTCTCACGGTGGCTCAGCTTCTCGATAGAGATACTAGTATATTTCTCAAGAGGCACGGACTCTCATTAGATTTACTACTAGAGATCTCGTTGATAGAGTTAGGTCTTAGTGATGATCATCCCATTTGGACTCTTATCCTAGATGGGAATTTTTCTTGTAGTTCTTCTTAGAATTACTTTAGAAATTGTTCTACAAAACAGTTTTGGGGAGATCTCATTTAGCACCCTACTATCGTACCTTGAGTCTCTTTCTTTATGTGGAAATTGATACACCGCAGACTTCCTACAGGTGATCGTATGTCCATCACAAGACATATCATTTGTTCTAAGTGTCATTGTTGTCCCATTACTCTGAGTAGTGAAATTATGGTCCACTTATTTTTTCATAGTGTTGTTGCTACGGAATGTTGGAACCAACTCTTACTGAATTAGTCCTCAATATTTCATCTTTCTCCATCTCTTACACCCTTAGAGACTTTCAGGAGAGTCTTTGATTCACTACAAAACTCTAGAGGTAGCCTCTACCTACGTATTTTCATAGCATACATGTTATGAGAGATATGGAAGGGGCGAAATCTTTCTTGTTTTGCAAGTCAGTAAATGCGCGCACCAGAGATCATGAGACACGTCACACAATGGTTGTGAAGTACCTATCTTTTGGTGTCGCCTTCAGTGACATGCTCGGCCTCAATTTGTGAGGCCCTTAGGACCTGGGGATTCCAAGTCACGCCTATGCGCATAGAGATCTCCACTCAGGCCGTCCGATGGAGACTACCGCCAGTTGGACACTTGAAGTTGAACGTCGATGGAGCAGCTCGAGGGAACCCTGGACCTGCAGGAGGAGGAGACATCCTACAGGATCATAGGGGGAGTATTATCCTTACCTTTTCTTATTTTTATAACATTCAAACTAACACTGCAGTAGAAGCTATGGCGATACGTGACGGTTTGCTCCTCTGTGAGGAATACAATCTCCATGATATCGTTGTAGAATTTGATTCATGAGTGCTTGTTCAGATGTTACGTGCAAGTTCTTGTTCCCATTGGCAGCTTCAGAGTACTTGGACCGACATCATGCGTTGTAGAACAAAGATCAGTGCCATTACACACCAGTTACGTGAAGGGAATTAGACAACAAACGCACTCACTACACATGTAGCATGCATTCGTCTGTGCTATGTATTCTCCTCTTGGCAAGAGATGTCGGCCGAAGCTTGAGGTCGACATCGCTTGGAGTAGATCGACATGTCAGCACTTCGTATATGGCGAACACGGAGACCTATCGCCCCCCAACAGTGGCGGATCGTCTAGGCCAACCCCCAACTAGCACATGACCTGGCGTACGTAGCACCACCAACACAAAACTATCCTCGCACTATCGATGAGAGGATTTCACAACAGTCTCAATTGAGATAATCAACTTCGGTCGCGTCTACCACTTCATCTTTCATTTTTTTAAAAAAGAAAAAAAAAAACTTAAACGACAATGCCACAAAAGAGAAGTAGTCGTAGAGGAGACAAAAAGAGCTTGAAGGCTAGACAAAGGTTATTTAGAAACGAGCTCGTAGACACCCTGCTTATTTTCACGACCCAAATTAATCTTTCATCTGGTATGTAAATCTTGAAAAGTACAGTGAAAGGAAAAGAATATGACTATACAAAGGAGGGCACGGGTAATAACACTAATGAAAAAAAGATTAGTAGAAAAATTGAGAACCTAAAGAACTTAGGTAAGATAAAGGGAGGGATAAGTCGAGGTGGCACTATGACCTTTGACCGGACATGTCCGACCATTGCCAATGATGACATGGAGATGGGTCAGGATAGGCTAATAGAAGGAGAGAATAGTGGGGATACCAGTCATGTGAGTGGAAGCCTCCGGATCAATAATCTACAACGTCAAAGAAGAAGTAAGGAGACCGTGTGTACCTAGTGTGGAGGAAGTCAAAAGCGAGGTGAGACTAATAGAAGTGGAAGCATCGATACCATTGGCGTGGCGAAGGGTGTCATACTGCGTAGGCATCAAGGTTACATGAAAGGTAAGAGTTGAAACATGGAAAGAAGCCGGAGATGCCAAAGTCGGAGAAGTTATCGTCGGCTATGTAGAAGCAGTCTTGTCGAACTACTTCCAACACTTAATAGCTGGATGATTCTGCTTCTTATAGTAGGGACATGGAGGAAAGGTGTTGCGCCCACATTTGCGAGGAGTACGACCACCATCAGGATGAGAAGGAGGGGTATCATCTCGATCTTGAGGAGGAGCAACGACAAGAGCCAAAAGAGTAGAGGTGACGCCTAGAGAAAAAGAAGAGGAGTGGATGGGCATATCAATGGTGACCTGAAGGGTTGCTGAAAAAATAGAGGTGAGATTAGACATGTAATTCCTAGAGAGAACAGTCCTCCGAATCTGAGATGTGATGGATGGATGAAATTTACTAAGATAAACCTCAGTATAAAATTCTTGGCGATAGTGTTGGAGGGTCAAGAGGTCAGTAGTAGGGGGCTGATAGATATCAACTTCTTAGATGAGAGCCTAGAGGTGACTGTAGTGGGCTTGAAGAGAGAGATCGTCTTATTTGTAGGAGAGAAGAAACTCAAAGATCTCCACAACTTGATCGATGTTCGTTCAGTTGGCATATATGGTCTCCATAGTAAGCCACAAGAGACGAGCCGAGATGATGCATTGCTAGTGGCTCAACAATACTTGACTTAATATTCTGAAATATTCATGTGATGACAGCCAAGTCAAGCTGGGACCATGTCATATACGAAAGGACTCGAAGGCCAGGTGGGTCCTCCGAGAGGTGATGGAGGAGATTGTGAGATCTAAGGAAGAGTTAGAAGCTAGACGTTCACAATGTATAATTGTGACCGCTGAAGATGTACGCCGACTGAGTAAGTTACACTGTGATGGAGTGGCGAGCTAAAGGAATTGTTGGAGAAGCTCAGAGAGCTCAAAGGTAGGCGACAAAGGGGGGTGAGACGACACCATAAGGTCGAGGGGTCCGAGCCGGAGGGACAAGTGGTGGGGTGAGCAGGTCGGGGACTAACATGCCAATCTAGAGGGGCAGGCAAAGTCAAAAGGACAAGAGGGTCCGGCTGGTCCAGTCTCGAGTGGGCCGGTCCGAAAGAAAACCGTCAGCTGGCTCGTCGAGAGACAAGCTAGCTGTTGCAGCTGGACGGTGACAGCACTCGCGATGGCGGCAGCAAGGGCTGGGGCACAACAGCAAGGGAGCAACGACAAGGGCACGACGGCAAGGAGGGACCTCGACGGCGGCGGTGATGCCCTTGACACCTGAGAACGATGGAGCCGTAACAGCACGATAGCGAGGGCACAACAACGAGGAGGGGCCTTAATGGCGACGACGATAGTGGAGACATCAGAGAATAGGAGGAGTGCAACGACACTGGCAAGTGGCAAGGGCGGCAAGGAGGGTGGCGCCGAAAGGAGAAGGAGAGTGATGATAGAGACGACGACGTCGGAGGGAGAAGGAGAGCGATAGTAGAGACAACGTCAGAAGAGGGAAGAGCGGCGACACTAAAGAGCTGTCTGAGGAGGGAAGAGGCTAGCAAGGAGGAGAGCGGTGCGCCAAATACCTAGGGCTCTGATACTATGTTGACACGAGAGAAGAAAACTTTGAAATCTATGTAGTCTCAAACGATAGAATACATGAATCCTATATAGGAGAGAGGAGAGATGAGAGAGTGAGATAGATAATGGGCCTTAATGGGTCAGGAGTTCGATGCCACTATCAAACAACATGTTAATGTGAGCTTTTTGAAGTTTTCTTGTGATCTTTCAATCCTCTTTATTTGATAGAGATACTCTCTATTTTGGCACATATAAAGATGTTATAATATGTCTAAAGTGTCAAATATCATGGAGATGATACTATTTTAATACAACTTTAATATGTAATAATTTAGATCTTCAATCAAACATTAGTACAAGAATAATCATTTATGTTTGATTTTTATTTTTATTTTTATAATAAATTGTAAATTAAAAACTAAACCAATTTTGTCATCCCTCATAAATCCCAAAAATGATGACATTTGAAGTCCTTGTAAAGCTAGTGTGAGGTATTGCGAAAAGTAAATTCCTATGTCACTAGTTTAAATACAAACAAAGCTTTCTTGCTAGTTGTACATTCATAGTTGCAATGATATTTGAAGCTCCAAGTGCCATTGTTTATTGAATGTAATTGACGTCAAAATGCTAGTCTATTATCATGTGATATGAGGCAAACATTCACAAGTCAAAAACCAAAAGAACAAATTAATCATCAAACTCCTATAGTTAGCATAGTTGCAAACTAGAAGATATCTTACAATGAGGTGTCATTTATAACTATAAAATAAATGAGTAATTTAAAGAAATTTTATTCTTACAAAAAGGAATGTTTTCTCCCATCTGCCTTCATGGAACTGAGTTAATGTTACATATTAGTGAAAATAATACCATTTTTTTTATTAGTAAATGGCAATCATTGGATGAATGACATTGACAAAAGTTGATGAAGAATTGATTATGTTAGAAACTTTTGGTTTTCTAGTGTCATAGGAAGCATTATGCAATATTAGGGTAGAAGTCATTAGATATAGAGTCTTGATGGATTAGAACTTCGGAAAAAAAAGAGTTAAATAGAGTATTTGTTCATCTCTACATGATTTTTGGTTTTAGGTGCAAACCACTTCATTGTGCCAACCAACAAATATATAGGAGCTTGGCACTTGACATCCATTATTCACTCTAGACATTACTGTAAGTCATTGCAAGTGACTAGGAATCACGCTAAAGCATCCAATGCAATATATATTTAATCTGCCAAAACATCAATCTATTTGTAAAAATAAAGCATGGTGGATCATATGTCATCACTTCTCGTTTAATGATTTAGTATGGAGATCAAGTTTCATATCAATGATTACTTATTTCTTGTTCACCATAAATCTCTTCAAATTTCTATATGTCATACTTTTCACTTTGACTTGTGATTCCCCAAAAAAAAATACCAAATCTGAGTATTTAGTTTACTTTAGATTTTGTTTACTACAGAGATTGTTCTAACAGTATCCTTTAATGCTTAAGTAACTCTATATGTTCTATTCTAAGCAAAGGAGCTCGACGCGGGGGAGATCTGGTGCTGCCTTGGCACCTTAGCCTCAACTCCTGCCGCTGCATTGCTTCCATCTTGTTCGTCAATGAGGGGCCTTAGCCACTACTACAGCTGATGGATTGGGGGGCTGGTGGGGTGAATGGACGACAGAATGCGGAGAAATGGTAGATCTATGGCGACGGAGAAGGCCGCTCATACTACATCAATGCCTAACTGGGACATCCAGGCACCCCGCCGCTGGGCCCTATGTACGCTGACATCAAACTACGTTGAGTTGTGGACTGGTTGGAGGTCCCAGCTCCACAATTACCGTCCGACTAAGCAATCAGTATGACTGCTCAAAATCGTGATTACTTTATCTATTTAATGTTATTACATTCTCTAGATTATAGAGGAAAATTATTTTTTTTCATTTGAGTGAACTCTCTTAATTTTGCACACACTACTTTCGACTTCGTAGGAACTTTCTATTGGTCGTGAGTATCAAAATTAATCGTCCTCAATTTTCCTCTAAAGTACACAATCTTTGAATTTGCTCTTAACCTTGTGGAGGGAAAGATAGAATGGTCCTCTTCATTCTAGTGGGAGATTATCATCTTCTCATATTGCATGGGTGATAAGTCTTCATTATCATGAGTTAATAATTAGTAAATAATATAGTTTTAGTCTTAACTCATGATAACTAGACTTTTATTTGTGTTAAAGCGTGAAAAGTAGTTTTCAATTGATTAACATGAATTTTTAGGTAATTATGTAATTTTATACAAATTTATATGATTTTTATAATCTTACTTTTGAGATAAATGAAGAAAAAGAAATAAAATAAAATAAAATGGGGGGGACCCATCGGTCAACTAGGCCCACAAGCGGATCGAAAGCGTAGTCAGGGAGTAGCCATAAGCAAGGGCTCGAGCAGCTTGGACCGATAGGGGCATGTGTGCGCCACTCCCCTTCCACATCACTGGTGGCTAGCCGATTGTGGGGGTAAGGAATGGTTGTACACGCGCGAGAAAGGGACTTGATTGTAAATGTAATATTACTATATATTCACCAAAAAATTCGGCGCACAAGCGATGTGGGACTAAACTCGCCTAGAAATAACGACCAATCGGCACGGGTTCAAATCCTCTTAGAGCCAAAACTCATATTTTTTATCTGATTATCGCGACTTTCCTGCAAATCACTAGTGAAAGATTAAACAACCAGAATTGCTAGATCATCGGTGAAAATCTCGTCAACACGATTCACGGAGCATTGTTACTAAAATTGTTGAACAATTCGCGATAAAAGGATCGTGAATCTATCGAGTAAAGTATCTCCGATTGATCGACAAACAAGCCGTCATCAAGAAGAGGACGATCCGCCGAGAGACGAGTCGCCACCTCTTGAGAGCATACCAGATGTGATGAAGAGCCTCCTCTTGCTGCGTGGACCTGAGGATGAAGCTCCCTGACACGCGCCCCACCTCCATCCAACTCCTCTCTGTCAGGTGACAACTGCCGAAGAGCCGCAAAGTCGTCGTTTTTCCTCTCTACCGAGTGACAGCCACCGGAGACGATTCCATGACCTATTTCATTGATCTCTAGACTTCACAAGGAGATCTAGAGATTGTCCACGTCGTTTTTGTCCAATGAGAGCCTTCGAGGCTGTGGACACTGTACGACGATCCTCCCAAACGCTCAGGATTTTGGTGTATTGCTGACACATCGCGGCCGCGATGCCGAAACTCTGTTTTCTTGCTTTCAACTTACTTTTCACTTCATTTAGTGATAATTTGTGTGATTTAAATTTACCAAGATATACTTCATTCAATTACGATTCATCTAGCTTTTATAGATCTTAATTTGATCAATTAAATCGTATGTAATCGCTTACGTAAGAATCATCGGGCATAACTCTATTTTTACCCGATTTGCATTTGCCGAGTGCTGATGTCATCTTGATGTACACACCCTTATTTTCTTTTTTTGTGAATTTTAAATATATTTCTTTTTCATTTCTTAGTATAAAATTCATAGCAAATAATATTCTTTGAGAAAAATTCTGAATAATTATCATATATTATATTACATCCCTGTGATCAATCTAGAAAATTATCACTATTTATAGAAGTTTTATTGAATTATAATTGATATATTTGTTCAAAAATACTTCTAAATATCTAAAAATTCATATTTTTTAATTTTATAAAATTTAAATTTACGTGATTTACTATACAACGACTAAGTCACGTCAATAGGTATAATAACATTTAACAAGAATGTATTATAATAGAGATGATGTATATTTACCTACTATTAAAAGTATGTCACAATTCTGTTGTACACCCTTGCCCCCCTTAACCTTGTAGCTATCCATTTGCTGCAGCTGAGGGTGAGGTTCACAATCGATACATAATTATAAGAAACACAGCACCAACTTCCTGTGACGTAGGCATTTGGATAAGGGTGTTTCTAGAGCCCTAAACCCAAAATGGTGAGCTAATAATTGATACAAGTATTCAAAAAATACTAGTATTCGGTTGCTTAGATTTGTGAATCTAAGAGCGAGTGGATGGGGTTGCTTAAATCAATTGATGACAGCTAGATTGGAGATCAAATATAACAATTATTTAATCAGAACAGCTTTTGAAGAAGGAAAGATTCAGCACACACATTTTGAGATTGAACAAATTGATGATATCTCACCCAAAGTCCATTCCCGACTCAAACTTCATTATTCTCTGGAATACTTAATTGTGTTTAGTCCCCATAAACCACTGGACATATGAATAAATCATAGAAACTTGACAAGCATTAAGAAGTCTTTATACTACGACCCATCAGTCAAAAGAAAGTTAAGAGTTTGTATTTATAGGTATCTGAGTTGAATGTGTTCTCGTGTCAACTTTTAACCATATAATGAACTAGGAGTCACATTGCATAATAACAGAGATTACCACGTTGAATATTCTTAGTATATGGGAAGCTAAGTCAAGACCAATAGATGGAAGTTAAGCAATGAAATACCAGAATCAAACTCCAAAGTGGCATGCCAATACAGAATTACCACAAGTGTAAGGTTTGGTACATCAACAGGGTTGGGTATGCAAAGTGAAGAGAGTTTTTTCAACGTCTCTCACATGAATAGATTTAATAGATAAAGTAGTAGGCACGATTCCGCGCAGTCATGCTGACCGCTTATGCGGACGGGGATTCCGGACCGCTTTTCATGAGGCCGGTTGTGAGCCACCGTCGAAGCTTGAATACCAAATGAAACCGGCAGGCCCAGTGAGCAGGTCATTTCTCGCCCTTTTCATTATCCTCTTGTCTACTCCGACAGTAAGGAACTATCCGCTCAGCGGCGCCGTGCCCCTGACCGGAAGCTACGACGAACGGAAGAGCTTTAGACGGTCGGCGAGGAGGGCGCTGAACCCACGCATGAGTTCCCTGGGAAGCGCCAGGCCGATCTCAAACCCCCTTCCGTCCTTCCCCCACTCCGCGATCGACATGGCACTCGTCCTCTCGATGGATATGACCTCGATTTTGCGAGGCCGCCCCCAGCCGAAGTCTACTTGGTATAGCCCCAGCTTCGGCGACCCCGCCACCGTGAGGATCCCCGTCGAGGCCAGCGAGTGGATGTCGCGGATCCAGTCCTCGGCCCCTCGGAAGGCCCCTCCTCCTTCCAGACCCCGGATCACCTTCCAGATCGCCATCGAAGCGATGTACGCCCCGTCCTCTCCCTCCAGGTCCCTCCCCTCGGCCTCCACCCGGCATATCCCCAGGCAGTTCCCAAAGTACGTGGCCGGCAATGGGGGGTCCAGCCGCGCCCTGCACCCCGTGACGAAGCCGAAGTACTCCGTTTTGCCGCCGGAGCCTCCCCTGGCCTTCACCAGGCAGGACCAGATGAGCCCGGACGCCACGGTGTAGGGCGAACACTCCATGCCCGTCCTACTTGAGAGCCTCTCGCCCATTTTCTTCAGCTGCTCCCAGCTGAGGACGAACGTCGCGAGGACGACGTCGTTCCGACCGTGGAGGTCCAACGCATCCAGTCGCCGGTCGACTTGCATCAGCTTCAGGTCGCGGAGGAAGGTCCTCTCCAGGCCCTTTGGATCCCGGACGACGCTCCTGTCGTAAGACGGCGGTGCCGCCGCCACGTGACAGGGGGCCATCCCTCCCGTCCCCAGCCGGCAGATCCCGGCCCACGTCTTCAGAAAGTGCGCCGATGTGCTGCCGTCGGCGATGGCGTGTGAGACGGTGATCCCAAGGGCCACACCGGCGTTGGGGAACAATGTAACCTGAAGCGCCAACACTGGTCCACCTTCCGTTCCGGGCGGCAGCGGCGGGACCAGGGGATAGAACCGGGCGCAATCCCTGGCATGGTTCCCGGACACGTCGTGGAAGTCGTCGCCGCTCTCCGCCACAGTGAACGCCACCGCGTCACTGCCGCTGCAGCGGATTTCAGGCTTGCCCCCAGACGAGCCGAGCCGCAAGCTGCCGGCGAGGGGACGGAAGTCGCGGAGTGCGAGAGAGAGGGAGAGCTTAAGGTGCGGGAGGTGGCTCCTTAGAAAATCGGACAAAGAGCAAGGGAGGTCGTAGAAGAAGACTCTCTGCACCGGGTGGAACGGCAGGAAGACATAGTCGAAGAAGGTGAGCGGGAGGGTCTCCGGCACGTCAGAGCCCGGCGCCGGGGAGATCCGGGATTGCTCCACCACCTTTTTCCCGGTGCCAGGTACCTCCTGCTGCTGCGCCGGTGCCATCCTAGTCTTCGTTGCAAAGGGAAAGATGCCGCTACTGGAGCTTGTATGTATTAAAGAGGGGTGATTGTCGAACGGACGGCCGGGAAGGAGGTCGCATTATTGCCGGTAGGAAGGTTCCGTCGCAGCCCCCTGGATCAGGTACGGCGACACCGTAAGTTGCGCGCCTCCCGAATCATTATACTCGCCCGGATTCTCATTGGCCGGATGCCAGTCATGTACAGTGAATCTTCTCGTGTCGCCCCAACAATCGGAACGCGCGCGGGCGCGTTCTGTTCGGAACCTCGCTGTCTGCCGTCGGATGCTTGATTCCTCCTGGGCACGCTGCCCAACAGTCGGAAGTTTCTTCCGGCCGGCCAACGTTCATGGGCGGAGTACGACGAATGACGCGCCTGATACGATCAGTAATGTTACAGAAAAGTCCTTTCCGATCCTTACAACTTATTTGACATCCTCATTTTTTAATATTCTTTGTACATTTTCTGATCCAGGCCCTCCTTGGGCTCCTGATGGGCTCGGTCTTTTCCTGGCCATGCGGGCCCAACTGCCGAACATACCAACTGGGTAGGGCATAGCAAATGGGCCATGGGAACCCTCCCTCTCTCTCTCTCTCCCGGACGGCCCACCGCGTGACAGCTGGGGTCAGGGATAGGTTTTCCACTACTCAATGAAGGAATTTTCCAACGGTCGTGCAGCTCGAGATGACATCGACCGCGTCATCGAGACAAGTGAGCGAATAATAGTCCAAGACAGAAGTCAACGACGCAGCAAACGGATCGGGGATCACAGGACGTGCGCTTCATTCTTCAGCTTGTCCAGCAGCTCGTCAACTGAGGAGAGGATCACGCCGGCTTTCCTCCTGGGAGGCTCCGAAACCTGAACAACTTCCAAGCCTGAATTGATCCCCACCTTCAGCTCCTCGGGAGTCACCTTCTTGATCGTCTTCGATTTTGCTTTCATTATGTTGGGGAGAGTCGCATATCTTGGCTGATTGAGTCTTAAATCCGTCCTGCAACACAAATTCATACTGCAACTCAATCTATAAACACGGCCGATTCTCAATGTGCACAAGTCAGAAGATTATCTGGATGTTTCTGCCCGAGATTATATCGTTTTTCTTTCATCACGAATCCAAAGTTTTGCCCTATGAGTTTCATGGCAGAATTCCATCTCCATCTCGATCTGACTGGACCCAATCCGTTTCTGAAGATCATATTATCGATAAAAAATCTCACAGATTGAGAATCCCAGAAAGATCCTGGCCTTTGGAGACCAACGTGCCAAATTTCTGCGTCACACGCATGATCCTGGGGAGTAATCTAAGTCGAACCCTTAAAGAAGGCCAGAAACTCCATAAGTTCTTCCAACTCTTGCTCTCAGCTGCAACCAATCAGATCCCAGTTGCAGTTGGAAGAGTCAATGAATTACATCTCTGTGTACATTCCTAAGAATCAAGATGGCGCGGACTGGGGTTTCCAGTCATATTGCCACGAAGCCCAAGAGAAAAGCGGAAGTTCTGATCTCCAGAGGTACCCTCTCTCCATGAAGAAGAAAGCATGAAAATATGAGCACAAGTGGTAAATAACACCAAGCAAAAGGAAGGCCATTACGTGATTACTGCCGGTAGGTCTAGGCATAGAGTCTCGAGCCCCCCATCCACCTCCCTTTCAACAGTCACCGTCTGTTTGTCTTTGTCCAATGCAACCTGACGAAGCATCTAATATCATCACAACAAGTTGAATCGATAGTAAAATAGCAGCAAAAGCAGCCTCTCTTCATGCCCCAAGAACAAACGATAGAACATATTAAGCGCATGAGGATCAAAAAAGAACGATCCTCCGTGAAAAACCATTATTACATAGAAGTCTATCTAGTAAACACATGAAAACCTCGTCATATTAGATCTCTGTCTGTGTGCCCATGTAGGCAGAACACCTTCAGGTGGGGGGAGGGGAGGATTCAGAAACATCGTTCAACCATCGGAATCGGCATCAATCAAGATAGTCATGGTGGTGAGATCAATGTTGAGGCCTTCATCATGTCATGAACATCAAATAATAGGCGATGGCCCATGAACTGGACAAGAATGGTGAAATATTGCATATATCTTAGAGTAAGTCGAAAGGCATTTGAAGAGATGACACATGACAGGTGTACAATCCATGGACATAGTTCTCTTCGTCCCCCTAAAATTGGAACTCCCCAGGATTGAAGGAGAATTACGCCCACCTTGGTTTTAGATAGAGATGATGTGGGTCATTTCTACAGATCGCATTCCTGCGGTGGGGTTTGATCTAACTTCAAATGCCCGGCGGAGAAATCAAAGGCACGGGATGAGCTGGAAATGAAGTTGGTCTTGTCCGCATTCCTTTGGCAAAATTTTCGGTGCATCAGTTCCTAGAAGCTCCGTGATGGGGGGGAGAAGCTCACTATCGAGATGTTAGTTTGAATCCTTATCAAACTGTGTAATTAAAGTCGGAAATCGCATTTGGCAGTTGTTTCAGGGGAAATTCTGCAACTCAAATCGAAGAGGAAGATGTGGGACGACAGAGAAACCCTCCCATCCATCCAGAGTGTGGTGCACAGGATGCAATGGCGAATAATGAAAAGCAGAAAGCTATCTTGATAAAAATCCCAAGCGGCTCGTGATCGTAAGGAAGACATTTTACTCTTCTGTTCATCAGGAATTTCTGCAATCAGCTTCCACGGAGAACATTTTGAAGGTATCGCAGGGAACTCCAAACGATCGAGAAAAGAAGAAAATATTTTCCTCGTATCACCTTGGAGGCAAATGTTCCCTGTGGCCATCGAAGCAGCCCAGCCACCATCTGTCCTGTCTGGTTGCAATCATCATCGATTGCCTGAAAATTCACGATATTTCCTAAACAATATAAGATTTAACCATCACCGAAATCAGATGGATGGGCACGTAAATGAAGGTTGGAGGATGACAAGTAATAGAACAGGCGCCGCTCCCAACCCACCTGCTTGCCCAAGATCAAGAGCCCCGGTTTCTCCCCCTCCACGAGGGCCCGGATGACCTTCGCTACGGAAAGCGGATACAGTGGAACTCCAGCGTCGACGGAGACGTGGACCGCCCGGTCAGCGCCCATGGCGAGGGCAGTCCGGAGGGTGTCCACGCACTGCGAGGGCCCTACCGAGACGGCCACAACCTCCGAGGCGGCGCCAGATTCCCGGATGCGGAGGGCTTCCTCGAGGGCGATCTCGCAGAAGGGGTTCATCGACATCTTCACGTTGCTCGTCTCCACCCCGGTCTGACGACATGGACGATTGGACACCACCGTAAGAGACGGAAGGGGGAGACAACTATGGTGGCCGATGCTCGATTAATTACCTTATCCGCCTTCACCCTGATCTTGACGGCATAGTCGACCACGCGCTTGACGGCCACCATGATCTTCATCTCTCCGCCCGACCGGATCTCCGGTGACACCCTTCTTCCCCTGGCAGCCCCGCGGAGGGAGAGGAAGAAAGACACCGCCACTGCCGATCCTCCGTCAAGAACCTCATCGCTCTCTACCTGGGCTAGACAAGCGTAACCCAGATTGGGCCACAAAACTGGCCCACTAATTATGGTCATACTTCCCCAAGTTTCATTTTTAGGTAGTTGAAACCATTTATCCGTTATAATTAACCGCTCCACATTAGAAATGTTAATTAAAAAAATATGGTCACATCTTAAATTTCAACTCGAAGAAAATTTTATACAATAATACCATATTGATAAAAAAAATTGGAACAACATCATTTCACAAAATTACTCTATAGAGGAGATGAAAATTAATGATAATTGGACTCAATATTGAATTTTCGATTTAAAAAAATAAAAATATCGGCATCAATGTGAGGGTACTTATCAATGGTGTATTTTACAATATCTAAAGTTATCTCAACATAACTTGACAACATGCAATAGATCAGCCTTACCCATTTAAAGCCCTGAGCTTGCAGTCAATCACCCCTACCCATTTATAGCCTTGAGTTTATTTGGAGTAACTTCATTCTCTGCCAACAATATCCCTTCAGTTGGCATTAAACTGCTGATAGATTTCAACTTGGTCAACATGTCTTGAAACCTGGTAGTGGGAAGATTGCCCAGCCATTAAGATATTATATCGATCATTAATTTCTAAGAACAAAAGGAGTATAAATGTTTTTGGTTTCAACTTCTTCGATACAATGACCACCTAACTCTTTGTGTTCCATTCACCCATAGAATTGGATGCATGCATTAAAAATATTTATGGTTGATGTGCTCTCTCAGTACTCTAATTCCATCCTCAAGGAAATAACAATGTTTTATTTAATTGCTCATCAACATAATAGAATCTACCCTAACATATGTATGATAAATAACGAGATATTTTTTATCGATATGAACGCCAACCTGTTTAAAATAAGATGTGATATATTTTACTCGATTTGTTCACTGACATTTTTTAAACCTTGGAATGACCATAAATCTGCTAAGAAGACAAAAAAAACATATATAATGTATATAGTCAAGTAATGATAAGATAAAAATCAGTCTACCAACTAATCTAAAAAATAACCAGTGTAAAGTATAATGTATCAGCATCATAAAATGCATCAAGACTACCAATCATAGCTTTAGTGTCTTCCAATTGTTGTACTATCATTTGAATAAATTTCACTTGTATTTTTTATTTATTAAGAATTATATCTTCTGCACTGTGCAATCTTTCATAACATATTTTTCATAAGAATGGCTTTGATACAAATATTTTCATATGCATATTTTTATTTAACTCAATATTGTAAACTAAAAAAATAGTAATTCTATATATTTAACTATCCATTAAAGGATAAAAATGTGTTTGCAATGAACATCTTCTTCATCCAAACCTTATAATGAAATGCACTTTAACATACCATGCTCATGTAAACATTTTTAGTTAATATATTCTTCTCTAATTTTCATACACTAAAATTTAGATTCATAAAGTTAACTCATACTCATGTTTTAGTTTAAATAATATATTTGAGCTTTATTTGGTGAATAATCAATAAGTTACATAGATAGTTAAGAAATGTTTCGTTACTCATTTGAATTTATTAAATTTATTGAATGTTTTTTCACCTTATTATTCTAATTTAATCACACAATTTAGTTCAAAATTCAAGAAAATATTACAATTACTGCCATGAAAGATAGAAAACATTACAATTACTCCCTTACAAATCTTTAGTCAAATGATAAATAGAAAAAAATTCAGCAACACCTAGTTGAAACTATGTATATGAAATTATGTTTTCATATTTCCTTTTAGAGGACTGATTTCAAATGAAAGTCAAAAATGAATATAACTCATATTTTTCATTCCACCAAATAAATTTTTTCATTGATTTTCATAGTTGAAAAAATTTACAATAACTAGAGAGAACCTCATATTACTATTCCAGTCCACGTTAGCCATAACAATTGTTGAAAAGAGAACTTTGTCCTAATGAATCAAGTAAATTAGATATGTTGACTTAGAAGTCAAATGTCACCAAACAAATAATGTTGAATATATCTCAAAAGACAATGGCCTTAAAACCATTGATGAGACATGATATTTTAACATCATCATTAAACAATGGTACTCAAGGAAAAATGTTTTAAATGAAGAAATCAAAATTTAAGTTCTAGCAGACAATTACAACTTGTTAAGGAAAGTATGACCTCCTTTGAAATTGTGCTAAGCAAAGAACAAGGAAATGAATGAAGAGATACATGTGCCTACTACATTTAAGAATAGAAATACAATGAATTTCATTACTTGCATCTCCCAGAGACATTAGGACAAGAAAATTAAGGTTGCACAAGAAACACAAGTTTTCTCTAAGTTGTTCCATGTGTGTGGAAACACATGTGAACTAACACATAAATAATATATTTTAGATAAAAAAAATGAACCAAATGAGTGAAATGAAAAGTGTCTTTGTGAAAGATAGTATTTCTTGAGATAAAGATATCTTTCACCTCAAAATCATAAACCTTATAGTCTTTGGTCTCCATTGTGTATCAAATGAAGTCACACTTATATGTGGATGAAATTTATATCAATGAGTTAATAAAGTATAGGCGATGAGAAAACAACCAAATACTTGAAAAATAGAGTGATCATTAGATCTTGAATGCAGCAATTCAGATTAAGTTTTGTTGTTAAAGGTTCTAGTTAGAATATGATTGATGTGAAATGTGGTAGTGAGGATGCAACAAGACCAATTATTTTTATGTGATAAGTAATATATAATTAGTATATTTGATGCACACTCATACTAAATGACATATATTTTAGATTAATTTTATAAAATACATATTTAAATGTAAGATTTTTACATACTTTTATAGCATGTTTATATTTTGAATATTCATTTATTATATGTTAATATGTTTTACTTGATTTTTTCTCTTGAATATATGATAATTAGGGTTAAAATTGGGATTAAATAGCTGAAATTTTAGACTAAATGATTTTTTTCTAATTTTTGATGATTTTTCAGAATATATTTTCCGTTTTACGGAGGCCCTTAAGAGGTTCATTGGTTCGCTTTATTTAATTAAATTCAAATGGTTTGAGGAGACAGAAATGAGTAGAAATAGACAAGAGAGAAACGGCTTGAGAAATAGATGGAGAAATGGAAGTCGATACTCAATGAAAGTCAACTAATTTCGAAACAATTTGATTGTTAACCATCCATAATCAACTCTATATCTAATTGGAGTATAAAAACTTTTGATTGAAGGTGAAAAAGGGATTCGTTTCTTCCTCCTTTTGCTAGATGGCAACCGGCTGTATTCTTCCGATTCTTCTCTGATTTCTTGAGCCGTTTTTTGATAAAAATCTGGTTTGACTAATCTATATTAGAATCGATTCAAATAAATATAGCATCAGGATAGATCAGGTTGGTAATCTATTAGATTAAACTATTTTGATGAGTGACAGGGTGATCTGGCTTTCTCGTACGCCATTCGCAATCTCGCTCTCTCTCGCGCTCGCTATCTGTCTAATTTTCGATATTACTGATGATCCTTTTGAGAATCGACATACGTAGACCTCGAACGGCAACCCAGGACAACCAGGGCCGACTTAAACAAGTATCCCAGCGCTTGCCATGCTCACTGAGAGAGAGAGAGAGAGAGACGGACAACCATTTACCATAAATGATAGCGTGTCACCAACCTGTATCCAACCCGAAAAAGTACCGAATTTGGAGCATTGATCACGTTGTATTTTACTTTCATGGCAGCGGTTGTTCCTCGTGATTTCCCAAGCAGACAACTGCCGAGTGTGGTTTAGACCCTCTTGAAGCAATTCGAACTGTAGACAAGTCCCGCAAACACATTGACTTTTGAGATGTCTGAAGGGAGTTGACTTTTCGTTGTGTTGTCCAAGGGGCTTGACGATTTGTCGGCGTAGGAGGAAGGTCCTTGTCATTGCCTGAGACGTCCGCCATCTTTTCCACCAAACACCACCCAGACAACGGACCGAATTAATGGGCTACCATGATTGTGGCAGTTTCGTTTTCTGAGGGCAAACTGTCTGACTCACTTGACAATGACTCGCGAAGAAAGAAGCGATAGGGGAGGGAGGGGGAGAGAGAGAGAGAGAGAGAGAGAGAGAGAGAGCATCTTCGACTTACATGGACCCAATTTCCCAGCATTTAATCCCGAATGAATCACCGATTTAAGGCCTCCCTATAATAGACAGAAAGAAATCGACGTGGCTCCATTTAAGTTTCAAGGGGGATTGGGAGAACTTCCTCCTTGGGAACTCCGACCGAAGGAGAAGAACAGCCGGCGGGCCCAGGGGGGGGTGGGGACGCTACTGCTGCCTTCCTCGCTGGCGATGGCCCGGATGGAAAGGTGGAGATGCCCGTCGGAGGAGTCCATCGAGAAGGACCTCCTCATCGGCTGCACATAGAGCCGATCCTCCTTCCTACTCCTCACGTCGATGCACTCGTCGCCAATGCTGCGGACCTTCTTGAATCTTCCTCGTTCGGCGGCGGGGACGGTATCTTGCTGCTGAATTGATGGCTCAACAACCGGCCTAATCCCCCCGCCGCCGCAATCGAAGTTGCTCTCCCTTTCCTCTTTTGCTAGCCCCCCACAGGCGATATCCAAGCGGCAGATGGGGCACTTAACGCTGTTCTGGAGCCACACATCGATGCAGTCTATGTGGAAGACGTGGGAACACCTGGGCAGCTGTCTGAGCCTCTCCCCCTCCTCGAATCCGCTGAGGCAGACGACGCAGTCGCGGAGAAAACCGGACATCTTGAACTGGAAGATCGGGATACCCCGGATCACTGCCTCCTCGAGTCCACGTCTCTCGGCGCTGGGCACGTACGCCGTCATGGGGTCTGGGTTGAGCCACCGCCGCCGTCGGGACCGTGAAATGGAGAGGAGTTCAATGAACCCCCGCTCCTCGACGCTGCTCTTGCTGACGAACACGTAGTAAATAACCAGAACCACAGCCGTGGAGATGATCCCGATAATGGAGATAGACATGAGGGGGAAGCTGTCCCCAGTTGAAGAGGCGGGTGGAACCTGCCCCTTCATCGGAGGATGCTCCATTGGAGGGGAAGACGAAACCAGAAGGCAGGAAGGAGGACGAGAGAACGAAGCTGGCGACGAGGGGGAGGGTGGTGGTTGAAATGGGCGGCGGAAGGCAGAGCTACCTTAGCCACCGTTACGGAGGAAGCCCACGTCGACATATGCTAGAGTGGCGTAGGCCATCAAATCATAATTGACGCTTCGCTGCTAGGTGCTTGCCTTCCCTGCCGGACGGTCCCCTCGGTCCCGAGAAGGCACCACCCGCTGAGCTGGCCGACAGGATGTGATGTTTTGGCGTGGGCCGCTCCACGAGCTCCGCACTCACCCCGCGCGGGTCCTCTGAGCAGAGGGATTCCAGTTGTTGACCTGCTATCCCCACCGTCACCCCGGTAGAGCATGGCCCGAACAGGCAGTGGCTACTATGTATGCCTTATGGCTATATTCCAGCATTTCTAGACGTTGAGAATTTTACAAATATGATTACGTAGAATTAATCAGATAAAAGTGATCAATTTGAACGTAAATAGGAATTTACCTCAAATTCTAGCTGGCATGTTCGTTTAATATTCCGAGTAGTTCGTCTATGTTACAGATCATGCCGCTACCCGCCCCAAAAAATTTATGTTCTCCGAAATTTCAAAAATAGTAAAGTAATAGAATTTTTTTAATACGCAATGAAGAGCCCGCTCAATTTGATCAATTTTTTTCATATAATAATAGCCCGAAATGGTTGACTTCAGTAGCATAATTGATTTCCTTAACTAAACTTTAGTTCTCTTCTAATCGGATCCGAAGCTCCAATGGCCCTGAAGTCAAGGATGTGCATGCCTCAGTCGGAATTGTCTTGCTAGACACTTACTTTGAGGGTAAGGAGCCAACTTCGAGTTGAAATCATGCAAAATATGCACCGGCAGGTCAGCCCCCTCGCGGTGTCCTCATACCGCATCGAATCGCACCCTACCTGGATAATATCCTAATCACACGAAGATCTTCGAGCTGTTCGCGCAGATTGATAGATTAGGGAATAAACAACTTGATGATCTCTTCCTCTGTCGTCAATATGAGGCCGACATAGAAAAGGACAAGAAAGGTCGATCATAAATAGAGATGGGATCCCAATTCTGCAGGTTGTAAATAGAATGTCAACGGCTTGACGATTCGTCTCGTCTCATGTAGGCAACCGCGAGAACTACTAGGCGGAAAGCCCAGACCATTATCGTTGCTTCGCAGTTTTCGGGCCGCGTGCCCAGCAGTCTTGAGATCCAATAGATTATTTTCAGAGTTCTAGAAGAAAGATATAAGTGAGATTCTTATCAGCTTTTCCGGTCAAAAAGGTCTACATTTCCAAGTTATTTTCCATATAACGAACGAACGGAGACTGGCTCAAGATTCGTCGTCCTCTAGAGAACCATGGACTCCGCCCCCAGAATTGATGTCAACCTTTTACCGGGTTCAGTCTGTCTTGGCCCCTCCCTTCTCTCTGCTACAGAGCTCCACCGCCTGTCGCCACCAATCCATGTACGTGATCAATTGACTTTCCATTCCGCCGCCATCTCCACCCGGAAAGGCCGCCAAGAGGTTTGGCGGGCTTCTGAGGAGGGGAATTGCCACTTTTGCACTGGGACACGGCGGAAAAAGCACCGCGCACTTTCGCCGCCTCTTTTAAAACGACCGGTCGATCTTCTAGAAAGTTCTTCCAGCGAATCATACCCCGTCGATCCAAGGTCAAAGGCTTGAGCCTGCGTGGCCATCTTCTCAAGCCACAATTGACTGCGGTCATAAAGGAACCGTTGACTCCGTAGGCCCATTCGACGGGAGGAAGGCTTGCACGCCTCGTCAGAGTCACCTTCCGGTGGCGACCATTACACGTGGATGGAGAGCGCTTCGTGGTCAAGTCTCCGTACGACCGTTCTCCCATGGGTATTTTAAAACTTTTGCGATTGATTAATCCCCAGTTGGATTTAGTAACATGGGGGAGGTGGGGGGAGGTGTGTCGGCCAACGCACATGATCAAAGGGGTTCGAGGACAGATTTTAAAATGGCGAAGTTAAGCAAGTGTGGTAAGAACCAAGCGATGACGGCGGATATCGGTCCTAAGGGCGATCACTACGAACATGACAGGGACAGCCAGCCGCTGTTCTTGCCTCTCGGAGTTTCACCAACCTGAGCTCTGATCGATTCAGAGTAAGGTCAACACGTGTGCTGTCCGACTCTACCCAACTACGAAGCTCCGCACGAAGGTAGTCCTACAGTACCACAGTGAGCTCTTCCTCTGCTTCCTCCGTCTTCCTCCTCGTCGAGGGAGGTGCGACCGGTGGCTCTTAAACAACAGGACTTGCTTAAGCCGCCTGGTAATGGGGAACGTTAAGAGAGTGACGGTAGCACGGCCACGTCACGGAATGACGCAGATTTGGCACTCTGAAGGGAGCCTTCAAGCTAGTTCTGTAGGGGAGAGAGAGAGAGAGAGAATCAAGAACGGCTATAGATCTAGAAAGAGAGAGAGAAACCCGGGGGGGGGGGGGCTCTTAGTCTTTGTCGCGCCTGCCAGAAAGAAAAGCGACTTGCTTGACCCATCCACTTTCAGAGCATCGCACCCCCTCGCGCTCTCACTCTCTCTCTCTCGGATCCGCAAAGTATAGATTGACTCTTCAACCTGACACGTGTAACGAATCTTCGGCCGTCCGATTTGACTCTCCGGCAATAACGCCGTAGGATCAGCTCGGAGCTAGAGCCTCCACCCTGGGCGAGTTTAAATCCCTCCCGGCATACCTCCTTCGCCGCTGGAGATGGAGGACGACTCGTTGAGGACCGGGGAGAGGGAGGAAGGCGACACCAAGTACCGTGGCGTGCGGAAGCGGCCGTGGGGAAAGTTCGCAGCGGAGATCCGCGACTCCAACCGCAACGGGGTGCGCGTTTGGCTGGGGACATTCAACACGGCGGAGGAGGCGGCGCGCGCCTACGACCGTGCGGCGTACGCCATGAGGGGTTCGCTGGCCGTGCTCAATTTCCCCAATGAGTCTCGGGCGAGGAACGCACGACCATCCTCTTCTCAGTCGGCGCTGGCGCAGGGGAGGTCGACCTCAGCCGGCGCCTTCAGTGGGGAGCGGATCGAACTGGAATATCTGGACGACAAATTGCTGGAGGACCTTCTCACCTCCGGGGAAGACAGAACCACGGGGAACAACTGAGTTCACCCTTTTTCCTCTCCACTTAGGACTCGTGATTTCCATCTTCCCTTCTCCCTCCTGTTTCTACTTCTTCTTCTTCATCATCATCATCCTCTTCTCGCTCCCCTGAGATCCATTCTGAGAAGAAAACGAAAGAATGGGTTTTGATAAAACCCGCCGCAGTGTGAATGAGAAGCTCATTAAACGGGGGAGAGGAAAACAGAAGTTCCTCTGTGTATCCCAATTCAGCTGTTAGCGAGGGGGGACGCAGGACCAGGTAACAGTTCCAGGACTTGGCAATTGCTGTCGAGACCCCCGCTAGCGAATCGTGGTCTGTACGCGGTGAGGATGTCCACCGATGACGAATAATTATTTCCATTACTTCTGGCTCCTCTCCAAAACCCCTCACCGACCACTGTACAATAAAAATTGGATACCTGAAAGCCAATTGTTTATTTGCCAGGCATATTCCAGTTGCCTTGACCGCAACCTCTGCAACAGGAAGGTGATAATGGCCAACGTGATTTGCTTCGAGGACCAAGAACCTCGACGGATTATCGAAGAGCGGTAGAGAGCAAACGAGAAAGATAAGGGCTGCAAAGATGGGGTGTGTTTCAATATTATAGGAGACTACCTTCTAACCTCTATATCAGTTTCCATGTTATTTTGCTATCTGTTTTCCCTTATATACTAAAGAAAAACGATCAGAATTAGTCCCAGATTTAGCAAACTCATTTAAACTTGAGAATGGGTACGGCGGATTTTCTTTTGTTTGACTTGTTTATGTTTTTACCCATAAATGGTTTCCTTTTTATCATGATCCTTCGCGTTCTTGGGTTTACTTTCATAGAGATGAATGAGGTGGAACCCCATGTTGGGAAATCTGCAATGAACTCAATTGCAGCCATTATCTTCCTTCAAATCAATCCCTCACACACTGATGCAGGGTAACTAAAACCAAACCAAACATATCACGCAGAACTTACTAGTTGATTGAGAGTGTGATACTAAAATTAGAAAAAGATTACTATCAGAAGAAACTGAAAGAATTACTTTCATTGTACAAGTAAATAGGAACTCATGAGAGTCTGCACGTATTTATGAAAACCCAAGTGAAAATAGGATATGACGGAATGAAATGCAGGTCACACTAACGTGATGAAGACCAAATGAGGTTCCCACGCCTCTCTCGGCCGCAAGGACCCTGAAAGTACGTGATTAGATTCGAGTGAGAAAGGTATCGAATCACCACTGTATGAATCACCAACAGCAACGGATGCAAACGAGTAAGTATTCCCGGGAGGACACTCAGGACATCTGAAAGGACAACTTCTAGGTCGCCGAGTGTCTATGCTTCTTCAAGAACTGGTCCTTCGCGTGGTCCGTTTGTATTCTACTTTAGCTTTAGCCGCTGACGGATGCCCTTTCCAGCGTCCTTGATTTTGTCTTCTACATAGTTTATTCCCGCCCTTAGCTAAAAGGAGAAAGTGAAGCTCCTATGACTCGAACACTTGGATTCGTCTATCTTAGAGTAGAAGGAATTCTACAATGCGAGTATTTTCAAGGATTAATTACGTCGTTTCATATTTATATGATTACCAAGGTAAGATGGTGCATGCTATTAATGATAGATCATTAATTACGTGTGATAATATCATTTATTTCCTATATGCTCATTTTGGTTCATCGAGTGCAGTCCACGATGCCTATCTTTCTCCCATATTTGAACTATTATTACTCCAAAACAGAGTGAAATAAAATCAAACATTATAATTGGTATATATACGTATATAAATTTAAGAATTTTGAAGTGTATAAATCCGGTGATCTATTTCTTGACAAATATTTCTCAGAAAGGCCACTTTATTTTACTTGACAAATATCAGAGTTGGGGCGGATCAAGAGCGGCGGCGGCGAGTTGAGATCTTACCTGTTTTATGTGCACGTGCGTAAAAAACTCTGCAGCCCCCCCCCCTCCCTGGAGGAACGTGGATCCAATAAAATCGGATATTTTTAAAAATACCGAATCTGATAATTTATCCGAACCAAATCATTATTAGTGTTTTATGGGGTGGCCAAGTTTGAACGGGACGAGTCGCCGCCATAGCTGACGGACACGTGGAAGAACGACGATATGACACTTGCTCGTGGATTTTATACTCCTCACCTGACATGCTCATTACCTCACGCAGATGACGTCATTCAAAACGGGACGATCCTCTACATTCATGTAAATATTTAATGTTTTATAAGTATTAGCCTCTCTCTATATATATACATATATGTATATTAATTCAATATTAAATGCTTATAAACGGTTTTAAATTGAACATTTGTGCTTAAACCATTTTGCATTTTCGTAATAAGCCTCTTCATATTTCTATCTATATTTCGTGTATGTAATTAAATCTCTCTCTCTCTCTCTCTCTCTCTCTCTCCTTGCCTCGACATGGTGATCCTTAATCATGCCTTCACACATGTTACGTAAGAATCGCTATGAAATAAATATAAGGTTATAATTACAAAGATTAAGAGTCTAGGCATTAAAATGGCTAATTTCAAGACATCTATTTTTAGTAATGTCTAGGTAAGATCAAGGTTTATATAGAAGACCTAATCACTTGTTTTCCTTTAACAACCAAGCTTTGTCCCCATTGACGTATTAAAATGATAACTCAAAATATTTTAACACTGTCAATTGTTGTGCTCTATCATATGAAATTGAACGCAACACACTTCAACCAAACAAGCTTATGACGCCCAATCATGGAAAGTTTGCATTGTGTGCTGTCAATTACCAATTAAAGTCAAATGTGTCGTCAATGATAGAGATAGACTTGGATATCATAGATACAATCAATAGGCTTGAACTACCATATGGGGGATCCAATCTAAAATATTGGAATCCAATCGGGTGGCATGGAAAGGTCCAAAAAATCATTTTTTAAAAGTAAACTTCAAAGTATCGAAATCATTATTATTAGTATATGTGTCCATGCGAGGAACCCTAAATAAAAACGTTGTTTGACAGCAATGACGGAAAATTGATGTAACAATTAACCATGACGGAAAATTGGTATTACTCTTTTATGAAACATCACCGATTGAGGGAAATTTTTGGATTTTCGCCTAAAATTGTTTTATTCTGAACGATCGCCACAACTCTTGCTATCTTCGGCTCAGTTGGACAAGCCTCCTTTTCCTGGCTATCTGGGATGACCAAACCAGGTTGACCCCTCAGTAGTCCATTCTAATAATGTAGCTCCGCTTCAGCGCACAAACTATTCCTCACCTTGTCAGACGAGATCAGAAAAAAGTCATACAGTTGTCTAGATTCAGGAACCATGTGGCGACTGTTGCATAATCAGTCAAGGCGATAGGACGAGAAAGCGGAACCCATCTTCAAGACGTGGGCAGTGATCAAAACGCAGATCCGGATGGCATCCACGAATTCACGGAAAGCCGTTCGCACGAATGGCTAGTTTTTCTGTCCCCACCATGACTGACGCGTGTCTGCGCGCCGCCTTGATTTCGTCGTATAGCGTATGCAGTGGGCCAATGGAAGGCAGGAGTGACACGACTCCTTCGGGCACCGCGACTGGGAGTCCGATGGATCACGTGCATGCCATCTCGAAGTTACAGTCAGCTCCATTAAGATTGATAGTACACTGGGATTGGAGTGAATCGGTAATGCCTAATCAATGGTTTAGATGGGTTAACAGGGGTGTTTATTAACGGGCATCTCTCTCTCTCTCTCTCTCTCTCTCTCTCTCTCTCTCTCTCTTTCCTTCGAAAAATCTTCTGACACCAAGCTGGCATAGTCTGGCGTGGGTCAGCGAGAAGTGGTTCTAGCGGATATCGTCACCAATATCCTTGATTTGAGTGGTCGTCCTGGGTGCTGATGTAATGGGGAGATTTGATCGCTTTCGTTTAGATCGATTCTCGTTGAGCCCGAGGCTTGACATTTAGAACACTTGCTCCCCCGAAGTCGTTCATCCCGTCTCCTTGGACATGAACGCTTTCTACTTGTCTTGATCTTTTAACCTAGTGGTGAATCCATCTAGTTGCTTCTAGTCGGATGATATTTAACGGCAGAACATGGAAGGATAGCTCCAGAACAGCTGCTGAGATCTGGTGAACACGAGGGAGCAGGAGGAGGTGCCCACAGCGTTTCCCCTAAAGCCATGGATTCCCCCTACTTGCAATCGTGTAGCCTCGAGGTCTCCTCTGAGTCGTCAACGGGATCCCGGGAGCCGTTTTCTCTGGACGTGCTCCTCTGCCAAGCTGAATCCCTGCCCTTCAACGAGAACGACTCTGAGGAGATGGTGCTCTTCGGCGTGCTGGCGGAGGCCGGCGGCGCGAGGAGCGGCGACCGGACGCCCTGCTCCAGCCGGGGCAGCGCCGGCCAGGGCCACCCGGAGAGGGGAAAGGAGAGGTGCTACCGCGGGGTCAGGAAACGCCCCTGGGGGAAATTCGCGGCGGAGATAAGGGACTCCACCCGGCACGGTGCTAGGGTTTGGCTGGGAACCTTCGACAGCGCGGAGGCGGCGGCGCTGGCCTACGACCAGGCGGCCTTCTCCATGAGAGGGTCCATGGCTGTGCTCAACTTCTCCGTGGAGCGTGTGAGGGAGTCCTTGCGTGATGTCAAGTGCGACGACGTCAACTGCTCTCCCGCGGTGGCCCTCAAGAAGCGGCACTGCGCGAGAAATCGGTCCTCAAGCAGGAAGGGCCCCCAAGCTAGGGGCCTCGACGTGGATGATTCCGTAGAGATGGAGGACCTGGGCGTAGAGTTCCCGGAGGACCTCCTCATGGCCTCCGATGACTCCGAGCCCTGGTAATCCTCTCTCTCTCTCTCTCTTTCTCTCAAGGTCACCGGTTTTTTCTCCTCCACCTCTGGGATGTAAAATTGTTGCTTCCTTCGAAATGGAGAGAATAATTTCTCCCTTTAGAGGGAAAAAACGAGATCTTCCTCATTTCGCTGCATCGGCCCGCAAGAACATCGTGGACCACGTTTAGAATATGAAATCGCAAGGCTCGGGGTGCCAACAGACCCCGACGCCCGTCCCCCTCCGACTCTCCCAGAAGCTCTCCAGAAACAAACCAGGAACCTGATAAGGTCAACTGCTGTCACCATCATCGTTCATGGTGAGGCATTTTCGATCCGCAGTGCCACCGCCACGTGTAGGCATTTCCCAGGCTCTCTGGCGGGCTAGTTCCCCGACCTACGGCGTCTCGACGTCGAGACGATTGGATTGCCTCTCTGTCACTGGCAGCTTTGGACGGGTGGGTGTCCTCAGGATCATGAAGAGCCGGGGGGCAAGGGGAAGAGTTGGTCCCGCGCGAACCCTCATGTCCGGGCTTCAATATAATCGAACCTCGAACCCTAGTTAGGACGAACCTCAGAATCTCTTTCTCTCTCTCCCCTCCCTCTCCCACTCCCTGAGAAGGACCCGCACGTCACATCCAGTTGGATACGCTTCGAAGTTACTCAAGAAATACACGAAGAATAGTCAAACCATAAGACAAGACACGTGTACCCTCAAAACTAGGGGGGCAGCCCATCCCAAGAGCCGATCCCAACAACTGTCTTCATGATTCTTTCAGGTCAGGAATTAGTTATAAACTATTTTAATGCCTTTATTAAAATAATAAAGTGTGCAATATTTTTATATCAATTTTCCCAAAGGTCGAGCAATTGGTAGGTAAGGTGTCCAGATTACACGCGTCAAGGCGATGGGACAGAAGACAAGACGCGTGCGCGCATCACATGCTTCCTTCACAAATGGGCCACGTTTGCTCCAATATTCACAATTGGGGCCCACAAATACTGTAGCCATCCATGCTTAGAATGGCCTTTTCGGGGAATTGGTGCCTGAGGGAGCGCTCAGACTCTCTAGTTGGCCGGTGATGGTGTGCGATGCAATGAAGGAACTAGTGCACAAAGAGGCTAAACTGGGAATACTTCTAATTTAGGCTGTTTAGGATCGTCATTAATCGTATTTTAGTTGCCAATTGTGGACTTTGATAATGATTAAGGGAACCTATTTTTTTCTATCATTCCTTATCTAACTAGATATAATGACGATCTAAGGGAAAAAAATAAATCATGTTAGTCTTGAAACATTACCTATAACAACTATCATCAAATCGAGCAGAGACAGCATGTGACAGTTGGATCATCACATTTTTTTTCTGTAATGTCATATCTCATATGATTATTTTATGATGATGTCCTGATGATTGTCGCTAAAATCTCTGAGATGTATGCGGTATGGGACTAATTAATGAGGGTTTTGTCTAAGGCGGAGAGACTGGGTGGGTCATCACAAAAAATGTACTGAAAAAAAAAAAAAAAACCTGAGAACGAGATAAATAATTATAGATTATCGAATCACATTTTTGTCTGATTTTTCCCGGAAATCAGGGGATTATCCGATAACCCATCATCTTCATCAACCTTTGCCCAAACCACGCTGTTGTATCTGCACTGCGAGCCATATTTGTCCCTTTCTTTCTCAGGGTCGACGTCCCTTCGCCGGCCACCGCCAAGAGAGATGTGTCGAAAACCGTCACCATCATCGAATCGTCATCGGTGATTAGCCATGGAGGTGCCAAAAAGCCCACGCGACAGTGAGATCTTGGCGGCAGCTCCCGCCCGCCCAGCCGAAAATTGGAGTATTACCCACATTATCTACACACTAGAGGGATAAGGGGCCATAAAACTATGTAAGATGAGGGTATTATGAAAAATATGTGCACTTTGAGGGAACCCCCTTCCTCCTGGGCAGTCGAGCCATCTCTCCACACCTGCTTCATTGATGATGCAAAAACCTGAAGAGGAACACTGGAAGAAAAAAGAATCGCCAATGGGAATCAATGAGCAAGCCCAAGAAATATCTTCAATGATCACATGACTTCAATGGCTCAAATGTGATCCTGAAGGGCCAAACAAACAGCGCTTCTACGGCCAATTTCCTCATCCCCATGCCTGTGCTGCCTGTGATATCAGATTTTTCTGTTTGAAGAACCGGCCGTCCCTGGATCATCTCTATGAGGCACGCTCGCTGACTTTCTTGCTTCTTCAAGCTCAAACCGATTGTTCTTCTGGATCGAATGATTTCTCTGTGTCACGGCATCCTTACTTTGGTTCCTCTTCGACATCTGGGTAGCTGCAACTTGCATGCCACCAACTGCTGCATTGGGAGTGGCCGTTTTCCCAACAGGAGGTCCTGTAATTCTATGGCGGTCTGCAATAATCGACCCAGGCTTTGAAGAAAATTGATCGTGGGGGTCTGGTCGGGGAAACTTTATGGGCTGAGGGGGGTTGACCGGACGAAGACCTCTGACAGCTGCCTCGAAGATCTGGAACATGGTCGAGGGAGAACGAAACAAAACCACAGCATGACTAGAGACAAGAGTGGACTCAGCATGAAAGATAAAGATCAGGTCTGGGTACCTTTCTTTCCAAATTGTAAACACCTTGATATCCTCTCATTTCAAAAGGAACAAGTAGTTTCTGCATCGTTCGAAAAAAGGTGGGCGGGTGGGGTTATCCAATCGAAACGTGCTCGAAACAATAGAATTCAACTCCCTAAAAATTCTCGAAAAATTAGGAAAATAAAATCATTTCGGCACACAAGTCCTTGGCGAATAGAAAATACACAGGAAGATAGACATACTTGTGGTTGTTCACAAAGCCAGCAAAAATCTGTTTGCCCTTCAAGTCTGACCTGCTCAAAGAAAGATTACTGATTGATATCAGTGTCCATTAAATAACTTCAATATGAAACATAATCAAATACCGACAGATTCAGGGACCCCTTCCCAGTGTATCAATTCTTCACGTTTAACGCATCCAACAACTTCAACACACCCTAAAACAATAAACTAAAATATCTTCATCATAGAAAATCAATGTGCACGTTTTATAAAACTTACGGAACATGGTAATTGCACAATATGATCAGATGTTTATTACTGCATCTTAGATTGTTGGCAGTAAGTTTCTAAAGAAATACCTTAATCAATTTTATTATCATTGTCTTCAGTCTAACTTGGACGCCAATGCCAAATAAGCAACTCAAGATATGGTTTTGTTTCCTGACCAATGCCTTGTCTGACATAGGCCCTCAACGAGGTGGAGCAAACTAAGTTTAAACCACAAAAAACACGGTGTAGAAATTTACTTAACAAGAGGAAGCCATCATTATGTCAGTTAATAAAATTCTGCACGCATTCCGACTCCACGGACTCTTCTGGCTTCTTGGGGATCTGATTGCCGGCTTAAGAGGAAAAGATGCCAGCCAATATCGAATTTTCCACTGGCAAATACACTTTCAAGAAACATAAAAGAGGGAACTGTCCTAAAAAGATCATAGTTAAACTACCCAATAGGCTTAACGCTAGACATTCCAATTGACTGAGCCAGGTCGCTAAAAAATAATTACACGACCATATTCCCGCCATAATTGATTAAATTTTCAGAAAACATCGCATACTAATGTGTACAGAAAATTTGAACGCTGTTCTGTCATCTCTTTTTCAGATTCAAAGCCAAACTGAACTGAATCTGGCACGGGGTTTACCTACAAATAACAGTCTCAGCGTCAATTTCCAAGCACGGTTCAGAATTTTAAACAAGCAACTTGAAATTTTTAGTACAAAGTGGCAACGCACCAATTTTAAGGAGTATCAGGTTTCAACAAGCCACCTCATCTCGTAATGAATCGATAATTACTAGCAAAACCACTGATATTAAACGAAAATCTAAGAGCAACACCCTTGGCTCCCCCAAAAGAAGGGGTAGAAGAAGAAACAGATGAAAAGAACATAAAATCTTCTTGGATGAAGTTTATAAGTTATAAATATATCTTTGTTTTTGTAATCAACACTTACCCGCGTTGGAAGATACAAACATATTTATAAATAGAAACTAAGGTCACCAAAATACGATTGGAAATTTTTCCACAATCAGTGAGATGCAACGAAGTACACAAGTGAACTGTTGTATTATTTGTGCATTTGCGAAAATCACTAAGATGTACATGTTGTCTTAGTATGAGGGAAAGAAGTAATCTCTTATTCCTGACAATTATTTCAAAATATCAGTCAATAATAACTGAAATTATAACACGATAAAGATACATACCTAATAGCCGTGAAGTAGGATAATGTTCTGGGAACTTCAAATCAGTTATTCCATTCACTGCATATATTTCTCTGTAGAAGTCCTCCACTGCTTTAATTGCGGTGGGCTCTGGAACCTTTGAAGCAGCATGAATCCAAAGGCGACCTTCAAAAGGGATAAGACGTAAAATTATATAATCTGCTGAAAAAATAATCAAGGTTTATAACCAGCATGAGTAACAACCAGGACGAAAATTTTCATCATCCTTACAATCTGTCGCTATGACAAGCCCTAGACCTATAATATATACAAAAGGAGACCCATCATCATGACTTGCCAATGACCTCTAGGTCACGGACCACATAAACAAAATAAGAAATCACATACTCTTCTTCCTTTTTCTCACCCCACAGGTTCTAGTATAAGTCTACGATATGGTCACATTTCTAAATGCATCATCAGAACAAATTCTTCCGTTCCGTGTCCACTGATCATCAAACATTTCAAGATCTACCTTTAGATTTGTCACCGTCCGCAACTTTCACTCTCCAACCTTGTTTTTCCTGTATCTGACATATCTATCTAGTATTGACATCCCCAATACCCAATGGACTCGTTCACACCAAGAATCCATAATGGGAGTATATTACATTGATACAGATAGATACAATCTAAAAATGGAACAAAGATTCAACAAGACTGAAAAACAGATGAGATGAATACATCTGGATGACCCATTGACTCACACAACAAATGTAAGCTAAAGGCACCACGATATTCCTCATCCTATAGCTATGCATTTGTGATGCTTTGTAACCTCAAAAAACCCTTCCAGAGATAGTCTCCCAAAAGGCCAGACAATGGATGACTGTGGTCAAATTTTCAAACGCATGAAAGCCCGACAAACACAGAACATTAGTCTAGGGAGGACTCTCTCAACTAGATATCATTTACCCATAAATTCATCAGTGACCATGCTGCGAGTGGACGAGGAAAAAAGAAGGTATATGCTTTAAAGTAAATTGTGGTCAATTTGTCAGTTTGATAATAATCGAGTGACATTGGTTCTCCGGTCCGAGCCAGGGAATCCGTTATATATGATGCAAAATGACTATCTCCGGGAACTGCACATTAATAATACACGCCATGAAAGGAATCTGAGAGGGGGGGGGTTCTTAGGAAAATCGTGTATGAAAAAACAAAAAAGAACACATCTCAGCACCCGCCACAGCATCGTCGGCGACAAGGAAAGAAAATACCAGCAAGAGGCGCAGGCCAAGACCTGCCCTCGACGCGCTTGATCCCGTGGACCAGCAACGAGGCCCATGGCTGGTGCATGGTGAGGCAAGGGTTTCGATAGCCGCCACCACCACCACCGCCGCCGCCGCCGCCACTAGCCACGCCTCTCATCCCCATGATCTCCGCCGTCCCTTGCTCTGTTGCCGCCGCCGGCTGTCGTCAGACCTCACCGCAGGCACGACAAATCCGTTGGGTCCCCCGGCGGACGCGCTCAGCTTTACAAGGTGGGACGCGGGTGGAGTTTCGTCCGAATAATCTCTCAGATAAATAATTTATTGTTTTTTACTCGAATATTCAAGTTCGGGCTCCGACTCGGACCGACCCCTCTCTCTATCTCTCTCTGTCTCTCTGTCTCTCTCTCCCTCCCTCTCCCTCTCCCTCTCGTGTTGGGCCCTGAGAAGGAGCAGGCTCACGGGCCGGGCTTGGCCCGGTAGCTGCCCGACGATTAATGCCACGTGGCGCAAAGTCTGTGTCGGTAGCTTGCGTAGGACTCAGGCGAAGAGGAACGTCCTTTCTCTTCCTCTCCTTCGAGCGCCGCCCCAAAATTGTTCATAATAAAACGCCGCCGGCCGGCGGTGAGAGGTCTCCTTCGTCTGCCCTTCCCTCCGACATCTTCCCCGACGACGGGCGGATGGAAGTTACGAAACCCTAGAGCCTCATCTTTCCCCAGCGTCCTGTCCCGCCGCCCTCCACTCGTTATCTCTCTATCGAATTTCAGTGCGATCTCTCCGCTTTTGCCCTTGATTTTGATCGGCTGGGGTGGAAGATGGATACTCAAGTTCTCGATGGCATAATCAGCCGGTTGGTGGGCACCGAGGGCAATAGGCCCACGAAACAAGTGCAGCTTTTGGATGCGGAGATTCAGAAGCTGTGTCTCGTGTCCAAGAGTATTTTTCTACAGCAGCCTAATCTTTTGGAGATCGAAGCCCCCGTGAAAATATGCGGTAAAGCTTACTATTTCCTGGTGTATATGTTTGGACCCACTGCCCTAGTGTTCTGGGTGTTTATGAGCCGGAGGAAAAATGGCGGAGAAATGTGCGGGAGCCTCTCGGTGTCGAATTTTCCGAATTCATTTTGGCTGTCGCTTTATCTTAACCTTTCCTTTCCTGCTATCAGACGGCCCACTGCTTCTCTGCCCCGATGCCCCAAGATTTTTGTTATGATTAGAAATCCATGTTTTCCAGGTTATGTCTCTTGTCGTGTGCCAGTTTCTTATTGTGTTCACGTTTGACAGTTTTGTTGGATTGATAGCATGTTTTTTGGAAGTCACTCTGCAGCGAATTGATCTTACTTGGACAATATTGAGGTTGTGGATATTAAATTATAGATGTTGAGTTTCCTCTGCAAAAGCAATATTTATGTGCACACTTCTGGAAGTGGAGTGCTTTTGGATAAATTCTCTAGTATAAGGCAAGTAGGTCACAAACTAGGTGCCCGCTATCAGTGGAAAAAAGCCTAAACTTTGACAATCCACTTTAAAATTTAACCAGTTTATGGAAGAAGCTACCTATTAAAGGTCACTGCATCAGTCTTCGACCCTCCACAGATGCACTACCATTCCTTATCTTCCTGTCACTTAGTTTACGTTTGCTGTGATGTTTTGATGGGGATTGGCTCTTTTTCTTCCTCTTTCTTTTCGGTTAAGGCATCTGTTTACACTTTGACTTTAAATGGAAAAATGGCAACAGGCTCGGTTACTTATGTTTAAAGAAGCATCCTTTCTCTCTCTCTCTCTCTCTCTCTCTCTCTCTCTCTCTCTCTCTCTCGCTCTCGCTCTCGCTCACTCACTCTCACTCTCTCCTTTTACCATTTTCATACTCACTTGCTTTATTTTTTTCTCCTCTCGTAACTGTCTTTATTTTTCGAAGAAAACCATTTATCCTGATATCAAACTTTTCTCTTGTCCCCTTTGCTTATACCTCCCTTGGTTAGGGGAATTCTTTATTTATCATGTTTCCGTTTATCTGCCTAAATATGAAACTATCCCTACTGGGAAGTTAGCTGAGAATTACACTTGGGTTAGTAAACTTGTTAGGAACTTTGCCAAATCCTTGGATCCTTCATCTGTTGACTTATCCTACGTGATCAATGTCTATGCCCTCGTGGAAAGGTATTGTGCAATGGTTCATTTGCGAATTATAGATTTACTGGACTATTCTTCTCCATGTATCCAAGAATATGCCTAGCGGCTGTGTGCATGTTTATTTTCTCTATTATAGTACCATATTTTTTTGAGGTTGATCTTGCTCCATGATTTTAGTGCCCCTCCGTTTTGTCCAACCCCTGCAATGCATTCGTTGTTGCCGAATAAAGTCACCAATTTTTAGTTGCCCGTAAGGATGGTTCCTTCTGCTCCAGCTGCTCCTGAAGAGCTACTTTTTATTATTCTAATGTAAACCAAAGAACTCTGCAACGGTGGTGTTGTGCCAATTAATGTGCTTTTTGACTGCCACTCCTTTCAATTTGTCAGGACCTTGAGATTCTATCATAACTAAATTTTTTCTTATTCCTATTTTATTTTTCTTTTTTTTTGTTTTTGTTTGATCATAATAGAAAACCTTAACTGTTTATACGCATCTGGTTTGCTTATGGCGTTTCTATTCTACATCTTGTTAAGACTACGTGGCCTAGGCATGTAAGCTGCAGATAAAGAAATACGCACAAGAGGATGCCCGATTTTATGAACTCCCTAAGCTAGCTGCCAATAGAGATGCCATTGCCTTCTTGGGGCTTATTGCTACCATGAAAAATCTAAACCTTATGAAATGGCTGTTTTGAGGCGTAAATCAATTTATCGTGTAATTGTGATATCATGCAACCATTGAAATACACAAGGACTCTTCATTTGGGTCGAATTCTGGTAACTCCACCTCTATACCATGTTTCGTCCAGGGTAAAAAAGGTAAAAAAAGAAAAGTGTACGTGGGAACTGCTGCATCTTTTTGTCATGGTGGCAATTTCTGTGGTTGCAGCTATGATTGTTTGACACCTTTGGTTGTTCATCTACTGTAGTCCTTTTTCCCTTTTCTTATATTTTGAAACATAGTGAATATCGTTAATGGCACTGACCAGAACTGGCCATTGATATAACTGTGCAATTTCTGTTCTATACAAAGGTGGGAAAAGAGCTACCTGCTCAAGTTTGATTTGATGAATATAATTTAAATTCCCTCGTTTCAGATGTGCTGAACAAAAAATACTTGATGCACGAGAGAAGGGATCATATGGTGTTTCGTCATTTGGGTTATTTACAACCTTAATGCACAAAATTTCGAAAGGAGATCTCATCTGGACATGTGAGAGAAAGATATTTCATGATGCTTATTGTTGGTCAAGAAAAGCATCCAAGAGGGATGTTGGTCTCCTTCTTGAAAACTAGTTACAAACCAACAATCATCGAAGAAGGCAAAACATTTATGGTGTTTTGGGTTGAAAATGGTCTACCATGGAACTTTTGAACTCTGATAAGTCTGACTTTGGCAAAGAGGTCCCAAAGCCCATGTCTTAAACCGTCTTGGCGTTTTGATAAAAGTATCCATAACTATATCTCTGACAAATACGGGACTCTAACTTAAAAAAATTCTACTCGGCTCTCAAATGAGCCAATCCGGTCTTTTTTTGGGGGTTTATTGAAAAAAGTTATGCACGGAGGAGATATAATTTAAAATACAGAAATCAAGGATCAGATCTGATTTAGCACATCACATTAGACCTCTGTCCTGCCAGCTCCCAGTACCACTCAAAATAGGTACATGCTTTGGAGATGGTAAAGTCATAGAAAGTTATACATGTGGCGGACTTTTGTTTAGGGAACATGTATGAGATGTCTAGATGGCATGGATACATGTTTACAGAGTTGATTTAAAACTTGGAAAATGCCACCTCATCGTATGCTCAGCAACATGGGACTCAAGGTGAGTTGAAATAGCTTCATTATTTTTAGTTAATTGTCGAACATTTCTGGAGCTTTGGTTGGTCATTTTCTTCTCATGATCCTTCAACTAGTTTCGCTTTATTTTGGAAAATTGATTCATGAATTTTATCGTATGTGTGAACGCTTTGCTTAACCCTTTTTGTTCAGGCCCTCAGCATGAGCTGTTCATTTGTTGCATCTCATTCTTGCCCCGAACCTTCCAATTACGAAAGTGTGGGGACAATGTTTTTAATTGGTGATTTCAATCTTCTGCAGGAGATATTCATGGACAGTATTCTGATCTTTTAAGACTTTTTGAGTATGGCGGATTTCCTCCAGAAGCTAATTATCTATTTTTAGGAGATTATGTTGATCGAGGAAAACAAAGTCTGGAGACAATATGTCTTCTTCTGGCTTACAAGATTAAGTATCCCGATAAGTTCTTCCTTTTGCGGGGTAATCATGAATGTGCATCCATAAATCGTATATATGGATTCTATGACGAGTGTAAAAGGAGATTCAATGTGAAGCTATGGAAAGTGTTCACAGACTGCTTTAACTGCCTACCTGTGGCAGCTCTTGTCGATGAAAAAATACTTTGTATGCATGGTGGCCTTTCTCCAGAACTGAGGAATTTGGATCAAATACGAAATTTGGCACGCCCCACTGATGTTCCGGATGCCGGATTGCTCTGTGATCTTCTTTGGTCAGATCCCAGTAAAGAGGTCAAAGGATGGGGCATGAATGATCGTGGTGTCTCATACACATTCGGTGCTGACCAGTTGTCAGACTTTCTTGAGAAAAACGACCTTGACCTTATCTGTCGTGCACATCAGGTTTGGAAATCTCCGTGCAATTCTTTGATGTCAAACCTAAATGCCCACATGATGTTAATCCGCTGTTTCTTTTGCCAGGTTGTGGAGGATGGGTATGAATTTTTTGGGGATAGGCAACTCGTTACGATATTTTCAGCACCTAATTACTGTGGCGAGTTCGACAATGCTGGTGCAATGATGAGTGTAGATGAGACTTTGATGTGCTCATTCCAAATATTAAAGCCTGCCGAAAAGAAATCAAAGTTCTTTGGAAGCGCACCAATGTCTAAGGTATGATCTACTATTATTGCATAAAACAGAGTAACTCCGGTGGAATTTCGGTGCTAGCTTGTACTGGGCAAATAGCTCAATATATAAATCAGTATGATACCTAGACACCAACAATGATCATTGTTTATGGATTCATGACCCTACAAATTTTTACCACTTGTTGCTGAGGAGCTTTAGAACGTTCCCATTTTTCTTTGCTTTTTTTTCACTCTCAAAGGTTAATTGAGTAGATTGTTTTCTAAAAACATAACAGGAAATTCCGCCATCTTCAGAAAATAGTGCAGTAGGATTATTCTTTTTCAGATGTGGAAATTATTGAAAGATGTTTTACATGAGATTTGATGTAAAATACTGTGTGCCCATTATTTGGACGCAAAACTTGTACACATACTTTTCTCATTACTTGCCAGTTACCTAATAACTAGTGTACCCTTTTAAAGAAAGATTTTTTAAGCGCATTTAAAACAATTCCACGCCCAGTGTGCCCCCTCACGTTGGCAGTAAGACGGCAATCCCACTCTCTTGGTCATCTTTGAAACCTCGAGTTAGATCCAAGCAGATGCATATTTATAATCAAATATCATAAAAGATGCGTAGCTTGGTGATAGCCACCTCATTCTACAATGAAGGTTACACCACTTTTTGTCATTTCCCTGTTTTCCAGTACAAATCGTCACCCACTTGCCTCAGGACTTACCTAAGCCAGATGAGGTCAACTTTGAAGATGACGACTCTACAGCAGACATTGAATGATTGCTTATTCTTCTTATTTGAATTGCAATTCATCTTATTAATGGGTTCGAGATAATTTTCGCCAGGCATCTTATAATAAACTTGTTGTATGTGAGCAGTGGGCCTCAAAGCAATGAAATCGCCGGGCAGCGTCTTCGTAAGTGAATCATGACGGTCAGCCGAGGCAGTCTGTGACTATTTTGGTGACCTGAACTTGGGTTTCCATCCTAAAGCTAGATTTTTGGCGAGCTCGATGCCTCCCCCACCCCCTCATCTGTTAGTATATAACTAGAAAGCTTGAACACCTCTGATTCGCTCATTCTTGGCGACATCAGACCAGTGAGGGGTCTAAAAAGCCGTGCTTCCTCTTTCCTTCCTCTTTCGCCTGTATTTACGACCGCGGATTCTGTAAAATCACTGGTGACGCGCAACTCTGATCTTCTTACAGAGCGTGATGGATCTTGGTTTCTGCCGCCAGTGCTTTTCTTATTATCCTCTGGATTCTCTCATGGGCTCTTTCACGCGTTGCCCGCAAATTGCCGCAGAACTTTGGCTGATGTGTGCCATCATGCCAATAGGGTTCCTGTGTTGCGCACCGGAGATGCTTGCTATAATGATTCCATAGGCGGAATCATATGGTCTGCTGTGAAATAAACTATAAAGTTATCTAAACATGTTCTTTTGATAATAACGATTAATTGAGTAATTACGTCTCTAATAGTCACAGACTCGTCCTACTATATTTCCACTGGGTCTGACCATATCAGACTCTAACCCTCGCCTAAGTGGCAACCTGGAACACTGCAGATGGTTGGCTGTTTCGATAAAAAATATAACGGTGATTAAATTACTAATTATATCCTCATTTTGCTCTCATGATCTTGATATCCCTCAGTCCATGGCGCAGGGTCTGACCATATTAGAGTCTAAATCATGGGAGCGACAGATAAACTGTTCAATCAAAACCCATTAAGTGGCAACTAAGAACAGTGCTCTCATTAGTGCGTACAGATGGTTGACTTTTCCTATTAATTTCCTAGAGAGTTCTCCACTTGTCACCACTGTTCAGGTGTGATGATCCCGTAGACTGCTATGTGGTTTTTATTAACGAGGGATCTGATCTTCACCCGCCTTGTGTTTTCTCTCCATATCTTTGTTATAATCTGAGGAAGCATTCATCAGAAAAACCCTAAAAGTTTGGTTTCACCCAAGAGCTAGTTATTTACATGGTGCAATATTTTAATCTTGGGGATGAAGATTTTGGCGTTGCACCATACAGCTGTTAAAGGATAGCCATAATAATCGGAACGTCGTTCGACCCGTGTAACCGATTTGGCGGAGTAAACGCTGCAGCGATGTCACGCCCGTGGTGAATGAGAGGATTCCGGCAGCTGCGGACCTCTCCGCGGCGGCCGGCCGAATATTCCGTCTTTTCCACAGTTCCCGCCATCCCACCGCTGCATAAATACAGGTAGGCCTCTTGGTCTTCTCCCTCCTACCCCCCAAGGCAGGAGCTCTCCCATTCTCCCTCACGTAACACCCGAGTACAGACCTTCTCTCTCTCACACACACCGCCTTGTGTTCTTGGTGCCGGGCAACCCACAGAGCGAGAAGGCGACGATTCCAATCCCCATCCATTTTTCCTCAATTCCTCACTGTTCTCCTGCTGCTGCTGCTGCTCTCTCTCTCTCTCTCACCCGTGTGTTCTTGGTGCCGGAGCAACCCTCAGAGCGAGAAGGTGACGATCCTCATCCTCATGCTTTTTCCCTCAATTCCTGTTGTTCTGCTCTCTCTCTCTCTCTCTCCCTCCCGCTCTCTCTGTGTGAATGATGCCATTCTTTCCCATCTGCTCACGTCTCTGTTTCAGCCCCGATCTTCCAATCTCCATGTGGTTTGCCCTTCATAATCCGATTTCTTTTTTGCATTTCTCAATGAGGAATCAGCCCCGTCGACTCTCTCTTTTTTCTCGAGTAAGCGAGAGAGAGAGAGAGAGAGAGGGAGTCCCAACGGACTCCCATCTGTTTCTCCCTCTCCCTCTATTTCTCTCTCTGGCCCTTCCCTGTTATTAGGGAACGGCCCAACTAGCTTGACGAGTCGATAACAACAAGATGAGCTGTTGTTCAACACTATAGATTGTGATTTTCTGAATGACCTCAGGTTCTGTGGTCTTCTTCTTCTAGGGTTCGTGGAGAAGAAGAGAAAGACAAAGATGGCGAGGGATCAGCTTAAGGTTCTCAGCGCGCTCGATGTGGCCACGACACAATGGTATCACTTCACAGCGGTCGTCATCGCCGGAATGGGGTTCTTCACCGACGCCTACGACCTCTTCTGCATCTCCCTGGTCACCAAGCTTCTCGGCCGCATTTACTATTCTGAGCCCGGCGTCGCCAAGCCCGGGACGCTGCCGCCGCACGTATCTGCCGCCGTCAACGGGGTGGCCTTCTGCGGAACGCTGCTGGGGCAGCTCTTCTTCGGTTGGCTCGGAGACAAGCTGGGCCGGAAGAAGGTCTACGGAATGACCCTCGCCCTCATGGTGATCTGCTCCGTGGCCTCCGGCCTCTCCTTCGGGCACTCGACCAAGGGCGTCATGGCCACCCTCTGCTTCTTCCGCTTCTGGCTCGGCTTCGGTATCGGCGGCGATTACCCCCTCTCCGCCACCATCATGTCGGAGTACGCCAACAAGAAGACCCGGGGGGCCTTCATCGCCGCCGTGTTCGCCATGCAGGGCTTCGGCATCCTCTCCGGCGGGATGGTGGCCATCGCCGTGTCTGCCATCTTCAAGCACAGCTTTCCGGCCCCTCCCTACGCTGACAACCCCTCGGCCTCCACCGTTCCGGAAGCCGACTTCGTCTGGAGGATAATCCTCATGTTCGGCGCGCTTCCGGCGGCGCTGACGTATTACTGGCGGATGAAGATGCCGGAGACCGCCCGGTACACAGCCCTGGTGGCGAAGAATGCCCAGCAGGCGGCGGCGGACATGTCGAAGGTGCTCCAGGTCAAGATCGAGCAAGTTCAGGAGAAGGCGGATAGGCCACGGCCGGAGGACCGGCGCGGCGAGTTCGGTCTATTCTCCCGGGAGTTCGCCCGCCGTCACGGGCTCCACCTGCTGGCCACCGCCACCACTTGGTTCCTACTGGACATCGCCTTCTACAGCCAGAACCTCTTCCAGAAGGACATCTTCAGCGCCATCGGGTGGATCCCCAAGCCCGCCACCATGAACGCCGTCGAGGAGGTGTACCGAATCGCGAGGGCCCAGACTCTGATCGCCCTCTGCGGCACCGTCCCCGGCTACTGGTTCACGGTGGCGCTGATCGACCGCATCGGGCGCTTCACGATCCAGATCGTGGGCTTCTTCTTCATGACGGTTTTCATGCTGGCCCTCGCCGTCCCTTACCGGCACTGGGCGGAACCCTCCCACCACATCGGGTTCGTCGTGATGTATGGGCTGACCTTCTTCTTCGCCAACTTCGGGCCAAACAGCACCACCTTCATCGTGCCGGCGGAGATCTTCCCAGCGCGGCTCCGTTCGACGTGCCACGGGATCTCGGCGGCGTCCGGCAAGCTGGGGGCAATCGTCGGCTCCTTCGGGTTCCTCTACGCGGCGCAGAACCAGGACAAGACCAAGACGGACGCCGGCTACCCTGCTGGCATCGGCATCAGGAACTCGCTCTTCGTCCTCACCGCCTGCAACTTCCTGGGACTTCTCTTCTCCTTCCTCGTCCCCGAGTCCAAGGGAAAGTCCCTCGAGGAGATGTCCGGCGAGAACCAGGACGACGGAGAGCAAGCGCCTGCATCGGACCCCCACTTCAACAACAGAATGATCCCCGTCTAACCTCTCTCTCTCTCTCTCTCTCTCTCTCTCTCTCTCTCTCTCTTAGGTCGCCGCATGGCAGCTCTTCTTCATTTTTTTATCCGGTGTTAGGATCATATCACGTCAAAGATTGTGAAAATGAGCCATCTTTAACAATTCAATCTTCATATTCTGGCCACCAAAACTCCCCACATAAACAAACTCCATTCTTTAATCTATGAAGCTCCCACGAACGTACTCGCTCAGACCCCAGGTTCTCCGGAAGGGGACGCCGTCACCGGTGTTCAAACCTCCTCCGCCTAGCCACCGTCGTGGAGAGCGAAGGAGACGTCCGGTACGTACCCCATCGCCTTCATCTGCGAGCTCAGGCGGCGCGAGAGCTCTCCGACGGTGGCGTCAATGGAGGCCGCCGGGTTCTTCGCGAGAAACAAGTAAACCTTCTCGCCCACCTCCACTGAGCTGAACCCCGACATCTTCCGCAGGCCCTTCCGCTTCATCTCAGCCCTCGTCTTCTCCACCATTTCCCTCATTCCGGCGGCAGCGTAGACATTGGAGAGCAGCACGTAGGCGCCCGGCTGATCGGGCTCCAGCAGGAAGAGCTCCCCCGCCGCCTTCTCCGCCAATCCGACCCGTCGGTGGATCCTGCAAGCGCCAAGAAGAGCTCCCCAAACGCCGGCGCCGGGAGCCGCCGGCATTCCCTGGATCAGCAATGCCGCCTCGTCGAGCAGACCAGCGCGGCCCAAGAGATCAACCATGCACGCGTAGTGCTCGTCCTCTGGGGCGATCCCAAAATCTCTGGACATCGATTCAAAGCGCCGGCGGCCCTCCTCGAGCTCCCCGGAGTGGCTGCACGCGGATAGAATAGAGACGAAAGTTACGGCGTTGGGCTCAACCTGTTCTTCCTTCATCTGGTCGAAGAGGGCGAGAGCCTCTGAGCACAACCCCTGCAGACCGAATCCTCCGATGATCGCGCTCCAAGAGAAGACGTTCCTCACGGGCATTCCATCGAACACTTTGCGGGACGACCAAATAGACCCGCATTTGGCATACATGTCGAGGAGAGCGGTAGACATCACCAAATCTAGTCTGATCCCGTTCCTGATCGCGAACCCGTGGAGGCTCTCGCCGTGAAGAAGGGCCCCCAGTTGAGAACATGCGAAGAGGGCGCTGGCCACTGTGACTTCGTTCGGCATCACCATGGCGGCCAGCATCCGCTGGAAAGCCCGAAGAGCCTCGACAGATTTCCCGTTCTGGGCCAACCTCGCCACCATTAGACTCCACAGTACGATATCTTTGTCGTCGATCTCCTCAAACAGCTTGCAAGCATCCGCCAGCATGCCAGACTTACCGTACATGTCGACGAGGGAAGTAAGCAGACGAGTGTTCGAGCCCAGGACGCCGTTTCTAATCCAGAGACTGTGGAAGGAGCCGCCCACCTCGCCGCCGGCGAGGTTGCCCAAGGCCTGCGCCACATGAACTGCAGACGAGGGATCCACCTGAGTCCCCAGTCGATTCATCAGAGAAAACAGGTCGAGCACCTCCACATCCTTTGAGCTCTTCAACAGGCCTCTCATGGTGAGGCCCCATAGGATGGATCTTCCGGGGAGAACTCCGCAGCAGAAGTCTCGGGCGTCCTCGAGGAACCCTAATCCGGCATACATCTTGACGAGGGCGGGCGCGACGTGTTCTTGGGCATCCAGACCCCATCGAAGGGCGTCGCAGTGAACAGATTTCGCTCTCTGGATGCTCGACATTTCGGCACATGCTTGGATCGCAAAGACCAAGTTATAGCTGTCCGGCCTCCCACCAGCCTGCCTCATGAGAGCGTAAAGACGCCATACATCAGAAAAGTCTAGGGTTTTGGAGCAGCTGGCGATGATGGTGTTCCATGATCTGGAGTTCCTCACGGGGACTTCTGAGGAAGACCTGCTATCCAAGCTCACCTTCTCCATTCCAAGAACACTGCGGGCATCTGCAACAATCTCCAAGCTCTTGGGCTGATCTCCTGACCATGCACTCTTCTCTGAACATATGGAGGCCTCGGCCCCGCCCATGCTGGGGCCAACATCCTCCACTGAGGGATCACCATGGCCAATGCGCCTCTTCTTGAAGCTCTCAGTCTCACACTTGAAGGTCGATACCCAGTGGTGCAGGGGGTTCCTGGAGCACCCGAAGCAGAAGCTCTCGAGGGTCCTTCCGGCGATGTCCGCGACTAGTTCCATCGCAACAAGGGGAGCTTTCTTCTTGCTCATCGGAATACTTAAGAAGGCATTCGGGCTTCCCACCCCATGAGCTTTCTTCCCTTTCTCAAATATTTAGGAATGTGAGATGGTTCTTCCCTTCACCAAGATGAAGAAAGAAATCCAGAGGATGGAGATGAGGGCGAAGCAAACCCGATGGCGCCGATTATTTCATCAAGACAATGATAGAAATGCAAATAAGCATGAATCTTTGTCTCCGATCTGCCGGAGGATTCCGCACCACAATGGAATCCAAATCGTAGGACATTCCACCACGGGGACAAACTCAGATGTTGCACAGTTTCTGCGCTCTTCATGGTTGCAACCACGCGCGGGCGCCTGAGTGCCCAAAGACCTGTGGTTCCCCTTTACTATGTCTCACCAAACTCTTCGGTAAATCGCAGACCATACAAGACGCAGACTCGAAGGTCTCTGCGGAGAATCTCAAGTTCCGATGACAGATCCATCAGGGGAAGACGAAGAGGAGCTTACCACCGGGGAGGTGCGGCCACTTCATCAATTCAGACAGGGACACAGTTGCCCAAAGGCTTTTACGATTACGGCTTTGGATGGCTCGAGGGAGGAGAAGAGTCCCACAGTGTCAATATCAATGACAAAATTTCGAAGAACCCCAAATATTTTTAAAATTACGTTTGAATCCAGCCTCGGAGGTCATCAGTTTCTTCTAAACGAGAGATCGAGAGAGAGAGAGAGAGAGAGAGAGAGAGAGAGAGTCCTCTCTCTGGTCAAGGGAGAAGGGGCACAAGGAGCCAGAATGGCTGTCAGTCCGGTGAAGGGGTTTCCTCTTCCGCTAGGTATCCCCTTCCAAAACCAGAGCATTCTCCAGAGGCCGAGTTCTCCATGTCCGAACTGTAACAGGAGCGATTCTCAGAGGCAGCAGCTGGTTCCACGTCCATCCCAGGAATTCCCCATCTCGCTGGAAGAGATCAGGCAAATCCACGGTCACATGATCAGAACACAGTTCCGCCAGACGCACCCGACGGCGGGACATCTTCCCTTGCTCCATTCCAGCCCCGCCGCGCAGCTCAACCTCCTCATCTCCTCCTACATCAAGAACGGCCGGCCAGAGGACGCGCTGAGAATGTACAGTCTGGCGAGAGCGGGCGAGGATGCGGTGCTGGACAACTTCACCGTGCCGTCACTGCTCAAGGCCTGCGCTCAGCTATCGAGAATTCGCCACGGCGAGGAAATCCATGGCTTCGTCCTGAAAGTCGGCCTCCACTGGGACGTCTTCGTCCAGAATTCCCTGATTCATATGTACTCGGAATGCGCCTGCGCGGACAGCGCGAGGCGGATATTCGAGAAAATGCCCGAGAGGGACGTTGTCTCTTGGAGCACGATGATCCGGTGCTTCACCAGGAGCAGGCTCTTCCCCGAAGCCCTGAACCTGGTAAGAGAGATGCTGCTGTCGCAGATACCGCCCAGCGAGCCAGCCATGGTTAGCATGCTCAACCTCTGCGCAGAGCTTGGGGATCTATCCATCGCCAGAGCGCTGCACGGTTACGCGACGAAGAACGCCAGCCCGGAGGCCATGGGAGTCAACATCAGCACCGCTCTAGTGGACATGTACGTCAAATCCGGCTGCCTCGCTTCAGCCCGCCGGATCTTCCAGTTGATGGGGGAGAAGAACGTCGCCACCTGGACTTCCATGGTCGCCGGCAGCGTCCGCCTCAACCAGCCCACCGAAGGCCTGCGGCTTCTCGCCCAAATGCAGCGGGAAGGCGTCGCCTCCAACGAGATCACCGTCCTGAGCCTGGCCCAGGAGTGTGGAGCAACGGGGGACCTGAAACTCTCCCGGTGGGCACACGCTTACATCCTCAGACGCGGGTTCTCCCTCTCCCTGGTTCTGCTCACAGCCATGGTCGACATGTACGGCAAGGCCGGCGACGCGACGAGCGCACGGATCCTGTTCGACAGAATGCCTGACAAGGACAGCGCGACGTGGACTGCGATGCTCTCAGGGTACGTCAAGATCGGCTGCATCGACCAGGCGTTCGAGCTCGTGGGCCTCATGAAGGAGGCGAAGGTGAGGTTGAACGAGGTGACCATGGTGAGCCTCCTCGCCCTCTGCAGGGAAGCCGGCGCTCTCGAGCTCGGCAGATGGGTCCACGCCTGGATCGGCAGACAGGGTCTGCGGCAGGACGCCGTGCTCGCCACCGCGCTGATAGACATGTACGCCAACTGCGGGGACGTCGAAGCGGCCTCCGGTATATTCTCCGCCGCTGGCGGCGGCGGCGGCGGCAGGGATGTGGCGATGTGGAACGCCATGATCGGCGGGCTAGCGATGCACGGCAGGGGGGAAGAAGCCCTCCGACTCGTTGGCCAGATGGAAGAGGACAGAGTGGCTCCCAATCACATCACCTGCGTCGCCGTCCTCCACGCCTGCAGCCACTCCGGGCTGGTTTCCGAGGGGAAAGCCTTCTTCAGGAGGATGGAGCGGGAGCTGGGGCTGACCCCCACGGTCGAGCACTACGGCTGCATGGTCGACCTTCTGGCGCGAGCTGGGATGCTCGACGAGGCCCACCGGCTGATCGAGACGATGCCCCTGCGGCCGAACGTCGCCGTCTGGGGGGCCCTTCTCGCCGGTTGCAAGCTCCACCGGAACGCGGCGCTGGGGGAGACGGCGGCGAAGCGTCTGCTAGAGCTGGAACCCGGCAACTGCGGCTACAGCGTCCTCCTTTCCAACATGTACGCCATGGCTCGGAGATGGGGCGAGGTCGCAGAGGTGAGGAAGCTGCTCAGGGAGACGGGAGCTCGGAAGTCGCCGGGGTTCAGCTCGATCGAGCTCGGCGGATCGCTGCACAGATTCACGATGGGGGACGACTCCCACCCGCAGAGCCCCCAGATTCGTGCCATGGTGGAGGAGATGATGAGGAAGCTGACGCTGGCGGGGTATGTGCCCGATACCTCGGCCGTTCTGCTCAATGTGGACGAGGAGGAGAAGGAGACGGCCCTCGCCCTCCACAGCGAGAAGCTCGCCATCGCCTTCGGGCTCATCAGCACGGCCCCCTCCGCCCTCATCCGGGTGGTGAAGAACCTCAGGGTGTGCGGCGACTGCCACACCGCCACCAAGCTGCTCTCCGAGATCTACCAGAGAGACATCATCGTGAAGGATCGCAACCGGTTCCACCACTTCAGCCGGGGAGCTTGTTCTTGCGGAGATTACTGGTGAACTGAGCAGCTGCGGAGATTACTGGAGCTTACTGTTTTCCAAGTGGGGAAGGCGGAAACGGTAAGGGATGCCTCGTCAAAGCCACAGTTTGAGAAGCTTCTCCATGGACCAGACTTCGTCTAGTCTCACAGAAAAGCTCGGAAAGCATCCTAGAGAGAGAAAGAGAGTGTTCAGGGCTGAAGCAGTGAAGGCTCAGATGAGGATCGGGTGGTCAGGCCTATTTTTATCTACGATTCTGAGGTCGAACTTGAGAAAAACCAGGCCAGGCTCGACTGAAATCAGAGCGATGGTGAAGATCTCCGAGGAAAATTGGCATCTCTGCAGCCAAAGTGGTGTGTAAGGGTGAATAGAGAGAGAAAGGAGAAGCCCAGAGACAGGGCGTTCAAATGGTGAACAAGTCCCAACACTATTTTTCGCCCAGACTACAAGCAATAGAACAACTAGATCAAGAAATCTTCATCTCCAAGACATTACCAACGCAAATTTACAGCAGAAAGACCGAGCAATTGGAGAGTTTGTAATGAGCCAAAAAGACTGAAGAGAGAAAGAGAGAGAGATTGGGCTATTTCAAACTGCTTGGTCTTTTTCAGAGACAAATTTGACCAGTTGACCTTTTGCATAGCAATGCAAGAAAAAAACCAAACTTAAGAACACAAATGAATGAAAAATAGCTTCTATTTCTCACAAAAAATGGCCTTTCTAGGGTGGGAAAATACCCTAGAAAAAAATGAACTTCTTCTAGGTCCCCAATTTCCTCCCTACACTCCTGTTGAGTCTAAGCTGTGCTCCACGGAAACCACCGACCGATCAAGAAAAGATCGAATGCTGCCGCCCAAAGTTTTGATCAATCTCCATCAAAGTCATCTACGTAGATACACTGTGCATTCTCCGTGCAAATCATGGGCTCGGAGTCTCTCGCTCCAACCAGGTTCCGCCCGAAAGCTTTGCTCAGGCCAAGCCCCGTGCTGCTGCTGCCGTCGTCGTCGTCATCACTGCTGCCCCCTTCGGTGGTCGCCTGTTCTGGTAACGGCTCCGTCGCAGGATGAAGACGTTGAAGTAATAGCTCACCAGGACTTGCCTGGTTTTGGAAGCGAAGCACAGAAAGAGCCGGTCCCAGAAGTCCATCTTGGGGGATGGCGGGCTCAGGCGAGCCACAGCCATGAACTCCTCTTCCTCTTCCGCTGTCCACGCGAGGGAAACCTCCTCACCCATGTGATCGAAGCCCAAGCCATAGAAAGCCGAGCCCAGCTCACGCTTCAAATGGATTCTCTTCTCTGCTACATGAAACCGGGCGCACTCCATGCAGCCACGGCGTGCGCAGCAGCATGTGCCCAGACCTCCTTGCCCGAGAGGATCCCTTACGGGGGTTGACTTCTGCTCTGGTCTTCCAGGCGGCCATAGTCGTTTGCCCAGGAATTTCTCGGCATTGGGATCGTCCGAGTTTGAAGAAGCCCGGCTGCTCCACTCTGGAATTTGGACCTGGTATTCAGGGCCAATACGGATGTGTTTCCGATCCTTTGCTGAACGAATACCGGCTATGCGAGACAAAGCACGGAGCCTGGAATGACGCTGGTTGTCATCAGTGCCCTTTGATCCGTATTCCATCAAATCCTTCTCTGGGCCGTCATCAGGATCTATGAATCCTTCAGAACAAGAGGCCAGAGTGGTTTCTTCCTCAGAAAGTATTCTCTTGCTGCATCTTAGGTTCCCACTGGTTCGAGAACTAATTTCAGGGTCATCATCATACATGGATGGATTCATCTTCTGTCTTTTCTGCAAGAAATAAAATTTGTGTTTTTTATACCCATTATGATCCATACATGGAGACACGAAGAAAGAACTTCTCGCCCATAAAAGGGAAAGGAATGAGAATCCGTATGTCTCCCACTAGAAACAATTGAGACTCTAAATGGGATCAGGATGATAATGGGCACATAAGATCAATACTATAGTTAATAATCCATCTAAATGGAGAATTAATGACGACATAAAAAATTATACAAGGTCAATGGTTCAGAAGCAACGGCATGACATCTCTTCAGAACTGGAAAAGGGTCAGCAAAAATAAACTTCAATTCATCTTATCGTGTTTCATGCATTTCAAGGTTTTAAAATCACAAATAATGCTCACTGAGACTTGGCCATCAGATCAGAGTCTTTACGGCAATGCTGACAATGAATCATATTGGCTAAGAACAATTTCGATAGAATCCGTTTTTTTAATTTGCAGACGCACAACACGAAGCAAAGAAATCTCAGAAATAAAAGATAATATTGAATAGTAGACTGAATTAAGGTTTATTCCAACTTTAGGATGGAATAGTCAAGGGTCGGTCAGCGAGCATCATGAGTGTGGAGAAACCAAGGGAGAATCGGAAGACGGAGTAATCCAGAGAAAAATACATTTAAATATAAATATATTCCGAAATAGGATTTCAAGATTCAAAGCAATGGTAATTTTTCATGGAGTAGAAGAGAAAAGAATAGCAAACCAAAAACCAAATAATGCACAGGAAAATTAATGGCTGAATGTTTCTGTGGAGGTCCAACATATAATTGACTGAGTAATATCGAGTTATTAAAAAAAAAAATTCCTTATAACCCACGAAGAAAACCAAAGTTGGACTCGAGTACAACCAGCTTTGCTTCACTTATTCAACCACAAACATGAATTTGAGTGCACGACCTCTCAAATCTGGAAGCTTAAGCACAACCTGATGAAAACCAACAAGGTTGTGGACTAATCAAGGCCTTTGATAATTCTTTCCATCTCATCCATGATGCCCATAATTAACAATGATGATACATAAATGCTTGGATTTAGGTATCAATCGCCTTTGGTACCCTTGAAAAAACCCATGGTGCACCAAAAACTCATCTTTTAGAATCAAACTAAACAGTTATTACAATGCCTTAACTGAGTGCAAAAGAGTGAATGATGTCAGAAAATGAAACCCACATCAAGCTCTAAATTGACCAAAACTTTTGTTTTTATGGGCTCATCAGCAAGAATCCAAAGAAACATCCCCCCCCCCCCCAAAAAAAAAAAGAAAAGAAAGTGACACTCATGCAAAGCCCAAGTGATCAAAGGTACCACAAGCGCTTCTACATTTAGCCGAGAAAGAATTGAAAACTGAGACTAATCAAAAACACGAAATCCTCTTCCTCGTCACCAATACCATACTAGGCTGAATATAAATACTTTATCCACGATCTTTTTTCCTTCTTGTCCCATGCCCCCACCGGATTCTAATGCTCTGCACTCAGAGAGAGCAACTGAATGAAGTGACCGCAGTACAACTTCACCAAATACAATAATCGACAATACCTGAGTATGACCCACAGAAGATACCCCGCGAGGATAAATAAAGGCTGGGGAAAATCAAAAGAGAAACTGAAGTAGGCAATTAATACCTGAGAAACAGTGTCATCGATTCTCGAAGGATAAAACAACTTAGCATACATCGCCTCCCGAAACTGAAGCGCGAGAGAAAACGGCGGCTCTTCGACTACATGACAATTGCTCTTCGTTTGATCCGGCCGCATGGTTACAGTGGAGAGACTACAAGGTCTCTTAGCCGCATCTCTCACCCAGTCTAGCACATCGACCGGAGACTCGCGCTTTCTCCTGAAACAAAACGACTGTGTCTCCCCCATTACGGGATCAGTAAACACAGAGCCACGGCCATCGCCTTCACTTCCCAGTAGCTACTCGAGCCTACGCGCTTTCAACGTCGTACCTGACGGCAGCTCCTTCGAGCCCGAAGAAATACCCTCATCACTGCTGGTTTCTGAAGGAAAAATCTCGGCTCTTCCTTTCCCCTGGCCACTGTTCAAGAACCTCCGGGCACTTCACGTAGACTGTGTCACCCTGAGAAGAAGCGCGAGAACCGCCACACCGGCGGGAGGGTTTCTCAGGGTCGTCTTTTGGCGGGAACCGAGGTACCGTTTTCCGGCTTCCGGAAGAAATAGGGCCACCATCCAGCTCCAGCCGGCTCCAGCCGGGGGCAGAGCTCCTCAACTACAGACCAGCCTCGAAGGCGGGATCTTAAGCGGACCCTGGGTCCCCTCCTTGGCCTTCTCCTTCCCCCGTGGTCTCTTACGCTTCCTCCACTGCTTCGCCCGCCAAGATCCTCGCATCAGTGATTTTGCAAGATAAGGCAACAAGGCCAATCACCGGGAAGCGGATGTGAAGGGGGACTGGGTGGCCTCAAACAGCTTCTATGTTACTCTTTTTCCTTGAAGAACGAAAAATTTCCACGGGTCTTCTTGCGTTTTCGTGCTACGTTCTTTTAGGTTTGACCATCCTAATCCGAAGTCCTCCACTAAATGAATTCCCTCAACTAAAAAACAGAGCTGGGTTTTTCCATAAATTAGAGATACATTTAACAAAAAAGGGTTTCACAGAAGAATTAATAGTAGTTGCTTTGAACTAATGTGATTCTTCATGGCAAAATTATGTTTCTGTAACATTAGTCGTGAATTTTGATTCGATCACACTAACTCATGCTTCTGTAATAACATGAATTGTGTCACGATTATTAAAATAGTCCCACATTATGCATTAAAAATGGAGGTCAAACATTATGAACAACTACACTCAGTATGGGTGATTTTGAGCTTTATAGCCTCAAATTTGCACAAATAACACATTAGAACAGCAATCTGATGCTGCAGAATTTAAGAGTTGACAAAATAGGGAAAAAAATTTAGCTTTCCAACCCCATTCCCCGGGAAGCACTGAATCATCAAGAAATTTCCATAGGGTTTGATGTTCCTTGTAATTTATCGCAAAACTACCCTTTCATTAGTTCATAGTTCCCCAATTGAAACCGTTTGGGGCAAAAACAGAAGGCGCAGATCAGAGAGAAGGGATGAGCGATGAGAAGAGTATGCAGAAGAGAGATGAAGAAAGAGGAGGGGGATCATTGAGGAAGAGCAAGCAACATGGGAGGCCCCCAAAGAAATTATGATCGCTAAAAAGATTTGCGCCAGAGTGTGAAAATCGACGCAAGAATCACATTCATATTCATATTCATTCAAATAATATATTCACCAGCATGGAATTTTTTCTGTTCTCATCTCTGTATTAAGATGATTTCAGGAGTCCGTGAAACAACAGCCCTTCCATCCATAGAAAACTGAAAGAACCCACAGTGCAGCCCTTCGCCACCATGTTCTTACCAATTTTTGGAGGATCAAGAGTGCATGCCAAACTATAAAGCTAAGCTAGTCACTTAAATGGGAAACCAGAGAAGCCTTGTGAGCAATATCGGGAAAGACATGGAAAAGGTGATGAAAAAAAACTTATTTGGCTTCGAGGGGCAGAGTCATTGCAGCAGCATCCGCCCAGCATGCAGAGAGAGAGAGAGAATCACAGCTCCCAGTGTGGAGTGTCAAAGGATAGGTAGGGAGGCTGCCTGCTAGCTGGGTAAAGTATGTAAGTGCCTCTACGGAAACGAGAGCAGAGGCATCAACAGGGGAAACATTACCAAACATGAACTTACCGTGAAAGGAAAAAACTATGCATGAAACACGCGGAATACTCGAGGGGGAGATCATTACGAAAGTACAAGAATTATCCATTGCCGTATAAATGACTGCGCGAGTGGCAGCCTATGATTCAGAGTGCGGACGGTAGGAAGAGTACAAGCAGATAGGATTGTAGATGACCAGACGCCACTTTCACGGCGTTAGCTCACATTGTAAAGAAGGCCCAGGTCTTTGAGGCAAGTCGTATTACATAACCAGGAATGAACTGAAAGGTTATTTCCCAAGAGAAGAATCAAATCCATAATTCCCGACCATTATCACCATTATCACCATTATCCTGTACATCATAAGATACCATAAATAGAAAAGTTAACATCAAGGTTTATTTGGTGGGTGAAATATGAAAAATGTCTGCTGGAGGACGGTAAGATGCTCACGTTGCTTGAGGTATATGCAGAAAAGTAGGAAGGATGTGCTCCAAGCTTATGAAAGCAAATGGCAAGCTGACTCTATCGCAGAAGTCCTGCTTTCAAGGCCACCATTTTACACATTTCACAAAACAGTGTGTGAATACAAATTTATATCACAATGTCTGCCCGTGCTTTCAAGGCCACCATTTTAATGCAAACAATTAGTGAAACCCAAAAAGACCAGGGCCAAATGAATACGAAGTCCTGTTTCTACTCCTGCTTGAACTTCTTCTGCTGCTTCTCAGAGGAGTCAAGTAAAAGCGGAGTAGTCCACTGCCCACGTTCCTTGGAGAGGAGAAATGGGCACTCCTGCTTCGACTAAAGTTTCTCTCCCTTTTCTTGGTGAGACTGTCGTTTCTCATGGCGTACAGATCTCCATTCTCAGTGTTCCTGCTTTTGTAGAGAGAGTGCCTAATTCTACCCATCCCATGGCCGGAAAAATGAGGCCCAGTCACTGAACTGGATGTCTCAACGGTCTTCATTCTGCGTCTTCCCTGCCCAGGTTCTGATAGAGATCTCTCTAGGGAGCGTTCCTGGCTCCGGGTAATCTCCCTAAAAGGGCTGGTGATGCTCCAGCTCCACACCCTGTTCCATCTGTGAGATTTCCTTCTGCTGTTCCCCAGAACACCAGCATCCTGGGGGCCTTTCTCCTCCTGGGGAGGTTTTGCACTTCTCCTCTGCGGAGGAGGCGAGACCTTGTCCGGAGCAGAATTCGCATACATGGACGTGCACGAATCAGTCGTTCCGAAAGACGTCTTACCTTGAGAAGTCGTGGCCTCTTCAGACAGGTCTGGAGAGCTTCTCCTTCGGGACATCGACAGCTTAGAGGCATCACGGGCCCATAAATCATCAATTTTCTCATCCTGCGACTCCTTCACGCAGGAAAAGGGGCAAGAAAACGCCCTGCCAATCATCAGCCCGTCCCACGAATGCCTTGAATTCTCCCGAGCTTTGCTTGGATCACAAGGGGTCGTCCCTTCCCAAGAGTGCCGGAAGCTCTTCTTGCCGCCTGACCATTCCTGCTCATGAAGACCACTACTCTGGCTCACCTCACGCAATGAGCTTTCCCTTTCGGCGATCTTCATCCTCCGACATAGTTGTTTCATTGAAAACGAAGCATTCATCCGAAATGAAGCGCCATTCAGCTTTGAATTCTCACTACTTGCCGGGCTTTGCTTCACCGCTTGAGACACGTCCATCGAGCCAGAGGCAGAGGAACCAATGGTAAGAGAGCCGACCGTGTCGGATTCACCGGCATCAGCGTGGAACCTCACATTCCCTGCGGCTGAGTTCTCCGTCGCAGACTGATTCCTCTCAGCATCAAGATTGCACTCATCGTCGAGACGGAAAAGGGACAGGAGAGTTCTTCTCTCCCTGACTTTGTGATTTTTCTGGTCAAAATCTGATGGAGATACAAACAGAGAGAGGTCGCCCGCTTCCTTTCGTCGTCTAGGACCCCGCTCTGCGGCATAAACATTGGATAACCTTTCGACCAGACATGACGAGCAGAAGCCGGTGGAGAATTGGGATGGGTGCCTCAAACACCTAGCGAAGGTTACAGTCGCAGGATTCATCTACGTTCAGGATAAAACAGCAGAATACCTAGGTTGGTGTTTGAAGGCCTGCTAATTTAGAAAACAGATCGCAATCCGATAAAGGTGTACTGAATCAGAAGACAGATCTCAACAAACAAGGTGTGAACTCGGAAGACGGATTCAAGACACATAAGAAATTGTTGGTCGACAACCCTAGTTCCAAGCTGTCTTAAGATATTCCTATGTGGCCCAAGGATCTGAACCAGATGAAAACGGACTTTCTTCTTCCGAAACGTAAAATTCCTCCAGATCGAGAGCTGCCTAATGTTAATATAAAAAAAATCACGCCGAGAATTTATACAGTAGGAGAATCGAAGACTCGATGAGGCCCAAAACTCCTAGGTGAGAGAAGAAGCCTACAGTTCTCTCAGGCCAGGGAAATAATGGGGAGGAGGGACTATAGCGAAAACCCCCCGAGAAGAAGCGGACCGAATCTGGGAGGAGAAATATATTCAAAAAAACAGCGCAGAGAAACCGAAATTCCTCCGCCTCGACCGAGGCGGAGGCGGGAATCGACGCCCCCAAGCGAAGAACCGAACAAACATTTCTAAAAAATAGGAAATAAAACTGAAAATCTCCCCGATGGAGCTTCTCCGTCACCACTCAGCTGAGCGCTCCGAGAACCGCACTCCCTTGGAACTCCGATCCTTCTTCGACCGGCGAAAATCCTCCTCCCCCATCTTCCCGTTGTCCACCAGAAGACGAAGACGACGAACAGGCTGGGATTTGCTCGTCATCCCGGCGGACGGTTGCCACGTGCGGACATTAACAGCCACACTGGGATGTTCCAGTGACGTGTCGAAATCAATGGGCCCTCCGTAAGGCCCGAGCCCAGACCCAGCCCATTATAACCCGGCCGATTTATTGCTACCCCCCCCCTCCCCCTCTCTCCCCCACCGCATTCATTGCGGAGTTGGACTCGGTCTGGACTCCGAGTCAGCGCCCAGTTCTCACACACATATCGGATACCACCTGATTCCTTATTCACCGCTTACGTCGGCCTTCCAACAAAATAACCGATGCGATGGATCCGGATCCTAGTCTACCTGATTATTAATTAAATATTATATACTTCCTGTATTTAATAATTCAAAACCATGGTCGTCTTCCGGGTCAGCGCTCGGTCCACACACATATCGGATCGTGCCGGATTCCTGGTTTCACCACTTACACCAGCCTTCCAATAAAATAACCGATAATATGGATCCGGATCTATTATAGGGGCGTCATAGATAGTTATCAGATTATTAATCAATATTATATATTTCCTACACTCAATAATTTAAAACGAACAAATATGAAACATGGAACCCGGAAGTTCGGCCACGTTTCTGCGATATTTCTGTCGCCAAAAAAGTAGAAAAATAAAACAATTCTGCGCGACCACCCAGGTCTCCGCTACTGAGGGTTGACTTCCCATATCGTCAACCTCTACACCTGTTATTTTCTCCCAAGTTGTTGTGGAACTACTTTGGAGACTCATTATGATTATGATGGAGTGTTGTTCTTCGTGGTGATCGATAATCTGATTGCTTTGAGTTGACCTTGGATATCTTTTTGAAGTACATAGCTTACTTGATTCCATGCTCGATTACTGTGTTTCACTTGAAATGGTGAAGTATGTTGACGAGTGTGGTGACGAGTGAGACTCGAGACATATTTTATCTCATAAGTCTATTAATTATTTGTTATTAGCTAGAAAATAATAACTATTAGAACTGTTATTATCAATATTATTATTAAGGTGATCTACAACAACTTTGACCATATTTAAAGAGATTCGTTTATTATTTTCTCATGCATTGATGTCTTTCTTTATAGATTGATAAGCATTTGCTTGCTCTATTATTTAATGCAAATTATCTTCTCATAGACTACACAAATAGATTAGTTCGTCAAATACACACTCCAGATGATAATTAAAATATAAAAGAGATTTAATAAATAAAGTAGAAACCACAAACACTATCAAAAGTAAAAGTAGAAGTCCCAGACTTACTCAAAATCATCCACGGTCACAGAAAGAGTATACTAAAAGAGTGGTTATGATTAAGCGTAACATGCAAAATAACTAGTTATGGAAAGAAGGCACTGAAGAGACACCGCTCATAGAGGTTAACCATTGACCAAGTGGTGAAAGTTGACCTTCCGATAGTTGACTGTTGATGACTGATTGGACCAAGGGTTCTGACCAGCGAGATGAGACGGTTTGGACCAAGGGTCTTGGTGGTTCAGACCGGAGGCAATTGGGCTCAGACGAGGCGGTTAATACGGTCGGGCTTGGACCAGGTGGTAGGGCAGTCGGCTCAGGCTGAGGCGGTCCGGTTTAGGCCGGTGATTTGCCGGATCACGAACCGGTAGTCTTTAAACCTAACTGGCGAGAGGTGAGATCACGACCGGCTCGTGCAGGCGGCGACGGCGGCAGCGGAACGGCCGGAGGGGAACCAAGGGGATGATGGCGGCGGACGGTGGCGGCGATGGCAACGAAGGGCGAAGCTTGGGCGGGGGATAGCGACACAGATGGAGACGGCGACGGTGGGGCGGCCGGATGGTGGAACGGTGGCGCCGGAAGGAGAAGGCGATGACGGGGGCGGCTGGAAGGCGGGACGGCGGCGGCAGAGGGAGATGGCGACGGTAGTACTCCAACCGGGAGCAAGGGGTCCCTACGACCAACCCTAACCGGGAGGCGACGGGGCCCTCACGACCGGCAGCAGGCGACGGAGCCTCGACGAAGATAAGTCTGATTCCAAATTCAAGTCCCTCTCCAGGACAGAGAGACGGGCCTAATATATTACATGAAAAAAACGAAAAAGTAAAATAAAGAAAGCCTACTAGTTAGGCCCACTAAGATAGCCCTAAGGCTGAGCTGGTCCTCGTCCTGCGTCACACTAGTTCCCCCCAGAAGACGAGTGCGAAGATGACAACTTATTCAGTTCATCGGAAACGACAGCGGTGAACCTACCCATGAGGTCCCTGGGAAGCGCCAGCCCGATCTCCAGGCCCCCTGCGTCCTCCCTCCGCTCTGCAATAGATATAGCGCTCGTCTTCTCGATGGATATGACTTCGATCTTGCGAGGACTGCCCCAGCCGAAGTCCACCTGGTACAGCCCCAGCCTAGGCGCCCCCGCCGCCGACAGAGTCCTCGCGAAGGCCGACGGCGCGATGCTGCGAATCCAGTTCTCGGCCCCTTCCAAGGCCCCTCCTGAGTTCAGACGCTGGACCGCCTTTCGGATGGCCGCGGAGGCGATGACCGCCCCGTCCTCCCCCGCCAGATCGCTCCCGTCAGCCTCCGCCAGGCATACTCCCAGGCAGTTCCCGAAGTACGTGGCCGGCAATGGGGGGTCGAGCCGCCCCCTGGCCTCGAAGACGAAACCGAAGGCCTCGGTTTTGCCGTTGGACACCCCACTGGCTTTCGCCAGGCAGGCCCATATGAACCCGCACGCCAGGGCAAAGGACGAGCACTCAGTTGCCGTCTTGCCGGAGAACACCTCGCCCAGCTTCTTGATCTGCTCCTGGCTAATGACTGACGTCGAACGGACGACGTCGTTCCGACCATGGAGGTTCAATACCTCCATTCCACTGTCGTCTTTAAGCAGATTGAGGTCGCGGAGGAAGATCCCCCCCAGATCCATGGGATCCTGAATGACGCTCCTGTCGTAAGACGGCGGGGCCCCCACGCGGCCGTCGGGGACCTCTCCCATCCCCAGCCGGCACGCCGCTGCCCAAGCCTTCAAGAAGTTCGACGACGTGGTGCCGTCGGCGACGGAGTGTGAGATGGTGATCCCCAGAGCCACACCGGTGTCGGGGAACAACGTGACCTGTAACGCCAGCAACGGCCATCCGGTTCCCGTCCCGGACAGCAGAGGCGGCACCAGGGGATGGAGCCGGTTGCAGATCCGGGCGTGATTCCCGGATATATCGTAGAAGTCGTCGCCGCTTTCCGCCACCGTGAAAGGGACGGTATCAAGGTCGCTGCTACGGATTTCATGCTTGGCCACGCCGGAGGAGGGATGTAAGCTGCCTGCGAGGGGACGGAAGTCGCGAAGGGCGAGGGAGAGTGATAACTTGAGATGCGGGAGGTGGTTCGCTAGAAAGTCGGACACTGGGCAGGGGAGGTCGTAGAAGAAGATCCTCTGCACAGGGGAACAGAACAGGAAGATGCAGTCGAAGAAGGTGAGGGGGAGGCTGTCCGGTGCGACGGAGCCCGGCGCGGGGGAGATCCGGCACTGCTCCAGCACCTTAATCCCGGGCTCCTGCTGCGTCGCCTCCATCTTTTTTTCTTCAATGGCCGACATTTACAACTACTCTGGCGGCTGGGGAGGTAAAATGGAGGGGTTGGATCATCATCTGGAGAGAGAAGAACCTGTCGCTTTTCGGGACAGCGGGATCAATGGTCGGCGACTTTTCTATTGCCATAAAAGATCTGATCTTGAATCCATGGTAAAAAATGTGGCTCACGTTTTTTGGGCGAATTTTCATTTGCGTAAGGAACTGTTCCGTTCATGAGAACAACAAATATCTCATCAAACGTGGAAACAATTTAAAGCCTGATCAAACGTGACGAATGAAAGTTTCAGCTCACATATTTCAAGATTGAACAAGTTGATGATATCTTCCCCAAAGTGAATTCTAATGCCAACCTTGAATATTCTCTAGAACGCTTATTTGGTTTGAATCCCTAAAGACTAATTGACATATGAATAAGCCATAGAAACTTGACAAGCATCAACAAGTCTTCCTACTACGGCCCTTATCTCCAAAGAAACCTAAGTAAGTTTTTGTGTTTACAAGTACACAAGTTGACCGTACTCAACTTGTATCAACTTTTAGCCATATAGTAAAAAGACTAGTACGCTCTTCTATATTAAAACCTTAAACGCTCTCTCTCTCTCTCTCTCTCTCTCTCTCTCTCTCTCTTGTTCGCTCGCTCTCCCCATCTCCCTCCTTTTTGTGCCATCAAAGCTACTTAGCCTTTTACTCTCCCTCATTGCCTACTTTGGTATCTTAGGACGAAAGACTAAGATTTGATATCTTTAAGGGGAATCAGAAGTCAAAGTGAAAAAAGTAAGATACATAAAATTGAAGACATTTTTGACGAGACAAAAGTAATCCTTTGTTAAAAAAAACTTGGGTTTCATGCTAAATCCTTGAAGGGGAAGTGATAACATATAATACACCACTTTACATGCAGTTTAACTTTTTAAGAGATTAAATTATACATTATATTCCGTGTTTTATTTCTATGATAAATGAACTTATTTTAAACTCATGATTATTTTAAATTAAAAAGTGGTACCTCATTCTAAGATACCTTTAAGCTTAAGAACAATTCAAAGTAACTTGTCATATAATATGAAATTTTTACAACTGACTGTAACTGTCCATTGAGGCAAGAGGCTGCGTATCATCTCCATCCTACATATGAGAGGAGAAAGTGTCTATCTATCAAAAAATATATAGCAATGATGCAACCCTCTAACGGTGCAACTCTCTCTTATTTTTAAAATCTCGATTGATTGGTCTATTGAGACAGACAGCCTAACATGGGCTTTAAACCTCACCACTAGTATGATACCACATGGGTGCACAAATAGGCATACATCGGCATAAGATAATACATATAGAACTTAGGTTAACACATAAGTACACATGTCCCGAAATAGATGAACTCTCAAGTTAGAGGAAATGTGAGAGTTTTTCTAATTGAGAAGAATCATTGAGTTTGTACGCTTTCAAAATATCTGTACATGAACCTTAGAGGTATGTGCTAACACAACATAACACAAATTGACCAAAAAGAGGTTCGCATGTGAACATACATTATTTGGGCAAAAGTTTATATTGAAGCATTATATGTATTATGTTTTGATGATGACAAATAAGTTTTAGGTTCAATTCAAATATTTAGTTATGTATAGTTTATAATATACACGATATGAAAATGCTCAAGTATATTCATAAGAATAACAATAATAGCTCATATAAGAATTCATTGAATATACTTTTGATCAATAATACCTAATTTATAAATATTATTAATTTCATCGTATGAAATTATCATGTTGTATATTGTTGTAGCAAGTGTCAATATTTATAGAATATGCCATAGTGAGAAAGTAATGATAAACACATCAAAATCAACAAAAAAAACAAGAAGTAAAAATAAGTATGAAAGCTTACGTAGTATATTGTGTACTCGTGACATTAGATTATTACTTTCAAATGATTTTGATATCATTTCAATAGATCTAATCCAAATTATTTATTCAGTCAAATATGATTTTCTAGATACTAAAGAACATACTTTATAAAATCATCTTAGATATCCTAAAGTCATGATTATAAAAATTGAGATCATGATTCAATATGTTAACTTGATGGTCATATTTTATTTGAGGTTATTCGAGTAATAATTGATTACTAAATCATCATCTTATTGTGATGTATATTGCCAGCCCTATTTTAATCATTATTAGATCTTTACTAGTTCAACTCTTACAATACTAGATCCTTAATGGATAAATAAGAACCGACATGATTCAGATAGAAATGTTAAGTGATAAAGGAACTATATAGTGGTTTCTCCTAAAGATATATGAACTGTTAAATGACATGTATTGATTTCTCAATAATTTGAATTAATCTCATTTTAGAGAAAATAGTTAGAAAATATTAGAGATCTAAGAAGATTTTTGTACAAGATTAATCTATGAATTATATTGTCTTCCAATGTCCACATTAAGGCAAAGCAATTATTCTTTTCATCTCAACAACCTCCAACATTGCATTAAGTCTTCATCACAAGAAATTCAAGCTAGAGATAGTGAGGTTTTTGTTGGCAAGTTAAACTTCATGAAGACATCAATTTAAAGGAATTACTAGAGTATTTAAATATTCTCTTTAACCTATTCAAAGCTAAAAGAGCATTCAATATACATTCAACATTTCAACAAGAAAAAAAGAACAACTAAAAGTCAATATATATGATCATTTTCATTAAAAATCTAGAAACACTCATCTTTGAAGTACATATCATCTTTGAAATACTACCCATGGTAAAATATTTTTGTATCTATTGTGAGAAAAAATCATGATTGAATCATTTTAATTACTCGTTGAAGATGTCCCTTTAAATAACCATTGGCCACCTATAGTTGTGAATCTAAGACGTTTAGTAGTGTGTGATCAAATGGACATAGTATATGAAACCCAAGAATAAAGTTGTTCTTAGAGAATGGATGTAAATAGTAAAGATGGAGGAAGCCTAAAATCTTAGATTTTGGGAAATGTATGATTTTTAAATAAAATTACAAAATACCTTACATGACTTATTATTTTATATATATCCTCTCAACATATGACAACTAATATTACCCAAAACTATGAAGTAACTATTTTCAAAATATTTAATATAACACTCTAGTTTTTGTTTATGGTATGTAATTATATAATCTTGTTCTTGCCCCTTATACTAGTCGTAATATTAGCATTAAAAAATATACCAACAAAAAAATAAAAATGTGCAAATATGCACAAACATATTTCACCAATGTAGATGCTTGGATAACATAAATTACTAAAACATGACAAAATGACCAAAATCATGTAGCCTAATCATACAAGAGAACTACATGTTACAGTTTGATTTTAATCATTCCCAACAGTAATTCCCTTGAATTTAATACACATATTGATATATACTTATAGATATGTTGAGTAGTTTTTACCTACTTAGTTGTTTATTGTGGTTTGTCTGAAGAATGGTTCAAACCTCCTTGTGTACTATTAATAGCAAATTGGGTTTCCTTTATTTCTATGAGAACTTCACTGTAGGCATAGAGGCATTTTTTTTTAACATATAAAGGCTAGAGGAACCTAGTGTGCTTCAGTTTAATTCCCATCCCCATTCTATTATCCATTAATTATTTCTTGAATTTGATAGAGACATAGAAATATATATATTCTCAGTCGAATGGAAGATGTACTTTAAGAGGGGTGTAATCGGTAATAATCTTGATATTGTACTTAAATAAATAATTTTAATATCACAATTTTTAATATATATATATATATATATATTTGTATGGTACGAAGTTAATTTCTCAAGAAGTTGATGGAGACAGATTGGAATATATAAATATATATGTCGGTATGCGAGAGAGAGAGAGAGAGAGATGTGAGTGGTAAGAAGGAATCGAAAGAAAACAAAGGGCCGACGAGACAGCAGCGACAAAACGTTCCACCTCCCCATCGCCCCAGTTCAGTTCACGCGCGGGGGTTTTCTTTGGGCTCATCCCGGCCCCTTCCCTAGAAGAGGAGGAAGAAGAAGAAGACGAGGGGAAGGAAGGAAGCGCCACCGCACAGTCCCCCCGTCGGCGGCGGCGGGAAGGTAGTCCTATCCTCGCTCGATGCTGCTCGCAGCTCTCCTCTGGGCCTCCGTGGGGGCGGGGCTCGCCTCCACCTCCGACAGCGGCCGATTCGCGGCGGCGATGGGCGGCGGCCTCGGGACCTCGGTGTTGATCACCGGCAACTCCACCCTAATCAGCCCCAACCAAACCTTCGAGATTGGCTTCTTCACCCTCGACGGCGGATCTCGGTGGTACTTCGGCATCTGGTACGCCTCCATCCCTATCCGCACCTACGTGTGGGTCGCCAACCGCGACTCCCCCGTCGGTGGCGGCTTCACGCCGGCGACGGTGAGGATGACCGCCGAGGGCTTTATGACCGTGAGGGACGACGCAGGCCGCGACCTGTGGCGGACGGACAACTCCGAGCCCGCCGGAGCGGCGAGGTTACTGGACACCGGAAACCTCGTCCTCCTCTCCGGCGACGGCGAGGGAAGGGTCGTCTGGGAGAGCTTCGACCATCCCGCCGATACATGGCTGCCGGGGCTGAGCGTGTCCCGCCGCCGCATCATCACTTCCTGGCGGAGCCCCGTCGATCCCTCCCGGGGGCCCTATTCCCTCCGGCTGAAGCCGCCCAACTACGGCGAGTTCGAGCTGATCTATGAAAATGGCGTTCTCTCTCCCATCACCTACTGGTCCACAGGGAACTGGACGGGCGACCGCTTCACCGGCGTGCCGGAGATGACGGTGCCGTACATCTACACCTTCCGGTTCGACAAGCCCTTCACCCCCGACGCGTCTTTCGTCTATTCCGAGGCGCCGTCGGCTTTAGTCATCCTCCGGCCCTTCCTGACTCGCTTCGTCGTCGACTCCTCCGGGGAGCTCCGGCAGTACACCTGGTCCGCGCAGTCCTCGAGCTGGAACATGTTCTGGTCTCGCCCTGAGGACCTCTGCGGGGTCTATGCTCGCTGCGGAGACATGGGCCTCTGCCGGGAGGAGGGCCTCCGGCCATGCGACTGCCTCCCCGGCTTTGCTCCAGCGGACCCGGTCTCGTGGAACTCCGACGACTTCACCGGCGGCTGCCGCATCGACGAGGCTGGGGGCGGCGGTGGCGGCGACGACCACTGCGGCGCCGGCGATCTGAGGGAGAAGCCGTCGGAGCTCAAGGAGCTTGGGCCCATGAGCTTCGACGGCGCGTCGACGGTCTCCTTCCCCAGCCCCAGCCGGGGATCATGCGAGGACTCCTGCCTGAGGAACTGCTCTTGCCGAGGGCTCAACTACAACCCTGAAACCAAGCGCTGCCGGAATCTCTACGGCAACCTGTTCAATCTCCGCAACAGCACCTCGGCCCCCACTCTGTACCTCAGGACGTCGCTCGGGGGGTCGTCTTCCTCCTCTCAATCGGGAAGTAAGCCCAGAGGTGGGGAGTGGAAGACGGTGGCCCTCTCCGTCGGGAGCGTCTGCGTGCTCTTGGCTCTCGCAGCGGCCGCCGCCCTGGTCTGGACGCTCCTGCGGATAGGGAAGAGAGAGACAAGGCGACCGAAGACGGCTACCGCAGCCAGAGGAGAGGAGGAGGAGGATGATGACATCCCGGCGACGGCGAATCTGCGGGTGTTCACCTACAAGGAGCTGTCGACGGCGACCAAAGAGTTCTCGGAGGAGCTGGGCCACGGGGGCTTCGGGGCGGTGTTCCGTGGGGAGCTCCCCGACTCGTCGCTGGTGGCGGTGAAGCGCCTGGATCGCCCCGGCGGCGGCGACCGCGAGTTCCGCGCGGAGGTCCGCACCATCGGCAGCATCCAGCACGTCAACCTCGTCCGCCTCCGCGGCTTCTGCTCCGACGACCCCCACCGCCTACTCGTCTACGAGTACATGCCCCGCGGTCCTCTCAGCGCCTACCTCTCCCGCAAGCGCCGCCAGCAGCCGCAGCGGGAGGAGCTGTTCCTCCGGTGGGAGGAGCGGTGGCGGGTGGCCGTCGGCACGGCGAGGGGGATCGCGTACCTGCACGAAGAGTGCCGCGACTGCATCGTCCACTGCGACATCAAGCCGGAGAACATCCTGCTGGACGGGGATTTCACCGCCAAGGTCTCAGACTTTGGGCTGGCGAAGCTGATCGGCAGGGACTTCAGCCGGGTGCTCGCCACCATGCGGGGGACCTGGGGCTACGTCGCCCCGGAGTGGATCTCCGGCGTCGCCATCACCGCCAAGGCCGACGTCTACAGCTACGGCATGACGCTGATGGAGCTCATCGGAGGGCGGCGCAACGTGGAGACGGCGGCAGCGGAGGAAGAGGAAGAGGACGGGGAGAAGTGGTTCTTCCCCCCGTGGGCGGCGCGGCAGGTGGTGGAGGGCAACGTCGCCAGCGTGGTGGATCCGCAGCTCGCCGGAGATTACGACGTCCGGCAGGCGGAGCGGGCGGCGCTAGTGGCGGTGTGGTGCATCCAGGACCAGGAGACAAACCGGCCCACCATGGGCCAGGTGGTGAAGATCCTGGAAGGGACGGTGGAGGTGACCTCCCCGCCGCTGCCCCAGCTCTTGCAGGCGCTCGTCTCCGGCGACTCCTTCCGCCGCGCGGCCTCGCACGCCTCCACATCTCCCGGCGACGACGACGACGACAACTATTCCGAGGAGGACTCCGAGATCTCTGTCGTCAACGGCCGTTGACTCCGCCGCTTGGCCCGTCAAGCGCCTGCTGCACGCGGAAGGCGTCAACTGAACATATAATATTAATAATTAATAGTTAATAATCCCCCCTGAGCATATGACATCTCTGTTGCACGCCAACATGGTTTTCCGTACCTAGTGTAACCGATGCCTCACGTTGGGCCCCACCACAGGACGATCAGCGGTCAAACACCTGATTAGGAGTCAATTTCTTTATCGGAGCCTCAAAACTCATTCCAGGAATGGATTGCCCACGTGGCAGGCACGTCCATCTGTACCCTATCCGTCTCTCAAACGGGCCTGACCTGACCGGGCTCAAACAGGTTACCCGTCGGGCCTTCAGGCTAGGCTTTCCCCCCTCCACCCTCTTTGGCCTTGATTTGGGGCCCGACATTAGCGAGGTATCCGGCTATTCTTTACATCCTACCTTAGTGACGTCAGCAGCATATAGGAGATATTCCGAATGAGATGGAAGTAAGGTTACCGTAAGTTACCTCCCCGCGCGCTTGGTCGGGTGAGCCAGTAAGTTTAAGGGGGAATTCAACCAGGCGGTGATGGTACCGCATGCCAGGGGATCTTACTCGTTGCGAGCCAGCTACGGATTACAGTGTCCGTCCCGACCACGGCACGCGCTCCCCGGGGCCGGAAATTTCGGCTCGGCTGAAGCTGGCGGCTCCTCGGCTCAGCTTCTCTCATCGGCCGCGCCGCCCACCGGCTCCAATGCGTCGTGAAGGTGGTCCCGGTCGCTGCCAGGGCAGCTGGGTAGCATTTAGCCCCCCCTGCAAGAGCTTCTCTCGAGCTCGAATGGGGACAACAACTTCGCGGTGACCTGCACCTGCAGGACGTCCTCTTCTTCTCTCTCCTCTCTCTCTCTCGATTATCCTCCTCCTCCCTGGAAGTGCAGAGCCCTGAAGCTGGAGTTCCCGGAGATCTGCTCCGCAGTCGGAGGGCTTTCCGTGGAGCGGCGCCTGCTTCCGCATTATTTTTACTGTAAGTAAAAATGCGTCTCTTCCTCGGATTGGCTGGCCCTCGTTTGTTCTCCCGGCTTCCTTCTGTTTCTGGATCGCGCCGATCGGTTTCTATCGGCACCCCCCACTCCCCCCGTGAATTCGTGCTTCTTCGGCGTGGTTCGAACTCATGTTCTTCCCTGATTGCCGACTAATCGATCCGTCGTTCTTGGCAGCTCATCATCCTCGTTTCGGCTCCGCTGCCAAGGGAAATTCGCTCGAATTCGATTCATCGCGTGGCTTCGAGGATTCCTCCGTGGACTGACTGATGCTTGAAGCGGGTTCTTGCAGAATTATTCAGATTTGAACCGCGGTTATGTTCGCCTCTCCCGCCGCTGAAACCGGCCGCGGGCAGGACCAGATTGGTGGAAAGGTGATGCCTGTTCTTCCGAGATCCTCATCGGTCCCATTTTTTTTCCGAAAAACCAATTCGATGGCTCGGCCCGCGCTTCAGTTTTTTTAGTTCTGGAGAGATCACGAGCATAAAAAGAATACGATCTCCGGCGACCGACTGGATAGATAAAACCGAATTATTTATGGGCCTTGATGGATTCGTATATATCGGCTGATGAGATTTACTGCCGTAAATCTCTCAGTTCGCTGCCGAGGCCGTCCCCATCTCGCACCCGTGCGAGCTTGACCAGTCTGAGACGACGCCCTCTCAGATAATGCTGGATAGATAGCCGTCCCTATGCGGAGTAAATGCTCCTCTTCGCTACTTTAACTAGATTCAGAGCTCATTTCAGTCTCGATGTTGATATGATCAGTGCAATATCTCTCTCTCAATCTCTGTCACTGTGTGGGATGGTGATGGGTTTGATTGATGTGCAGGTAGATGGAGGGGGAGCTGTGCGCGCAGAGAATTCTGTGCCCGTTGAGGGAGGAGAGCGGCGATGAGGAGCTGGCGGTGCTGCCGAGGCACACGAAGGTAATAGTGAGGGGGAATAACAGGACCAAGTCGGTGCTGGTAGGGCTTCAGGGGGTCGTCAAGAAGGCCGTCGGGCTGGGCGGCTGGCACTGGCTCGTCCTCAAGAACGGGGTGGAGGTCAAGTTGCAGAGGAACGCGCTGAGCGTCCTGCAAGCTCCCACGGGGAACGAAGCCGACGACGACGAGGAAGACGACGGCGACCGCGACGGCGACCACTCCTGCAGCAGCTCCTCGACACGAACTCACCACCGCAGCAGCTGCCGGGAGATCCGTCCCCTCCCCTGCAAGCCGCATCCGGCGGTAACCTGTCTGGCTATGCCTCTCTCTCTCTCTCTCTCTCTCTCTCTCTCTCTCTCTCTCTCTCTCTCTCACTAGAGGTTGATGGGGGTGCGGTGAACAGAGGGTGGATTTGGCGAAGCTGGGGGATGCGTCCTTGTGGAGATACTGGAGGCGGCACAATCTGGTGAGAACTCGGCCGGCGAGAACCTTATCCTCCGTTGGTGGGCTATTTTTAATGGTTCCCGCGACGTGATTGATGATGGCGGCACCGCCGTGGGTTTCAGGAGGGCCTCTACCCCCAGCCTTCTTCCAAGGAGCAGCTACTGGACCTGGTTCGGCACCATTTCCGCTCTCAGGTCCTCCTCTCATCCTCCCCCTCCTCCCCTTCCGGAATCCATCGTCAGGAGCCCGACCCTGTTTCTTCCTCTTCCTCGCCAAAGCCATTGGACGAGGTGCAGGCGATCCTCGACTTCATCCACGCCGCCAAGAGACTGAAACCACTGTACGCCTAGTTCACGCCGCCCGCCATCGACGACGCTCCGGCATCCGAATCACCGTACCGAATTGCCCCTCTGTCATGAGATCGGTCTGGACTGTTGGGTTCTGATAGCCCCCCCTTCGCTCTCTCTCTATCTCTCCTCTCTCTGTGGGTCAAACAGGTCTGGGTCTTATCCGGGGACTCCAACCGAGTTCACTTGGTGAAGACAGGCGAGACCTCGCAATTCGTTTGCTCTTGGTCCGCTACAGGAAAACCGGACCGAGTCTGGTTTCCACAAGAAAATGCGGGCTATTACTTCATGAAGCGTGCGCACAATTACCTGGGTTGGTCAAAGATTTCTAAAAAAAAGCGATCTTTCGGAATAACGTGGGGCGATTTATCCGAGGCCCGCCGGCCGGCCGGCCGCAACCGGCCTAGAGAAGCGGCGGTGGGAGAGAGAAGGATCGGAGATTTACTCCGGCGACCATTTCCGGCCGCCGGATCAGATGCTACGCGGACACGGGTAACTCCGCAGAAGTGAGGTGGACTGGTGGCGTAAGAGCCGACGTTGACCCTGCACTAGCGGGTATTCCCGTCAACGCGCTTTTACGGAGCTGCTCAGGGCAGACGATCGATCGACGGCCTCAAGTCTTCGTTGGTTACTCCGTCGTCGTCGATCGGGGGCGAAACCACGCCCCGCAGAGAAGACGGGGAAGCTCCCCTCTGCGCTTTCCTGCGGTCCGATGAAGAAGACGATGGATGGCCTCGGCTGGAACCCCGCCCTTGGCAGCGGCAAGTCCAGCGCCGGCGGCGGGAAGATTCCCCTCCAGAAGGACTTCTCCCGGAGGTCCGAGGCCGCTTCCTCCGGCGGGGGTGCGGCGACGGCGCCGCCGTCGTCCCGGAAAAACCGCGTCTGGAGCGCGCTGGCGGCGATCGGCGGCTGCTTCTCCCCGCCGGAGACGGAATTGGAGGGAACGAGCCGCAACTACTCCGGCTTCTTCAAGACTTCTCACAGCGGTCTGTCTCCCTCCTCCTGCCGAGATTAGGGTCCTTGGTTGCCCGCCTCATCCACTTCCTTGTTTTGGTGCAGAGACGACCAGCAGCGCCGCCGGCAGCACCGCCGGCAGCGAGAGGCGGCTGTCCCGGAGGGCAATATTTCAGGACGCCAACGCCGCCACGAAGACGGCGCCCGGCGGCCGGCAGTTTTCCATGGCGGAGATCTACAGGGCGACCAAGAACTTCTCCCCCGCCTGCAAGATAGGGCAAGGCGGGTTCGGGACGGTGTACAGGGGGACGCTCGCCGACGGCACCCTGGTGGCCATTAAACGCGCGAAGAAGGTGAGAGGAAGATCCTCTTCCTTCTCCCCCCACATCTTGCAGAGAATCAGAGGAGGGCCGTGAGACTGACCTAGGCTTCTTCTTTTTCTTCTTCTCGCAGAGCATCCACGACAAGCACCTGGGGGTGGAATTCAAGAGCGAGATCCAGATCCTGGCCTGCATCGAGCACCTGAACCTGGTCAGATTCTACGGATACCTGGAGCACGAGGACGAGAGGGTCGTCGTCATCGAGTATGTCCCCAACGGGACCCTCCGCGAGCATCTCGACGGTAAGTTCCCCCCCTCCTTCTCCCTCCATCGCCGCCGCTCTGGTTCCGGCCCGGCATCTTCTCCGTCCCCCATTTCCCAATCCACCACCACGAGAGAATACTTCAGATCCTCTGGTTAAGATATAGATAGACAGACGGATCTCCTCTGCTCGTCGTCGAATTGGCCTCGAATTGATCTGCTTCTTCCATGGCGACCGCCGCAGGCCTGCGGGGTGACTTTCTCGATCTCACCTCCCGGCTGGACATCGCTATCGACGTCGCACACGCCGTCACCTACCTCCATATGTACGCCGGTAGGCCGCTTTCTCTCTCTCTCTCTCTCTCTCTCTCCTCCGCCGATGACGAGCTTTTGATCATCCTCTTCCTCCATCCTTTTTTCCTGCAAGACGACCCGATCATCCACAGAGACATCAAATCCTCGAACATCCTCCTTACAGACAACCTGCGAGCGAAGGTGGCCGACTTCGGCTTCGCCCGCATGACCCCCGTCGACGCCGGCGTCACCCACATCTCGACGCAGGTCAAAGGCACCGCCGGCTACCTCGACCCGGAGTACCTCCGGACCTACCAGCTCACCGAGAAGAGCGACGTCTACTCCTTTGGCGTCCTGCTGGTGGAGCTCATGACCGGGAGGAGGCCCATCGAGACGAAGAGGGAGATCAGAGAGCGGATTACTTCCAACTGGGTCAGCCCCCATCTCATCTCCTCCAATTCTTCTTCTTCTTTCTCTCTCTCTCTCTGAAGAAGAAGAAGAAAAGGGCTGCTAAATAAAAGAGAAATCTTTATGGGTTGTAGGCGATTAAGAGGTTTGCGGAGGGGAACGTGCTGAAGGTGCTGGATCCGCACCTGTCGCCGACGCCGGCGACGAGCTTCGCGCTGGAGAAGGTCTTCGAGCTCGCGGTGCAGTGCCTCGCCCCGACCAGGCACGACAGGCCCCCCATGAGGAAATGCGCAGAGGTCCTCTGGGCCATCCGCAAGGATTACCGGAGCATCTCCACCATGGAACAACCCCGCCTCCTCTCCCACCCCGACAGGAACACTTCCTACCGAGATGGCAGGACCTGAAACCCCATCTCCCCCCTCCCCTCCCCCAATTGAAAAGTGCCACGGAATTGTACACAGGAAGACCAAGATTTGAAATGAGTGATGGTGGTGAATCTTCTGGAGAGACAAGTGCACCGCTGACCTCGCCGGAGATTGTTCCCCATGAGAAAGACAGCAAGGATTTCTCAAACAGCTTCTTCATCATCAAGGAAACGAAACCCAGAAATCCTAACAAGCGTGTGCCTGGCGGCAATCTTCTCAACGTCTCCACACAACAAGAATTGATCCCGACATTCATCATCTGCAGAACGACGGAGGGGGGGCGGCCTCCACAGATAGATCCACCGAGCCTGAAACCCTAAAAGAAAAGAAAAAGGAGAACCGAGATGAACAAGAAGAACACATGCCCACCGATCGAGATGAAAAAAGAAGAAAAAAAAAAAGCTAGCCGCTGACCCGCTCGCTAGTCCGATCTGGAATTCCCACGGCCGCCCGGCGAGCGCGACCGATCCCGCTGCCGCCGGTGGGCGTCTTTCCGGTACGGCGATCGGGACCTCTCCCGCCGGCCCCGCGAGCGGGACCTGTTCCTGGAGCGCGACCGGTCCCTGGAGCGCGACCGTTCTCTGGAGCGAGAGCGACCCCTGTCTCGCGACCGGTAGGGAGAGTAGCTCCGGGATCGCCTCCGGGTACTGCCTGCGCAGCGAGGAGAGGAGGATGAGATGAAAAGATCCGAGTTTTATAAAAAAACCGAATTAGGGTACAGAAAATCAGAAAGGGGATGAACAATCTGAATGAAGGGCTGAAAATATTCCCGAATTCCGGCGACTCTACACCCTCCCACCAACATCCTAACATGGAGGGAAGAGAAAAAGGAGAATAAAATGATTTGCTACATAATAGAATAATGCTGCGCTTCTGAATTTATTTATTTATTTTATTTAACAAAGGCTCTTCCATGCTACGATCGAATGCATTCATCACAGAGAGTCTGCTATCAATTTTATTGAATGTATCAAAGACTCAGGTTATTGCAACGCAGATCATTGCAGCGCAATTAAAGAACCCTTGGATCAGCATGAAACTTTGAATCAGATTCTACGCATTCCATCCCATAATTAAATGCATTCACCACGGCAAGAATACTATTGAAATGATTTCAATCGATCTTTCCTGCTTCCCACCACCTGAGGGTTATCTCTTCTCTTATTTACTTATTTGCTTTTGTATTCCCCAAAACTTATTGAATATGATACGAAACTCCAAGTTATGCAAAACAAATGATGGGTCGGCATGAAACTTGGAATCAAATTTCATGCATTGCATGCTACAATTAAAGACATTATTAACCAAGGAAAGTATCCTTTTCCTGCTTCCAACCACCTTTGGGTCATTATTCATTTTATTTTTCTTGGCAATCTCCCAACGCTTATTGAACATATAAATAAAACCCCAATTTATCACAACACAAATCACGGACCACATCATTAAAGAAACCCCATGGACGTATGAAATACATTACATGCCATAATTAACTGCATTCTCCACCGAAGGTATACCATTATCTGATTTCCACTATTTTCGGGTCATCATTTATTATTTTTATTTTTGCCTTCTCCTCTTGCAACTCAATAGAAAGGCCATATATTGAGCCACAATCATCAGAAGGAAGATCAATGCATACCTCTTCTTTCCCTCGCACCACGATATTTTCCAGGAGTTGGCGTCCTTGCCCGCTTCCTCTTAGCCTGTGGAAAAACCCGGGTTCAAAAGCAACATGGACGTTAATTGAGGGTCTTGCCAATAATTTCTCCGAAAAATTGATATTACAGCCACTACCTATTCAAATTAACCTCACAAGAATGAAATCAAACTCATCAAATAGGACCAATACATTTCTCATACGATATGGACACTGAGAAACACTTTCCTCCTCCCAGAAATTAATAAATTACTACCTGAGTCAATATTAATATATCACATATTTAACCAACGGAAGAGTATTATCGTGCAGGCATTGCTAATCCAATAGTACCCAATGCTCCATGAAGATCATATCAGCGAGGCATTGCATCCTTTGCAAAGAGAAAGGCATACTGGGCATACAATCTTGGTAAAATAGTCGATGCTGAGCTCATGTCGATAAAGGGGTGGTTCAGACTGTCTAAGTTCATAGATCGATGAGAGTTCGATGGAGACACACACAGCAGACCTGATGTCAAAAATAATCAGGCAATACTTTGGAAATAAAATACTGACATAAAATTATTCATCTCCTGGCATATCCCCAAAATCATCCACGGGCGAAGCTTCATATTACCTTCTCCACAGTGATTAGCCGGCCTTCAAGCACTGAGCGATTGAGGTATTTCACACACCGGTTGGCGTCCTCCAAGGTACCCATCGTCACGAATCCAAAGCCACGGGATTCTCTGGTGCGAGGATCAGTTACCACGTGACATTCTACGACCTGGGCAACGAAATTCTAGAATGATCATTCATGAAACTATAATAATTTACAAACTTGAAATATATTGAATTTGGATGTGAATTTTTCAACCCAGTTTGGACGATAAAACTCTCTTACTAAAAACTCCTTTTTCCAACCTCTGCCAAGAAAAATAATACGCATGGCCAAACCCTTTCGGTCTGCCACGATGGTGTCCAGTCAAATGGATACTATTCTCCAGAATGGAAACAACGGTTCAGAGAGCACTTTTCTCGTTGAGAATCCCTCGTACCCTTTTGTGTGAATTCCCCAGCGGCGAGTTAACCACTTTTGGGGCACTATCTATTCCATCTCTCGAGCCCCAAAGAAAACTTGTAGAAATTATGGTTCTTTCTCATCCTTGGTAATTACCTCTATTTATTTTATTTTTCGGTAAAATAGATAACAAAATGGTGAGGACATAAAGGAGTACCTTTCCTTCCTTATTGAAATATTTCTCAAGGTCGCTGCTGGTCACACGGGTAGATAACCCAGTAACATACAGGTTGTTCCCAGGATTGTTTGCAGTCGCAGAATCTCGGCTCCTACGTTGGTGTATAAATGAAATGAAACTAGCCGGTAAGATTCGAGAGTCAGTCTAATTACTGATTTAGCATCAAATATTTGAACTTTACCGGGAGCGACTCCTGTCCCGTGACATAGATCTCGATCTGCTCCGTCTATGTAGAGGAGAGAGTGAATGAGAAGTGTATCTGAAAAAGGGATGAACAGATGAGAGGATTTTCATCTCAATCAACCCTAGGGATTGGAGGCTCCATGAAAATCCTCAACTCACCTGACTTCCTTTTGATAAGACATCTGATCAAAAACCAGGAAGAAAAAAAGAGAAGCTGTTAGGCAATGAACGAAGCTTAGTGCCCTACAAATAGACACGAAATGAAAATTTTGTGTAAAGATTGCTCGACAGTAATAAAAATAAACACGAAAACAATCACCATGGATAGCATTCCGAAAGCGAATATTATGTATAAGGAAACGAAGGATCATTTAAAGCGGAAGAAGCTACTGTGATATTCTTGGTATGATATAAAATGCATGGGTGATGGAGCTCTTAGCATGATGATGAATGAATCCGCCATAGAAAAATTAATATGATAACAATGTAAGAACTAAAATAACCCGGAGGTGTTTTAGAAAAAAACAGAATCCAATTCCTCTCAGTGGCAAAAATTCGACTTTCCGGGTCCGCTTAAAAAAAAGGCAACAGGGGACCGTTTCTCGCCATATTACTTTTAACCTAGCAGAAAAAAGTGGTCACATATCCTAATCTTAGTTTTTATATTTATGACCCCATTGAGCATAACTTAGATAGCCAAATAGCAAGCTATGTTGGAGAACTTCGAAAGAGGACAGTTAATCCCTTTATGTACGTGAAAAAATGAAAATGAAAAATTAAATTCCTGAAAAGCATTCATTCCACATTAGATTCACAGTCCTCATGATATTTAGACGATGATTTAAATACCATATTCATAACAAATCTGAACCACATGGCTTATAACATCAATGCGGTACTCTTGCTGATATTAAAGAACTTTTAAATACCATGAACCAAGAAAGCACTTGCCACTAGATAGAAAAACATTAGATAAATTAGAAAGGGCCCAACATTTTATACAATGAATCCCATAAATAGTAAAATGATGCACATAAAGAAAATACAATGAGAGATGAACAGACTGAGATGACACTAAGACATTGAAGCAGAAACATGGACTGTCTAAAACATAAAGAAATACATGTAGAAAATATATCTCTAAGATTAGGAAAATAAAGCTGGTTTTCTAAAACACACAGATTGACTAAGTCTAGCTGAAAATTCATGCCCGATAACCATTTTACAGTTTTTCTGTCGTAAAGAGCGGTCAGAATCAGGTAACTGAATTCTGTCCCATCAAATTCAGCTCCCTGATTCTGATCCTGGGGATGATGATCGAATGCGGCAAAAAATGGAAAACAAAAAGATTCATGTCAATGCATATACATGTCCATGCAGGAACACCAAAAACGTAATTCACAAGGGACGTACAACGCCCTTTCTCGCTGTATCCACTCGAGAATGAAAGAAAGCCAGGAGGAAAAGAAATTTCTTATTCGCTTTAAGACAGCAAACGAATTAAGACAGCAAACGAATTAAGACAGCTCCAACCTCCGCCCGGCAGTTAATTAATAAGTAAATTAAATAGATAACGACTCTTTCCCGTAGAAATTGAACCGAGCGCCGTGATTCCCCTATGCCGAGACGGCAAGGCGGTCGACCTCATCTTCGAGCGCACGCTTACAAGGTGGAGTGTGGGATGATCCGATGGAGGTCCCCACACTGTTTCCCGCATATGGCGATGACAGCAGTAGCCCGGCGCTAGAGCCAGATGACGAAGGAACCCTCGAGTAAATGGGCGACGAACACTCCCAACAGCCAGATCTAAGCAGACGATCACGAAACACAAACCTCAGCCAGATGAATGCCAACCGGCAGTCCTCCCTCGCGATCTCCTCCGCCCTCCCCGGCAGCAGCCGCGAGATCAGGCCACAGACGGAGATAAAAGGAGAAATGAGGGCACGCAGCGGACCCTCCCTCCCGTCTGCAGAAGCAGCAACTCGGATACACTTAACCCAAGCTGTATTTTTTTATAGGGTTTCAGTCGGCTGTTACGGAACTCAAAAAGCCCACGAATTGGGTTCGATTACGCCCCACAAACCTGCGGGATTTACAGGTTATACTTTATTCTCCCTCTATTTATATTACATGACTATTAATTATGTTCAAACCACAGACTCTGTCCAATTTCTTTATGAACCTGGGTTATTGTAGCATTTGCTAGAAAGCTAGGGTTAATCCACTAATTATCCATGGCATCCCCCCAACGCCCCTTCTCTCTCTCTCTCTAAATATATCCAAAGTTTAGCTGGAGTAAACTTGATTGAAAGGGGACAGAAACTATCTTTTTTTTTAACTTTTTAATGCACGGTATTTTCTCAAAATAGTTTAATTTTAGTCAAACTTAGTTCTCTTGTCAGGTGGCCTGATTTTAGTTTTGAAGGTAGCATGTTATTATCAAAAAAATATTTATATTTGTATTATGCAACAATGGTTAATATAATTTATCACCAAGAATATCAGTCAACCATAATTATTTAAGCAAAAAAAATTGTGGTGCCTTGAAAATTGATTGGAAGGTCAACTCATTTAATTACGTCGTGATATGGAGCTTATATGTGAATGCCATTAAATTAATTAATATTTTATTTAAGTATCATACCTTAATGATTTTATTAGAAAATTGCTAGATAAAATATAACTCATAATTAATATGACCAATTTCAACACATAGATATAACTCACAGTTATATCTATCCAACACATAGATAGAAACAAGTATAAATGGAAAAAATATGGAAATTAATTTACCACACAATGTGTAGTACAATGAAACTCGACTAATTTCGAAAGGCATGAAATTAATAGAAGTCATATAAAGCTGCCACGAGGAGTCCATATATGCTTAAGACCAGTGCTACCTATTTTACGAATGCCCAAGTAACAACTAGTTATATTATCTAAGATTTCAACTATTTTCAAATATTTAATGCGTTCATTATAATTTATAAGTTATTTATTAGCGTTTTTAATACTAAAAAAGTGATTCTCTTCAACTTATGCTAGCAATCATCAACACAACCGCTCCCTTTTAAGATGATAAACCCTTCTTATCTTTTATTTATTAAAATTAACATTTTATTTTGATTGAATTTGAGACGCTAAGATTAAAAATTGAAGAACAAGCTCTGAGTCAGAACCCATACATCCATCCAGGGTTCACATGTCTGTGTTTGTGTGTTCACGTATTGGTTAGCGCCGGGAAGGTGGCCTTCAGAACCAACACCGCTGAAGTAACCCCTCATCTTCCTCCTCCCTGCCCACTCTCCCTTCTTCAATACTCTAGAGCTCACCTCTGTTCTTCTGTGGCTGGAAATCTCGATGATTCCTCCAGAGTCAGCTCGTACTCAGCTCCTCCCTAGTCCCCATCGCTGCTTCTGACGGAGCAGAGGAAGAAGAAGGAAGACGTGTATATGGTGACGTGCCATAAGCTGCAGTCAAACATCTTCTTCAGAGCATGGATTTAACAACCATGGTGGGTCATCGTCTTCCTGGGCGAGAATATGCAACATACCTGTGCCAAATCAAGTAGCTTTCGTGGTTCTCCAGCATCCAGCTTCCTCCGGCGGCGCCCAACAAGAGGAAACCCATTAATAGGAAGCTCCAGTGAAACCTTCTCCGCAGCGCTTGCAGAAGATTAGACAGCAGCGGCCCGCTGCTCTGCCATCTGCAGAAGATCAGATGAAACTTTGTTTGAAGGATCATGAATTGCCGCTGCAAGGTATCCACAGAAGGGACAGATATTGCTTCCATGTTGAAACCTCACACGATGCTGTGATACCTTTCTTGGATGCTCAGGCCGCATCCGCGCAAGGAGGAGATACCTATTCTGTGCTTAGGGAGCTTTAGAATCCATCCAAAGAGAAGCCCGACAGTCCCAATTGCTATGACAATAATGATGTTGACTGACCTGGGGAAAGACTAAGAATACGTTGACTTGACCACTACTAAGAATAGGAAAATAAATGAAAAAAGTTCATAGGATTAGGGGCACCCAATGTCCGAACTAGTTGCACCAGTGGCGGCCAAAAGGGCCGTGACAATTGAGACGCACATCTGAATTGTTCTCTTTGACGCCTCGCCGGTTGAAGCTAGGGAGACGAAGGTGCTCACTGCGGCCATAAAAGAAAGCCAGAAGTCCATGAACTGGAGGTGGTAGAGTTCAAACATGTGTTAGTGGTCTGGTCTGTAAGCATTATGTGGTCGATTAACCCTTGAAAGCCATCAACTTGAAAGCTCTATCGGAATGATTGCAGAATTTCCAGCTACTTATAATACACGAGACAAGAGAAACTAATTGAATAAATGTGCATCCTACTCACTAGAGGACCAGCTTGTATATGATACTTGACGAATGATTGCATCCCAACTTCTTTTTACGACGAGTTTTTTCTTATGAGGTGGTGTACATTTCTCATATTCAGCATTGTCCAAAGATTAATTACAATAGGGACATAATGGATCTTAGTTGACCACAATCCTAGTTCTTGAGGAATTATCAGCAGATTCGTTGCCTACCATGTAAGAGTTACCCTTCTGCTTCCAATTTACTAAAATTAGTTACACTATGCTTAACTTAAATGAGCATATAGTTCACTAAGCCTCATATAACGCATGTAATATTTTCCTAACAACCAAGCTTTGAAACATCTTGCATTTGAGATATTCAAGTTGTAGTACCTGTAAGATATGGAAAGACAGAGCACACCAAGTGCCTACGTCACATGCATGATACAACCCGCTAGAAATTCCACTAGCAGTGAAAAGCAGCCATTCAGCAAGTGCATGAGTAAACAAGATGAAGTTAGTACGAACATCATAGAAATAATTATTTTTCTAAATGACAAGTATAAATTAAGTGATTAAATATGGGATTCGATTCAAAATATCGAAGAGAAAGCCTGAAATAGCTTTTGTCATTTATACATATTGTCACCTCAAAAGTGAAGTTTTTAATACCAGATAGATGGATGCCAAGTAATGGTTAAATAATTCCATGTAAAATGCCAAGAAACTTGCGACTAAATGGATAAGTGTAGGAAATCGACTAAGAATATATGACGAGCACTATTACAAATGAGCAAGAACCAGAACTAGTTGTGGATAAGTAGAAAGAAACTAGAGACAAAATAAAATTACTCAATCTGAAATAATAGAGACAAATAAAATAATGTTAGGATATCTATAGTTCTGATTGAATTATCAAACTTATATTTTTTTATGTGAAATCCATTATTTCAAATTGTAAAACTAAGAGCTTTTTATGATTTAGATCAAAACGAAGTTTCAACTATCGTCCATGAAGAAAATGGTGGAAACCATGTTAAGTGAAAAAATATGGTGAAAGATTGTTATCTAGTTTCTATAATGACAACCTAAACTATCCTTATTGGCAAGCGGTGAAAAGTGACCATAAAGAAATTATGGAAAGTATTTAAAGCCCCAACTTGCAACAAGCATAAAATCATTAAATGCAATGGACACTAAGGGTGTGCATGTGTACATGCCAATTATAGAGTTATCATATATATATTGTCTAACAATATAAATAGAAAACTATTCAAAGCGCTAGGCTCAAGAGAAATTGTTTATAGAAAAAACTAATATTCATCGATCCCTTAATATAAATCATAAAGAGAAGTAAATTTCCGCTTTCCACGAAAGGTATTCATTTGTTGTGTCATTTACTAAAGAATAAATGAAAACTTCAACCTAAAACAAGTGTAACACCATTTTTAGTGTTTTTAAGTATTTCACATAACACCTCATAGGCATGCTATCAATCCTTATTTACAATACATTTGGTCAGATGTAATAAACAAAAAGGTACCTTCTGCCGAAGAGCCCAAAAAGTAGGAAATATAGCTGCCACATTTGATGCAATAAGAAAAATAGATTGCCAAACATGTCCTATGAAATTTTATAAAGCTTAGTCCTATTATAGTATACTATTATAAGATGATTACTTAAAATAAAATATTTACTATGAATAAATGTGAGACAACTCAGAGGTGTTAATGTAAATGTAAACAGTTATTTACTTTACGAGGGAAGATGTAAAACCTGTTTTTTGATCTCTCAAATTTCCTCTCTTTCCCTCTCTCTCATCCCCCTTCCCTTAACATGGGACTTTAGAATAGTAAGATAGTTACTACAATGAAATGAAAAGGACTGAAGATGACTCAACTTAGAGATAACTCAATAATATATGTCGAGAATTACATGTGTTTAAAATAAAAATAGAATAGAAACTCTTGTTGCCACTTGAGTTAGATGCTATATTAATGAATAATTGTTATTCCACTAAACATCAAGATGAATGTGCTTTAGTGAGAATGTACATTCAATAAGACATTTAAAGACTTCTTGATAGTATGTGTTTGCTCACCGAATCGTAAATTAGTTTTGTACTATTTGCCCATATAATTACCATACACCAATATATTATGATCATTGGGAGCTCTTAACTTTATTATATCTTCCTTTGGCACCAAGTTATCATGCGATTAACATTCTTCATGCACTAATATTCATATTATCTAAAGCTCAATCATTAACTTTTTATCTTCCTAAAGACACATTACCAAATAGATATACATTACATACATCTTTCAAGATTTCATATCAATCTTTCAACATGTGGACTATTTCCTTTTAGATGTAGAGTTACCATAGGTTTGTTATTATATACATGTTTGTGCTTTATGATCTTAGTTCAATTTTACTATCTTTTTCTTTCCTCCTTTTTTTCTATTTCTTTCTTGATTGTTGAATTTTGTTTGATGATTTGACACACATACAAAAGTTTATTCCAAGCAAAGATCAGCATGGTAACATTCAAAGTGATGATCTATATGTCTTAAAGTCAAAGTGGTAACATTCGACATGGTAACTCTATATGCTTTAAACATAAGACAATATTGATGAAATGAAACTAAAGTTTTGGCATTATAAATTGTTCCAAGTGAAATGATAATCAAATAAATAACCAATTCATTTTACTAGGTATCAAACCTTTTTAGTTGATAGTCATCAAATATATCAAGTTTGAGGATCTCCAACCCTAACCTCTAACCAAACATGTGGATTGATAATAAAGAAAAAAAATGAATCTCTACCACTTTCATTTTACTAGGACAATTATAGTAGTGTTGTATTCTACTCAAAAAATATAATATATCTACAGAATTTTTGGTGATAAGATTAATTTTAAAGATTAAATAAAGATACCTTGATGTGAGACAAGTTTATTGCTGCAATCAAAGCCTCCATGGTCATGATCACATTGACAAAAGTTAGTTGAGGAACTAGAAGTTAGACTAAAATGAAAACAAGAAACTAATAGAATAAAAAAAATTAATTTGATTACTTCATGATGTTGTCAATTATGTTGTGGTAATAGTAGAATTTCAAATGAATATGATGGAAAAGTAGTAACCTGTAAGATGAAAATCTAGTTTCATCCATAGAAGAATGATAACTCCCATGTGAGGAACAACTTCTTTGGCATGACTCTAATGTGATGGACATCATAGTCTAAAGCTCGTGATGACTCTTATATGAATTCTTCTTTATTCTAAATCCCCAAAGTCCTTCTCTAGCATACAAAATATAGAAGTCTATCATATCTTCATTATTTTTAGACAGCAACATCATAGAACCATTCCCACCATCTGTGATATTTGCATAATGGTCCCAATTATCATCAGATGGCATCCCACCAAATTTTATGAAAATTTTGTAATCCATTTTTTTTTTTGACACTAATTGAATATGTAAATTTGACCTAGTAGCACCTTGTGGAATTTCTAGAAGAAAGTAAGTCCATGTAATGCTTGTTCTTGCATTAATAGTATAATTGCTTAGAAGTGGTTCCAAATGAAACTTTTCTAACTTTAAAGACATTCCGATTAACAAATAATAAGATCGAGAAGGAAAATAGAAAATATGTAAAAGATCACAATAGTTCAAAAATAAGTAATCAATCAAATGAATAATGATATGTTTAATTATTGAAGTGGATGTGCGCATAAGAATTAAGAAAATATTTCAATAATAATGAATCATATTGTTGACTTCAAATATAAAGATCTATCAATACCATCAATCATATATAATAATAATTGAACAAGAAATACTAATGCATTCAAGAAATTCATCAAGAAAAAATATATAAAATTAAATTTGACAAATAGTCTTAGTGTTAATGATGACTACCGTGCTAAACCAAAATATTTTATATTTGAACATATAAAGAAAGATTTAGTCATGACAAACTAAAGGGATGTCAAGAATTCACAAAATAAAGGAAAAACTTATGTGTAATTCCTATCACAAATGAATCATGTCTACTTACTCAAATTACACATTTTATTTGGTTCATGACATATGATGTACATATAATGTTACTCTATATCATAAATCCAGAAGAAAAGATATGAGCATGAAGAAGAATAGAGAAATATTTGGTGTAATTAAATCTATTAAGAATTGGGTGCCTTCTAGTATTTTAAAATAAATGAAAAATAATTTCATCTTAACATTACTATGTAATTTTAAAAAAAATTACATAGTGATAAATTATATTTTTCTTTTCCATGAATGTAGATGATGTTTGAAGAGTATTAGAAGAAATAAAAGAGACTTTTATTGACATTCTCAAGTATTTTCATTCATAACAATATAAGATTTTGAATCTATAGTAAGTTTTTGTGACCAAGCATGTCAGACATCTTAGGAGGAGGGTCATAATTCATCAAGAGATGATGATTATTTCAAAAATAAAACATGCAACTATAAAAAGGCTATAATTTAATATTTTAAAGAAACATAAAAATAAATGTAAAGTTATTCTTTCATTAAAATGACAAATTTCACAAATGATGTACCATGTAGATATGATATGTGCAATTCTTCAAGCGAAAAGAAACATAAAATCTTTACTTATTTACGAGATTCAAATTCTATCTCTATTTTAAAGTAAAATATAATATACATGTAACATCCATGAAGCTAAAAGTTAAAGTTATGGGATCTCATTTGAGCCAGATGTTAAGCCTTATTGTTGAGTAAGACTAAAATAAACTAAGTAGGTTATGATATGACCAAGTATGAGCAAGTTAGAGATGAATGCTCTAAGAGTAATTTATTGACACCCATTCAATAACATTGGTGGATATCATGTCGTAGACAAATGAGTAAAATTTTAGTCTATTTTTCTAAATAGAGATAATGAACTACCAAGGTTTCAATGAATCATTTTAGAAGCAATAGCATGACAAAAGTATTATATTACAACCTTGAATTGCAACATATAAAGAAATATGTTAAGGTATCAAACAAGAATATTAAATTATGTCACATAAACTAAAAGGTTATTAGTTTTTTAATAATTAATTAAAGCCTAAATATGTTTTTCTTAAGTTAATCATAAGTAAAAAAGTAAAAAAGTAAGATTGTGAAATGTGAATAACATCAACTTTGGGTCAAGGTTCATCATCCTAGTTAAGTCTTGATTATACTTAGATCATTTTAATAGATGCTAAAAAACAATAATCAATAAGTTGAACAAGGTTATGTGATCTTTTGCCAAGCAAATTCAAAGTTATATTGACACATTTTTCTATGCCTTAGATCAATATATCAAGTAAAAAAAACTCACTTATAATGATTGGAGAAGTCTAGTGCAACTCGATCCAATCTTTCTAAAAGGACATATCTGAACTTTCCAATGGACAAAAGCATAATGATGTATTAAAATATGATTCTTGAAATTCTCCATTTACCTCTATCTTATTAACCACTCTAACTCTTAAATACCAGCGACTGATTTTTGATAATTGAACAACCAAATGAGTATCACTTATGATAGTTGAAAAGTCATAAAATTCTTTATTTTGCATCACATTATACCGAGCATAATCAAGAAGAAGAATTCTACCAGCATTCATTGATTTATTTAGTAAAGTTGTTCCAACATGTTTGACTTTTTCAACTATAATTTTAAATTGTGATGTTGGATCCACTACATCCAAAGAGTAAAACTTTATGTCACCATATCCAAGACATTGAGCCTCCATTGAATCATTGCACAACATAAACTTTTCATCATTTATCAATTGATCGAGATATGATGCCTTATTCTTCTCTTCAAAAGTCAATCTACTTTTTTATGACCAGAAAAATGTCTTATATGTTTTGAATAATAATAATAAGAAATACTATCTTTATCATTGTGAATAGCGTTAATATTTCCAACACCAGAATACATGACATCCAATTTTTTTCTTGAATGCCTATAAATGTTAGTAAATTACAAAAGAGTGAAGTAATTGTCTGGTTACAATATGAACCCCATATTGTTGACATACTACACCCTTCTATGCTCAAGGTGGTGCTGAATATATATATATGACCTCGTGTGATCGTACTATACCCATCTTATTAGTAATATGATAAGATTAATATAGTTTAGTATGCTTAATCTACATATTTTAGGGTGATAAATGAATCGAGCATATTTTTAAGGACTTAAAAGTAAATATACCATCTTTGATTGTGTTCTTACAAGTCCAAGTCTATTGAAATATCCAACATACCATATTCCTGGAGACATCTAAACAATGTAGAGAAGTATCATCCCGTAAGTTAAAATTGATAAAATTCACATAAATAATTAACACAACCAAAGAACTTGTATTAATATAATGAATAAAAATGTAATAAAAGTTGGAGTTGTTATTGTATCAATATGTAGGTCCTCAAATATTATACTACATTATATCTTGTAATATGATCAACGTTAAAACTATAGTATATTGTTCAATCAGACCAAATATGTTTAACTCATTTTATGTTAGATTTACATGTCTAAAAATTAGGTTATAAAAATTTCATCAAAATAAAATATACAAATAAATCTAAGTCATTACGTGATCATACAAATAAAGCACCAAGGTTGGAAAAAAAATTGAGTTAATCCCACATAAGTTGGAACTAAAAAAATTCATATAGAAATTAAAATAGAATGCCTATAAATGATAGCTGAAATTATATTCAATTACCATATTACAACAAACCAAGATTATTTCTTTGAATATTATGCACTCTTCTCGCTTATATATAATCATATCCCTCAATTTTTAAAATAGAACACAAACAAATTCTAAAATATTTAAATATTTCTATATTTAATACAGTACTATGGAAAAACTTTATGAAAACCAATTCACTTGTAAATGTCACTGTAATATTTCTTTGAAATGGAAGGCACCAATCAACACTTTGAAGAATTTTTACACCTTAGAGAGATCCATTAAAAGCAATTTTCAAAGCTGCAAAAAAGAAGAATAATTTACCTAATTGACAACTAAAATATTAATGACTGAAGATCAATCTGGACTTCAACTATCTTACACACTTATAAGGTTGTGCACAACTAAAAAGAATTGCACACAAAGTAAGAGACAATTTATCGAGATTAGTATCATTTATAATATTAAGAAGGAATAATGTATAAGTCCAAATTCACATTTGTATTTATCTAGATAATGAGCACATGCATCAAGCTCATAAACTTAATCAAAGTGTAACTTTCATTCATATGACTAGTTGTTTACATGTATCCATGCAAAGAGAAATAATCAATTTCTTAAGTGGCAACACATTAAAACATTCATTATAGGATTTTCAGTGCATTTAACCATGCATTTTTAAGTAATTTTAAATATTTTTATGATTAAGATTATTTAAAACATTCATGCTAATAATTCACAAGAAAGATCATGATGTTATATCATTTCATACACTAGTGATACTTTTATCACAAAAAAAAATAATTAATCATCACTCTTCATGATTAAAAAATCAATTCAACTCTTCTCCTACAAATTTTTTCTCTCTCTTGCAAAATTTAACATTTTTTTTAATGGTGGCCACTCGCCAATTTGATTCCTCACAAAGTAAGATCATTATTTAAATTTAATTGTAGAAGAACATTCATCATTGATTTATAAAGTTTAGCCGAAATAAAATCACCTAAGAATCTAATTTAGACCTCACCCATATCCAATGCAATGGACATTTTTTGATATATAAATCCCTCAAATCAAAATATGAAGGTTGTTTTGATGCACATCTTGTAGAGTAGATGAGAACATGAATATCTCAAATGTTGACAAAAATAATATGGAACGTGTGACTTGAAAATAGAGAAATATTTAAAAGCATATGTAAATATGTCAATGATGTGTCTGATACATCTGGAAGTGGTGGGCCACTATGTCGAAAACACATGATGGGCATCTCACTCTTGGGAAGCTTATTCACCTTATCACTATCCTGTAAATAGGAGGTATCAAAATAGTTTGAGAAATAAAATAACAAAAAGTAGTTTTATTATCAAGATTATGGAAAATTTGATTATCATGTCAAGGGATCAAAGGCAAAACATAAATTTGTTACACTTGATAAGACAAACTAATGAAATGAAAATAGAGTAAAAAGTAAATAGCATCCAAGATATTTTGATGATAATGATAGCATTAGAAGTTCAATGCTATTGAAAGAAATATTGAAAGTCTTGTAGTAGACGAGAGTTTTTAAAAAGGTGGCACTAAGTAAGAAAAGCAAAAGGTCAAATAAGTTGGAATGTAAATATGAGGAATAATACCACATTGCCAAAAGGTACATAAAGTAAATACAAGGAATTCATGTAGTGTACTGTTATCATCTCAAAAAGACCCCCTCAATTGAATTTGAAAGTAGGAATCTTGATAGCCCAAGCCACATCAATAAAGCCCAATTGAAGCCTACATATTAATACCAGGCCCATAAGGTTAAACTAGACCCCTACAAAGTCTAGCTTAGTCAATGGCTGATATCAACTAAAAGATTGTGTCAATGAAGAATCATGAGTGGATTTACAGCCTAATTTGACCCTATTTGACACATATTATTTCTCTCAATCCCACATGCTGGCTACTTGTTTGATAGCACTACATTGCTAGTCACTAAGGCACCCACAACCCCTACCATGAGACAAGAGCATGCTACAACTTGTAGCCACACCACCATTGTGCCACAACTTGTCATCCTCTTGCATGACTTGGCACAATAGTGACATACACATGTGCACAAATAGACAAATGTCACGGCCTCCCATTGCCTAAACAAGGGCACCACACTACAAAGCTCCATCTCATAGTAAACTTAAATGATCAAACACAATGCTTTACATCCATCAGTTGTTGATTTATGAGATAATATTACACATCAAACTATCTATGAGCATCTAGCAACAAGAAACAAAGGATTTACAGTCAATCTAACTGAAATTGATCAACAAGAATAACTAAGTCACTAAAATGAGGAAGTGTACTTACAAGGTCAACATTAGAGATGAATCTCATGGTCATAGATGAGAACCAAGGGGGCAGCTCCACTGCCATAAGCATTGAATATCAGTCTACTCAATAAACAACACTAAGCATGGTTAACATATCAAGTGATGTGCATGGTTAACACTAGCTAATTAGGAATTCATAAGAGGAAACCTTTAGTGAAGAACACGAGAAAAGAAATCCATTAATCCAAGTAGATTCTTAATAAACTCTATTCGACGTACGAAAAGTCTATGTGAAGGTTGCAAATCATCCAAAGACCAAAGCCCATCAAAATTCCAGAATAAATCCTCTCTCATTACAGAACCTTGCAATCAACTCTCCAACCTCAAGATCATTGAGATAAGTCACCAAAGTTCTGTCAACATAAAGTAAAAAATTTCTACATTTTCAAGTAGTACATAGAAAAATGAGAATATCTGAAAATAGAGAACTCAGGGTAACTTCGAAGTCTAATATGCGGTGCGTGCGGTTGCAAGTCTTTTGCAGCATCCCAGTTCGATAGTTTCTGAATGCGCAAGAGGACTCCTTACAGATCCCCTTATAACCCATGTTAATCACTATTGTCGTGGCGCCTTCAATGCCAATCCTACAGTCAAGTTCCTTAGATGCACCATAATGTGAAACGGCAGACCAAGTGGATACATAAGCCATGAAATTTCTCGATTCTCTCCTTGCAGGAAGAAAGAGAGAGAGACAGAGAGGAGAGAGAGAGTAGGCTTTAAAGAGGGAAAAGAGTGCAGGAGATGAGAAATGGAAAGAGAAAATACCCAAAAAAGAAGAATTGATAAGCTATTAAAAATGATTGCGAATAAAAGTATAAACCAATAAAAGATAACTGAGTGGATCTTAGTGAAGAACACGCCCGGATGTAATTAACAGCCGGACGGTATGTTGCTAGTGCCATATTTGATCTCCATCCTCATGCTCTCTCTCTCTCTCTCTCTCTCTCTCTCTCCCCCCCTACATTAGTATGAGAGATTAAAAGGAAAACCAATAATTACAGTGTCGAATCACAGACCCAGAGAATTCGACAACTTCCCCTCTTCGGCAACTTCTGCCAAAATTGCACAACAAGTTATCGGAACGATAACAAGCGTAACCCATCGTCCCTCAATTCCCGACTAGATGACATAAATACAAAACTTCACGTATCACATACATCCATAGATTGAAAAAGACTCAGCGTTGGGCGAGGGTGGGAGGGAGAACGGGAGAGGAGAGCATGCCCGTAGAAAGCATACCTCGTGCGTAACTCCACTCGTAAGGGCCCAGCTTCCTGTCTGGGAAGCTGAAGCTAGACACTCGGAAGGAGCCGTGCGGCCCTTGCGCCGACTGGCCAGTGCAGTACCCCAACAGCAGAAGCCACGACGAAGAAAGGAGAAGCCACAGGGGGGCACGATCCGACCAATCCATTCTCCTCTTCCCCGTCGCAACCTTCACCCCCGAATTTCCCTCCCTCTCTCGCCACCCGGCGATCCTCCCCTTCTCAACCAAGATCGCGCCATTGGCTGGGGAGAAGACTTCGAGAGGTTTTTTGTGGACCCCACTTTCAAACCACATCCAACCGCGAACTCGTCTCTTTAAGTACGCCCAACGACTTTGGAAAATAAGTAAAATAAATTAAAATTTTATATCCTCGACTGGGGCCCGCTAGAGCCTCGTGTCCACGTGTTGCCAAACATTCCATAAGGCACCGGTGAGAGTAGGCGGAAACTCCGATGGCCTGAGCTGCGCTGGTCCTCCTCCGTCTCCGGCGACCGGCGACACGAGCGGCCCGTGTGAGCCCTTCGTGGCTTCTTCTGACGAGGTACCTCCTCTGAATCGCTCACCGTCTCCCTCTTCCTCTTCCTCCCGGTCTCTACTTCTGCTCGGTTTGGTCCACTTCCCGGCTCTACCGAGGACGCAAGCGCACACCGAATCCACAGCGCCGATGGCGACATGAGAAGAAATCTGAAGCTTCGTCGACGATGCCGCACCAACCTGAACAACCCTGCCGCAACCCGGTTGGTTGCCGGAAGTCGGAAACGTCTCCTCGGATTTAAAAGTCGGATCAGGCGTTCGCTGTCGAGTGGAACGAGAGAAGCCTACCGCAGTAATCTCCATCGCCGCCTCTGATTTTGACTGAAATATCCGGCCATCAATTGGTCCTTGAATCTCGCATATTCAATGAGCAGTTGACGAATCGATTGCATATCCTTCAGTTCCTCATAGTTATGAAAAGCTGACAGTCCGAACAGTTTTCCATAGGATCGTAGACCCTAAATCGGGCTGGCTGCCATCTGAGGAACATTTTCTACCCGATGGAGGAAACCTTGTCGTCGATATAACAACCACCGACGAAGAGTCTCTCACACAAGATCAGTCTCGTCGATCGCAGAGAGGGCAAGCAGATCGGACCACATGTTTTCACATGCGGATTCATTGGAGGAGCCTGCCGGCGATTATTCTTGATTTCAACGTGGAAATACATCCATAACTTCCGCCATTAAATGCCATTATTAGATGGTTCAGCTAAGTATCAAACCCTGCTGAACATAGCATAGCAGTATGATCATAGAAAGAAAAAAAAAATAGCCCCTCTCGAAGTCAGGCTCATGTGATAATAGCTAACTCGAATCCATTGATCAAATAAATATCTATATTTATTTATTTAGAAATAGAGATCTAGAGAGGGAAATATAGTTGACCCATTCCATATTTATTGGGACTCTATAAGTGCTGAGGAGAGAGTATGAGTTCATCAGCTCCCCCCCCCCCCTCTCTGTCTCTCTCTCTCCCTCTCTATCTATCTATCTATCTACTATTTATCTATCTATCTCCCCCCCCTCTCTCTATCTCTCTCTATCTATCTATCTCCCTCCCCTCCTCTCTCTCTCTCTCTCAGATAATATGCTATTGGGGCCACACTGTGTACGGTATGGGCCGCGGCGAATGAATCCACCAACGAGTTCCATGAGAGGGCCCCATTTATTCACCAAAACTAGTCAGTAGTGGGCCTACATTATTTGGGCCCAACCCTCCGACGGCGCAAGTTAGGGCCGGGAAAATGTTTGAGAGAACAAGGATATTTCGGTAAATAAAGTATTATTGGGGGGTTCTCTCGAAGTATCCGGGTCGTGCATTCTTGGCAGCGGGGGGCCGTGAGAACAGAGAGGGAAAACTGGGGACGAGAGAGAAGGAAGCCTCCGTCCGTTTGGGGGAAGCGGAGGAAGAAGAAGAAGGGCAGCGGCATCAGCCGGCGGGTCGTCCATCTGCATCGCCGGGGGAGAGCGCCGCCGTGTTCGGGGATCCCCTGCTATGAGGATTCGGAGGCGCGGCACCGATGCGCCGTCGCGGGCGCCGGCGGCGGCCTCCTCCAACTCCTCATCTTTCTCACCGGCATCGGCGCCGTCGGCAGGGACGGATGCGGCTCGAGGAGCGGAGCCGTCGGCGCCGGAGGTGGATCCGCCGGCGAGCGAGGCGGCGCCCGCCGGCCGTCTCCGGCAGCCCCACGACGGGATTCAACAGGTGAGGGGATCGATCCGTTCACCGTCTCGCCTCCTGCATGTTTCCGCCGAGAAGGAATTATCGACTGCGTCGTCTCCGTCTGCGCGTTCTCTCCCCGCCGGGACGATCGGATGTCGCCTCCTTTTTTTCTCGGCTTCTCTCCTCTGTTCTCCGTCCTCCTCTCCACGGTCATCGGACGTCGGCGGCGAAATCCGATCTCGGCGGTTTCCGAGGGTTTCCTTGCCTACTTGCTTCCTTCCCCTTACCGAGTCACTCCAGACACTGAAAATTTTGTGTGCCTCCTCATCTGACGAAGACGCGATCCGATCGATGTGACTGTATTGTTTCTGCATCTCTCTAGATTTCCTCGTGCGTCTCTGAGATCTACGTTCTGGCGCTGAAAGCGGAACTCGAGAGGGAGGAGAGCAGCGAGGCCGCCGAGAAGGAGGGAGGGAAGGAGGACGGGAGATCAGAGCAGGAGCACGGGCCCCTGTCGCAAGCTGCTGCTTCAAGGTACCACCCTACGTAGGGCTTTCAACGTTCCTCCTTTCCCTCTTTCTTGTTCTTTCCGCAGGATCTCCGCTCTTCTTTTTCCTCGCCTCTTTCCGCACCGATCACGTCGCGCGGCAGCCCCGGGGGAGAAGGGAGAGCGCAGAAAGGGAGAGCGGCTGCCTGCATGGGTTGCCATATTTGACATCGCCTCTGCGGTTCCTTCCAGCACATGGCCGTCGCCTAAAGGAGACGAGGAATCGAGACGTGGGGAAGAAGAGGAGAAGAAGAATACTGTGGCGATCTGCAAGAAGGGAGACGGGAAGGGATGGCAATGCAAGAGAGAAGCTCAGTGGGGTTACTCGCTCTGCCAGTACCACCTCGAGAAGCTCAGATCCTACAGCTGTTACTCTCAGAGGAAAAAACCCAGGGCTGCTTCGGCATCTGAGAAGCCCCCCACCGCCGGAGGAGCTGTCCGCCGCCAACGCACTCCTCCACAGACGAGAAATAAGAGACAAAGGCCGGCAGATCCTCTCCCGGACAAGGCCCCCGGCATCTCGGATTCTTTCTACTACTACTCGGGCTTCGGCCCTCTGTGGAGGAAGCGGAGGGGAGGCCGGCCGGAAGACGGCGCTACTGCTGCTAAAGACGAAGAAGAAGAAGAACCAGCAGGAGGAGAAGAAGATGAAGATGAAGAAGAAGAAGAAGAAGGAGGAGAAGAAGAGGAAGAAGAAGAGTGCGAAGAACCCAGAGGAGGAAACGGGAAGCCAATGAAGTCCCGGCCACTGTCGTCCATCCTTTAGGAAGCTCGTTCCCTCTCTCTGACCCAGCCACGGCAAGGCGCTCATCCGTATAGAAAGTCTAGAATACGCTCGTAATCTCCTTACTGTCCATATCATTTAATGATCAATAAAGGCCTCACCTTTGCTGGTTTCTGCCGCTATTCCATCCCTTCCATCCTCACCGGGGCTCAACTCCGGTGATCTCCGTAGCAGCTCCAAGCAGCCGTCGCGACGGTGGGCGGCACGCATGCATGCGCACGAGCTGCATGCACGCAGGGCCGAGACGAGCGCCGCCGCATCCGGCCCGTCTCGGCTATCTGTTTACCACTTATTCGAAGAAATGCCACGTCCGCCGCCGGCAGCCATCCTGGTAGAGAGAGAAAGCGAGCGAGCGAGAGAGAGAGAGAGAGAGAGAGAGAGGATGGCATAGCCGATGAGAGAAGAGAGACCTCAGAGTTCTTCAGCCTCTGGTAACGGTAATGGTCGGCGCTGTGTACTCGTGGCTACCAGACTCCAGGATCGGGTCCAAGGGCTTTGATAATCTCTCAGGTTGCTCCGACTCCGCGCGACCTTTCTTCAGCTCCAACCTGAAAACAAAATACGATCTTTTTTTTTTGGTTTTCCTCGTCGCCCAACGCAGCATTTTTTATTTCTTCCAACGTGATTGCATTGCGTTTAATTAATAGTTAGTAACTCTTGAGTTCATCCGCCACAATGTTATTAGGGTTTGCAGATTGATACTCGCATGAAATCATCATATCATTCGCGATACTCGCATGAAAACATAAATAATCTTCAATAGTCATAATATTGAGAGGTGATAAACATTTTTTTAATTATTTTTTATTTTTACCTTGGTACAATTTAACGGATTATGAGCGTAAAACACAACGCCAATAAATCTTATTTATATTTTTAGTAAAAATATATGATCACGCGTAATTTTTTTTGGGAAAACTTTTCAGAGTTACTTTTGGGGGAGTAAGTAAGTACAGTGGGATGAACATGGCAGGAGGCGTTCGACTCCCAGTGGGTCCCACATCCATAACGTAGATTTTTCCGACAGAGGGTGAGCCGGGTGACGTGGCCCCCCTACATCGCCGGGTCCGTAGGGAGGCACGAGGCCTCGCCGTGTCTCGGGTTTAAGGTTAGGGTATCCGAATCGAAGAGGGCACGCTAAGACCGGAGCGAGAGAGGCCAAAAGTTAGAGAGAGAATGAGAGAGAGTGAGAGAGAATGAGAGAGAATGAGAGAGAATGAGAGAGAATGAGAGAGAACGAGAGAGAGAGGGGAATTAATTTAGCAATGTAGGGGAGGCTTACAGTAGGGACTTGAGGGAGCGGGCTTTAATGGGCTTCCTCCCTCTCCTCTTGCCGGAGACGTCATCCCCGTCGTCGTCCCCGAGAACCCCAACGTCGTCGGTATCTTCGTCGTCGAGGTCCAGATCCTCCGGCGCCTGGTCGTGGACCGTCGTCACCTGGTCCACGCCTCCGCCGCCGTTCCTCCTCCTGCCCCACCAAGGCCCAAAGCCCGAATAGTAGTAGTAGAAATCCGACGTCGGCGGCTTCCTCGTCCTGCCGGCGCCGCTGTCGCCGCCGCCGTCGTCTTTCTTGTTGATCTTCTTCTTCGGCAAGCTCCTTTTCTTATCTTCATTCTGCTCGCCGTCGATTCCCCCGGGTGAGCTCCGGGAGGTTTGCTGGTCATGAACATGGGCAGCGGCGGCGCCGCCGCCGCCGCAGCCGCCGTTACTGTAGTAGGAGCGGACCTGGGTGAGGTGATACTCGCAGAGAGAATGAGGATGCTGGGCCTCCCGTTTGCAGTGCCATCCTTTGCCGTCGGTCTTCTTACATGTCGCCGAAGGAGCAGCCGCCTGCACCTCCGTCTTCTTCACTATCTCTCCCTCTGCTTCCTCCGAGGCGCTTTTCCTCTTGACCTTCTTCCTGCCGATGGGTTTCTTTGCCACCTTCCTCTCCCTCTTCTCCTCCTCCCCCTCCGCTTCCGCTCCCTCTGTCATGGCCTCGATCTTCACCCGACGTCTCAAGGTCAACTCCGCCGGGACGAGGCTGCGGAGAAGATATTCGATCGTTCAATCCGTCTCGTCACCACAAGAAAGAGGAGGAAGAATTGGTAAAAGAAAAAAAAAACAATGCAATAATGGCGAGAACCTGCGAGAATCACAGACTGCAGGAGCTTCCTCTTGTTCTTCTTCTTCTTCTGTCAGCCTCCTCCCCATTGCTCCTCTGACGAACGCAGCAGTCTCGTCCGCCACCTCCTCCGCTTCCTGCGGCGACTGAGCGGCGTCAAGCAGAGCAGTAAGAAGCGAAGAGGCGGAACAAACCCTAGAAGAAGATGCTCCACTATTTCCCGAACAGGAAAGACGAGTTCTAAAGCGGAGAGACGATGAACAGACGGACAGCGAGACATGCTGATTCGATTCATTGGATGTGCGCCACAAAACCTAATGCCCGCCGCTGTCGGGAGAAATCCATAGCCACGCGACCCGCACGAGAACACGGAGAGACAGGAGAAAGAAAGTAATCAAGGACAAATCAGAGATCCTCCGACGGAAAATGGCACAGCCTGGTCGATCAGAATGTGATATTTAGGGTTGCTTCGGCCGCCCCCCACCCCCGAAGCAGCGAAACCCTAGGCGGCGGCACGACACGATAAGAGAAGCTCCCCATTTCCCTTTCCAAGGGCGGGCGGCAGGAGAAACAGGCACCCCGATGACCATCGAGCCACTGAAATTCTGAGGCGGACGCCATTCAACCTAATTTCACACAGACCAGGACGAACGAAGCTGGCAACCGATCGGATCTGACCTCGCAGAGGCAGAGCCCCGCCGACCGCGGCGGCGGAGTGAAGGACATCGCGTCCCACGGCGACTGGTTCAGCTCGCACACATGCATCTCCACTCCCCCGCCCATCGCCGCCACTTCTGCATCTCCCTCAGCCGCGAGAGCGGGAGATTGGGTAGGAATCGACAGAGGAGATGGGATCTTCGCGGCGTTCCTCCGGATCCTCATCTCGAAGCCGACACCCCGGCGCCGAAGGATCTCCGAGAGCTCCGGGTGAGGGAATCGAACTCCTCCTACTTGTAGATCCTGCAGCAGAGTGGCGGTAGCTCGTCGTCCACAGGGTTTGGGTTTTGCCGTTGAGCCGATGCGAGCCCTGCGAGAGAGAAACTCGTCCTCCAAACAAATTTCCCCTCCTCATTCAATACCAAAAGCCCTGCTATTTATATAAAAACTCCTCGAATGGTAATTTCCCACCCAATTTCATAAACACCCTTCTTAAGTTAACTATTTACGGATACACCACGCTCGGTCCGGATCACCAGATCGCTAAAGTCAGACTATTTACTGCCATTTATCTTCTTCCACGTGGATCGGAGATTTGCGAGGACAGCGATGACGATGGACGCTCCAGATTACTTGAGTCCTCCTGGGTCAACGCTCCGGCCGATGCGGTAACTCGCGGCCGTCGGCAACCGTCAGATGCCCCCACGTCATCTCCGCCGGGGCCCACGGGTCGACGGACTAGTCTGAGCCGTACCCAGCCTAGATCCCAACTCTATGGGCCCATTTAAAAATCCCGTATTGGGCCGTTCTCCTTGTGCGCCCAGTCAGACCAACTTGGGTAAATCGTCTCGAAGAACACAATGTTGGGCCCACCGCCTGCTACCTAAAGAGGGCCAGAGAGTCTATGAGCGTCAGTTGGGCCGTAGATGGCCCATTAAGGATTCCCATTCGGCGTTGGAGTCTCGTAGGTCCCGCAATACGTGTCGCGACACTAATGGCTGCTCCAGTGGTTCGAATGCCAGTTGGTTCGACGTGACCTATCACGATACGACGAGTTGTAACAGTCAGAATGGACCCGGCGGAACCTGGGAATCTAACGGCTCAGATCCTTTTGATCCGACCCGTGATAAGATCCGCGGTTGGGAAGATACTTTTATACCCCACGATAGCTTATCGAGTCGGATCCAACCGTGGGCGGCGTCGAGGAGAAGCCACGTGTCAGGGGTTGGGGCGCCCCTGGTGCTGACGTGTCGGTGATATAATCAGCCCTCGCGGTCGCGGATCGTAATAGCTCTACCGGCCGCCACGTGATCGTCCCCGAAGGCTTCCGGGGTTCCGGCGGACACGTGTCCAGATCTCTGGGGAGAGATATTCCCGTGGAGACGCGTATCTCTCCGGGGCCCGTGGGGCCATTGGTGACCCATCACGTGGCGCAATCCGGAGGCGGGCGACGAGAGCGGCGCTGATCGTGGCCGCCCGTACGGTGACGATAATTCGGGGAGGAGAGAGAAAACGGGGGAAAGTGGAGCCCGAGAAGACGTCACGTCATCGGGATACGTGTCGCGACATCGTTCAGCTCCGGTCTTCTGTCTCGGCCGGGCAGCCCGGGTAGCTGCCCGCGGTGGAGTTCCCTGCCCCCGGAGTTTCAAAGGTGGAAAAGGAGCGAGCAGAGTCTCGCGCAGAGGGATAGAGAGAGAAGCGGAGAGAGAGCGTAATGTTGTATGCTTTTGTTGTTGTAGCTGGGAGAGAGGAGGGGCGCGGAGAGGAAGAGGAGAGACGGCGGGAGGTTTCCGTTCTCTCCGACGGGGACTCAGGCGGGCGATGATCGGGGGTAGGGGGGGAATCGCGTGGAGATCCCCTTCTGGAGGAGCGATCGCCAGTCACGATGACTGATATCTGCTTGAAAATGTCCAGCGACGGCTGCTTCCCGGAGAAATGCCGCGAAGCCCGGCGCCGGAGGATCGAGGTGCGGCGGTCGGTGGCGGTGGCCGGCGACGTGGACGCGCCACCTCGGCCGGGAAGCCCGAGCTGCTCGGAGACGGGGGCGGAGAAGTCCGACGGCGACGAGGAAGGCAGGAAGCGCTGCCCTGCGGGGAGATCGAACGCCTTCTCCTGTCCTCCTCTGCCGCCGGCGGTGCCTTCTCCGGCTTCTTCTTCGGCGTCTGTTTCGAACACGGGGGAGCTGGTGGCACCGGACGTTCCGTCCACACGCAGAAATGTACCTTCTATGCCGCGGCCAGAATTCGGCTTCGTATCGCTCTCCGGCCGGTCACGAGAAATGGAGGACGCTGTTTCCCTGCACCCCTGCTTCTACTCGCCGGGGGACGACTGTTCGTCACCGTTGCATTTCTTCGCGGTCTTCGATGGCCATGGCGGCTCCCACGTAAAATCCGGACGTCCTGCTTTCTTCTGTCATATTTTTTTATTAGTACGGTCGATTCGAGGCTCGTCTTCTAATGCCTCCACGATTTAGCTCTTCTATTTACGAATGCCGATTACCGAACAAAAATATCGATAACACCGGCGATCCGACGAAAAACTCGGGAAGATCGGAGGCGATTCGTTTTTTTTTTCCTTACTACTTTTTTCTGGGATGTTACGGTATGACTATAGTTTTTGATAACTCGGAAGCTCCTTCGGTTCTTGGCATCCCTCACTTTCTGTCAGATTTTCTCTGTTTTCAATTCTCCAATTGGGTTGCAAGCATTCGCATGTTGCTTGCGCCTCCATTACGCGTCCTCCTTGCTCGCTTCTTACAAAATTATCTTCACCGATCCCATTATCCGTAAGACACGCGGCCTCTCGGGGCGTCGTAAGATCTGCCTGCGTCTCGTCCTGTTGCACGTCGGTAGCCTGATGGTACCCATTCTCTCGCTGGCATTTCAGGTGTCTGCTCTCTGCAAGGAGCGAATGCACGTGTTCTTGGCGGAGGAACTACAGAAGTCGTCGTCGAACTTCGGCGAGAGTCAGATCACCGTGGACGTGTTCACGGAGGCGACAATGCGGACCTTCCGGCGGATGGACGAGCTGGCGCTGGCGTCCTGCGCCTGCGGCAGCGTCGGGGAACCGTCCTGCGGCTGCGATCAAGCTGGATTCTCGTCGCAGATCGTGGGCTCCACCGCCGTCGTCGCCGTCGTCGACCGCCACCGCGTCTTCATCGCCAACTGCGGTGACTCTCGCGCCGTGCTCAGCCGCGGGGGCCGTGCCGCGCCGCTGTCCTCCGATCACAAGGTGATGGCATCTTAGGTTATTTAGGGTCAAGTTTCGGGCATTCTTTGGTTCAGGGTGGGGATATGCTGTTACTTCGTCGGGGGTGGGAGATTCTACTGTGTTGTTTTCTTCTTTCTCGCTTCCTCCGTCTGGCCCGGTGTGGTAGGTCCGTGTGCTTTCTTCTCGCTTGTGAATGTGTGCCGCCGGCAATGTCAGGGGATTTTGATCATTTTAACTTACGTTTCAAACTGCGCAGCCGGACAGACCAGACGAGATGGCGCGCATAGAAGCAGCGGGAGGAAGGGTGATCTACGTAAATGGAGCTCGCGTTCTTGGGATTCTTGCTATGTCTCGTGCAATTGGTGAGAATTTCTCTGCTCCCTGCGTTCTGACGTCCCTGCATTTCTCTGCTCCGTGTGAATAACGTCAATCATCAATAGAAAATCGCGCTATCACATTCCAATCATCTTGGAAGACATAACAGCACATTAAAACTTTGATAAAACTTGTATATTACCACAAAACTGTTTATAACTCTGAGAAGTTATGCGTTTCGAACGATGCCAAATAAACGGCTAATTGAGGAATATTTAGAATTGCGCATCCCATTCACAAAAATGTTTAGAATTTCGAACGATACCACAAAACTGTATTACCTGTGAGGATGGCCGTCTTTCTCTGGGTCCATCTTTCCCATGATGGTTTGTTTTCTTGGCTCCTTTTAGTTCGGCGTTCTGCCTTTAAAGCTCTAGACATAATAGGGTCTACTCTAGATGTGCAAATGCAAGCAGATGCCGTGGTTCTTTTCTACTTTCTTCTTCTGCGTTAAACATGGAGATACTCTGCCGATCACCGTCAGAACTGCTGTCTTTTTCTTACTGCTTTTATCCTCTAGAGTTCTGTGTTCTGGCTGCATTTTTAAGATGACACGGTGAACCATTAGGATTGTGAAAGTCGACTGTGAGAGATTCTGTGGATTCGAACCATTATGAGCTGACACTACTTATGTCCTTTTATTGTATGGGCATGTTTCTCTGAAACACGTCAAATGAGGATATTCATTTGGTAAAAAATGATAGAATTTTCTCGTTCGTTTCCCGTAATTAGGTGATTATAGCTATGACTGTCTGGGAACCATCATTACGGATTGAATCTGCTTCGCTAATATCGGTAGCTGATGTCTTGATTTCGCTATAGTATTGGATGACAAATGGTTGGTGACTGGTTACGTTAGTGTCATGGCATGATGCATTCGATGTGGCCTGACCTGTTATGGCTTTCAGTGAATGGTCTCATTTCTTAGGCATGGTCAAATGATGCTTTTCTTGCCTCTGTACCGTGATTGGATGTTCAGTTGATGATGATGCACGGTATGTAGGTTTAATTTAGTTATTGAATCCTGTGTTCATTTGATTATTTGATCAATTTTAAGTGTTTAGATGGTTTGAAATTTAACATAAATGATATTTTCGCATTTATTGTGTGAGTCCAGTCGATGATTTATTATCAAATGCCACAATGGCAGCCTCTAATTTTGAACGTCATAGTGGGGAAGGTCTTGTAAATTCCATCTTCTTTCTGATCGTTTTTTCACAATCTAAATTGGATAAATGATGATATTTTTCAGTTATTTACGTGTCAATTGTTCCTCTAAAAATGTCCTTTGATTACTCATTTAAACATTGGCTGCATAGGTAAGATACTATGTGATAATAGAACTATTACCGAGTGATATAGATACGAAACAACTAAGGGCAAGAAATGTCGTAGAATAAATGCTAATGCTTGAATAATTCCCATTTCTATGGTATAAACCCAAGTATCATTGCTATGAATTTATAGAGATATAATTTGAATGCGGTTGCCTTATTTATGTGTGAAATGGTGATTTTAAATTTCTGTATTTGATAACGTTTGCAATTGATTATAAATTCTCTTGTTTTTTGATTGAGGCTTTGTGCAATCTTTGTTTCTGTGCTTCTCAGTTTATGGTTTATTGACGTACTCTATATAAGCATCAAATCGGAACTCACCAATTGTATCAGTGCATATGGGTGTCAAACCGTACGGATGAACATTGTGGAAGTTGTGAATCAACTGAAAAGAGACAGATAGTGATCTATTGAATTAATAGATTTTTCATATAGAAGAAATATTTTCACTAGCAGCTCTCCTTATCCACTCAACTATGTGATTCTAATGGAGCAACTGACATCTGATAGTGTTATTCATAAAATCAATTAAAAGAGTAAAACATGATGCCCGCGCATATTCAACAACTTGATTGAGGAAGAAAGTAGAGCTGGGTATAATTTTTGTGAAGGTTCATAGATAGTGTTATATACTTGTGCGGTATTTTCTGTCCTTTTATCAAATTCTCCGGGAACAGTTTTAGGTTCCACTCCGTTAACTTTGTCCCCAATATCTTCAGTTCTGTCTGCCTCGTCCATTGGGTATAATTCTTGTCCAGTTTCATGCAATTTTATTTAATTTGAATACGATAACACAGAAATGTAAATCAGTTATTATCAGCAAGAATGTGAATTTTTAATCTTAAATAAAGTAAATCTAAGTCTCCAAAGTGTGCTCGTTATCTGGTTTCATGTGATCGTGCGTAGTTACAGCTAGCGATGAACAATCGTGATTCTACTCAGATCAAATGTTATTTAGCTGCGGTAGACAATGGATTCCAAAGTTGAAATCGAATTGAGCTCCAGGCTTTTATCTTAATTGATGCTACACTACCCTACACAAATGACGATCTCAGGCTTTTATCTTTATTTTACCGATTTTTTCTTCCATTTTTTGCCTTCTTATTCCCTTCTCTCCTGGCATCCTATGTGGATTGCCATCGGTGTTCTTCTTCTAAGGTCAAACCTTTCTATCTGGTCTTCTTTGCAGTTGACTTCTATTCTTCACTTTTCTGTTCTTTTCTGTTGCCATTTCACGAGACCTTACTGTCATGAGGCGAAAGCTGGAAAACAAGAATGGTGGCGAATGCTACTTCTCTCCTCCCTCTTTAGAACATAGGTCGAGGTTCAACATATGCACCTCAAAAAATGAGGCCCGCCAAGCTTCGAGCTGATCCGCACATAGTCATATCATTACAAAATCAATTGATTCAAGCATTTCACAAACTGTGACACTGATTATGACCGTTTCTTCTTCATCTCAAAAAAAAAAAAAAAAAAAAAAGGTTTTCTCCATGGAACATGACTTGTAATAATCGTAGAATATGATCAGTCAATCCAGTATTGATCAAGATAGGCTGATGATTCTCCCAACCGTGATTACAGGGGCTCCATGAGTAATCTACGATCCTGAAGGAAACATAGGCTAGCCTCCTCTATACCTCACTGTGTCTTCTTTTCAAGCCCGTGTGTTTTTGTGGCTATGGTTGTCACGCTAGTTACAAATGAAACAATGCTTATCATCGAATTGGGTTGGCCATAGCTGCTGTGATTATGGTCAACGACCATAGAAAAGCAGAGGTCTCTGTGTCTTTCTTTCTTCACCCAATTCTTCTCTGCGCTTCACCCACCCAATCGACCCACGTCGTGGACCTCCTTTTTTCTCTCTGATTCTCAACCTCAGAACTGATGTGGTGAATGTGTTATATATGCATTCCAGGATGCCATGACGAGACTCATTTCTCCTCCTTCTGTGGGTCAACATAGAAAGCCACCGCACAGCTTGGATCGATGGCTGTGTTTTCCTATCAAATTAATGCATGCTTTATTTCCTTTCTGCAGTTCTTGTGAATTAGGGAAAAGTAAATGGATGGGGCTCAAAGCGTGCCCATAATCGGACCTTCTCTCCATCATCGCCATGGCAGTACTTATTTCATCCCATTCTAGGATCCTATACCACTCTTCATAACTTCCAAGCACCCATGGAACCCATGGTGAATGTGTTCTTAAATTGTCTTATTGAATTTTTTTAATTTTATTTATTTATTTATTTATTGTGTGTGTGTGCTCTTATATCATACATCTTGTCTCCAAGGGGAAACGAACGATGCTAGTTTTGGTAAAGATGTGAAAATTCTTGTATGGTAATCCGTCTCGGAATGTATTCTTATTGGAAATAACCCACCCTGGTTGAATAATCAGGAATCCGAGGTCACCTCAGTGATTTTTAGATGTCTCACTCACTTGCATTATATGCTTCCATTGGAGTTGAAATGGTCGCGAAGTTGACTATTCTGCGTTGACGATCTGGGTCATGGCCTGACTGGTTGACTTTTTCAGGTGACAAGTACTTGAAGCCGATAGTGATCTCCGACCCCGAGATTCGGGTCAGCGAGAGGACCCCCGAGGACGAGTTCCTGATTATCGCCAGCGACGGCATGTGGGACGTCCTGTCCAACGACCTGGCCTGCGACATCGTCCGCCGGTGCCTCCGGGACGAGCGCCGGCAGGGCCCGGCGGAGGACCTCCGCACCGACGGCTGCGATGGCGGCGCCGCGGCGGCGGAGCGCGCCAACCCCGGCGGCTCCTATTGCTCCATGGCAGCGACGCTGCTGACTCGCCTCGCCCTGGGGAGGCAGAGCTCGGACAACATCAGTGTGATCGTGGTTGACCTGAGGAGAGCATGAAAAAAACCTAATGGTGGGATTGGCGGCGGCGGAAGAAGCGACGATGGGGTGAGACAGGGGATGGGCGAGCTCGTGCCGGTAAGCCCGCAGAGTGTCCGAGTATGGAAGCTTTCATGGAGTCTAGCCTGAGAAACCTGGTTTGACTGACAGTTGTTAGCCGGACTAGGAAAGAGCCCTCTTCCTGAATCCTGTTATCTTCGAGACGCCCTCTCTCTCTCTCTCTCTCTCTCTCTCTCTCTCTCTCTACACTCGAGAGGTTGGATAGTAATGGTGGCTGGGTGAGGGTGGAAAGCAACGAAAGCGAAGTTGATGGAGTAGAGCTGCATAAACCTCTCTACCATAGCGCCCCCCTCGTGGGGTTCCTTCACTGCACTTCCATGCACCATCACAAGGAAAGAGAGAGAGGATCTCTCTGCGTCGTCCGTCTGTGGACGAGAATTTCTCCAACTCTCTCTTTCTATCGCAGATCCACGTACTGTATCTTCCCCGCCCGAGAGCAACGAGAGGCGGAGCCACCGAGACGGCCAGACCATTAAAGGCCTTCGCCTGCCTATCTCCATGTTCTCGTTCATGACTACTCTCTCTCTCTCTCTAGATCTAAATCCTACCTGATGAATAACAGTACACCCTGCAGAAGGCACTGGAGAATGGTGGGGGGCAATGGGATGATGTTTCATAGAAGAGAAGAAGAAATCAACGACCACCTGGCATGGACGAGAAAACTGCATGCAGCCCTAAGCGTAACCCAGGCGGAGCTCCAAGTCAGCCTCAATTGTGATGTTAGCGCGACCGTCCTCTCCGGCGAGGACCTCCTCAGCGCTGCCGCCGCCGAGAGATGCTTTGGGTACCATGTGAGCCGCCTCCGACGAAGAAGAAGAAGCTCCTGAGGATAGAGAAAGGTGATAGGGACGGAGAGAGAGAGGAGGGGGCACTCTCAGCCTGGCGCGGTCTCTCCGGTGGACGTTCATGTGGCCGCCGAGAGCCTGCGCAGATCGGAAGTCCCTGTTGCAGAAGCTGCACCTGTACGATCTCGCCAGCCACGAGAGCCCCCACACGACGGCGCTTGGACAGAAGCCTCGTCGGGCGTGGCCCCATGGGTACCCGACCTCGCCGCCTCTACGTGTGCTTTGACCTTTCCTAGAGAAGGCGATCCTCTCCATGTGTCTCAGACGAAATCCAGAGAGAGAGAGAGAGAGAGAGGGGGGATGGCTTCCCACTTGGGGACGCGGAGGAGCAAGTAGAAAGGGGCACTCACCTGAGTACCGTCGTGTCTCAAAACTCCGCTGGTGGCTCTTTAATCTCTCTGTCGGCAACCAGCATTACCTCTCTCTCTCTCTCTCTCTCTCTCTCTCTCTCTCTCTCTCTCTCTCTCTCTCTCTCTCTCTCTCTCTCTCTCTCTCTCTCGCTCTCTCTATCTATCTCTCTATCTCTACATGGCCTTGTTATCCATAAGGGAGACCGGAACTTACTTCTCGTCCAGTCCTGTTCGAGCGAGGGCACATGGCCGTCGCAAGTACGAGTGAAAGAGAGAGGAAGAAGACCCCGTCGCCTCAGAGGCTCGTTCTCCTCCCGGATCCTCTTCCTTCTCCTGTTCCCGTCTTCTGCCGTCGAGGTTGCCGGTGGCTCTCCTCTCTCTCTCTCTCTCTCTCTCTCTCTCCTCTCTCTTCTCTCTCTAAATTGGTGGGCTCTGACGATGAAGCCGACGACGACAACCGAGAGATGAAAGTAAATGCTCTGCAAATTGAAAGAGTGATAAATGGGAAAGGGCAAGTGCCGTCATATCTGCTCCGCTCAGTGAGCCCACGAACGAGCATGATGCTTTCCACAATGCAACTCTGCTGGTCAAAAACGAGACACCGAATAAAAAACTATTTGAACCGAATTTATGACGTTAAGAACTTGAAAACTGAGTTCCAATGTCATAGAAAAACGATAGTAAACATGGCCCCAAGAGGATATTAAATAAATTATTATTCTTCCTGGATTAAATGATATTAAACACGAGCTTTCATGAATAAATGGTATTAAAAAACTAAGTTATAATCGTCTGAAAACAATAACCGTATTTCTTGTGTATTTTTAATACATAAATAAATAATAATTGCTACTCTTATTTAATGAATGGAATGAAGAAAGCGCTAGCTGTCAATAAGTTAATATTTTTCTCAAAATGTTGGGTATTATGGATGGTAAAAAGATGTGGATGCTGAATTTATGGGGATCTAATTGATTGAAATGTAATGAAAAAGGATATTTAGAAAGATCACAACGATGTTGATGAGAATGGCCCCACCGATCTTCAAAGAAAAAACCAATAATTATGAATTACGGTTTGCTCTTTAGCACACTTTTGCAATTTTTTTCTTTCAGTTGCTATATTTTATCTAAGTAATTAGTGGTATTCAAACACTTGTAGTGCTCTAAATTAAGGAAATTATATATCTTGAATAATTATATTTTAAAAAATACATATAATAAAAAAGTAACTATAATTATATATTATTCGCGAAATTATCAAAATATACACCTATGAGCGCTTACAATACATTTCAATGAGGAACACTCACATAGTGCGTCATTTTCCTCGTAAATAAAGCTCATAATCTAATAATTAAGACTAAATAGATTGGTTGATGGTCAACATGTACGATGTTTACCGAAATACCCACTATGAATTCTTTAAAATGGGAAAAAATCGAGAGAGTAATTCTATGTAGACGCAAACCCTAATCGAGATTATCTTGATCAATCGTTGGCACGTCATTAACTATTTTCGGATTAATTTCCTGTGCCTGATAGTCTTACGAAGAATACTCTTTTTAGGTTAAAAGTGGCGTCTTCCGTAATTTGGATGGAAAAAGTTGTAGAATTTCTACGACTTGGAAGAAATCCCCAGACCTGAGTGCAGGAGAACTCCCGGGGGGGAGTTACTCTACCCTTCACGGCGCTGGTACCCTGCTCCGATGGAGCTCGTGGAGCCACGGCCGGTGGGGGAGGGGGGAGAGGGGAGGGGGGAGATAATGCGAAGGGCGTGAACGCTGAGGTCCTCCTATCTAGCTCAGCGTGCGTTCTGCTATCGGCCGCAGGATCCTTTTAGGGTTTCTCTGACCTCAAAAGGAAGGCCTCGGCGGAGCAGGAGGAAGAAGGAGAAGCCAGTGATATCATCCTCCGACTATGTAGCCTGCCTTATAACAGACGAGCACCTAGGTGCCACAAAGGAGGAATTCTAGATTTGATAAAGCTGGGTCGTGTTAATGAGCCTCCTTGAACCTCTCTCTCTCTTTCTCTCTCTCTCTCTCTCACTCTCTCTACACACACTCACACACACACATGCACGCACGCACAGAACTCCGAGAGAGGAGAGGCTGACAATGGCAATGGCCCGAACGAGTCTTTCCACCAACTCCTCCCACGCCGCCTTCCCTGAGTCAAGTCTTCATAAACCCATCTCCCCAGTGCCTCCATTACCCTTCCCCCGTCACAGGCTGAGAGGCCACCGCCGCCGGCAGCGACGTCGTCACTTGATAGGCCGGTGCTCACCAGCAACGCCCAATACATGGAGGGCTCCGCCGGAGAGATGGGCTCGCCGGAACGGCTCAACGGCGAGGCCGCCCCCGGCGGGAGGCCGTACGGGTGCATGTTCTGCAAGCGGGGCTTCTCATCGGCGCAGGCCCTCGGTGGCCACATGAACGTCCACCGGAGGGACCGCACGAGGATTCGCCGCCCTCCCGGAGATCCTCCGGCGGCCGAGCCATCCAGAAGCTCCGCCAAGTTCTCCCCTACGCCGCCCTCTCCGCCGCGGGCGAACAGGCGGAGGGAGCTAAGCCTGCTCGGAGGTTACCTGCAACTCGGCCTCCCCACGCAAGAAGACGATGGGCGGCAGCGGCGGCGGCCGGAAGACGAGCCGGGTGGCGGGTTGGACTTGGAGCTCCGACTTGGTCACGAGCCCAAGAACTGAGCTGAGCTAAGCTGAGCTTCCTCTTCCACCTCCCCACTTCCCATGGCTGATTATAGACCGAACTTATATTACCGATCATATCAAAACCTCTTCGGCATTTTTAGACTTGATGATCCACCTTTGATTACATCTCCATATCAATTTGGAATTATACTACCCTATAAGTCAACGTGGGATCAAAAGTTGACCGTCGATCTTGCTCTACACACGCCTTATTTTCAAGGTCAACTTGTATCTCAAAAACTTCAGTGGGCCTTCATTCGCTGTTGGCCTATAGTCTTCGGCCCACCTAGCCGCCACGTTTTGCAGACCGACCACCTTCTGACAGCGTGGACTCTACCTGAGGGATTGGAATCCGTCTGCACGTGCGCCGCCGTTCGCCCCGGTAGCGGCGGTCTAAAGCTGTCATTCGCGCATGAGTTTCTAAACGATCTTTGAGAGATTTACTTGGCTGCCAAAGGCCACGGCTTCTGGGGAATCGTCTTCCGACCATCGTTTCTCGAATCGCTTCCGTCGGTGGGTCTCACCAGTCAATTCACACGTGGCAGGAGGACGTTAATGATCCCGGCAGATAAGACGGCCAGCGCTGAATTCCTCCAATTTTCTCAATCCAACCATCCAAATACTGAATTCAGCTGGTAGTCTCCGTCACGTGATTTCCCAGCGTCCCCTCGTGACCGTTGACGGCCTATTGACGTGGCGCCTGATCTGTATCCATCCGACGTCCATGGGCACGTTTTATACTGCATTTGGGCGAGGTGTCGCCGCGTGGCCAAAAGGAATGGTCCCCCGGCGGGGATCCTCTGAAAATTTACCACTAACAAAATTGACCGGGAAGTTATTTTATATATTGAGAAGCAGTACCCTCCACGAGTTGGTCCCAAGAAAACGATGGTGTGGACCATTTTTTATGGGTCCACTCATATTCGATACCATGATTATCCATAAAATAATTAAAAGTATCAGAAATTCACCCATAACTATCTAGATATCATTTTCACAACATTTTATGCGATATTTGCCCTATTTGTGGATCTAAAACGACCCAAATGAGTATTTTTTATAGGTTAATAATTATACAAATTAAATAGGTAAACTATAGAGTCATACATTCATGGTGAATCTACCAAAAACAAAGTAACGGTATTAAAGAACTGCAACAAATTAGAAAAAGCTATTAAGATGTTGTCAATATATACCATGCTCTCAACAATTTTGCAATATTTATTGTGCTATTTATTTCAAAAATTAAGTAGATAAACTATACAGTCTTTATCTGTAAATTCCATACATTTATGGTGAATCTACCAAAAAAGAAATAATAAAAAATTATTAAAAACTATAACAATGTTGTCAATAGATTCCATTATAAAAAAAATGCAATATTTATTGGGTTATTAATTTTACAATTTAAATAGGTAAACTATAGAGTCTCTATTCGTGATTATCTTACAATTCTGGTGAATCTACCAAAAACAAAATAATGGGATCAAAGCAACATAAAAATAATGGCAAAAAATATAATGATGTTGTCAATAATTAGGGTATCATATTAATGAGAGGCTGAGTGAGACCTCTCAGTGTTGACATAGAAGTGCTATGTAGCGTTTGACTTTTGATTACTTCCTCATCTAACCTTGATGGCCACTTTCATGCAATTACTACTAAGCAGCTCCCAACCACCCAATTATGAAAATACTTGGCAAGTTTTTAGCAATTCATTTGGGGTGGCAAAAGCCTAACCACACGAGTACTATTCAAGCCATGAATATTTGGTGTGGCCTGATAAATGGCAAGTAGACAAAACTAGTCTTTTTTTTCCACCATATCACCAAAACCTATCATGTGATGCCACAAAAATATTTTCCATGTAAAAGTCGTAGTAATTTATTTAATAAGCTCCCATCATATATTGACCTCTCTCCATCTCTCCATGTCTTCATTAATTGGGCTGTGTTTATTCATTTATTGTCATCTTCCATGAATTTATGAAGAGGCGGTATGATGTGCTTGAAGGTTTTCATATTTTATATATATTTTTTTGGGTTTTCCTGATTCACCTGTAGATTTAGTAAGACGAGTTAGAGAGAGAACGTAGTATCTAATAATAAGTAAATAAGTATATTATAATATTTTATTATTTATTTCAATATCGGTATTTCTTCATCTAGGATTTTGCAAGATTCTTCTTTATACAAGCCATTTTAGAGCGTAAATAATAATTAAAAAATGAAGAAATAAATGATATATATATATATATATATATATATATATATATATATATATATATATATATATGGGGGAGGGGGGAGAGGGAGAGAGGAAAGTTTGAGATAAATGGGCTAATGGAGAGAATTTGGCCGGTACACTGAACCGATAGATTTATTATTAAATTAAAGAAAGATAAGGTGAAAACAATAATTTAATAAGCGAGTAATGGCCCACTTGGCTGACGTTACAGTACTTTTTACGTAGCTGTGTGTAGCAAGTGCCTTCTGTCTCGTCCATGTGATTCCACCACTTGGCCGCTGTTTCCCTGCAAAATATCTCTCCGATTGAGACTTTCCGCTCAGAGAGGTCCAGGTTCTCCTCCCTCATGCTATTCCTCTCTGTCCAGGTTCTCCCCCCTCCCACCCCCGCCCCCACCCCACCATTCTCCTCTCTCTCTCTCTCTCTCTCTCTCTCTACCCCCTCTAGAGAGAGCACATCTTATAGGCGGAGCAGTTAAATAAGGGCCAGCCGAGTCACTGGCTGGCGGAGTTTTCACTCCGGATTCTTCCCCTTTTTCTTCCTCGAATCCCGTCGTCTCCGGCGACTTTCTCCCGGTTTCCCTGTTCTGCGACAAGGGTCTCTGATGACTCCCTGATCTTCCCTCCTTCCCCCCTCCTCCTTCCCGCGGCTCTGAACGTTGAAACCCCCCGCGAAGGGGGGGGGGGGGGAGGGTTGAAATGGGGGAGGGGTGGAGTGATTCAATATTCCTGGTGCGTTAGTGCCCGCTATGAGGGTATATAATATTCGGGAAGGGAGGAGGTCTGTAGGTTCGATTGCAGAGGGGACGGGCAAAGGAGGACGCGGCGGTACGGAAGGGCCGTGGGGGCAGGTTTCGGTTGGGCTTTTGGATGCGTCGCCGGCTCTGCGTCTTCCATGGCCAACGGGAAGGTGCCGGTTCCATAGCCGAGGTTAGTTTTGGATCCTGCTCTGTGTTCCCTGTTGTCGGAGGTCGGAGGTCGGAGGTCGGAGGTCGGAGTTTCTTGCGTGTGTTTACCTAGCGGAGGCGGGCTTGTGCATTGCTGCCGGATAGGGAGAGGAGGGGCGGAGGGGGAGGGAGGAGAGGAAGAATCCAGTCGCCCCGTGGCGGCGGATCTGTTCGGGTTGAAGGTTCCGCCGGCGGAGGATTGTTGATCGCCGACTTGGTTTCGAATTCGTCTTCAAATTTGGTTCTGCGGGTTTCGACGGCCGCCTTTTCCTCGCTGCTCATACACCGAACCCCGATCGCCCCTTGCTGTGTCTTTTCTCTGTTTCTGCGACCGGTGGGGCGATCGAGCGTGAGGGTTTGATCGACCTGGCGAAGGGCATGGATGGTGGATCTTCCAGCCTGGGAGTCCGATTCCTTCCTCTCATTTTCATCCCATTCATTTTGATTCAGTCCCTCGCCACCTTCGTCATCTGAATTTCGTCCTCTTCGATCTGAGAGCTTCTTCCTGCCACGCATCCCTTCCCCCTCCTCGTCTTCTCTCCTCCTTCGTTTTTCACTCATCTGTCGGCCCCTCCAATGGAATCCCGGTGGTTGATAACCAGATGAAATCACCGCCTGGAGGTGATCCACGCGAGGACCGCGCCTCTCCCAGGTAAATGGACGAGGGAATCTCTGAATGCCAATGTCAAGAACATTGCTCAACTGGCTCTCGTTTTCTTCCCTGCTCGTCTCCGTCCTCGCCGGGGATTTCGAATTCTCCAACTGCGACTGTGATGGCGAAGGCTTCTGGAGCTCTGAGAGGATCCTCCAGGTCCAGAAGGTGAGCGACTGTCTGATCGCCACGGCCTACTTCTCCATCCCCCTCGAGCTCCTGTACTTCGTGTCGTGCTCCAACGTCTTCCCCTTCAAATGGATCCTCTTCCAGTTCGTCGCGTTCATCGTCCTCTGCGGGCTCTCCCACCTGCTCACCGTGTTCACCTACAAGGCCCACTCCTTCTTCCTGATGCTGTTCCTCACTGTGTCGAAATTTCTCACGGCCTTGGTCTCCTTCGCCACGGCGATAACCCTTCTGACCCTCATCCCCCAGCTCCTAAGGGTGAAGGTGAGGGAGAATTTCTTGCGGATAAAGGCCCAGGATCTGGATCGGAGAGTCGAGATGATGAAGAGGCAGGAGGAAGCTGGTTGGCAGGTGAGAGTGCTGACCCAGGAGATCAGGAGGTCGCTCGACAGGCAGGTCATCTTGTTCACCACGGTCGTCGAGCTCTCGAAGATATTGGGGCTCCAAAATTGTGCGGTATGGATGCCGAATGAGGATCAGACGGAGATGAATCTGACGCACGAAGTGGAGCAGAGGAGCCCTCGGGAAGCCGGCGGCCTCACAATCCCCATGGACGATCCCGATGTCGTGGAGATCACGAAGAACAACACCACGATGCTACTGTCTCAGGACTCTCTTCTAGGGTTTGCAAGCGGCGGCCATGGTCTCGAGCGTGGAGCAGCGGCGGCGATCCGGATGCCGCTGCTGAAGGCAAGCGATATCAAAGGGGGAACACCGGCGGCGGCGTCGGAGACATCCTATGCTATTCTGGTCCTGGTCCTCCGCGAAGACGCACCGCAGGAGTGGGGAGATTCAGAGCTGGGGATCGTCGAAGTGGTGGTGGATCAGGTGGCCGTCGCTCTTCTGCACGCCGGAGTTCTGGAGGAGTCTCAGAGAATGCGGGAGAAGCTGGAAGAGCAGAACCAGGCCCTCCAGCAGGCCAGAATGGACGCCATGATGGCAAACAGGGCGAGGAACTCCTTCCACAACGTCACCAGCCACGGGATGAGGAGGCCCGTCCATTCGATCTTGGGCTTGCTGTCCATGTTCCAGCAGGAACCCCTGAGCTCCGAGCAGAGGCTGGTCATCAGCACGATGATGAAGATGAGCTCCGTCATCTCCGCTCTGATCGGCGACATCATGGAGAGCCCCGACAGTGGAGCCAGGAGCCTGGTCCTCGAGACGAGGCCCTTTCACCTGCACACGACGATCAAAGAAGCCGCCGCCGTCATCAGATTTCTCTGCGACAACCGGGGATTTGGCTTCGGCATCCAGATCGACAACGACATCCCGAATCTGGTCTACGGCGATGAGAAGCGGGTTTTCCAGGTGATCTTGCATACGGCCAGCGACCTCCTCAATCAACGGGACGAAGGGCTCCTGAGCTTCTCAGTTCTTTCTGAGGGCGGGATCGACGGCAAGCTGAGCCAGAGATGGGTTCCATGGAAGGCGGCCATTCCCGACGGCCACGCCGGAATAAGGCTCGAGATCTGCACCAAGGGAGTCCAGTCGGACGGCCTGAGCTCCTCCGATCAGCAGCTCCCAAGAAGTTCCGGCGGTGGAAGGCTCGAGACCAGACAGAGGTTCGGCATGTGTAAAAAACTCGTGCAGGTACGAACTAGTAGCGGCTGCCTTTTCTTTCTTTCTTTGGATGATATTCGATCGCGGGTTCGTGGGAAGGATCATCGATTTCTCCTTGCTGCATTCACACGGACGTTCTTCGCGAGAGATTAATGCTTTTTTTTCTCTCTGATCGCCGGTTCCTCTGTCGAGGGTAATATTCTATGGGGCTCCTGAGGGAGGAGCATTGATGATATCTATCTGTTTCAGAGCATGGAGAGGAGTATACGCTAGATCTGAATATTCTGTAGGGTAGATTATTTGCAGATGAGCTCTGGGTCATTGCAGATGGGTAGATTATGCATTGGCGACGCTGATCATCTTCTAGCTTCATGACCCATCTTAAAAGTTAGGATCTTTACGAAATGTGCCGTGCTCATCGGGTTCTAATGCTGCTGTTCTGGGTCTTTGTGTGCTGCAGATGATGCAGGGGGAAATCTGGGACGTCTCGAATGCCCAGGAGCTTGCAGACAGCACGATATTGCTTCTTCGTCTCCGGCGCCGGCGATCGGGGGAGAGCTCCGACCACGGCGGCGCCGCCCTCCGGGGGCCGCCGTCGGAGTCCCTCTTCAAAGGCCTGAGGGTCCTGCTCGCCGACGGCGACGACGTCAACCGGGCGGTGACCCAGAAGCTGCTGGAGAAGCTCGGCTGCCGCGTCTCCTCCGTCTCCACCGGGTTCCAGTGCCTGAGCCTGCTCGGCGGCGGCGCCGCCAGCTCTCCCTTCGACCTCGTCCTCCTCGATGTCCTCCTCCGCGACATGGACGGCTTCCACCTCGCCGCCCGCATCCACAAGCTCCGCAGCGGCAGCTGGTCCCCTATCATCGTCGCCCTCACCGCCAGCTCCCAGGAGGCCCTCTGGGAGCGCTGCCTCCACTCCGGCATGCACGGCCTCATCCAGAAACCCGTCATGCTCCAGGCCATGGCCGACGAGCTCTGCAGAGTCCTCCGCATCACCTAGCGCCGCCGCCGCCGCCGCCACCGCCGCCACCGCCGCCCAGTCAATACCTGTACACAAGAATCATCAAGACTCCATTTTTGATCGAACCCATCAATCAATCTTTTTGGCAGTCCTCCCCAGTTTCAGCGGGCATCATTAATATCCTGCCGCCGGCGACTGTTCTGCCGCAAGTGGTAGCGGGGGCCGGCGGAAGTGGCGCCGGCGGCCGGCGGAAGTGGCGCCGGCGGCGGCAGATTCTGTCGGCAACTTGCCGGCGGCGAGATGATTACGTACGCTCTCAAGTTGCACCGGCCAGCCCTGTCCTCCCAACGGGTCTCCGTCCATTAGCGCCATGATGATGACGTATGCGCTCTTATCTCCCCATCGCCATTGTCGCTGTCGCTGGAGGTCGTCTTCCACGTGACGAAAGCACGGCGACCATTTCTCAGAATGGCGGAGGCTTAGCAGCCGTTGATGCGATATCGGAGGGATGAGATGCTATGCGATGGAATTCCACGTGGACTATTCTCTCATATATATATTGGGAGTATTTTATTGGTAATGGGCCGATTCCCAATTAGGAGTGCGGCCCAATATAAAAGCCCGATAACGGATTCAGCTTCGAAAGGGGGGCGGGGGAGAAGCTTCAGTGCTCTCATGGCGGGCGGCGGGGCAGGGAAGTACCACGCCAAGGACTTCGACTGGGAGGATCTCAGGGAGGAGGTGGAGAAGGACCCGTCCAAGGGCTACCATGTCGCCGCGCCGTCCTCCAGCGGCTATCGCGGGGATCTACTTCCATCGTCTCTGCCGCACGCCTCCGAGGCCTGGAGGAGCTTCCACAAGCGGCACTCCACCGGAAGGTTCTTCAAGGTCCTTGATGGCGTTCATCAATGCTTGTACTCCGTGCCGTCTGCTAATGGGTTTCTGAGAGCTTCGACTTTATTATCCCCTTTACGCTATTTTTTTCGGTTTCGGGCCGAGCTTCTGGTTTCCGTTCCTCGATTAATTCTGAATCGGGGGATCTGAGTCGCAGGAGAGGAGGTATCTGTTGAAGGAGTTCCCTGAATTAGCCGCGCAAGGACTTTCCTGCTGCGCTTTGGAAGTGGGTTGTGGGAACGGCAGCACGGCTCTTCCCATTTTGCGGTTAGTATTCTCTTGCTCTTAGTAGGACATATTTCCGGTTGATTTCATTTCTGCCGTTCGCTTTGAGACCGTATGAACATGTTCTATTCATTCATATAGTTAGGAATCCAGATGGCCTGCTTGTTAGAGTCATCTTGTAGTCATAACTCGTTCACTTGATTTCAATACGCCGCTTCCTTCGAGACTATAAGCATTAAGGTGTTCATCCATATTTCTGAGAGACCACATGCATGCTGGGTAGAATCGGCCAGAATTCGTGATCCTGAATGCTGTGACAAATGACTCTGAAAAAATCAAAGCTCAAACAAAATCCAAGAAATAAGCAATTGAGTCTCGGATATCAAATGTGTGTATGTGCAAATAACCACAGCACACTACAGTCGACAGATGTTACAACACAGCAAAACTAATGCCATGTTGTATTTCCCTTACCAGAGTAAATATTTTCAAAGGAGTCAACAGCAGTCACGATATGGCAAAACCCAACTGATTATAGACTGGATTGAAATCACCTCACACTAAAATCAAATAGGTGATATAATGTTTGTGGTTCGGAGAAAGAACTAGTACATTCACACCAAAAACAAACGGAGGCTGATGTGAAGAAACAGATGAAGAAGAGTGGTTCTCACGGATCTCCTCCTTCCATCTGCTTGGAGACAAAGATTCATCTTCTTGAAGGCAATAGGAATACCTAATGAGAAATAGGGGAAAAGGTTTGCCTCTTTCTCTTTCCTCCAATCCCAAAACTCCACCTGAAACAGTAGCTTCTCTTCTCTACGGAGCTGCTGCTGGAGCTCCCAGATTTCGCAAATGCCTTTATCTCCTCTTCCCGCAGCTCTCTGAAGCGCTAAAAGAGGGGGAAGGGGAAGGCACTTTCCTCTTTTCTGCTATTTGGCCGTTTTTTTCTGACCCACTGTCATTTGGACAGTCGATAACAACACCTGGGAACATGGTGCTATTCATCGATACATCTAGGAAACCAGGAAATATGACAGGTTTTTCTCGAGGTTGGACCAATGATATCCCTTTCCAGACTGAGGCCAAATCGAGAATCCTTTTCTGAACGAAGTTATCAAATCCAAATCCCATTAGCTCGCCACAGTCTCTATTCCGTGAAGAATATATTGATACTTACCACAATTGCCAGAACAGCTTAAATTTCCCAAGTAGTTTTCTCTTTCCTGCAATGTGCCCTGCTCTCTTCCATCCAATGATGATCTTGTTGATGAATAACTCTTCAGCCTTACTTGCTTGGCGTTCTGACAGAATATATTCCATTGTCTACAAATGACCCGTAAAATTAAGAAAAGATGTTCCGAGATTTGATGCCATCATAATACATCTCTCTTTCACATATCCTGCCTAAAAATTCTGATATAATTGTCTAATCCTCAACGAAACCCAATGTTATGAAGAAATTTGGTAGCCTCTTGTCTCTTCAAACGTTAAATGTTGTTTCCAATTAAGACCGGCATTGGGGTGGCGTAGTATTAGAGATATTTGATTCAAACAATATGCTGATTTCTTTCGACACCTCGTTTCACATACGAGTATGTCCCCTTATCACCTCTACTATCCATAGTCTTGTGAATTTATCTTTAGCTCGTCAACCTCTTGCCATGTCATAAGTTAATATCTGCCGGACCATCTCCATAGTTATTGTTCATTTGTTATTCTAGAATTCAGAGGTCTATCAAAAAATCCTTCAATGATGATTTGGGTTACATGGCGACCCTTTTGCTTCAGTATGCTCTGTGATTCTCACAAAAATCAGTTTGCTAGTACATTCCGGAATTGGATGCTTCCTTGTGGCAAATTCGTTAGTTTCTTTTCACAAAAGTTTTCTTGATCAGTGCAGGAGAGGGGATTGTCATCTACGCTTGTGACTGTAGCCCAGATGCTCTTGAAGTGGCAAAGGCAACGGTAGAAAATGCTGATGATATCCCAAGAAAAGACAGATTCCGCGCATTTTTGCTAGATTTTTCTTTGTGCGGATTTCCAAGATGGTTATTCTGCGATTCCTGTCAAGCATCTTCAATAAGAAGTCCGACAAACTGCTCCTCAGGTTTTCCATATTTCCTTTGCTAGCGTCAATCTAATCTCATTAAAAAAAAAAAAATTACAAAAAAGCTCCGGGTTGTGCTTGCCAACCATGGTGCTTGCTTTGAAACCTGCATCCTGTCATCCTCTTTTTATCAGAAATTCCTGTTTAGCTCACTCTTATTATGTTTTCCTGTACTAAAAAATCTAAAAAATCTCTGTTTAGACCATAATAAGTTAGAAAAACTAAAAAAAATCTAGGAATCATTTGTTGCTAATTTGACGGGTTTACTGGATTTGGTCTTCCTTCACCAGAAATTCTTTTGCTGCGTGCAGATGTTGTCTCAGATGCCGCAAGCAATTCGGGTATATCGACTTTTCACTGCTTCACTCTTTTTTCCTACAGATGTCAAAGGTGATTTATATACAACAGATCATTCTCCTTATCTGGAGGGCCGGTGTTGCATTGGAGGAGTAGACTTCGTTACCCTGGTGAGCATAGCACATGCGCTTGCGTTGAGTGATACCAATCGAGTGATGACTAAGCACCCGTTATTTCCCCAAAATAAACATATATTTACCTTTTCAACGGATTGATCCGCGGATTCACAGGAAAAACAATAACTCAAAGTTATGATATTCCGCTCTGGTTTCTATATCTTTTCGTGTTTACATCTCATGCACAGGTGTTCACCCTATCAGCTGTGCCATTTCAAAGGATGCCGTTTACCCTCGCAGAGTGCATCTCTGTTCTTAAGCCAGGGGGCTTGCTCTTGTTCCGAGACTACGGTAATCACCAGAGAATTTGGTTTCGAGCTGATCATCTGTCTAATTAGTCATCGTCTTTTTCTCAAATTTCTGACTGTTGCAGAGCAATTTGAGTTGATATTTGTATTCATAACACTCGAACATATTCGCTTGCTGTTTATCAACCTCAGGCCTCTATGACATGACCATGCTCCGGTTTCCGCCAGAACAGAGAGCAGGATTCCGGGAGTACACGAGATCTGATGGCACACTATCATACTTCTTTTCGCTGGACATTGTCCGGCGTCTCTTCTGTGGCGCAGGTTTCATCGAGGTATGGCGTCAGTGTTATTGCCTTAATCGATTCAAGGTGACGTAGTTACTTCCGAGGTTCCCTTGAATGATCATCCTACTGATTCTCTGCCGGCTTCTTTGCCGGTGATTTGTATGGATTATGCTGGAGATTATGGCTGATTCTACGTGTTAATTACTTCTTCAACGATCTTCAGCTGGAGCTGGAATATTGCTGCGTGCGATCAGAGAACCGTCGCAATGGGAAGATCATGCGCAGAGTTTGGGTTCATGGAAAGTTTCAGAAGCCTCGTTGAAACCCGAATCGATCCCCTGAGGTACAGCGAAGGAAACATGTTTCATGCACAATTCATGTTCCTTCCTCTCTCTCTCTCTCTCTCTCGCTCGCTCTGAGGCGCGTATGGGGGTTTAATCTTAGCATGGAGTTACAGATGCAGTATATGAAGTTTTTCCGTGAGCTTCCGTTTCTGGAGCTATCGTCTTCGCCTTCGTTCCTATGGAGTGAGTTCGTCGTCTCCGAGTCAGAAGGGAGGGCGAGAGTGCGGCCACGGGTAAACGCCGTGCCTCAGATGCCCGCGGTTTGGTTGCAAGCTCTCCGGGAAGTTGACGATGGGCAGCGAGGACGGATTCTCCGGCATCCCGCCGAGGAACCCGCCGTGGGTGGCGGCGCTTTCGCCGCCGGCGTGGTCTTCCTCCTCGCTGAGCGGCAAGCGCTCGTAGGTCGCGTTGGCAAAGGACGCGGCTATCACCACCAGGGGACCCGCCGCCACCAGCGGCCCCACCACCGCGCCCCCCACCACCTGCCCCTGCCCGCCGGCGAGGTACACGGTTAGCCCGCCGGACCCTGGCGCCGCCGCCGCCGCCGGCAGGAATGTGCCGGTGAGGGAGAGTATCTCGAAGCTGCCGTGGAGGGCGACGACGCCGGCGGTGGGCTGACGGATGGCGACGTTGGCGACGACGCCGGCGCCGCTGAGCACGCAGACCCCGCGCTGCCGCCGCCGCGCGAAATGCGCGATGCATTCGCCGACGTCGGCGCCGCCGGCGACCTCCATGACATGGCTGCGCAGCGAGCTCGGGCTGTCGCGGATGACGAAGACGGGGGGCTTGGGCTTGTTCTTGGACCCTGGGGGGCGGCCCCGGGGCCGGCGTGCCACCATCTCCACTGCTCCTTCCTTGGGCTCGCCGCCAGTGTCCCTCTCATCGCTATCTAGAGCGGCGGCTCCACCGCCGCCACCGGCGTCGGCGTCCTTCTTGGCCATTCCGGGTTTCAGTCTGAATACCGCTCGGAGAGGATCGGAGGAACCGAGAACAACCATTAAAGATCTCACTCTCTCTGTTGTTGTTCTTCGAGATCAACCATTCCTGCGGCAAACAACCCAGAAGAAGAGCAATGAATTCTCACGTCGTAGGGAGGAAGAAGATCACGGAGAAATGATCTCAAGGAAAACCCACCCAGCTGCTTCTTTCAGAGTTTTAGAGATAGAGAGAAAGAGAGAGAGAGAGAGAGAGAGAGAGAGAGAGAGAGCCGTGACTGAGAACAGTGTTCTGGTGCAACTCTGTATTATAATGGGCGAAAGTCCTCTTCTTCGTATCTAGGTTTGGTATTGGTGGTGGAGGTGGGGATCGTTTAGCTCCGAAGTAGATGATTGGAACACAGATCCATATAGCATCAACAGCCGACCAAAGAAGAGAGTTGGGAAGCAGGAGGGACTCTTCCATACATAGAGATCTAGATAGAGAAAGTTAGGAACATATATATATATATATATATATATATATATATAGAGAGAGAGAGAGAGAGAGAGAGAGAGAGAGATCTGGGATGGTAGGGATGAGGGTCGTTCGGGGTAGGGAGCAACTTCAGTAGACGCTGGCGTGGCGACGACACCCCCAGGTACGACTGCTATCCGTAGCCAGTGAAAATCAAGCACGCACCACGATTCTCTCACCGTTTGGTATGCGTAGGCATTGCGAACGTCCCAATTCGAACCCGAACAAGGGCTGTTGGACCGTTGTCGTCATTTGACTGGATCAAGTCAAACGCGTGCCAAAGGTGGACCAGACCTGGTCGTTTTACCTGGGGCCACTCTTAAGGATCCGTTGATTTCGATCGTGTGCAACCTACGGTGGATAAGTCTTATACATTTTATTTTATTATTACAGTTTTCCTATTAGGCCTCATGAAATCTCTACTTCATACTCTATTAATTTTAAGCTAATTCTTAGGTTATTTCACTCATAAAAATAATAATTTAATAATCAATTGGCAAAAGAGAGGTGAGTTTTAAGATCATAACCTTGACATTTTATTGCAATAATTTATTTAGTTTATAAGCATGATATATGAATTCCAAATAATAGATACATCACATTGAATAATCATAGTTTAAACTACATTTTTTAAAAAGTCGTTTTGAAGTGATTTTTTTATTTCTGCATTCACGTGAAAAAATTTAGAATGTTCATTTTAAGAAATAATATTCTAAGTGGGAGCATTATGGTTTTTTTCAAATAGAATCTAGCAAATCTATGCGTATTAATGTTAAGGTAATTATCTGGTAATTTAATTTTTTGATCTTATTTTTTAAAAAAATATTCAACTAGCCCAAGAGTAATGAGTTTTGAGACCACAATCTTGACAGATTCTCACAATAATTTATTTAGTTTATAAGCATGATATATGAATTCCAATAAATAGATAAATTATATTGAATACTTGTAGCTTAAACTATACTTATTCAAAAGTGGTTGTCACATGATTTTTATTATTTAACATTCACATGAAAAAAATTTGAGTGTTCATTTTAAGAAATAATGTTCTAAATAGGAGTATTATGGTTTTTTTAAAACATAATATAGCAAATGAACCATGATTAATGGGACATGAGTGTGCTAGGTGTGAAATTATAAAATGGCACATAAAGTAAGTAACCTTTTATGACATTTGATATGATAATCTTAATAGATCAACCTCCCAGTAATCAATTTATTCATAACCAACATATATATGATACTAAAAAACTTTGATCAATTCAATCCAAAGGACTAGAAAATAAGAGCTAAAGACACATAATACTTACCCTCATTTGACTCCCCTGAAAATGACCACATATACTTTAGGTGCCTCAACTAATAAAGGGAATGAGAGGGTGAAACTGTGTGAGGAGAGTGACAAAGTTTCTTATGTCATCTGATGATCATGTGGAAAAAAATCCAAGAAAATAATTTTCTTCTTGTTCTAGTGAATCCTTTTTTTTTTCTTTTTCTTTTTCTTTAGATAGCCTCTATGTAGTTAAGCTCCTTAGCCTACATAAGAATTAAAGGTGCTTTACTTTATCATGTTATATTTTTATTACTTTTATACATTCATTGATTATTCTCAATTTTTAACATCAACTAGAGAATGATGTAATATAGTATGATAAAATAATTAATCCCCCGAAAATATTTTTAATCATACACTTATATAGAGGTACACTTATTTTCTCAACTCTACCAGGTATATTTTCAATAAAATATAAAAATATAAAATTTGTATTAGCATTCTTTAGATTAATAGCATCCACGATAATAAACACTAGTGGAAGATAGAAGGGGGGGGGGGGGGGTAAGATCTTCTTTGGGACGAAAAACTATGTGTGAGATCGGTCATAGAAAACATTCAAAGGCAATTTATATCATCTTTGGTAAACTTGAATAATTATAGGGAAAAAAAATTATGGATCACATTTATCATAACAACTAACATTAAACATTACTGAATTGAGTGGGCACTAATGTTATGATATTGATGTTAAAATTCTACGTGGTAACTGAAAGTTGAAGATAATATTTGAATAATAATTATTTCATATATTAATTAATGTAAAGCACATTTTAAAAAACGTAGAATAAAATAAGGTGTATTGCTTACCAAAAAAGGACCTTATGAATATTACTTTAATATTTAAAAAATGCAAAATATTTTTCTTTTGTGAGGAAGAAAGATTAGAAAATTAAGATATGACGCTTGCTTAACGAAAGGATGGACCCGGAAATAATTTCCAGTTTGTAGGGTTTAATAGAAGTTTCTTGAGCAGTAATAGAAGGTTTGGTGAGTTTTATAAAATTATAAAACGATAAAAATAGTAAAATTCGCATGACCTGAAATGGAGTCCTTCCCGACATTCGGTGTAAAGCTTGACCGGCTTCCGCGGGAATAAAACTCAGTGGGCGAAGTTCAATAGATGGCTCCCACCCCCTTCCAACCCACCTCCGCCCCGATCATGGCGTTGGAGAATCCCTTTGAAGTCTCTGCTGATATGGAAAAGTTCCTCTGCGACAGGTTGCTGGATGCGGATCAGCCGATCTCCGAGCGCTTTAGAGCGCTCTTCTCCCTGCGCAACCTGAGGGGTCCCGCCCCTCGCGAGGCGCTCGTCCGAGGTTTTTCCTTCTTCTCAAACGCGTGAATGCTTCGAATTTTCCCTTGCATATGCGGCGTATTTGATTTATTTGCTTCTGGGATGCGGTTCACTCCCTTTTTTGTTTATAAAATTTGATTGTTCTTGTTCTCCATCTCCAGAGTTACATGCTTCGTTTTCCCTGGGGTTCTGTTGACCTCCAGCAGTTTCTGGATGTTTAAAAGTTTCGTTTTATTTTACTTCTCCCCTTGTGGATGATAGCTAACATCATCATCACTCTGGTCACTGGGCTGCGGAATTAATATCCTCTCTGTCGGATCCCTTTTTCTTCTTTTAGACCGATTTTTGCGAGTTTATAAGTTTTTATAAGTAAAAGGAAATTATTTTTAGACTATCTTTTTCGATTGTATGGTGAACGAAACATTATCTGGTCAGTAGGATGAGGCAACCCTGCTGCACGAAGCCTGTCATGTTATGTCCGTTTCTCTGTCGTCTTTTCTCGATTTTTTTCTTTCTTTTATATGAGTTATTTTTTCGCTGAAATCTTGGACGTTGAATGGTTATCACTGCATCCTTCATTTTTATTCTACGGTTGAAACCCGTGTAGAAAATCGCCGGCGTTCTTCTTTCTAATCCACTCTATCGGCGTTATAGATCATTTCTTCATTCAAAATCATAATATATGCCTGTTTCTTCCCGCCCATAATTATTTTGGTCCAATATTCGTCATCGAAGAAAGACCATTCAAAACTTTTAACAACGTAATGAGTGAGGGAATGCCTGTTTCTTGTCGTATCTATGCCTGGCTGGACAACTTGGTCAATTTCCTAGCAAGTGCGGAATCACGAGCTTATAATTTCACCCAAGATTATAATGCCATAAGCTCAGGACACATAAAAACTGACGGTTCAATTTGACATCAGAGACGGGATAATGCATATTTAAGGCTAAGTTGAAGAAACTAAAAGCTCAGCATATTTTTTTAAAAATGCGAGTTTTTTGTTGGTCTCTTTTTCCTCCGGGTTAGTTTTAAAGCTACAAATGGTTGAATTTAATCCAGTGCGGTACATTGTAGTTTTTCTCTGTGGCCATTATATTAATTCTTGAAGAATAATCGTCCTCGCCCTTACTAGGGTTGTTTGACTTATAGGATGATATTATTGCGTGAGCAAAGGCTGAGGAATTAACTTCCTTTTTCCCAAAATTGTTGAATTTGACATCATTGCTTAGGCCTATTTCATGTTAGCGTGGACAAGTCCGATTAATGGTTGAGTGAATATGATGAGAACATTATATTTCAAGACGTTATAATCATAAAAGGAAGCTCTAAAGCTTATAGATACCTACCTATCCGTTACAGAATTGAGCCAAAGAATAATGTATATGGAGACATACCACCTCTGTGAACAAACCCTTGCATAATCATCTAAATTACCTCTTTTTTTAGCTGTAGAAGTTATGCCTCAGTTTCGTTCAAGTCGTGACATGGAAATATTTCGAGGCTATACTTTACCATTTTTCGAATACAAATTACATTCTAATCCTCTGGTCACGACTTTGACATCAACTGTGATTATCTTTGGACTATTGGAGGTTTTGTCAATTGTCTTTTGGCTCATACATGTTTCATATTTTCTAACTTTTCCAGCGACAAGAGATTCGTCAAATCTTCTTGCACATGAAGCCGCATTTGCCTTGGGTCAGATGCAGGATGTTCAAGCAATTTCTGCTTTAGAAAATGTGCTTAATGATCTCTCTTTACATCCCATTGTACGTCATGAGGTAAAAAATTTCACGCTATTGTCTTTTTATGGCTTTTTTTTGAACCCTAGGGTTCTTTATACTCGGTTCTAAGAGGCTTGGATTAGGCAGCTGAAGCCCTTGGTGCGATTGGCCTGGAAAGTGTTATTCCTTTGTTAACTAAGAGCTTGAAATCAGATCCAGCCCCGGAAGTGCAAGAAACATGTGAATTGGCAATCAGACGAATAAAAGAGCAGAAAAATAGGGCTAATAGAGATGAAAAAAATTGTGTAGCAACATCACCCTTCTTATCAGTCGATCCAGCAAGGCCCTCTACTCTATATTCTTCAGTAGAACAGCTAAGGTATTTCCTTATATGAACAGCATATGCTGTTTTGTACTGCTTACTGATTTTTATTTTCATATTTTTTATTTTTTGTGTAATTCATGTCCAGGGAAGTTCTCCTGAACGAGGAAGAAAGTATGTACGAACGCTATGCAGCTCTTTTTGCCCTCCGTAACCAGGGTGGGGACTCAGCTGTCAGTGCAATCATTGCATCATTAGGTGCCAGAAGTGCTCTCCTACGGCATGAGGTCTACCATTTTTGTTATATATGCTATTTTCCTCTTTAAATTATCTGCCAAAAAGTTTTGTGTCGGACCATCGTTGACTGATTTAGAATGTCAACAATCCTTTGTTTGATACTTCCCTCACGTCGCACTGCTATCATTGCCACATGGATAGATAAAAAGGTTTTTCTATGATTCATTTTAGTATGTTTCCGTGAAATTATCTGTGTTGTCTGGCTATATTATGTTCAAATATTTGATTTCAGGATGCTTAATGTTGATATGTGAAAAATAAATTGATGGGAAAATTTTACACTGAGGATGATCATGGATTATAATTTTTCATACCATTGACTAGATGCAGCATATCATGTAATCTACTATTTGGCCATGTAATAGTGATGACATAATTTTTCATAGTTGCTTGCAAAGTATTCTAGCATCTACTGTGCATCCGAATTACTAGAATACTATGTCGTAGATCTAATATTTTCCACTTAGATGTCGGTTATAAAATATAAAATATAAAATTCCGAAAGTGGTGTCAATTCGTGTTAGAGAAGGATCATCAGGCTCGAAGGACTCATCTGCCACTTTGCCTTGTATTTAGGTTGCCTATGTCCTGGGGCAGTTGCAAAATAAAGATGCCATTGCTGCACTATCCAAAGTTCTTGAAGACGTAGATGAACATCCCATGGTCAGGCATGAAGCTGCGGAAGCCCTTGGATCCATCGCAGGTACTGCTGTCCTACTTAAGAGTCGCACTCACTCTGGACTTTCTTGGTCAACATGCCGTTCCTGTTCATAGAAGTATTGTATTTTGCAGCTATTTTCTTGTTTTTATCTTCTCTTTTTGGTGCCTACATGTGAATTGAATGAAGAGGATCTTTTCCTGTCAAATAATCTGCTCCTCCGATTTTCTTGCTTATCGCCTTCTCATCTTGATGTGCATGCCAGATAGCAAGAGTGTTGAGCTTCTGAACCATTTCGCCTTGGATCCTGAACCCATTGTTTCTCAGAGCTGCGAAGTTGCCTTAAATATGCTCGAGTTCGAGAGAGCTGGCAAATCCTTCGAGGTAACCCGCTTTCACATGACATATTTTGGATTCGTCCCTAGCACGTGGTGATAATTTTAATCTCTCTCTCTCGCTCTGCAGTTTCTCTTTCTACGGACACCTCAGGTGCAGTAGTGATCATCTGCATAATGCCTACTGGTCTCACACAACATAACCTGCAGAAGATGGACAAGGAAAACGTGATTTTTGGTATGTCGGAATCATACCAGATTTGCCTCTTTTTCAAAAATCTTCACAAGAACGGTAATTGAAAATTGGAAATGTGGGCCATTAATGCTATTTATATTTTCCTGGTTCGATCTCCTGCCGAATAATAATTTTGCAGTACTGTTGCTAGAAGACTGATGTGATGTACGAACCCTATGATACCCATCAGATCGAAACAAGTCTTGACAGGGGGATAAGTCCACAGGTGTCAACGCATGAAATAAAAGTCAACGGGTTTGGTCGGGCCTAGGCCTTGCGGTGCCTAGTTCAAGTCATAGGTTTCATCGAGCCGTCAGTCAAACCATGCTGCAATTTTCCTCAAAGATTTCAAATTTTGAGACCTTAGTCCGGGACAGCTATCGGCCAGCAGCGTTGACATCTCCACCCCGGCGGCACCCGCCGTCGAGGGCAGCACCAGCGAGAAGTGCTGCAGAAGAGAAGAGGTCAAGGCGGGTGGCAGAGAGACGACCCGGAACTCTTGAGTCTCGTCTTTACAGAAGCGAAGGAATTATCTACAGCCGCCGCCGATCGCTCAAAGCTGCCAATCCACGCAGTGGTCGAAGTCAACGCTGCTGGCGCAGTCGAGCAGCGCGTTCTGCTGGTGCTCATACCGGCAGATGTAGTTCAGCCCGACGAGGAGCTCGCAGATGGCAGCCTCCGTCTTCACCCTGTCCGCGAAGTGGAGGGTCTGCAGGAGGAGGATGTTGACCTTGGAGACGATCTGGTGGTGCTGCTGCTGCTCGAAGTTGTTGCGCTCGGTCTGCCACCTGATCATGTTGTGGGCCATGGGGGAGAGCCACGCCAGGATCTTCTCCAGCTTCCCCTTCCAGTCATGGGCGACGGCGCCGTCATAGATGGCCAGATCCTTTCCATACGCCCGGAGGTTTACCCGCAGGGTCAACCTCAGGCTGGTCGGAAGCATCTGGTACAGGTCGTCCCTTGCCTCCTCCCCGACCAGATGAGGGTACCGCAGCAGCTTCTCGATGATGATGATGACGTTCGCATAGTGCAGAGCCAGCGCCGAGCCCCCCACCGTCGACGGCCCCGCGGCGGCGGCGGCGGTGGCGGGGATCAACGACCGGAGGAGCTCCCCCTCCTCTTCCTCCTCCTCGTCCGACGGGGCTGAACTGGTGAAGCTGAGGCACTCTCCGAAGAGCCGCACGGGGGTAGACCCGCAGGGGTTGAGCGCCGACGCAGCCGCCGGCGGCGGCGGTCTCGCCGGAGGATCGAGGGGCTGCCCGAAGACCAGGCGAATCCGGGCGTAGATGGTGCAGACCGCCCTCGACATGAGACCGACGATCTTGTCATGGGTCTGGTTCCACAGGGAGACCTCCCGGAGGTGCTTGAGCTCGTGCCGCCGGCACTGGATCTTCTGGTTGTAGGCGCGGAGGGCCTCCTCCTGCTGCAGCTGCAGCTGCTGCTTCTGCCCTAATTGGAGCTTCTTCGCGCCGTGCTCTAGGTCCCCCAGCACCTCCAGCTCGGCGTAGAGGGTCGCCGTGGAGGCAACGTAGCGCTCCATCCTCTTCACCGCCGCCTCCATGTCCTTGGCCGAGAGGTCGAGCTTCGCCGCCGCCGCACGGCTGGCGAGTAGGTCGGCATAGACGTGCTCGAAACCCACGAGGGCCAGCTCGGTGCACCGCTTCCCCAGGCGGGAGACGACGGCGGCCACCCTGTTCAGTTCCTCGAGCTTCTCTGCGGCGACGAGCTTCAGGAGATGGGACTCGTCGCCGGAGACCAGGTGGCGGACGGCCTGGGACCTGAAGACCTCGCTGCGGAGGCGGGAGACTTCAGAGGGGGACAGCGACTTATAGAGGTGGACAGCCTTGGACATGGAGCTGGCAACCTCGAAGGACAGGATTCCGATCGTGTTCTCCGGCGGCGCCTTGAGCTCGCCGGCGGCGGAGGCGGCGGCGGCAGTCGTGGAATGCTTCAGATTGGAACCCACCTGGATTCGCATTCTGTGGATCCAAGGCTCTGCAACCATAGCCGCCGTCGTCTTCTTCGATCGCTCCTGAGGGTTCCAACAGACGGAATTGCTGAAGAATTCAAGAAGATGAAGATCTGCAAATACTCGTAGATTAGGCCGAGGTAGAAGAAAGAGATCCCTCCAGCCTCCCCCTACATTCGACCAAGCCCAAGCCGATAAATTTCTGCAAATACTATGCAATGCAGCTCGAAGATTCACCGCACCACAGTCGAAAAACCGGTGGGGAGGAGAAAAAAACCAGACCGCTGAAGATTCGTGGTTCTTCGCGGTATCGGCAGGATATCCGCCGCCGTCGGAGGTTCAGAAAAGCGAGATCGACAAGGAGAAATTTTAACAGATACAGTAAAACTCTGCAACTCCCCCTTCGCACCCCGTGACAGGATCCATCCCTCGTCCTTTAGAAGAAGAGAGTACAGGAAGCTTTTGCCCTTACCCTGGAACAGAACTCTCCAGGCTTTCCGCAACCGGGCCTCTCCGCCGGCGACAGTCGGAGCCCGCCTGGCCGGCGACGGCGCCTTCTCCCCAGCTCCTCGGTATCTGGGTACTCCTCACCCTGAGACCACGAGAGCAAGAGGGGTTGCCCGGTCCCCTGTTGAAAACAAGGTTCTCTCCCTCTTCCTCTCCCGCTCTCTCTCTCTCTCTCTTCCTTCTCTCTCTAGCACGCGTGTGGGGGCGGCGTGGGGAGAAAGGAGGAGCCTTTACTGCGTTCGTCTGTAGTGCCCGTCCCGAGACAGGGCCTCTCCGACAGTCTTCCGAAGGGCAGGCCCTTTCTTAAATGCGGCGATGCTCCGAAGTTGAATTTGAAAGTGAGAAGGCGCAGGTTATTTCCACACCACCGCCTCTCCCCCTCCACCCCCCAGCATCATCGTCCCCTCCGGCTCCGGCGGCCGGAGCAGCTGACTCCCTCCCAGTCATTCATTCAGACTCACTGACAACATTTATGGCAGCTCTAAGCTAAGATACTGTCCAAGATTTACTACAACAAGGTACGCCCCCCTCCGACACGTGACCCCAACGGGCCGGGCCCTGCTCTTTGAAAAGCCCGGCGCAGACAAAAAATGAGCCCGCCGGTGGAGGGCACTTTAACATCGCACGCGGGGGCGGCGGTGGGTGCGCCGCCGGTCTCGGGAGGAGGGGAGGTCGAGGCCGCCGTGAAGGACTGCCGCAGCTTTCCTGCCTCTTCCACGCGCGGTAAGGGATCTTCTACTACTACTTTGGGGAAGTTTAGCTGGATGGTCCCCGAAGAATATGGAGCTGAGTTAAGTAAAAAGAAAAAAAAACTCTCCCTTTTGGCGATCAAAGCTCAAACTTTTGGAGAGACCAGCTCCCTCCCTCCCTCCCTCCCTCCCTCTTCTAGGATCAGATCCAAACTTCTTCATAGTCCACCATTCCTTTTCTATGCTTCTCTTCTGTCTCTTCCTATTTCCGTTCTACTCGGCGGTAACTTTCAGTAAGAACAAGTTCTCATGCTCTCCTTGACAATAACGCTGATCACCGTCCACGTCGCCAGCGGCTTATCTCAGGCGGATTAAGAGACGATCATTTTTATTATTAAATATTTATTTAATCATAGTTCTTGTCTTTAAAAATCAATGAAGAAATCTTCATCTCGGTATATGAGGGAGAGGTTGAGATAGACATTGTAGGCCGCCAGCATCCACCATCCACCGCCGACAAATGTCCATAAATGTAGGTCGAGAGAGGCACCATTAGCCGCTAATAAACGTTCAGCTAGCCACTATCTGCTGTCACCATCCACGGCCCCCTTTAGGTTGAGAGATTCATCTCCCACTGGCGCCATCCACCGTTCGTCACCGCCAAGCCCTGTCCATCTCGTCGTCACACCATCTACAGTGCTCTTGGGCTCGTCCTATGCCGAGCCTCTCTCACCATATCAGTGTCTAGCCCCGAGCCACAACGGCCATTGCCACCGTACTACCCAATGACGTGTTGTTGCCAAAATTGCTGCTCCGTCTGGTCAGCCATTCTGTCACTCCATCGATTTCGTTGTTCCACCAATTTGTGGTCAACACTTTTGTTGGCTCAGTGACCCGGTGGATCGTCAGAAGTGAACTATCAAATAAACCGCTAACATGAGCCCCAGTCAACATTGGTCAACGCTCACCTGTCGTCAACAATCAATAAATTAACTTGGGCTTGTGTTCTATCTTGAGATTATTACTTGCTTTGATATGGAGGTAGTTTCTGAACCCTCATTTTTTTTGGAATGAGAATTTGTTTCTATGGTGCATTATCTATACAAGACACATGGAGTGATATGTAAATAATTTAATACTTGATCTAATAGCTGATAAAGAGTATTGTGAGATCTCATTGATTTCATATAGTCGATGTATTGTAAGTTGAAGAACCCTAATTTTTGTTGTTATTTAACCATATTGATCCATTCCATTTCAAATCTTGGAATTAAAGTGTTTGAATTGAAACCCCTTACTTGAATGAGTTCCTAGATCTTAGAATCTATGTTGATTGAGAGGTCGAGATAGATTATTACTTTGAATAGTATGAAATATCAAAAGAAAGGAAAGTCAAATTTATCCTAATGAAATTGATAAGATATGACAAGATATATTAGCAAAATGTGCAGACACTATGTCTCAAGAGTCATAAGTCAATAAGAATGATGAAATGAGAGAGAAGTTTAGGGAGAATATCTTCTGCCTATATATACATCTTGACCCCTAGATCAATAATAAAAGCTGACGTAAGAAATAAACTCTTGTCAAAATAGATTTCTCAATTTGATGAACTCTTTATGAGGTTGAGGTAAATAAATATATAAAGTTCATTCTTTCAATATTTATGATTGGGTTAAAAAAGTATATCCAAAGAGAGTTTTTCTTTCATGATGTCATTACATTATAACATTCATGTTAATTAACTTAAGATGTAGATAAATCATAAAAGCTTCAATTTTTAAGGTCTACAACCCCACTCCAACCCATAACTCAACTCCCTCAAAGGAACACAAGTGAAAAGGTAATTTCCCTGAGCACTTCTTATGAATTTGCTTAAATGAGTGTTACATTGAAAAATTTACGATTCTCCACAACTTGTATTCTCGCTCTGACTCAAATTCAAAATTATAAATGCTAAACCATCTAAAAAGAGATAAGATAAATGAAAAAGAATGATGACTAATGAGTTCTCGTGGGTTAACATCTTTAGATATATGTGTTATAGATATTATGTCTACTAGTGTCTCACTTGTACTTTTCATGAGATAGAATCTAATGTGGACTTAATATTAGAAGAAATCACAATGAATATATATACATTCAGGTAGAGGAAGAGGAGCATAATACCAAATATAGTTTCACTCAAGAATTTCAACAAGATGGAGTTTTTATCACTTGAATTAAGAGAAAATATTTAGTTCAGCCACATAGGTGACCAGATGATGTGAGATTGGGAGTTATGAGATGCATTTTAACTTAACTTAAAGAAGAAGATGATATGTGTCGTACTTATATTTTTCACACATTCATTAAAATTGATAAATAATATCTATTAATTCCATATTACGCATAAAATATACTCTAATTAACTATGATAACAAATATAAGATGTCATGAGTACACATCCTCTATTTTCATTAATGAGATGTATCTTGTGTCTTTTACTATTAACTATTAAGAATAAGTTTGGTGTGATTTTATCAATGTAAGTAAGAGGTTTCATATTAAGAAGATTGGTTGTACAATCTAAATATCACACAGTTCAAAAAATTCAGCACTTGTCTCTGTGTATAATCGCAAAAAAGGTTACTCGACTCTTCATCAACCATGACTTAAATTGTTAATACATGTCAATTTCAGTCTAAATTTAAATTTGGAGCACCATTTTAAATTTTTATGATAAAAAGAGTTAGAAAAGATCCTCAACTTGAAACACTAGCATAATCATTTATTCTTCTTAGTGAGTTTAAAAATATTTTCTAAAAAGGCCTCCTAGACCAACCACTTTCTATACATGATATCTAACATATGATTGATTTTGTCCTAACATCTACCTTATTTAACTTGGGTCACTATAGACATAGTTTTACTAAGGATGAGGAATTGAAGAAACATGTTATACAACTTTTAAAGAAAGGTTTCATTAGAGAGAGACTTAATCCTACATGCACTATTAACACAAAAAAAAAGGATCATGAAGTTGATAGTAGAGCAATCAATAATATCATACTCATGTATCACTTTTCCATTTTATGCATTGATGATATGTTAAACATGATGATAAGTACGTGTAAATAAAAAATAACATGAAGATTAAGAATGTCTTTCATGAGTAGTTATGTTATTTGATTTATCAAATATCTCAGGTAACTTCGTGAGATTAATGACTCAAATATTAAGACATTTTATTAGCACATTTTTTGTTTATATTTTGATAACCTTCTTGTTTATAATCAGATTGGAGAATATCACTTAGATCATTTACATAGGGTGTGTGAGACACTTAAAAAAGATAGTATATATGTTAACTTTAAGAAGTGTGCATTTTTTACTAATTGTGTCATCTTTGTGGTTTATTCAGATATATTTGGATAGATCATTAGAAAGTCAAAGCCATTGTAGAATGTATAAAATCAAAAGTTTCTATGATATTCAAAGTTTTCATAGGTTACTAATATTCTATCATAATTTTATCTAAAGTTGTTCTACTATTATGGCTCATATCACTGATTGTATGAAGAAGTGAATATTTAACTAGACCAAAGTTGTTGTAAAAATCTTTTAAGAGATTAAAGAAGATGACTCAAGCACTTGTATCTATATTTATTGATTTTTCAAAGATGTTTGAGGTAACTTGTGTTGCTTTGAGAATAAGTATTTGGGGACTGCTAAGTTAAGAGGGAAACTCTATAACCTTCTTCAATGAGAAGCTTAGTGATGAAAAATTAAGGCAATCTATTAATAATAGAGAGTTTTATGTCATTATTTGGGTTTTATGCTATTAGAGGTATTATTTATCATTTCAAAAGTTCTTATTTTATTTAAACTATGAAACTTTATGTTATCTTAGTTTCTAAAGAAAATTTAACATATGACATAAGCATTAGATCCAATTCTTCTAAGTATATATTTTTATCATTAAATATAATCCAAAGATCAAGAATCAAGATGTATAACTATAGAGTTATCATATTGTATATGGTAAGTGTTGATGTGATTAATTTTGAGAGGATGAAAGAAGCATGTGAATATTACCTAAACATTGGTAAAATAAGTAATACACGTCCATCAAAATATTTTAGTAGTTATATATTTATTTTGAGGGCGTCATTTTTTGTCCCACATAGCTTTGTGTGGAAAAATTTGGAATGCAAATTTCATGCAAATTAATTAATTATATATTTGGGTGAAACAAAATCATAAAATAGTTGATGAATAATTTTATTGGTTGAACTTTAATAAGGATATAACAAAAAATTATGTTACAATGTCACACATACATTATAATAGAACATAGAAAACATAACAATAAATTATATACCAACATTTAGTTACCAATCATTTTTTAGAAGATCTCAACATGTAGTTGATATTAGACTTATTTAAGACTTGAAAGAAACATAATTTTATTATTGTGGCAGTTGATAGGTTTTCTAGGATGACTTACTTTCTAATATGCTCTAAAACCTCATATGTCTCACATGACTTACTTTCCATTGTGTTTGAAATAATAGTATTTGGTAAATTTTAGAAACCTTATGAAATACTTAATTAATGATCACTTGAGATGTAATTTTTTTATTCTCTTACAAGATGACTTTCTATTTAATAATTATGTTAATTGAATTAATTCAAGGTCATGGATGATTATAAACTTAATAAACCAATTGATCTTGTTCTTGTATTAATATATGCTAGTCTTTTGTACAAAATATAGTGCGTGTGAAGACAGTCAAAAATGTATTTGTACCAATAATAAGTCCTACAAATGTATACCTTATTCTCACAAATGGTTCAAAGAGTTTAAGGAATGAGACTCTTGTCATAATTCAAGTGCAACTATAAATATTTTCATCACGTGTCACCACAAAATTATAAGCTTACAACATATGACCTATTAAGATTATGAAATAAATATGACACAATGCTTGTATTATTAATTTCCTAGTTGATTGGATTTTAACTCCAATTTTAATATTTTTAATTTATAAAAAAATATAACAAGAAGGGAAAAACAATCACTTAAAGTGTAAGTTTGATATGCAAAATACATGTTACGTATCATAAACCACTAATTATTCCAAGTTATATGTTTAAGCCTTCTCCAGCTTTTGTGGGTAAACTAGGACTTGAGTGTCGAGTAGCCATATTTACTATATGATATAAATAAATATATAATATAGTAAATGAATAAATTGTCTCTTTAAAAATCAAAAGGTTTCAATAATTACTGATACATTTAAAAGTTCAACTTCCATCAAATGATTTAGATTCATAACTTATGAAGCATTATTAGAATGGATTAACACTATATTGAGTAGGGTTGAATTCTTCTTATCATGAAAGAATTAGTGAAGCAAAAGAGAGTGGATTATTGTCCATGTCACCAACATCTCATCCCAAGTCAATCATGTCATGATTTTTTATTGTTAAGTGATTTTTTATCTTTTAATAATTCATTAGAGAATCTTCTTATCATGAGTATCATAGCAGTTATAATAACCCTCTGGTGTCCTAAGATTGATCAATGGGGAAACATTTTAACCATAATCTCACTTAGTGAAGAAGAGAAGAGGTTGAGAGAACCACCATCCACTACCACCATTCATTGTACATAGTCACTCGAGTCAAGCCATTGTTGCACCAACAACCGTTTATAGCTATTGAACTGCCACCATTCATCTGCTTTACTTTAGAGGTAATTTTTGAACCCTCACTTTTTTGAAATAAATATTTATTTATCTAATATATTATCTATGCAAGTGACGTAGAGAAATCTATAAATATATCAATATTTAATTAGATGACTAATGAAAAATGTTATGTGATTTAAGCTGGTCCATATATTATGAGTAAGACCGTCTTAATCCAAATAATTCTTTAATTATGTCAATCCGTTCTCTTTCAAACATATGGAAAACCATTGTGACCTATCTTAGTTGATTTTTCTGAAACTTATAAACTAATTGTGAGAGTCAATTTAAAAAGGATAATTATTTAAAGTGCCCAATCATTCTCCGTCTAGGATCACTTAGAAGCAGAGCTCCTTGGCGACCAGTTCCTTGAGTGGCTCCCTCAGCTCAGGAGCTTTTAACCATCTTCTGATTCTGGTGCACGCTTCAGGAAAGTTGGCTATTGTCAACCATTTCCTGACGAGGTCAAACGGGCGGTCAAATCGCCCGGCCTTTGACGTTTCTAGCGGGAGACAATTGGAGAGAGGGCGGGGGGGGAGGCGGTAAGAGATGCCCTCGGTTTAGCCTCGTACAAGAAATCAGATTAAGTGGACGGTTGTGATTTCAAATAGTCTTCTAACGGTTTCCATTTCGACGGCTGTGATTGTTCAAATCTGAGTTGTCCTCCCTCCCTCTCTCCCTCCCCCCGGGACCCACCCTCTTCTGAAGCTTTCGTTCTCTCCCGCAGAACCCCTAAAATCTCAGAAACTCCCCCACCCCTGGAAGCGAGCTATGCCTTCGTGTCGAGCTTCCCCGCCTCGACGACGTGGCCGGAGGCGTCCAGGGTTACGGCGGAGGCCTGGGGTCGTACCCGGCTTCGGGAATCTATCCTGAGATTTCGGTTTTCTCTGGTTTTTGCTGGTAATGAGCTCGCCTGTTCCTCCGATTTCTGAGTACTAGTTCCTCATGGGTGTCTGTTCTTCCCCGAACCTGTTGAGCGTTCTGTGTTTAATCTATGATCAGAGCGCAACCGATTTTGTTCCGAGGAGCGCTCCTTGCTGAGGTACACACTTCGACTCTGCACTATCTGGCTTCGCCCAACTCCCTGGGGGAGGAACGATCTTCTCGTTCGAATCCGATATCCGTAGCCGACGAAGGCGACCTAAGTGAAAGCGGCCGTGCGTTCGCCGGAATTAAGGGTCGCGCCCTTTTCCCTCATGTTGGGAAGGTTGTGCGAACTCTCAATTGGAACATTGTCAAGAAGATGGTCTTATCAGAAGTGGCCAGAAAGTATGGCTGTCTACATGCGATGGAGTGTTTCGGGATGCTCCTCGCTGTATTTTCATCAGCGGGGACGCTCAGAGAAGCACAGCGTCTGTATGGGAGAATCATCCGCTTCCATAGAAATGCAGATGCCAACCTGTTGGGATTGCTTGCTGCCCTGGTGAATGCTACAGGTGGCACCGTGAGCTTTCCTCAAGCTTTGGCGTCGATGATAAAGGCTTTTGCTGAGCGTACGATGCTGCATGATGGAGTCAATTTGTTTCGCTTTGCTAAGAGCATCGGGCTGGAAATCGATGCTCCCGCTTGCAATTTTCTGCTCAAGTGTTTGGTCGAAGGGGGGGAAGTGGACTACGTCAGATGGTTGTTCTGTGAAATGAAGAGCTCTGGTCCATCACCTAATGTGTACACTTATAACATTATGATGGGTTTCGTCTGTAAAAAAAATACAGTAGATATCGAGCAAGCCAAAGATATTCTAATTGAAATGGAGAGCAAAGGCGTGTCCCCAAGCGTGGTCACCTACAGTGCATACCTTCGTGGGCTCTGTCAAGCTGGAGAAGTGGAGTCTGCATGGGTTTTTCTCCGAGATTTGATACATAGAAGATTGCCTTATAACACTTACTGCTTTAATGCTGTTATACATGGATTCTGTCGTCAAGGTGAACTGAGGAGAGCTCAAGATGCTCTTCACATAATGAAGGAATTAAAATTAGTCCCCGATGCGTACAGTTACAGCATTCTGATTGATGCGCATTGCAAGAATGGTGATTTGCTCAAGGGCATAAGTCTGTTGGACGAAATGGAATCAGGAGGGATAAAGCCTAGCTTGGTCAGCTACAGTTCCCTTTTGTTTGGTCTGTGCAAGATTGGGCAGATGGATAGTGCACAAGAGATGTTTGAGAGGATAAGAAATTGCGGTTACACTCACGACAGTATTTCATATGGTATTCTCTTAGATGGTTACTGTAGGACTGGGGATTTTGATAAAGCCCATAATCTACTGACAGAAATGATTCGAAAAAATCGAAATCCCGATGTCTTCCACTACAACAGCATGATTTCTGGATACTGTAAATCTGGATTTCTGAGAGAATCACTGGAAGTACTTCAGATCATGACCCTTGAAGGTGTGACACCCAATTCAGTTACTTGTACTATTCTTGCGGATGGGTTTATAAAGGTAGGCCGAGCTAAAGAAGGTTTTCGGTTCTTGAATGAGCATCATGCCTTTGGCGTTGTCAGTAACTCTTTTATTTACGGAGTTTTGATCAATGGGCTATGCAAAGAAAGCAAAACGGACAAGGCGTGGGAGGTTTTCAAATCGATGGAAACAGTGGGTCTCGTCGCCGATGCTGTTATTTATAGTACTCTCATTGATGGTTTTGCTAAAGAATCTAATATAAAGGAGGCTTTCAGTTTGTTTGGTAGGATGCTAAAGCATGGGATCTTGCCCAACATCATTACATACACGAGCCTTATCAATGGTCTCTGCAACAATGGCAGAATGGTTCAAGCCTTTTGTATGTTTAAGGAAATAACTAGACATGGACTAAAACCTGACGAGGCTGCCTTCACATCAATGATCTCTGGGTTCTGCAGAGTAAGGGACATGCACATGGCCTGGACATTCTACGAAATCATGCAGAAGAATGGGCTACTTCCTGATGTTGTTACTTATAGTTGTCTGATTGATGGATTTTGCAAGTCCCATCAGATGGATAAAGCAAAGATTTTAGCTGATGATATGAGAAAAATGGGAGCTGCTCCCAACTTGAAAACCTACACCTCTCTGATTTCTGGCTATTGCAATCAAGGTGAATGGGCTGTAGCTATCAACCTGTATGAGAAAATGAAAAATGAGGGGATTTTACCAGATTCTGTCACTTGTTCGATATTAGGTCTGGATGTTGGATGAGAGGCGAAGGTTTGGGCTCGGGGCAGAGAACAATGTTATCACGGGGATATGCTGATCCACCTTATTGCAGGTGAGTAGTATCATCTCCATTTGTCGACTCGTATCCTCATCTCACCCCTCAGTCATACCAAAAATAGGCAGAAACCCTTTGTGTTTGCTGATTTGTTTTCCTTTCATTTTCTGACTAGAAATTCGTCAATAGCTGAGAAGAGTTGGCGCGCGGTTTAATGTGCCTGCACTTCCTGTGTAGATGGAGAAGAAACCACCCGGTCAGAATTCCGAATGGCCAGATCTGGCTCTTAAGTTGATCGCCGAATCAGATAATCCATGAACACATTGCAGTAAAATTTTGAACCTGATTTGGTATCTGACGCTGAATCTTGCAGGATTCAAAAAAGAAAATATTTGACTTTTGTTTTTTTTCCCTGAAATTTTCAGCATACCACCGTCTAAAAAGTCAACCACACGATTAAGCATCACAAAGCTTCCTCAATAAGAAATGGGTTCCACCAATATAATATATAATTTTGATCTTCATCAGAGCTTTGACGAATATGCTTCAGGAGATCCTGGAGGCAGGTATGTTTTACGGTTGAATTCCTCTTTATTTTCTTACTTTGGACCTTTTCTCTGATTCTGATCTTATTAAATTTACAGGCTCGTACTGGGCAGAGCCTGTCTCACTTTCATTTTATCTCACCAACTAGTCTATAATTTGGACGAGATTTTGGTCATCATCCATCCATCGAATGGGGCCCATATGATGAACCTGTTCATATTCCTTATCTCACCAACTAGTCTCTCTCTCTCTCTCTCTCTCTCTCTCTCTCTCTCCATTTGACCTGCCTCCCAACCTGTTTCCATACTGATGGAATTCGTCACCCGGAACTCAGAAGAATCCTCCGTCCAGGTTGACCCTGGTAAACCGATTGGGTCAAGATTTACTGTTTTTATTCTTCCAGCAAGGTTGACCATGAATCCCTGAACATATATGTTTCTTCAGATTCTCCCGGTCATCGCAGCCGTGAAGAAAAGGGTTTCCCCCCTCTCCGCGGCGGCGCTAGGGCATATTATAATCCTCCGCCGGGGGCCGGAGCAGTCCTCTACGCCGACGGCACCGGGCAGAGACACGCAGGGGCAACCCATGTTGGTGCCTCACTTATGACTACCCTCCCCTAACCAATGCTAGCTAGAGAGAGAAAGAGAGACGCGAAGACCCATTGGTTATTTATTAGGACATAAACACTTAGATTCCGTGTCATTTAGAGAAACTTCGCTGCATCGGCCGGTTTCGTGACACGACATCTCTTTGACTTGGGAATCTCTCCACGGACGGCGAGGCGGCGCCACCAGAATATATACGACTTATTAGGATGCAAGTCTTTTTATGTGTCATTTATTTGCAGCGAACACGTTTTGAAGGCTGACGAATTCATCTGATTGTTTACTAAAAACAGGCGGGAGCAGCTGGGTGACCTCCTCCGGCCCAGTTGCTTGCTGGGCCCTTCACGGGAGGGAAGAACAGAGCCGTGATTGATTGATTGATTGATTGATTGATTGATCTCTCACGATCTCTCATTAAATGGGATCACATCGAAGTCCGAACTCGGGTTTGACCCGATGGAGATTCCAATTTTTTTTTGGAAATTTTCAGCTTTAGATTCTCCCATTAAAATTTTAATTTTGAGTTTTTTTTCAAAATGGGTTTGTTTTGGAGAGAGAAATATATATTATAATCACCAAATGAGAAAGTTTGAGGAGAGAGAGAGTTAGATTAGATGGAGATCCCCTTGTTTAGCGCTCCGTCATGAGACCCAAAATTAATTTTGAAAATCTTCAGCCTTAGATTCTCCCAAAAAAAATAATTTCGATTTTTTTTATCAAATGGGTTTTTTACAAAAAATAATTTTGGGTTTTTTTAAAATTAATTTGGAAATTTCCTGCCTTAAATTATTTATAGTATATATTATAACCACCAAAAGAGAACGCATGAGGAGAGAGAGAGAGAGGCATGAGGAGAGAGAGAACCACGATCGGTAGTTGGCGTCAGAAAGGTCTGAGCTTTTAGTGGGCCCCGCTTCGATGAAAGGAAAGAAATTAATCACCGAAAAAGGTGTTGATAGACCGAGGATTTTTATTAATAAAATATTATTTATTACGTATAATTTTTGGGGGCTAATTGGGATTTGGGATGATGTATAATGCGATGTTATTAATAAATAGCGGGGCGAGAGGAAGTATATTTTGCTGTGGAGAGGTGGGTTTGTCCTCTTCGGCCCCTTTTCCTTTTTCTCCGTTCACCACAGCACTGAGGGTGATCTTCTCGCCGACCAGAGCCCCATCCGACCGCTTCCCCGCTCCCCGCTCTGTCCTCCCTATCCGTCCTCTTTCACCGGACGCTACCGATAAGCCTCGCGCGCGAACGTCGGTGGGAGAGCGAGATGTCTTCTCCCAGTAAGCGCCGAGAGATGGACTTGATGAAGCTGTGAGGCCCAGAAATTGATCCGAGTCCTTGGGTTTTCGCGACTCTTTTGTGGATCTTTTTGGCGTCTGACTCCTTCCCGTCGCAGGATGATGAGCGATTACAAGGTGGAAATGATCAACGACGGGATGCAGGAGTTCTACGTCGACTTCCACGGCCCCAACGAAAGTAATGACGCCTATTCCTCTGTATATTTCTCATTGACTTCTCTTTTTCGTGGAAATTTATCTTTCGGGGCGACTGGATTTCCTTCCCATGGAAACGCTGCAGCGTTTCGACCCTCATTGACTGAATCTTGCTGGCTACTGATAGGACTACATGGACAGACGATCTTTTTGATCGCCCGTGGTCCTGTTCTTGCGTTTTTTCTTTTTTTTTCGTAAATAAGCGTCGATAAAGTTAGTTGTGGGCCGATTGGTGTCACTTGCTTTTTTTTGTAGAATATTCCTCTATAGTTTCTCGGTGATTGTCACGGAGTTTGTGGAACGCTTTCTGGCGTCTGCTTCAGCATCCGAACCATGAATGAACCTCTATTCAGTTATTTTTCTCCCTTTTGTAATCTGTGGTTGTGTCAGGTCTGTATCAGGGGGGTGTGTGGAGGATAAGGGTGGAGCTGCCTGATGCGTATCCTTACAAATCTCCTTCTATTGGCTTCGTCAATAAAATTTACCACCCAAATGTCGATGAGATGTGAGTTCTTGGAAGTTTTGGTTGTGTGTTGTTTTCATCGCCACCTTGTTGCAATATTAAAAAATGCTGCAACGTTTTTTCACTACCTGTCATCATAAGGAGAGATTCTTGGGTCAACTGAATGTCATAGTGTGTTTCTTCATTTCAGGTCTGGCTCAGTTTGTTTGGATGTCATTAACCAAACGTGGAGTCCTATGTTTGGTAAACTATCATATCCGTTTGTCGAATTTTGAATTTGAATTTCACATTGTTATTTCCAATTGCTTCTTTTTTTATGCCAATTAAATGACACTTTGCATACGAAAATTATTTTTATTTGGGTCTCTGTATTTTGCAGATCTTTTAAATGTTTTTGAGGTTTTCCTTCCACAGCTTCTTCTGTATCCTAACCCATCTGATCCTTTGAACGGAGAGGCTGCTGCCTTGATGATGCGTGATCGAAATTGTTATGAACAAAAAGTGAAAGGTATACTTATTCATAGTAATTTACCTATTTATATATTTTTCTTCTCAATCCTTGAAAATCTTCATCTTCGTATCCATTTTTAACGTATGTCATCTGTGCAACGACTACTAATTGTACGGGTCTGCTGATACTGGCTTATTTGAGTAAAGAAGGGTATTTCATTTTAAAACTACTCCCCCCTTTGATTTCTCGGCAGAATGACGCCCATTGTATCCAGTTTTCTATATGCTGACAAAGAATTCTTTGGCAGTGGAGGATTTGACAGGGAAAGAGCCTACTGAATCTTTTTGAAGTTTCACCAACATTTAGAAACTTCTGCTAGGGTTTAGCTCTCGCCCTAGATTTAAATACACTTTGTATATAGTAGAAATGTTTGTAAGTTGGCATGAATGCTTTGCTGTTTTGGTTTTTTTGGGATGGTTTATCGAGAGGTCAATGTTAACATGGTGTACCACAGTATTCTCTTTTTCTTTTCTTTTTTTTGGCATCTCCTTTTTTAATGGAATAGTTGGAAGTAAACATTATCTTCAGTGAAAAGATTGTTGTGGGTAAATGAAGTCATTTCTGATGATTGATAGTTACCTCTATGCCTCTGCTATCCTCAGTTTCTCATCCTGGGGAGGAATGCCCTTTAAAAAAAAAATTACTGGTTTTTCTTTTTTTACATTATGATGTGACAAATGCTACAGCAGACTCACATTTTGCATCGATGGTACCTGGCATCCATTTTCTACTGATGTTATTATCCGCAAATAACCAAACTTGTATGTGCCTTTTTGTGGGTTTTTTTCCTTAAATCTTGCAGTGAACAGGCAGTAATTCCATCAAATGGATGTATTTCATGGCTCTTTGTTTAACACCTTCCATTCTATTTCACTGTTTCTTATAACCAGTTAGCTTAACCTCAAATATCTTATTCCGTGGCATTCTTAAATGTCTTCCTCTTTGCAACACACATTTAATCTTTTATTATGCCATCGGGCCTTTCATTCATTCAGGCATTTTTTTTCCTTTACAGGAATTATTTGTTGTCTATTTTTTCTGTCGCATGTTTCAATCTTGCTATGAAAAATCTCCTATCACTGCTGCTCGGTTTTTCATGCTGTTCTCTTCTTGCTCCATGTTTCCATCTTCCTTTTCACTGTTCTATTGAATTGTGGATTGTCTCTCTTTTTCCCTCCCCATATCCATGGCTTTGTAGCTCTGAGAACAATGCTTGTTATTTTCTAGAATTCGTGTATTTATCACTTTCTTGGTTGCTTCCTGAACATCGAGAGATTCTTTGCAGTTGTGTTAGGGTTTTTGGAATCAGAATAATAATTTGGTATGTGAATCTAGTTTGTGACAAATGAGGGAGGGCATAGTTGCAAACTCCCCAATCAATGACGTGCTGGCCTGATGACGACTGACTTCTACTTCAGTGGATTATGGATATGAAGTTGCATGTTCTCATGAAATTGGTATGCACCTCCCAAGGCAACCTAAAACTTTCATAAGAATCCTGACTACCCAAGGAGACAGAACTGTTAATTTCTGTCTCCTGCATCGGCCATTCCTCTTTAATAATTCATGCTTCAAATGTCTTTATTCCTTGGTTTGATCTTAGTTTTTTCTAACATATCTTGGTCAACCAGTTTTTTCAAGCCAAGTGAGATATCCTCTCTCTGATCACCCAGAATTTGACCTAGTTATTAACGTATTGTGAAGCATTGAAACCAGAGCTGGCTGCAATGGGATACAACTTCCTCTCCTTTTGTGACTGTTTTTCCTCATGCCATTTGACCAAGACATGTATACTTCATCTTTTTACACATCTTCCTGATGCACCACAATTTGTTTTCAACTCGAGTGTCAGCCTCTCTTTCTGCTTTGCTCTTCTTTAAGAAGACTAAACTAAGTTTTGAAACTCTCATTATGATGATGCATATACCTCGTAGCATGATCATAAACACGGATTGAGGATCCATTGTCGTGGTAAGGTCGGAGTTGTTTTAGATGATGTGGACGTCTGATGGCCCTAAAAACATGATAGCAGCTGCCTCCGAGGATGAGATGGTGACGGTCATGGTCTACATGCATTATTTAGCGTCGTCTTTGCCTGGTACCGATGAGTAGTGACATCTAGTGATGGGCATTGCACTGCAGCTTCAATGTTGCTCTATATGTATCCCAGAACTCCTTGGGAATTTCTGATGTATGAATTCTCATTGGCTTGTTTCTCTGTTGGAAAAATATTTTTTCCCACTTATCTCTTGATTTTTTTTCCCCCTTCTACATAGAGAAGAATCAATGACTTATGGGGAAAAGAGAAGCTGTCTACCAGAACTTCCTTGGGGATCTCAATCACACTCTCTGCGTTCTGGCTCTTCAGACTTCCGGTCATCTCTCCACCTCCCTCTCCCTCAGGAACCCTTTTTCCTCAGCTTGATGCCCAGGATATCCATCCAGTCTATGTGAAGTGACGGAGGAGTAAGCCATATCTCTCCGAACGATTGATTACCCACAGATTCTCCCTTGATCTCATTCCCAACATGGTGTGCTAGACCAGGTATCTGAGGTCGTTGTTATCTACATAGTCTACGTAGTTGGTGTCCGAATACGCCTTGTTCTTTTCAAATGACATTGGAGATGAAGGCTTCTTTTTATGTACATGGAAGGGGGGAGGGGGAGTGTAGCTGGATTAAATGGAGGACGAGATCTTTAATAAGATTCTTAGACTGTCGACTCTTTTATGGCGTGTTTACCGCGGAATTCTTTTGCAAACATGATAAAAGAAGGAATTAATATGGCTTTTTACCTCGTATCAGTTCATCCGCGTAGTCCCTCAGCATGAAGGATTTACTAAATCCCCTTCTCATAGCCCCTGCTCTCTCTCATCTCCGCTGTCCTGACACCTTTTAATTGGTGCCGAATTCCCTGTTGGGCAATTCCCTTGTCAACGCTTTCTTTTGTTTTCTGGTCAAAACATCTCACATTTCTTTACTGTCTATCCTGACCGAAAATCCTCTGGGCTGCCTCAAGCTAGTGGTCTTTCTTCTCCTTAGCACAGTATGCCCTCACTCTTCTAGCATTCTTAGTGCTCTTGGATTCAGCGCCGCCCCTTTTTGAAGATCATCGCCGGGTGAAAGCCATCTAGAGGGACTCATGCACATATCAGAAATCTTAGCAGTTCCTAATCGTTCTTCTAGCATTCTTAGTGTTCTTGGATTCGGCACTGCCCCGTTTGAAGATCATCGCCGGGTGGAAGCCATGTAGAGGGATTCATGCATATATCTGAAATCTTAGCAGTTTCCTAATCATTCTTCTAGCTTTCTTAGTGTTCTTGGATTCGGCGCCACCCCATTTGAAGATCATCGTTGGGTGGAAGCCATCTAGAGGGTTTCGTGTACATATCTGAAATCTTAGCAGTTTCCTAATTAGACATTTGAAGATATCTAGCAATCCTTGGGCCTTGTAATCTTTCTTCTTTTTTTTTGGGTAGATTACCATCTTGATGCCGACACCATATGTGATCAAGATGAGCATCACTCCTAATCCACCATCTGCTTGATGTCTGATTACCCACATCGTCTTGCCTATCTGCCACCTTGTCATCCAGAATACTGCCAGAGGTATGCAAAGGCGGAGGACGTCGGCGGGCCAGCGGAGGAGAAATCGAGCGACGACGAGGAGTTGACGGAGGACGAGTCAGACTTGAGTGACGAGGCTGTGGCGGGCAACCCAGATCCATAGCCGCCGCCATTGTTGTCGCCTGCCCCCCCCCCCCCATTGTAAATGTTATTCAAACCCTTTGGAATTCAAAAGAACAAAAAAGGAAACACCCTCCTCTTCTCTACCTAGTCCCTTTTAACTGTGTAAATAAGTGACCCGCCGTTCGTCATGTTATTGCACGTGTTTCGTGGCTGGCCTGCATTTTGCTTCTTCTCACACACACGCACAGAAGGGGGAGAGAGATAGAGAGAGAGAGACTGGATAATCATGCAAAAACTTCTGTAAAATAGTACTGTCTTGCTTACTCTAATATTTTAGATATTATTAGCATGTCTCATTGCATAATATTAATTTGTTCTTAGTGACGTTATATTTTGGGTGTTAAATTGAAATATATATATATATATATGTGGAGACAGAGAGAGAGAGAGGGAGAGACTATGATTAATCATCTAAAAAATTTTATAAATTAATATGGCATTTAAAAAATATTTATTATTATGAAATAATGTTTAGCTTAATGATATATTTTATGTATTAACTTATGATAAATAGTATTATATTTATCTTAAATTAGAAATATATTTTTAACATGTCTAATGTTAATTTGTGGTTAATTATGTGATTTTATATGGTTGTTATATTCACATTTTTAAGTTAAAATAAATATAATAAAAAAGGAGAGTACGTAAGTAGGTGAACCAAATCAGAAGGAACCACACATTACACTTAAAGAGTCACATAGAGCATAAGTGAGTCACCCTTCTTCTACTTCATCAAGGGGAACTGGTGCATGGAGCAAGATATCACCTCATTACAAATGTTGTGTGTGGGTGAACCACTTGCTCTATTCCCCTCAAGTGGTCATAGCCATTTTGTTTATAAGATAAATAAGTCACATCCATAAAAACACCTAAACTTATGTAAATCTAAAGTTACTCGAAATAGATAATGTGGTACTAAACCTCTAACTATGGTTAATCAAGATAATCTTGAAACCATACGTAAAGAGAAAGTAAAGCCTTCATATTTTCATTGTTCCAAGGGTATAAATAGAAACTAATATAATATTTTACATGGCTAATCATATGTCGTCATATGACTCTCAAAGCTTTCGTAGAAAATCACCAATGGCAAATAATTTCTCTATTTTACTATGCAATTTTTCTGCAATGAAACAATCAATGAAAAGAACAAGGGAGGTGGTCGATCATTGATGAAAACTTTATCAATGATAAACATAGATCTTCAACAACATCTAATGACAAATTTTGGGTAAAAAAAATAGAAATTTCTAAGAGGAAATCTCATCTCTTATTGGTTGACAAACAAGACACTATCAGTAACACATGGATCCACCGAGAGACTTATTGCAATATCTTCAAAGCATTACATTTGCGATGAGAATATTCTCTTGTAGCGTATACATGAGGATGAAGCTTCTTATGCTGCATTCCACTTCCATCAATCACCAATTTGCCAAGTGATAGTCACCAAAGACCCATCTTTGTTAAACTTTGCTCTATGGGGTGACAACATTTAAAAATCTACTTCATTGGCACCTAAACTTCCAACCTCTGGCCTTCACACAAAAATTCAAGTAGTGTTCACATTATGTATATCCACATAGAGCATTCGAGGTTGTGGATAACACTTAGAGACCTTCTAAACACCTAGAATTCTAATGATTGTTGTCGTGATGCTAAAACTCTATTTTATTATTTAAACTTAGCTACTCTTTATACTAATGTTATTTTTGTTTAACATTATTTTTTGAAACTTATCTTTGATTCATTATGATTCATTTTATACTTTTAGATTTCAATTTAATCAGTTGAATCTTCTGAAATCACTTTAGCAATAATTCCCAAGTGAAACTCTATTTTCCCCCAAATTAATGTTTTTGCAAGTGATGACATATGCTCAAAGTCATCATTCGATTTTTCCTTTTCTCTAATTTTAAAAGGATTGTCTTACTATCTTTCATTCTAAAAATCATATAAATGAGAAAAAATAAATAAATTTATATGATAGTATCATACATCCCTTGATCATCTTAGAATATTTACACTAATTTTGAAGTTTAATCTTAATTTAAATTTAAATATACATATATATCAATAAATTCTAAAAAAATAAAAATAGTATTTTTCTAGTTTTATAAATCTTAAATTTACATGAATTAAAATGCAACAATTAAATCATGCTAGTCTTTCTTACCTCAAACCTTTAAGATTACTTAAAATATTATTAGCATGTCGTGATGTTATATTTTGAGTGTTAAATGGTAATATATATATATATATATAAAGAGTGTGTGAGAGAGAGGCTATGATTAATCATGCAAAATATTATGTAAAATGCTTTGGTCTTGCTCACTCCAATCTTTTGAGATTACTTAAAGTATTATTAGCATGTCATACTACATATGTTCTTAGTGGGGTTATATTTTGGGTGTTAAATGGTAATATATGTATATATAGACTATGATTAATCATGCAAAATCTTATGTAAAATAATTTGTTCTTGCTAACTCCAATCTTTTGAGATTACTTAAACTATTATTAGCATGTCATATTACCCAATATTATTATTTTTTAGCATGCTGATAATATTTTAAATAGTTTAGGACCATAATATTATTTTTGAAAAATGTCTAGCATTTACCACATAAATAGCCCTCAAAACAAGAGTAATGTTAGAATCATGTTTTTTTTTAGTGTAAAATTGGCACATAAATAGTCCTCACAGCAAGAGTAATATTGGGACAATAATAATTTTATGTAAAATAGCTAGCCTTTTCCACATAAATAGCCCTCAAAACAATAGTAATGTTAGAACCATAATATATATTTTTTAAATAGCTAGCCGTTGGCACATAAATAACCCTCACACCAAGAGTAATACTAGGAACTTAATATTTTTGTAAAATAGCTAGCATTTGGCATATAAGCAACCCTCAAAATATGGGTAATGCTGGGACCATAAATTTTTTTTTATATAAATTGCAAGCCTTTGCAAAATAAATATCCCCAAAACAAGAGTAATACTGGGACCATAATATATATATATATATATATATATATATATCTAGCCTTGGCCACATAAATAGCCCTATAAATAAGAGTAATGTTTGGATCATAATTAATTTTTTTTTTGTAAAATTGCACGCCTTTGCCACATAAATACCCCCCAATTTTACGGAGTTTTTAAAAATAATTTATTCGAGTTCGTCGATTTGCACTGGATCGGAGTTCTGATCCGTGTAAATCTGGTCCCATTGATTGGGGGCCTACGTGGTCGAGTCCCCGAGCGCGGTGCGAGCACATCGTGTTTAGTCATGAACCGGAATGCGACGATTTCTGGACGCGGGGACCCGGGTGGGCTCCCCAGCTGGTGGAAGAGAAGCCGTCCGTGCCCTAGTTATAAAACTCTGGCCTCCGAGTTCCCTGCCTTCCTCCTCTCGAAGACGCCGGGAAGAGGGCGGCAGCAGCAGCAGCACCTGGTTCGCGACAGGTGACTGCAAGAGCGAGCCGCGGCAGTCGCTCCGAGCTCCATCCGGAAGATGCCGAAGTCCAAACGCAATAAAGTTGGTAAGTGTTCGAATGGGGTATCCTCAGTTTTCTCCCCGTGCTCCTCCCTCGTGGACGCGGATTTGAGGTTTTTGGTTTTTCTCCTTCGCCCAAAGTACTGAAAATAGGTCGCTATCTGGAGAGTAAGTATTATGTGCGACTGCATGATGGTGAGCTAAAACGTCTACGGAGGAAGAAGAGCATGCTGTGGTTCATCTTTTTTTAACATCCCTGCTCGGAGAATGATATTTATGTAGTCTCGGTCCTTCCAACGCAGTTACCTTGTCGAAGACCAAGAAAAAGGGGAGGGAGCACAAGGAATCCTTTGTGAATTCCATAAGGCAGGCGTTGGATGAATACAGCGCTGTCTATGCGTTCGCTTTCGAAAATATGAGAAATCTGAAGTTTAAGGAGTTCAGAGAGCAGCTGAAGTCTAGCAGCAGGTATTGACGTATTTTGTTTACTCCATTCATCCGGACTTTCTCAGCGGTTTGGTTATCGTCTGATACTCGAGGGTAAATCACTGGACATGCTACCGTGTACTTTTCTTCATTTTAAGTAGAGAAGATCGATAGAGAAAATTGTAGTAGTTAAGGTCGGTGCCCGCCAAATACTGCAGACGACGTTTAGTCGATTTATTTTAACAACTCGATATCATATTTGATTCTGTTATTGAACGTTTACCATCTATTCATTAATCTTATGTGTCTCTCATGGCTTCTTGGTTGCCATTTTCTTTTCGTTTTTATACAAGTCTTAATGTTCATTTTTTTACGCTTGTAGATTTTTTCTTGGGTCAAATAAAGTCATGCAAATTTCTTTAGGACGATCAGCATCTGATGAAGGGAAGCCGTACGTACATAAAGTTGCCAAGGTTGCCATACCTTCATGTACAGTGCGAATCGTTGACTTTTACAGTTGCTTGTACTGATTCTGAAATCAATTTCAGTTTCTGCGTGGGAACACTGGACTTTTCTTCACCAATTTATCAAAAGAGGAAGTTATCAGGTATCACGTGGGTCCTTGTTCATAATGTATTAGGCTATTTATATATTCATTTATATTTCAAAGCCTATGATATCACAGCTTATGCCTTTTCAATGTTGTACTTGATAATATTTTTACGTTAAATATCTCTTGATGTTGGTATTTGATGCAAATTCATATGGATATTCTGGATGATTACACCTGCGTCTGTGGATTTATAATCACGTTTTTTTAATCAGTAGATAAATAAATGATCGAATGTGTTGCATCATGAATACGGAAATGATGTGCGATAAGGAGAAAAAAGAAAAGGAAAATTAGAATCGAGAAATTCCCCACTGGATTTAAGGGGAAAGCTTAAGCATTATCTTACTCTCTACATCACAGCCCCTCCTAAATGAAGAACTTTCTTCTACTTTTCAAGACTCTAGGCCATATTCTATCTGCATTTCTTTCTTTTTTATAGACCATAGCCAACCTCTCTTTTCAGCTTTGATGGTCTAGGTGCTTCTCTGATAGATGAACAGTATATGCTCTTATTATACGATTAGATTACGTAGCAAAAGATGCATTATCGCCATTTTTAATGGAATTTGCCATGCTCAAAACATTCCCTTTGAGTTTTCTTCGCACATCAAGCATTCATGATCTGCTCAATGTTGATAGAAACAAGATTGCATAATCCAGTGTCTAACACAATTTGGACTGGATCTACCAAATCCTGTGATTCAAAACGGGGAGATCGTCTCTATTAAAAATGTAATTCTGATTAATTCAAAGTACATAATTATTTTTTGTCATTCATGGTGCTGGGATTTTGTAGAAGCTATGCTTGCCACTCTTTAAAGTTGCCCTTATAAAGCTTCTTTCTTCTTGCAGTTTGTTTAAAGCATTTGAAGAGCATGACTTTGCAAGAACAGGAAGCATTGCGACTGAAAAGGTTTGATTATAGTTTTGTGGATTTGACCTCCAGCAGTGATCTTTCCGGTTGTTTTCTGTATTTAGGAACACTACATCAATAAACATCCATGTTTTTAGTTTACATTTTGGAGTTTAATCTATAAGTTACATATTATTAACGCTAATTGAAGTATACTGTAGGTATGCAGGTGATTGTATGCCCACGTTTGTTCTGCTGATAATGTCTTCTCTTTGGAAAATGTGTAAAACCATAACCAATCTTCCATACGGAAGGCATGTGGGTATGCTAGTGAAGAGTCATTTTGAGATGCTTATGTTCCGTTCTGGCAGGTGGAGCTGAAAGAAGGTCCTTTAGAACAGTTCACACACGAGATGGAGCCTTTATTACGCAAACAGGGGATGCCTGTTCGATTGAACAAAGGTTCATAGTTGCTGCTTCTATTTCACCTTCTTCACTTATTAAGAACCAAGTTTGTTTGCGCACCCTTCTTATTGGCTCCCTGCTCTCTCTCTCTCTCTCTCTCTCTCTCTCTCTAGGGGTTGTGGAGCTGGTCTCTGATTTTGTTGTCTGCGAAGAAGGAAAGCCATTGTCACCTGAGTCAAGTCGCATTTTGGTATGCTTTTCCTGCCACTTTCATACAGAGCTTTAAATATATTGGAATGTTTTGTGCTGTAGACTTGTCTTGTCTCTCCATGGTTCCCCCTGGCAAAGTGATCAAATCTAATTGGGCATGCTGTGGCATGTTTCTCCGTTGAAAAATACATGGTATCTTAATGACCCTACCGTATGTTCTCATCTTTCTCTTACTCTTTCAGCGTTTGCTGGGGGTCAAAATGGCCACGTTCCGCCTTCACCTCCTGTGCAGATGGAGCACCGAGGACTTTGAAGCGTACAGAGAAGCTCTCGACCTCTCAGACGACGAGTCTACATAGTTCTTCCCCACTCTACCGTGCCAAATTTTGTTTCTTTCTCTAGTCTCTGCCTATGAATCAGCAGATTGAAGGATTTACAGCGCTGTCTGTCTGGCTCGCTTTCATCACTCACCTCAGGTTACATAAAACAACGTATTATATATTCCTTTGAATGAGTGAGATATCAGGATGGGTTTGGTTGGCTCGTCCTGACTTGGCCTGGTATTTTTCTGGCCTTGGGCCTTGGGCCTTGGGCCTTGGGCTTCTTAAACACCTTAACCATTTAATGAACATGGTATTACCAGCTTGTTTGCATGTAAAATATCAGGTAATACTAGAAATAACTAACTTATTGAATGAGATAAAGCCTCGTTTTTGCCTTCACTTAGTAGATGGAGGCCCGATTCAGGACTATAGAGGAACAGCAGGAGATGAGTAGAGTACATCCGTAGATAAAATGATATATTATATTACAAATAATAATAATAATACTATATTCTTAATTTTAAGTGATTATGATTTGTAAGTGTTTTTCGGTCGAGCACTTCTTAATTAGGAACTGAGTTGACTCACCAGGGAGAGAAAATCAATAGAGGCATATTGCTATCAGACAAGGCTCATTAAAGTAATATGCATAGAATGATGAGAAAGGGTGCACTTTAAGAAGGCTAGATTCGGAAAAGTCATGAGACTATTTGTATCGGTATTTATTGATAGAAGAATAAATCCCCATCGTGTCAAAAGATAATGCTCGTTGACTTTTAGTGGAGTAATTGTCAACGTCGACTTGTGTAGTCAATGTAAAGTTGAGGTTGACCTATGAAGTTCAGAGCTAATTGATGCAGATTTAAGTACGTAAATTAAAAAAAAGTATTAATTTATTAATTGATGGTTTTGAGATTTGATAGTTGACTTTTCCAAATTGTGAATGTAAAAAATATATTTTATTTTTAAATTTATATTTGGGAGAGTTTAGTATATTTAAATGTCCCGAGTTATTTTCGTGCGAGTGGTGCCAACCGTTGTCGATGTCCGGCCCCGCACGTCTGTCTTCTTATCTTTCCTACGCCCGTCCGGTCATCGCACACTGACACTCTTCTCCTCCACTTAGCACCAGCGGAGGGAGAGAAGGAGGGAGAAGGAGGATGGCCAGGATTGTGGGTTTGTTCCAGAAAGGAGTGAGCAGGTGTTGCGGCCGCAGAAATGGGGCGCCGATCCTCTGGGGCAGCAGGTTCTCCACAGCGCCTGCTGTGGAGCATGGTGGCCCATCGGGGATTCCGAGGGACGCGTCTGCGACCAACATCAAGCAGGATGTCTCCCAGGCATACTTCCCTAATAGCCATACCTGGTCGAACAGCTCGAAGTAGAAGATCGATGTTGATCCGCCCTCCCCGCCTTGGAGTGATCCGAAAGATGGATTTCCTCCACGGAGACGAAGTGGTTATCGTTTTTGATTTCGTTTTCCCCCTCGAACTTTCCGACAGCTCATTGGGAGGACTCCGCTGGTCTACCTGAATAAGGTGTGCGAGGGATGCGAGGCTCGGGTAGCCGCCAAGTTGGAGATGATGCAGCCCTGCTCCAGCATCAAGGACAGGTAGGGATTCTCTCTGATAGGGGCTGGGTTTTTCTCGTCGCTTCTCGTGTTTTTGAGATGAGTTTCTTTTTTCTGCCCCGCGAATTGTAGCTCACCATCTGTTGAGTACTGTTCATCCTCGATAATTCCCCTGGTTTACTCATGTGTTTGTGAAATCAGACCGGCGTTCGCGATGATAGAGGACGCGGAGAAGAAAGGCCTGATAACACCTGGCAAGGTGACAGGGCTCGCTCCTCTTCTCTCCCAATTTCCTCCCATTTAGTCTCGATTCTTCGACATAACTGGCAATGGTAAATAGACTGTGTTGATCGAGCCGACTTCGGGGAACATGGGGATCGGATTATCGTTCATGGCGGCGCTTAAGGGCTACAAGCTGGTCCTCACCATGCCCTCCTACACGAGCATGGAGCGGAGGGTGACGATGCGGGCGTTTGGGGCCGAGTTGGTTCTGACGGACCCCGCCAAGGGGATGGGGGGCACCGTCAAGAAGGCCTACGATCTCATGGATGCCTACCCGGACGCATTCATGCTCCAGCAATTCGAGAATCCTGTGAATACCCAGGTGATTAAGCTCCACCTCTGACATGGGAGCTCGTCTTTTCCCTACGTTTCTCCATCTCCCCATTCATGTGAAGGCTGTTGATGAGATTATCTCTCACTCATGGTTTCTTCTTTAAAGAGCTTGGTGACTTCTTGGCTCTGAGGTTATTTCACGGTTGATCTATAGAACTCTGCTGGTGTTTTCTTTCGTGCAAGCTGTTCTAATCACAGAGGAAAACCCAGGTGCATTTTGAGACCACGGGACCGGAAATCTGGGAGGATACTCTCGGCCAAGTGGACATCTTTGTGATGGGGATTGGCAGCGGAGGCACCGTCTCTGGCGTTGGGAGATATCTCAAGTCCAAGAACCCTGATGTGAAGGTACTCTTCCTTCTCACGACCATCTATTCACTTGGCACTGCGATCTTGAAGCATCTTCAGCAGATAGCCAATCTCTCAGTCGACTTGCAGCAAGATTTGCAGATTCATTACATTGGGCCCATGTTCTTGAGCATCCTCTGTCGATTTTTCCTTGTTAGTACTTAATCCATCTTATTACTTTAATCTTCTTGTCTGTAGATATATGGGTTGGAGCCCGCAGAGAGCAATATACTGAATGGGGGTAAACCAGGTGGGTATTGATCTCCATTTCATTAAAATCTCCTTGTTTTGTATGAGATTAGATCGATCCTAGAACTCCTACGAACAGCTTTCCCTCAATTGGGTGGGCAGGCCCTCACCACATCACCGGCAATGGAGTCGGCTTCGTGCCAAAGATCTTGGACTTGGACGTCATGGAAGAGGTCCTCGAGGTTGCTCACCGCGCCACTCAAACAGTCTTCTGCTTGGATGGCAGCTTTCTGCATCAAGAACTCTGGATTACTATTTTTTTTTCTAATTTTCGAGAGCATGTGGCGACAGGTGACCAGTGACGACGCGGTGAAGATGGCCAGAGAATTGGCTCTCAAGGAGGGCCTTTTAGTAAGCCCTCTCTATAATCTGCTGCATCAAGAATCATTGATCGCTCATGTGGTTTCATAGTCTGATGAAGATTCTGGGCATATCGGCTTCTGGGTAAGAACCCATGGATGATGGGTTGATGAATTGGGGGCTTCTCTTTGTGTTTCAGGTGGGAATATCCTCTGGAGCAAATACAGTCGCAGCGCTGAGGCTCGCCAGGAGGCCAGAGAACAAGGGGAAGCTCATCGTGGTATTTCATTTGCTTCTTAGATTCCTTCATTTCATGTCGGGTATAGAACTGACTGCTCGACCCCACTTCCTCTACTCCAGTCTCACCCCCTCCCCCCTCCCCGCCGTCTCTGTCTCTGTCTTTGTATACATGCATGCATCTGCGCAGTCATTGTCGCTAGAACATGCCAAGAGAAACCTAGCCTCTCTCTCTCTCTCTCTCTCTCTCTTTCTCTTCTCCGTTTAGTAGTTTCTATAAGATGAAAAGAGACGACCCACCTTCACCCTCTTAATTATAGAACTAACTGCTTGGATTCATTTCTTCAACTCCAATTATTTCCCCCCCTCCGTCTCTCTGTCTCTGTCTCTGTCTCTGTCTCTCTTTATATACATGCATGTATCTGTGCAGTCATTGTCGTTAGGACATGCCAAGAAATATCTAGCCCCTCCCTCTTATCTCTCTCTCTTCTGTGTTTAGTAGTTTCTGTAAGATGAAAAGAGACGACCCACCTTCACCCTCCTCTTCAGCGGTTGAGAGGGTTGACTCGCCCTCTCTCTCTCTCTCTCTCTTCTGTGTTTAGTAGTTTCTGTAAGATGAAAAGAGACGACCCACCTTCACCCTCCTCTTCAGCGGTTGAGAGGGTTGACTCGCCCTCTCTCTCTCTCTCTCTCTCTCTCTCTCTCTCTCTCTCTCTCTCTCTCTCTCTTCTGTGTTTAGTAATTCGGTAAGATGAAAAGAGACGAACCCACATTCACCCTCCTCTTCAGCGGTTGAGAGGGTTGACCTGCCTTCTCTCTCTCTCTCTCTATATATATATATAACACTCTCTGTGCCTTCTCTAATGGGTTCTCCTTCTGTTGTTGTAGACTGTTCATCCGAGCTTCGGGGAGAGATACCTGTCCTCGGTGCTGTTCCAGGGGCTCAGGGACGAAGCTGAGAAGATGCAACCTGTACCAGTCGAGTGATTCCACGTCATGCGCCGCCGGCGGAGCACGAGACCCCCAACTTGCTTCTCTCTTTCTCTCTCCCTCTATCCAATCTAAGTTTCCTCAATTGGAAACTAAATAAGGAAAACCATTATAACTTTAGAGTATGAACACAAATATAGTTATAGAAGGTTGAAGTGTAATTCAGTCAGAAAGAGGGGTTCGATGCAAAATTTTAACTTACCGGACCTACCATAGATTCTGGGCTGGATCGATTTGAGTCAACTCTTTTTGGGCCAACCGGCGAGCTTACACAAATAAAGTGGTGGGCCCGGTTGGATTCAAGACTCTGGATACCTCAACGGTCATTGCCACCGCTTTTCGAGAGGGGATTGGAAAGCAGTGGAGCCGTAAGCGTGGATGAAGGATGTGGCGGAGTTTCGGTGGCGGTGAGCAGTAGGAGAGTGTTGAGATCTTGGGACTTTGCCGGAAGACGAAGATATTACAAGATATATTACTTTTCCACTATATAAATCGATTTTTCTCGTACGTTCTCCGGTCGCGCTTGGGAGACTTCTTCGTTCTCGTCCTCTTCGTCGTTGGTCGATCACGGGGTTAAAACATCGAGAAACTGTAAGAATGCGAATGCAAATTTCTGTTTAAGTGATCGGGTTTTGGGGTTCCTAGTGCCGATCGTCGCATATATTCTTTCTTAGGTTAAATTTCGATGAATTTTCTGGTCCACGATTCGTGTTATCCACAGATCCGTATAAAGACGGAACCTCGCGGGGGTTGCCTCTTGCGAGGGCTGCTTCCGTACGGGATCCTCAGGTCCATGTCCGGATGAATGATTGCGTGGTCTGTTATCTGTGATAAATCTTAGTTCTTTCTGCGATAGGTGAAGTTGGTGTATAAGCGGCATGGCTTCTCGTCTGATTCTTCCCTGCAAAGGTCCGGGGGTGGTGAGGACCGGGCTTTTGGGACTGTTCTCGACCTTTCATGTGATTTTCTGAATCTTCGCTTATTCGTTTGATACGACTTCATGCTTCTAGAGAGTTGCTTACAGAAACGGTGTATTTCACTGGTTTTCTTTCTCTAAGAGAAAAAAATCACCTTGCTTAGAAACAGGTAGCGGTATAGTTGAATATTCAGAGAATGCGTGTGTCCTCATCTAAGCAAGAAACTAAACTTTCCCGGTTTCAAGAAATTAAAATTTCCGTTTAGATTTTGCATTTTCTCCGAATTCTCCCATCTGCTTATGGATTTCTGTTCTGTTCTTCTCCTGCAGTTTCACTCCATTCGCGGCAACTGTTCTTTGTACCGTCCAACGAGATATTTCTATCAAAATACGTCTAACATTTGTTTGGAGGTTAGTTACCTTACCTATTGAACTGCCTTTGGTGTTTTACTTCATATGATTTCTATTTGCTTTTGGAGTTAATGGATAAATAAAAGGAGACCATATATAAATTCTTCAGAGTCCTACCTCAGGGTTTGTGACAGATTTGTATTTTGTCTTTTGTGCTTAGGCTACACGAAGGAAGTGCCGCCAGTTCTCTCAGTCTTTAGTCGTAAGTTATTCTAAACGTTGGAGTCACCTGTACCATGAGCTTTTTTTTATGCATTACTCCTTCTGGCCCTTATTTATTACATGAATAGGATGGCGTCCTAATTGGCCCTCTTCACACTAAGCTTCATGCATCATTCATGTAGAACTGTGACACCGAGCTTCTTCGTTTTTGTGGATACAGGTGGGGGCTGTATCCTAATGTTATTAGATCTTACTTGTGTTAAAATTTTATGAAAACAATCTTACTTCGAAGGTGGACATAACTGAAGAAACAGACAGGCCTAAGAGTACGTAATCGCTTAGAGTTTCTTTAGTTCTGATCATTTGTAAATGGAATGAGGAATAAAAGAAGGACCTAAGTACGTACAACTTAGGTCATATCATGACAGCACGAAGAAAGGAGGAGAAAATTAGGGAATAAAAGAATAGAATGGCTTAAGCTTTTCAGTCTACGAGCTCTAAAGTGGGGGACGGCGGGGGAATTTTTATCAGAGTCCAACTAGTATTCTCTCACGAAATGCGTTGGGGATGTGCCAGCAGCGGAAAACTGGAATTCCAACCGTAACAATGATTTGCATATAAAGTGATTTTTTTTTTGTATTCTAATCTTTGTCAAACACTTTTTCACAGTGAAAATGTTGAGTTTGATGTAAATCAACTATTTTATAGATAATTTTCTATGTTCTGATTGGTTATTAAATGCCCATAGCCAGCAATATATTGTTCCAAAATTTGGGATACTACTTACCTGTGTTGGACTTTTAATTTCATGAATAGTCATCAATTGATTACCTTTTGTCTAAGATTCTGTATCAACTAGTTTGTTTTCTCACTTGAGAACAAGGTCTATCTTGAATTTCTCACGTAGTAAATTACTATATCTTCACATGTTTTTGATGATGTCATAAATATATTTATTGACACCTAAATTTTCTTCCAAGAATTTCCCTTGTTGTTCTCTCTTGTTGATAAGAGATTTTTTTTATTGTTTTGATTGCATTACTGATGGTATGATCAATAATTTAATTATTTTTACTAAGGAAACCAAGCTTGCGAGGAAGAGGCTTAGCTGCTCTGTTGCAACGCGACCTGCACCATCCGGGATGGAAGAATCAAAGATGGATGCCCCAAGGGAGATATTCTTGAAAGACTATAAGATGCCAGATTACTACTTTGATTCTGTACGGAATTTTCTTTCTCTGATATCATAACCTGGGTGCCATTTTCTCTATATTACGTTTTTTACTATATGGATATCTGGAAAAGAGATTCAAAGCCAATGAAATTTTCTGGGAATTCAAATGTTTCATTGCTCATGAATTCCTGATCTAGATGTAGGCAGGCTATGGTGAAAGGTCGTAAAATTGTTGAATATGTGGAAATTTCTGGCATTAAGAATGATCAACTTCATTGGCACAAGTATGTAGCCGTTATTCCCTTTGATTTTCTGCTACATCCACGATAATGCTGTTTTTATGGTGAGTAGTCGATTGATTATGATCAATTAGCGCAGAAAGTTTTGAGTGAAGGAACTGTGATTCATAACCACACTTCCGACGAAGAGCATGACTACATCCTGTTGTCACATCATCCTTCTTTTGATCACCTGCCTTTCATGTCACATACCGTTTTGATTTTCATGTGGGATCCTCTGGTGGCTTGTAAGTCATCTCTACAGTTTAATTGTAGGTTTTCTTCCATTTCATCTAAGGGAACAAGTTTGGGAACCGTACTATCACTCATTGTATTAGCTGAACGTAATGATTGATATGACATGGCAATTCTATTCCATTGTAGTCCCAGTTATCCCTTTTATATATTTATGATTTGTCTGATTCACAAATGCTGTTGTCCACGCGTGTGGCCGTTCTTGAAAATGTGCTTGCTTACTGTTGGGGTGAATACCATCAATGATTCTTATTAAATTCTTTTTTGCTGATTTTTTTTGCGTTTCTAAACATCATGGAAATCAAACGATAAACCTCCATTGTGTCATTATCATTTGCCAGTTGTGACAGCTGAGTGCTCTGTTTTGTTATGAAATATATATGTACACATGATGGATTTGATGTTATTATGAGATGATCTTTATATCATTTATGCTATAAATATATGAATTGTTGGTATAGCTTCTTTTTAAGAGCATATTTGTTTTGCTTTTCTTGAATGATTAATATGTCGCCTTCACATAAACGCAGGTGGATTTGAGCTTTTTGTTGGGAGAGGAGAAGACAATTGTTTCATCAAAGATTATAGTCTCCCCAAGGATTGAAGGTTTGCTTAGTCAAATTCCCAAATGCCGTTTCCATAGACTTGTAATACTAATATCTTTGTTTCATGCATATTAAAATTTTATCTCCCGTTTGTTTACTTCCATGGTATGTTCCAAACAAATGATATATGTGTATTGACTAACTGGTTCGTCTGTTTCCGGAACAATAAAATTTACCGTGTTCCATGATGTTGTCACCGTTTTCTTTACAGATCCTTTCACTATATTTCGTGCAAGTGGTTATAATGTTATCCTTTTTTTGAAAATAACCAAACTCGTGCAGTTCTTTTGAGCAATGCATCATTCACCTTTTTGTTGATGCTCAAGTTTGTCACTATGCTACAACTTTAAATGCTTCATTTTTTATCGGAGGAATATTTCATTTTCCCTGACCATTCATTTGTATATCGCAGGAAATTCCCATCCCTTGGTTCTTGATGGGCGTGATGTCAAGCTATTATCTGTTAAAGTTGATGACAAGGATCTGAAGGTAGTTCTTGCTGGGCATTGATTTAATTAACTTTCCGAGTTGAAATTTCGCTTTTTGCCAGTGTCTTACGAAAATGGATTCTTGTGCGTAAAGCTGCTTATGAAATTTAAGAGAAGGCATAATCCACAGTTCTTCTTCATTATTACCATCCAATGCCCTTGACTTGTTACTTGAACCGTGACTTATAGCAGACATTCAAGTTTGATGCACTTTACACCTCGTTCTTCTTTCCCTTTACCTTGATACTCCACAACTGTTGTGTCACTAAAGTGGTATCCTATTTAAAGTTTCCATAGTTTCCGTGATCAATGGTGGTTGTTTTTCATCTTAACCAAGAACTGTATTTTTATGTCACTTTTGATCCCTGTTAGTTTTATTCGTTTCTCCAGTTCCTCAGAAGCAGTTGAAATTCTCTTAAAAGTGGTGCAGCTTAGCGAGAGAATGCGTATGTGTTTGTATTTAAACATTTTGTATGTGTGTACGTCTGCATACAATTAACAAGAGGTAAAAGAAGGGAGGGTGTTTATTAATCAAGTAGAATATCAGCAATGTTAAATGTTTGTTGCTTGGCCACATCAATGATGTGATGCTCTGGCTTTGTGGGACATGGTCGCTGGGATGTAACAGTGTCTATGGTCGAAGAGACCCAAACTGATGCGTTGATAGATAGGGGAAGCGCATGCGAGCCAGCTCTATATTTCTATGGAGTATAACCTTGGAGGGTGTTCATGATGATTTAAGCTGGCTTTATTGTTCAAGGTTAAGTTGTGCTATTCAAATGCCAATTGTCTGCTGCAATGACGTTGGATTGATTCTACTTGCACAACTTCAATATGTTGGTATTGCATGGTGTGTTCCAGGACAAGTTGCAAGGAAAATTTGCTTTAATGGATTATCGTGGATGAAATTTAATATTTCTACTTTATACATCCGTGGCTTTCTAAATAAAATAAATGGTTTGACATTTCTCGTGATATTTTAGTAACAATGACATTATTTAGTGCTAGTCTCACGTTGCTGTAATATTCAAGCATTACTGTTTTTAATTTCTTTTTGGCTTGGGGACATTTCGCTGAATTTCGCTGGATTATTCATATATTTGATATTGTTGACCATCTTCCTCTGTAAAATGATTACGAGGCAGTGATTTTCTTGGATTTCTTAGGTTGAAAAAAATCATGTGCCTATGCTTAAGAGTATTGCATTCTATCTGTGAATATCTTTTTTTTTTTCTGCGTCTGCTTTGGTCAATGCTAGGAGGAGGATTTTCACCTGGACTCGCATCATTTGACGCTGACAAGGCCCCCTAGTGGGACATTTACTCTGGAAATTGTTACTGAGATATGTCCTCAAAACAACACATCTTTAGAGGTGATGCACGTTTTGGTATATATTTTGATTGCATATTTAGTTGAAAACGTACTCATTTCACTGTAAACATGTTATATTTATAGGGTCTTTACAAATCTTCGGGAAATTTTTGTACTCAATGTGAGGCAGAAGGTTTCCGTAAAATCACGTTTTTTCAGGTATTCTCTTTTGAATTATGCTTGGAAAAAGTAAACGTTTTATGTAATTCTGTTCTCCTGTTTTAGCGATTCACTTGTTTCCATAGGTAGTTTTTTATTTTTTTTTTGAGACTCGGATCAATTCTCATTATGATCCATTCTTAGGATCGCCCTGATGTCATGGCGATATATACTTGCCGGATTGAAGCAGACAAAACTCTTTATCCTGTTTTGCTATCCAATGGGAATCTTATAGAGCAAGGGGATCTTGAGGTAACAATTTTTGCTGTTTTAGTCTTGTTTCTGCTTTATGCTGAGTTGCTGCATTGCATAATTTGTACCTTAATTTGGTCATATTTCTGAATAGGGAGGAAAGCATTATGCTTTATGGAAGGACCCTTTCAAGAAACCTAGCTACTTATTTGCTCTGGTTGCTGGACAATTAGAAAGTAGGGATGACACATTTATCACCTCGTCTGGCCGGGAAGTGTCTCTGAGGATTTGGACCCCCGCGCAAGACTTGCCAAAGACAGCGCACGCAATGTATTCTCTCAAAGCTGCAATGAAATGGGATGAGGAGGTGACTGGGTTGTTTTGATAGCGTGCTGTTTATTTTTGAAATTGATCAATTTGTAAGGAAAAAAGCTTATTTCTGCAGGTTTTTGGTCTTGAATATGATCTTGATTTGTTCAACATTGTGGCTGTTCCAGACTTTAACATGTAAGTTTTAATTCGGTTTCCTGTGTTTTTCCAGTTGGCATCATCGCAGTCTTTTAAGATCTTTTATCCTTGATTGCATCCTATCCTCTTATGGATTAAGAATGATAAAGTATGATGAAATGATTGTCTAAAGTATCCACATTTTATGGTTTCCCTGAACTTATATGTGATGCTCGAATTTGCATACCTAATATGAATCATTCGCTAATAGTATGATGAGTCTTAATCATTTGAAAGTTCAGTATAACTGCAGACCACCTATCTACTTGGAGTCTAACATGGGATATAACATGGACATGAGAAATAAATCCATAAATGATTGGATGACCTGATGATGGGAACGAACTGGATATGGTTTGGAGCTGGATTGTTTCTCCAATTCTTAACGTTATATATGACGATTGATTCACTATGCGTCTTTAAATGTGGATTATTTCTTCTGCCTTTGGATTGTTTTGTCGGTTGGTGGGTCTTTTTCCCAGCTTGAATCTCTCGACAGAAATTTAATTATGGAACTGAGTGAAAACTGGATCATCTCTTCATTCATTTTTGTTGTGCCCTTGGAACTATGAGTTTGTTTTTGTTTGAAGTTACGCACTTCAAATTTTCATCCTCATTTGACTGTCACATAGAAGTGTTTGACATTTTTGTTATTTTCTTTCAGGGGAGCCATGGAAAATAAGAGTCTAAATGTACGCCTTTTTTTATAATTTTTTTTTCATCAACAATATTTACTCTGTTGTATGATCTGATTTAGCTTTTTATGATCATTCCCAAACTTTTGGCAGATTTTCAATTCGAAGCTTGTTTTGGCATCACCTGAGACGGCAACAGATGGGGACTATGCTGCAATACTAGGGGTTATCGGTCATGAGGTAGGCTTTAAAAGAGTTGTTGACTAATGATATTTATTTTTCTTATCAAATTTCTGAATATATTTAAATCATATGAAATGGCTTCAATGTCTCTTCTTTGCAGTATTTCCACAACTGGACGGGCAACAGGTTGGTCCTTTTTCTCATAGAGCAAGTTTTTATATTTTTCTCTTTGGAGGGTAATGTAATCAAGTTATGTTGCTTAACGGTTTCTAAATTGTAGCTAATTTCTTTTGAGTGGTTCCTCCTTTGATTTGTTATTGGATCAAGGCTTATAGATGTTTAAAACACGATCTTTTGCTTTTGAGAAGAATCTAATAGCCGATTAACATCTTTTGCTTTTGATTTATTAATGGCTGAAGGTTTATAGGAATAGGCTCGTTACCACATTATCTTCTTTCGTTATTTATTTTTTAGATTAGTTTTAAAGTTTTTTTCTCCAATATTTTTTTTTTATATACTTGTTGCAGAGTGACATGCCGTGATTGGTTCCAGCTCAGTCTTAAGGAGGGCCTTACAGTATTCAGAGATCAGGTCTTTATCCTTTGTATTATTAACTTTTTCAAGGCAGTTTGCACCCTGACTCATGCAAATGAATTTACTTGTCTTTAGATATCACCGTGAAAATGGCACTTTGATGAGAACAGTATGCCACATGCTTCTCTTAGCAAGGCACACGCTTATGGCCAATAAAAAAATGGTTATGGTGTCTGATGAGACCCCTGAAAAAAAGGGAAAAAGGGAGGAATAAATATGTGTGTAAGCGGCTGGCTACATGTGAGCTAGGTTGATACTTTTTCCCTTGGGCCAAAGGCATGCCGAATTTTCAAATTTCCCCCTCTTCTTCAGATAATCCGAAGCCACTTGCACAACGATTTACAAAGTGTAGGATACTTGATAATTGATATTGCTATATTGACTTCTTTTTTTCTGGATCATCTTGGTTGTATTGTGGTCTAATCACTAGACACAATTCCAATCTCATTCCCTGAATTATTTAAAATTAATATATGACTGTTAGTACATTGTTGACCCACCCTTGTTTATAGGAGTTTTCCTCTGACATGGGAAGCCGGACAGTTAAGCGCATAGCTGATGTTTCAAGGCTCCGAAACTTTCAGTTCCCACAGGTGTAGCCTTTTTTATTGGATAATATTTTTGTCTAGTTCATGCTCTTTGGTATACTTTGCTTCCTTCTACTATAATATCTCCTGTTGTGGCATAAATGATATACCTATGTTTTTTACTTCGAATTTTTTCTGTGATCAAGATATGAAGGGGTTTGGAGAACAAGATGTCTTATCTGTAAAAAAAAATTTAGCTTCTCAGATCAAATTCTTCGTGGTTTTAACCATCATTTAGAAAGACATGAATGACTAGAGTCCTTTTAACTTTCATATTTTTCTTGCTAGAAATATTTTGATCGTCTAAAATTTACACGTGTTGATTTATTTTCAGGATGCAGGTCCTATGGCACATCCTATTCGGCCTCATTCATATATCAAGGTAACTATCAGACCATACTCATTTCTGCTCAAAATGTTCTTAGACCGTATTGCTATCAATTGTAGTGAAACTTGGATTCTTATTCATCATTATGTTTTCCACAGATGGACAATTTTTATACAGGTGGGTTTTCAGCTGCTGCTTTATTTTCCTCAAAGTCTGCTTAGAGATTAGTGTTATCAATCTGCTCACGTTTCTGATCGCTTTTCTCGTATTCGTCCTGCTTGGCAATGGAACAAATATTGTCGTCGTGAAGTGACGGTACGCCCAGAACTTTTGTCTTTTAGGGTTTGCTTACATGACTCTTCATCTCCTTATCTTCTGTTTTTCTCTATGCATGGAATAAACACGTTTCTATCCAACGTCACAACTTCAGGTGTACGAAAAGGTTTGTTTCCCGCTGAAGTTCATTTGTCTGGATAATTTCCTTCCCATGGCATGTTTGTCTTAACAATAGTGCTGACGTGACATAAACAGGGTGCTGAAGTTGTGAGAATGTATAAAACCTTACTCGAAAGCTCAGGGTTTCGGAAGGTATATGACCTTTTCATTTTCGTTCTCATCTCACGTTGCTGAGGTTCCTTTTCGTCAAAAAGTTTTTATCTTCTAACTCTTTAACGGTTTATCTTCTTCTTGGACAAACGAATATGTTGGACCTCAATGATAGCTTGTACGGTTTATGATACCAGGATCAATGAACACATTTACTTATTTCAGGGAATGGATCTCTACTTTAAGAGACATGATGGACAAGCTGTGACATGTGAAGATTTTTTTGCTGCCATGCGGGATGCTAATGATGCAGATCTTTCTAATTTTTTGTTATGGTATTTTTTCTTCCCTTTTATTTCCCTATTAGTGGTGTCTGGGGAGAGGCACTTGACCATGTAGATAATTGTTCATAATGGATAGGTACTCTCAGGCTGGAACCCCTAATGTGAAAGTTGTGTCATCCTACAACAGTGAAGCAATGACGTTTTCTTTGAAATTCAGGTAAAACCTCATATTCCAATATGCATGTTATTTCTTTGACCTTTTTGTCTCAAATTGATGCATGCTTTCACAATGCTCATGAAATTTGAAACTCTGTATTACATAAATGTTTGATGTTTAGTACACAAAGGGGAATTGTTATTTGAAACATTCGAAGATAAAGCAATCAGGGTGGTAGAGAAGCCAAATAAGGCAATTATCTGTATCCCTTATTGTAGAAAGAATTCATTAACTTCAGAAACGGTAAGCAACATTTGAAGGACAGAAAGGAATTAATCCTATGAGATTGGATTATCTTAAGAGCTGTGCCAATTGGTGTAACTTTTATCCACCAATCATTGCTTCAACAGTGAAATTTTTACGTGTAATTTTTTTTTCACGTTCTCTAAAAAGTTTTTTTGTGAAGCAATTTAGTAATGTAGTTAAAAGCTCCATTACTGCACGCTGCGATGCTGTTTATGTCCTAACATAACTTTATAATTAATGTTACCCGTGTCCTAGTAATATGTGGCAGAATTTAGATAAGACGAATTTTTTAATGATTCCATTTTTAGTTTTAAACCTCTTGTCGGATTTAGATTTTGATGCGAATAATATCTTAGACGACGTTGGTGAGATGAAAAAGGAAAAGTAGTCATTGATGCGGAGCAAGTAATGCTTTGAGATGTGAAAAGTTGCCATTGTCTGTTAAAATGAAAACTTTTTTGGGTGTCGGTGGTGTTGACAAAAAAAAGGACGTTTCAGATATGTAAGAATCCTATTATTCAGTGTCTGCTTAGTCAGCACAATTGTAAAGCTGTTGTCAGTGTGAATAGCTGTGCCTACTGCATGATAATTGTCAAATTGAATGCCTTGTTACCAAAAAGGCCCTCAGTGCCCACAGCTTGCCCGCAGACTCTTGCAATCAGTAAATTCAATGGTATGCAGAGGTTAATTAAAATGAGAAGGTTTGTAGGCTATCATATTGGAGCATAATCTGTTATTGGGTCTGGTTAATTGATTATTTGAAAGGTTCTGGTGACTTGACTTTTTCTCTCAAGTTGCTGTTTAAAAATCACTTGGATATTTTAAGAAAAGTTTGCGTATCCTCAGACCTTACATCATAACGAAGGTAAAAAATCACTACCTCAAGAATGCTGTGACCACCTCTGCGCTAAGATAGCCAGAGGGTTTAGGGGTATGCTGCCAGCTTCCCACGAAATTCCTCTCGTTTTATTGAACATGGCGTGATGAATCTGCAACAGGTCCTTAAAAAATGTTCTTTATTATTCCTTTTATCCGTATGTCTTGACAATGGAAACATAGTCAGCATTCAACTTTAGCGAACTTTTTTCTTAAAAATCATCTGCGTTGTGTCATTTGTTATGGAGTTTTGCAGTGATATTATATGAAACGAAGCGATGAAGTTTTAAATTTTTTATCCTCAGTCAAGGAGTTCCAGCAACCCCTGGCCAGCACGTGAAAGAACCAATGTTTATACCTGTGGCAGTCGGCCTACTCACCTCAAGCGGAGAGGACATTCCTATCACCTCTGTGTATCATGATGGAACCCTGGAGACGGTCATGGAGAATGGTCAGCCAGTTTTTACGACAATTCTTAAAGTTAATAAGGTATCTTCCGCCGCTTTTTGGAGCATTATTACGTAAACTTACATTCAAAAAATAATTCGGATGTTCCAGTTAACGTTCAAATCAAATAGTATGAAGGTACCTATTATAGGTGGAGATGATTCCCACTTCACTGTGGGATGATCAGTATGTTGGTTTTTTTTCTGTGTGCCTATTACAATATTTCCAAAGAATGTAGAATGTCTGACACTGAAATCTACATGTTGATTCGATAAATATGTCTCAAACGCTTGTGTGTGCTCCAATGACATTCATTTCTCTGATTTCCTCATCCTGTTGATTGGATTTTGTGCCCCATATATCATCTTTTTCTATTTCGGGGTTTATTATGGGTACCAGGAACATGGGATTCATATAATTCAACGTAGCCCTGGATGATTGACTACAATCTGAATTTATAATCCCATATCCTCCCCAACGCTCATAATTTTTGTTCTAATGCTTACCTTTACTTTTGATATTAACTTTTCCTTTTACTTGAGCAGAAGGAAGATGAATTTGTCTTTGCGAACATTGCCGAGAGGCCAATTCCTTCTTTGCTGCGTGGCTTTAGTGCTCCTATCCGTCTCGATTCTGATCTCACTGATGAGGACTTATTTTCCCTGCTTGCACATGATTCGGATGGGTTCAATCGGTATGCAACTGAATAATAACACTCTATGTGCTCTCTTCTTCTGTAAACCATGGTATAAAATTAACACTCTATGTTGTTTCAGCTGGGAGGCGGGCCAGATACTCTCGAGGAAGCTCATGCTCAGCCTGGTGGCTGATTTTCAGCAGAGTAATCCCCTGGTTTTGAACCCTAAGTTTGTGGAGGGGCTCAGAACAATCATACGCGACCCCAGCTTGGATAAAGTAATGGTTTGACTGAGTTGCTCTGTTTCCGGTACTTTGATGTACATGCCATGATTTGATGGTCTGTCACGATTGTATTCCTGATTTAGGAATTCATCGCAAAAGCTGTCACCTTGCCGGGTGAGGGGGAGATCATGGACTTGATGGAGGTTGCTGATCCAGATGCCGTCCATGCAGTCCGGAGTTTCATCAGAAAAGAGCTCGCTCTTCAACTGAAAGAAGAGTTCCTCTCAACTGTGAGGCACTTTCAAAATCATAGCTTTTTTGGGCAATTACTGAAATAATACTTGGAGCATATCGATCTAAATCCTCTAGATCATGCAACTGATAGCTGTTCACTCCTCTGATTAGTTCCTTGTTGGCTGTTCATTAAAATAACCCAGCAGACAATTTTCATTTCGCCAGGGATTTTTATTTTATTTTTTACAGTTGTTTTGTGTTTATCTGTTCTTCCTCTTAGATCAATGTTCTTGCAGCTAGCTGGGTGGGAATTTTTTTTCTATTTACTGCAACAGGGGTGCTCAGCATCTTTCCTCACAGGTCATAAACAATAGAAGCTCAGAACCTTACACATTCGACCACGAGAATCTGGCAAGGCGTGCGTTGAAGAATGTTGCTCTTGGTATGCCCATTTGCAGAGCTTACTCCAGATCACCGTCCCAACCATCGTCATCATATTTGACTGTTTTCTGATCCCACGTTCATCGTCCTGCAGCTTATCTTGCTTCCTTGGGGGACGAGGAGTTGACTAACCTCGCATTGGACGAGTACAAGTCTGCGACTAACATGACCGATCAGGTTGCTGCTCTGGCTGCCATAGCTCAGAACCCAGGCCTGGCACGAGAGGAGGTCTTGTTGGATTTCTACCAAAAGTGGTCGGATGACTTCTTGGTGGGCCCCAAACTCTTAGATGAACGCAGGAAATGGCCTTTTATGCCGTTGACATTTCTTAATTTGGTCAATGTTCTTTTTTGTCAGGTCGTGAATAAATGGCTCTCTCTCCAAGCCATGTCGGACATTCCTGGGAACGTTGCGAATGTCCAGAATCTGTTGAAGCATCCTTCGTTTGACCTCCGCAATCCTAATAAGGTAGGCGGCATATTTATCCATATATGAATAAATAATAAGTGATGATCAATAAGCATAGAAATGATAATACTTCTATTTCTCTGGTAGAACAGATCATCCTTGCATAAAAGGCATCGTTCTTCCCGTCGTTGACCTTACTTCTCTTCATTTCTATCTCAGGTCTACGCTCTCGTCGGAGGATTCTGTGCGTCCCCGGTGAATTTCCACGCCAAGGACGGGTCGGGATACAAGTTCTTGGGGGATATCGTCCTGCAGTTGGATAAGCTCAACCCTCAGGTGATTTATGTCACCTCACCGAACTCGTTGACTTAATATCTATCTATTGACCCTCGGCTTCTGAAATCCTTGCCCCCTTTGACTTCAGGTTGCCTCCCGCATGGTCTCCGCCTTCTCTAGGTGGAGGCGCTTCGATGATTACAGACAGGCCCTGGCAAAAGTATTCTCCTCCTCCATGACGTTGACCATTCCAGAAATGGAATGAAGTCAAACCCCTCCCCCCCCCCCCCCCCTCCGTTTTACAGAAAACATTGTCTAATTTTTTTTTCCTTGACTGTAGGAACAACTGGAGAAGATTCTGGCGGCTAATGGGCTCTCCGAGAATGTATATGAGATCGCCTCCAAGAGCTTGGCGGCGTAATCTGCGATCAAGAACCCCGCCCAAGTGTACGTTGACTTCGAAATGGTCTCATTTTTCGCCGGATTTCGATGTAAACGGGACCATACCTTTTTTTAGTATAATAAGCCCGGAAGAGGAGAGCCCTTGCCGAGCCGATCTTCCCTCCCTTTCCGGCGCCCTCTGAAAGTGGCGTGCCAGAAACCCTAGAACTTGCATTTTGGAATGATAGTTTTAGATTGCGTTACTTGAGATCTTGGGTTGACTTCGGAGCGCATGATGGTGCGAAATTGGTCAATCTTGGCCCACCCAAAGGACCTGTTGCTGTTCCATTTTCTGCTTTGGATGCATTAAATTAACCCAGGATATTCAATCATCCGACTACATACGATGCATATTATGTTATAGCATTTTTACTTATTTAATAAATCTGATACCTTTGACTTGCCAACTTGTCAATCTGATGCTAGGCCTGGAACTCTCTCTCTCTCGACTTTCTAAAAAAAGTCACCTTTGACTACTAACTACCCTTGACTTTCTAAAAAGTCAAGTTTGACTTATAACGCAACCAATGGAAATTGACACAAATCAGGAGAATCTGGAGGTGTTGCAGCTTCTGGACTCGCTTTCCTTCCTCTATTAAAGGCCGCCTTGTCTTCTAAACCATAACAAGAAGTGACTGTGCGGGGAGCAGCACGAGGAAAGAGCTCGATATGGGGCACTGGACCCTCTCCCCTCTACGTCTTTTCCTCCTTGTTCTCCTCCTCTTGCTGTCCGTTCATGTCTCGGAGGGGAAGAGGGTGAGCGTACCAGACGATCTCGACGACGTTGTCGACGAGGAGGAGGACGAGGCCTGGAAGGAATGGGGGCGGAAGAAGCACACGGACGAACAGTCGCAGCCCCCGCCACCCGACCTGTCGAAGATGGACATCTCGGAGATCCAGGCCGAGATGATGAAGCGGCACGTCGGGCCGTCGTTCGGCTTCGTCAAGCTCCGCCCCGGTGCCCCCCGCTCCCGGGTACATTTCTCTCTGCTCTACACTCTAAACGTTCATGCGGACCGATCGTCCGGAATTTAGGCATTTCCTGCGCTAGGGTTACTAATAGGGTTTGTGATCTCTTCCGCCCCTTCCATTTTCCGAGGATTGCCGTGGAATATGATGCATTGTGATTTTGGTCCGGTTGACGTGATGATTCTTCGTGTTCTTGCGGAAACCTCCTGGATCCTGTATTCGCGAGGGGAGCAATAGTAATTTCTCCCTGAGATGCGTAAATACTTGGTTTCTTGCTCCCATGACAGGTAACTCGGGAGCTTCAGCAATCCTTCGATAGCTAATCGGAATATCCTTTTCCATTCGTGGAAAATTCCCCGAATCCAGACATTTCATCTTCTGTAAATCGTCGTTATAATAATTTATTAGCGTATATTTTGACCTGTTTTAGCTTTCCTGTTCTACATTTTTCATTGTGCGATTCCCTTTTTTGCTGTTGGGTTTTCATTTATGCGAATATTCTCCACTTTTTCATAAGAACACACCCACCCTTTAATTTACATGAGATACTTGAATCTTCTGACCTCTTCAGGAATGCGGATCTTCGGTGCCCTTGTTTTTTAAATGTTGTTAAGACAGTCACCAACCTGATATTTTTATTTCTCCTAGATGGGTTTTTTCTTCATTATTTCCATGATTAGCTCTGAAATCTCCACCCGAATGATCTTGATGCCCGAAAGTGTTTCAGGATGATGTGCCTGAGATCGCCATGAGATGGACCAAGGTTCTTCGAACAGGATCCATTGAGGCGAAATTCACAGCAGTGGACATCAACACAATCATGTTTACCTTGGAGAAGGGGCAGGACACGCAGGAGGTATGCCCATGATTTTTCGAAAGATCACCATAAAACGATCAAGTTCTTAATTATTCCACAATCTGCCGCTTGTCTTCGCCATTGATTTCTTCTTGGAAGAATCTGACCGAGTTTCTCCTATCTCTGCGTCATTCTCTCTTTCCCTTCATATCCACAAAACATAGAAAAGAAATTGTATACCAAGCTTCAGGCGAAATAAACCTCATTAGTAGTATGCTAAATTTCATCACCTGGTACATCGCAGAGGCCTGCTGTTCTGAGATTGTCCCACAATCGGAGTAACTCTGCTTGATTCATGGTGTTCTTGCGAAACCCATCATATCTCCTTCTCTACCCGTTGCTCTGAGATCGTCCCACAATCGGAGTAGCTGTGCTTGACTCATGGTGTTCATGGGAATGACTTGGGTTTTAGATATCATCATATCTTCTGACGCTTTCTCATGTCCTTCTCCACCGTGTGTACCAGTTGAAAGATTTCATCTTGAGCCAGCCGGAGGCTTATGAGATGAAGATCGGCGAGCAGAAGTTCAGAAGGTCCGGTGACCCTCCCCTCGAAGAGGTCGTCGAGAGGGTCCGCCGAGCGGCCGGCGGAGGAGGTGTTGACCCCGACACGGCGGCGGCGGAGGAGCGTCGTTACAGTAAAGAAGAGCTGTAGACCTTGGAGAATTCTCATGTCGGAACTCTGCGTAAGCAACTCCGGCGGCGCCGATGGAGCGCCGCCATGGCGGAGCGGACTCGTACGGCTGATATTATTCGTTGGGTAGCTCCAATTCCTCTGCTTCCATGTCTCAGGGTAAGAAGGCGAAGCCACCTCTCCACCCTACCCATGGTCGTCTTCTTCTTCTTCTTCTCTGTCTCTCTGTGTCTCTCTCCCTCTAGCTCGGAAACTTAGTTGGTATTTTTGGATCCGTAATCAAATACATTGTGGGTCCGAGTTCGGATTCCTGGTTTCTCGGAGAACCGTTAAAAGGCGGCAAAAAAATAGACTAGACTGTGGGCTCGGTCGGAAGGTGGCGCACGGCGAGCAGATCTCGTCATCGGCCGCTTTCGGCGCAGAGCTCCGGCGGGCGGGGTGGTCGGAGCGCTTCGGGATCTCTGCCAACCTCTGGTTTTCGGTCGATTGTTTCTGGGTACGTTTGGTGGAGACGATCCCCTTCTCTTACTCTTCCTCGCTTCGCCTTCTCTGCTCGGAAATCCTAAGAGCTGCTGAGTTGGGTCGTCGGTGGGATTGCTAGATGCTGTGTTCTTCCGCGACGTCGTCTTGCCGTGGTTTGTTTCTTAGCCGGTCTAGGGTTTCGAGTTTTCCCTTTGGCGTTGGTTTGTTCGGAGAGATGAGAGGGAGGGATTACTCACTCTCTTGGAAGGTTACCTCGGGTGAACTTCCCCGGAAATTAGGGTTCGAATCATGGCGTTCCTCAGATCGACTGCTGGGAATCGCCTCAAGGTTGTTCTACGTTTCTTGGTGACCACCATGCTGATTACGACGCGATCGAAATCGTCTGGGATCAAGCGAGAAGCGAGATGGGATCTTCTGGCGGAGAAGATGAAATTAATTGGGGCCGAGGAAGATGAAATTCTGAATCATCGGCAGTTCGGACATCCTGAAGACGCAGTAAACGACCAAGATCGGACCTCCACGAAGGTTCTCACGGAAGCAGAGGATCTGTCCACAGATGATGAACATCAGGTTTTTGATCCCCACAGCCTTTCGTCGTTCGATCTACAGAGAAGGTTGCAGTAATTTTGTGATAAAAGTCGGGTCGAGAGATATTCTTCCTCTCCTGGTAGCGACAGCGATGAGTAAAGTTGGGCTAATCTCCGCCGTTCGACTGAGTCGGTGCTGGAGAAGCTACCGCCCCCCACCGCCATGATTTGACGGGGACAGCCCGTTCGTACTGGTAGCTTCAATATCGTACAACGGCCGCTCTTTTCTCGGCTCTCAGATGACTTGGGTTGCACGTCTCATTCTCTCCCCTGGCGTTCCGGGGAGGTCCTCCCCTTTCTAGGAAGATATGCATCGACGCATGATGCATCTTTAACCTTTTGTCGATTGAATCTGACAACAGGGTCTGCCCGGTTCTTCCGATTTTGCGCCAATCTACGGGATTTCGAGATTTTCGGTTTATGATCCTGTCGCCCTCAAGAACAGGATGGTTTCGTTGAACAGACTGATGTTTGATGGCTCTGCTTGCTCTTGCGGTGGATGATTTTACCATTCATGTCTCGCTTCCGTGGGCTTTCTACTGTGATCATGATGTGCAGTAATCGTGATGAAGTTACTGCACATCATGGGTATGCACATTTTCTTCCGAAGATCCACTTTTTTCTGATAATTGTTAAAGAAGGCCTAGTTATTTTGACCCCCCATTTGGCATGATCTTCTTATATTATATGTGTTGACAGAAGTTGAGACTTCCTAGTTATCTACTCGTTGTCTGATATTTACAGGGCTTTCCTTCGTTCGTTTCCAGGGGATTTCAGGAGCCTGAGAGATCTCTGTTGCTTTGACAACTAAGAACTTCTCAAGATGTCAGAGAACAGGGAAGGACAGGAAGGAACCTCGGCGCGTGGCGCTGACTGGGAGGTTGTCTCTCTCACGGCTTCTGCATATGCTGCCGCCCCAGGTCCCGACCTGGAGGGAGCCGACCCAGCTAATAGCAACGAGGCTTTCAAGAGGAACGAGGAGCAACCTTCTCAGGCGATGATCATGTCTGGGCATTTCGTGTTCCCACCCAGTGAGCACGAGAATTTGCCTCTGGAACCTGATAATGTGGAAATTCTCACAGAATCCTTTGTGCAAGGTGCAGATTCCGTTTTGATTGAGGAAGAAGCTGGGAAAAGCCAGAAAGAAATCCTTACTCTTGAGAGTCTGATGATATCTAAAGCTGATGATCCTCATGGTGTTCAAGTCCTCGGCGAGGGTAAGAGCGTTGCTGTCGGTGGCGTTGACTTTGAAGAGGGTGCTGTGAGTTTGCAGGGTGTGGATTTGGTTGAGGAGAGGCGCAGCATCTACGGGGTGTCTGGTTTTGGTTCTTTCCACTCTGAAACCCATGCAGGTGGATCCGTTCCCAAAGATGAGGGCTCTGGGATGGCAGATTCTGATGATTCCTCTGACCAGGGTTCCAAGTCGCCTCCAAAGTCAATCAAAAAGTCAGACCATAAAGGGTTTGGGCACCCCTGTGAAGCCTGGTGGAAGCGGCAGGTTGCTTCACTCTGTGCTCATGCAAAGGAGGCGAGCACATTCTGGTCCCTCTGTGTAGCTGCTGCTGTCATGGGGCTGGTAATCTTGGGGCAGCAATGGCAGCAGGAAAGGTGGCAGGTTCGCCATCTCAAGTCTCAATTGGGCACCAGCGATGAGGTATGATGGATTCTTCCTCCCTCTGTTGTTCTTCTTTTCTTCACTGTAATCTGTGGCTTCCTACTGTAGATTATTGCCGAAGTAGTTTATTTATTTATTTTCGTGGTGGGTAGAGCTTTTTTTTTTTCTTTTTTTGGGTATAAATGGGAGGCCTTTGACCACTGATAATAAGCTGCTTAATGTGGTAAGATTTCAATGAGATGTCTGTTCTAGATTTATGCATCCATTCATCTGTCGCCCTCCTGTTCCATGGACTCACGGCGCTAGAAGATTTGTGTCTGCAGAGGATGAGCTGGCTGCTGGGCCGCGCCAGCCATCTCAAGGATTCCATCATTGGCGGCCACAGATGCGCACCAGTCATCCACGGTGCTTCATCGGCCGATCGCTGAGGCGCCCACAGAGGCAGCAACGATGATGACGAATGAAGGTGATTGGGAGAAGAAGGGTCCTTGCTGTGATGAACCTAATAGATAAGGTGAGGCCCTCCTGTGATGTGATGGAAGAGAAACCCCCCCCTCTCCCCCCCCTATGTGTATGCTTGGGCGTGGAACAGTGCATCATTCGAAATCTATGTGTATATATATATATATATATATATGCTTGCGTTATTGATGTCATCTAATGTAGATTCTAGTCCCGTTTCCTACTGCTTTCTGGCTTTGCCTCTTGCCTCGGCAGAGAGCTTTGGTGGAGAGAGAGTGAAAGAGAGAGAGAGAGAGAGAGAGAGAGAGAGGGAGACAGCAAGAGGGAGTGGGTGTTTTCATTTAGTAAAAGTCGTATATATGAACCAATATTATGGTCTCTAGTAGTCAATGATATAAGATGTAATGGGAATAATATTACAGCAAGAAAGAGTAAATAAATAGTCAATAATATAAGATATTATGGCATCCGGGGTATAAATATTATTTAATTTTTTTACATGGCTGAATTGGGTATCGAGGGAAGGGGAGAAACGCCTGCCAAGGAGAGTTGGGTTAGAGAGAAAGTCTTTTGTTCATGAAATGAGAACCCATCTTCTGTATCGGATCCTAGTTTCTCTCTAATGGGCTGTATTTTTAGGCCCAATAAGACAACCCGGGCATCAGACTTCCTCTTCCCATTAATATCTAAATAATATTAAAAATAAGATTCGGATTATTTTCCCTTCTCAATCGGTCACTACCGTTTTATCTTAAATCCGATAAACACCCATTTTTTTACAGCCATTTAGCGTCTTAAACGGATCTTTAATTGCATATCCGACCGATATCCGATTGTTCGGATTTGTTTATCGGGTCTCAGATCGGATACTGCGTTTTCTCAGAACGGTAAGACCTGCAATCGAAGCGTGAGTCACCATCCTCCTCGCCCGAGGATCAAAACCCCTAGAAAGCTGCAGACGTCGAACGAATCTCGTCGTCGGCCGCTATCCACGTATCTCCGAAGGGACATGGCTGGAGCACCAAGGGCGCTTTGCAGATCGCTGCTTCTCGCCGGCTACTGGGTACGTCTGTGGGGATGATCCCCTTCTGCCCTTTCCCTTCCCCGCTCGCTCCCCCCCTTCTCTGCTGATAGTGGAAGTGTTGCTGAGTTAGGTCGTTGGTGCGATTGTTAGATGCTGTGCTCTCCGGGGACGTCGTGCTTCATAGAGTGATTTTTTCGGCGACGTAGGTTTTCTAATTCCCCTTTGGAGTTAAGTTTGTTCGGAGAGATAGTAGGGAGGGGCTTCTCACTCGTTAGAGTCTGGGGCGAACTTCTGTGGGAGTTAGGGTTTGATGCCGACGAATGTAGATTGACCGCTGTATATCACCTCACAGTGCGTGTACATCTCTCGCGCTCGCGCCTAACCGGGCGGAGACGCCCATTTGTTATCGTTTGTGAATTTTTATGAGCACACAGTTTTTCTTATTTCCCCCTTTTGTTCATTTTTTACTTCTGCTTGTGGGAACTTTTTGTGGGATGTAGCTCATTCAGGTTCTTTGAATTGTACCAGTTATGGTGATGGATGCCTCAGATCCTAGTCACAGTCGTGTGAAGCGAGACGTGGAGGAAAGTCTGGAGGGAAGGGATTCTAGAGTTGAAGAAGATGAAGAGTGGAATGGCTCTGATAAGAGGAAGCACAGGTCGAGCAACAAATTGAGACAGCATAGCAGCAGCACTGTTGAAGCTGAGGAAAGAGAAACTGGAAAGAGGAAGAGTTCTGGAGAGAGGAATGATGGGAGGAGGAAGTCTGGCGTCTCCAGCCGCGCAGACAGTGGTGACGATGAGGATTATGACGTGAGAAGAGAGTCGCGTTCCAAAGTTCCAAAGAAGAATCAAGAGGACAGGAGTGAGAAGAGGTCTGGTGATGGATACCGAGAAAGAGAATCTGAGAGCAGCCGGAAGGTCAGAGGAGAGGATAATGAGAAGTCTTCTTCAAGGAAAACAAGCGTAAAATCATCTGGGCACGAGAGCGCTCAGAGCAGAAGCAGGACCAAAGCGGATGGGTCACATGAGAGTGAGCTAGAGAAAGTGCAGACAAAAGATTCAAGATATACTGAGAGAAAAGAGAGCCATAGGGACAAAAGTCATAGTTCGCGCGATCAGGAGAAGAGTCATTCCCGTAGAAAATGGGATGAAAATGATTTGGGAAGAAAAGCCGAAGACGGTAGCTATGCTGATAGATCTGATTCAAGGGGTGGAAAGGCTTCTGATCACAATAAGCAAGGGTCTTCCAAGGAAAGAGCGGATTCTAGAAATGATCTTGGAGACGCCAAAAGTGGACTTTTGGACTCGGTTGTTGATAGGAGTGATAGATCAGGTAATGCAGATGAAAGAAGGGTTGATGGAGACAGCAATAAGGGAAGACCCGAGGTCAAGGATGATGAAAGCAGATCAGCACGTGATACTAGGTTTGAGGGAGACGTGAAGGATGAAAAACAAAGGAGAAACCGAGATAGGTCTGTGGAGGATATAGAGCCTAGTTCCCATAGGACCAGCTCTAGATCACAAGGTGAGAAGTCAGATAAGCACAAGCAGCACCGGGACATTCGTGAGAAATCCGTTAATGTTGATGATGATGGGTATGGACGGAGTAGGGATAGAAGTGTTAGGGAGTCTAGGGAAAGGAGGCACAGTAAAAGGTCACACTCTCCTGAAAGAAAACATTACAAGGAGTCAGATGATGCGGACCGAGGGCTGTCTGAGTCAGACAATGAGAAAAACTTAAACACTCGAGACAGAGATGGATACAGGGATTCTCGATCGTCCAAGGGAAAGGATGGATACAGGGATGATAGAAACAGGGATCGTGAGGTTTCTAAAGATCACTGGAGAAGAAGCCATGCAACTAGACAGGACAGAGAAAATAAAGATCGTGATGCTGAGTTAGATTATGACAAGGATTGGGATGGTGATAAATATCATAGTCGATCTACCCATAGAAAAGACAGTCGAGGCAGGAATGAAGCTACTAAAGCATCATCTGGTTTTGGAAATGTGAATGACCATTCTGATACAATAGAGATCAGACCTAATAAGAATCTTGATTTTGGACGAGAGAGCTCTGTTTCAACCCTTCAAGGGAGGAGATCTGAAGGAGGCGTAACATCGGAATTTCCTTCTGGAGTGAGTGACGAAGAATGGGCTTATACAGCTGAGAATAGAAGCAAAGCTTCTTTTGGGCAAGGAGATGATCCACAGGAAAGATACGGAGATGATGGTTCACCCATGGATCAAAACTATAGTAGAAATTCTTTTGACACCCAGGGCTCCAAAGGAAGAGCCCAGAAGAGTATCATGAATTCTAATCGTACAGGTGTTGTCCAGATTGTTGGTAACGGTTCACAACCACCATTTGGAAATAATCAAGGATCAAGTTCTATCAATAGGTCCGTTCAGCAAGGTGCAAAAATGGGAAGGTCCATGAGAGGTGGAAGAGGAAGATTGCCAGGCAGGGATGTCCAACGGGGAGGGATACAGTTGCCCATGTTAGGACCTCCCTTTGGTCATCTTGGATTGCCACCAGGAGCCATGCCACCAATTGGACCAAATATGTCTCCCTCTCCAGGACCACCAATTGGGCATGGCGTATTTCTTCCAGGATTTCCTCCTGTTGTTTGGCAAGGAGGGCGTGGGATTGATATGAATATGCTAGGTGTTCCTCCTGCACTTTCTCCTCTTCCTACTGGACCTTCTGGGCCCAGGTTTCCACCTGGTATGGCAGCTGGGCCTAACCATGGTATGTACTTTAATCAACCTGGACCTGGCAGAGGAGTTCCCCTGAATACGCCAAATCCTGAATTCACTGCCATTGGACCAGTGAGTCGTGGGATGCCACATGATAAAGCGCCTGGTGGATGGACCCCATCAAGAATGAGTGGACCACCTGGCAAGGCCCCTTCAAGAGGAGAGCAAAATGACTACTCTCAAAATTTTGTTGATACTGGTATGAGACCCCAGAATTTCATCAGAGAGCTGGAGCTCACAAGTGTTGTGGAGGATTATCCTAAGCTCAGGGAGCTGATTCAGAAAAAAGATGAAATAGTAGCAAAATCTGCTACTCCACCAATGTATTATAAATGTGACCTCCGTGAGTTTGCACTAAGCCCCGAGTTCTTTGGCACCAAGTTTGATGTGATTCTTGTGGATCCTCCCTGGGAGGAATATGTTCATCGAGCACCAGGTGTTGCTGATCATATGGAATCTTGGACGTTTGAAGAGATCCAAAACCTTAAGATCGAGGTAACTATCCTTATCTTCAGATGTCCCACTTTTTTTATACGGTTTCTGTTTAGATTATAACTACGTTATCTGTGTTCACATCCTCAGGCTATCGCTGACACTCCCTCATTTATCTTCCTCTGGGTTGGGGATGGTGTGGGCCTTGAGCAAGGTCGTCAGTGCCTAAAGAAGGTAGCCAGCTATGGAATTTACTCTTTTACTTTTAAAGTTTCCTTTAATCAGGTTCCTGTTGTTGTGTTTTATACTGACTTTTATTTTTCTTCTCTTACTGTTTGGTTACTTGAATCTGGTAAATACATAGTGGGGCTTTAGGAGGTGCGAAGACATCTGTTGGGTGAAGACCAATAAGACAAATGCTGCTCCATCTTTACGTCATGACTCCCACACATTGTTTCAGCATTCTAAGGTTAGTGAATGGACCCATTGGTTCCGTTACCTCAGTGCATAGTTGTTTTGGTAGTCAGCGTCCTGTCATCTATTCCTCCACTTTCTGGCTGTCCTTTTCTTCAGCTCGTCATCTTTTCCCTTATTTTTTTGGTTAGGAACATTGCCTGATGGGCATAAAAGGAACTGTTCGCCGCAGCACCGATGGTCATATTATCCATGCTAATATTGACACGGATGTTATTATTGCCGAAGAACCTCCTTATGGTTAGTACCATGTTACCCAAAAAAATCAGTCTATAATTCGGTTTTTTTCCTCTGATATTACCTGTTGGGGCATAAAAGGAGGAGCTCCAATTGTATTGAGAGCGTAAGATGGGAAGTACTGCTGATTGATGGTGGTGATGATGATGATTCTAATGATAATCTCATGGCGGCCTTTCACTGCACTAGTTATATTTATGGTTGAAATTTCAAGCCAAGCATTGTTCATATGGTTGCATTTGGATTATGAAATCTAGTCTAGACTTGCTCCTTTTTCCTTTATGGCTAGAAATATAAGATTTTAATTAACATTCTTTTTTAATCTGGGATTACTTAATGGAGATTCTCTGCTGAGATTAGGAGTTCATTTGATCTCTTAATGACCCTGCAATTAAATATTCATCTTACAGTAATCTCACAGTCCAGTCGAAGTGCTAAAACATAGAGCCCATTGATCCCCTAATCTCACTGTAGATTTTGATAGTAAGTTATTTTCGCCTTGTGCACAACCTTTTGACCCATCTCCCTCCATTACATAAAGCCGAAAATAATCAAATCTGAATTCTGATTCCGTCCCATGATTACCATCCGGATATTGCTTTCAATTTAGGACGGTGGGGCCATATTTGATGACTCCATTACCAGACGGTTGATCTTCTGGGTATTGCTCTGTTTTTGGCTTCCAGTTCAAGAAGATCCTCGCTCTTATACACAGCTTAATTTTCCCAAACACCCTGTGCGCAACACTTACGGTCAATGTGGCCACCCCAGGTTCAACCACGAAGCCAGAAGATCTGTATCGAATCGTGGAGCACTTTTCTTTGGGCCGGAGGAGAGTCGAGCTCTTCGGCGAGGACCACAACATCCGCTCAGGCTGGCTCACCCTCGGCAAAGAGCTATCCTCTTCAAATTTCAACAAGGAGGTAGAATGATCTGCTGTTTTCCCCTCCATTAATGGGCAATTCCTGCCCAGTTTGGAACTGTGACAAGTGTCGTTCTCTCAGGCATACTGCAAGAACTTCGCCGACAAGGACGGGAAGGTCTGGCAGGGCGGCGGCGGGCGGAACCCGCCGCTGGACGCTCCCCACCTCGTCGTCACAACCCCAGATATCGAAAGCTTGAGGCCCAAATCGCCGCCACAGAAGAACCAGCAACAGCAGTCCACATCTCTCTCCACCACCGCCAGCTCGAGCAAGAGGACGACCGGAAATTCTCCCCAGAACCCGTCGGGCTCCTCTGTGCACATTCTGAACCAGGACCCCTCCGCCCCCAGCCCTCTTGCTCCGCCGGCATGGACTCCCCCCATGGGGAGCTTCAAGGCGGCGGCGGCGGCGGTGGTGGTGCCCACAGAGGCAGCTAGCACAGTCGGTGGCGGCGCCGCCGATGAGAAGTTTTTTGATGGGTACCCCCCCACTTTCACAGCGCCTTCTCTACAACCAGCCGGAGATGCTCTTGAGTTTGACCCACAGGCCCCCCTCAATTTGTAGAGTGAAGATCAGAGGCGGCAGCTCCTTCTGTTGCCACCTCTCTAATCCCCATTCTATTTATGGTAATGGAAGGAGATGCCATGCGCTCTTCGTCCTCCCCCCTCCCTTGTATGGTCTTCTTCTTCCCCGTCTCTCTCTGTATCAAGTGCAGCTCTAATCTTATTCGGAAATTAGATTAGGGGCCTATTAATCATCTGTTGTGATCATGACCGTTGACCAGAGTCTTCATCGCTTGAATGGAGCTTTGGCAGTGACTCACAGGGGACTGGAAAGCTAAATGATATGGAGCTGATGGCACCCCACATAGATGGGCAAGATCTCCAACATAGCTGGAGAACCAGTGAAACCCGGTGGGTAAGATTGATAAAACCCATAGATTACCACAAGTAGACGTCTCACCTCAAAAAAATAAAATACAAGCATGAATTAAACATGCAAATGTCCACAAATGTAGATAATAATACTGCAAATAGTAGGTTATACAAGGAAAAATATTTCAGTGAAGTCTGGTGGAAGTCAAATGGGTTTTGTTCTGATTGATGGATCAACGTTGTTGTTATGACTATTCATCTAAGAGTATGTTCCATGACTTGAGTGAAGTAGGAAGGCTTGATCTTCCATAAGTTATTGACTTGTAGACTCTTTCCCATTTTTGATGTTGACAAATATACCAAAAAGGTAACTAGTCATTTTGCAATTCAAAAATCATGTTGACTATTTTAGGAAAATATGAAGAATTTCTTTATATTCATCGACTCTGAAGTCAACCCACTTTGTAAGCAAGTTTTTATATTAGTTGTAAAGACAATTTGGAAGAATATAATTGTAATTACCCATTGAAGAGATTATATTTTAACTCATCACAAATCATTTGATTGTTTGGGTTGTACTGCATTTCAAACTCCTTGTAATAAATGGGTTGACTCACTCATATACCACCATGAGATTGAATAAACTCACCTTATGAAGAAGGCTTAACAATATCAATGAACAAGGAGGGGATTAGACTCATATTGAAGAAAAAAGACTCAAAATTAATTATGAAAAAAAATTCAATCAAGGAAGTGAGTAGATTCAATTAGCAAGGATGTCTAAACATTCTGACAAGAATGCAGGTAATAATTTTAAATTATGAAAATATTTGAATATTTATGTGATCCTTAAACATGTTGACAATACTCCATTGAAAGATCTTTGTTTGTAGCTTTAGGGGTTATTATTGGTAATATCTATTTTAAAAGCTTTTATTGATGAAAGTGAGTAGTCTCATAAAAAAGTCAATCGGAGGTGGATCACTACAACATAATTACATGTAAGTCCTAAAACTTAATAGAAAAATAATCTTATATAAGGGTTAAGCTCCCCAATGTTTGGAGAAAAGAATCAGCTCTCTTGGAACAAAAAATTCATCTTATTTCTTAATCTTTCAAGCGGGTCATGGAAAAATAGGTAGAATTTCATTGATGAAAAATAAATCTGAGTATGGTGTCAGAAGCAAGAGCATAGATTATAAGTTTTCTTAAAAATTACTAAATATATATCTTTTGGTTAGTGCAATGTATAATAATAAAAAGTTGATGATTAGAGTTACCAGAAAATTAAAAAAAAATGATAAACATTCATCATTTTACCCAAAATTGATACATGTAAGAAACAAAGTCGGTGAGATTATTTAGGTTAATCGAGGAGATGATTCAATTGTTATATGAGAAATTCGAGTTCATATGAGGACTAATTTTGAGTCCCTAAAGCCTAAAGCCACTTAAATTAGTTAGACGCTCAGCGAAGGTGGATGAGCTATCCATTGATGCAGAAGTAGGGAGATAAGAGCGGTGGTTGGTGGATAGGGGCTTTGATCCCATGAAGTAATATTTATCAAGATGCGATCTTTCGAGCACATGGGTCCATATTCTCTCTCTCTCTTGAGAGAGAGAGAGAGAGAGAGAGAAGAGAGAGATGCCTGTAACGTGGGGTCATGCAGGTGAGACGAGTAAAACATGGAGCTGATGCGCGATCTCCTGCTCTGAGAGAGGTAGGTACAGTCCATCCATGATGGCGGGATCGGTATTCTGGTTTCAGATGGAAGTGAAAATATTCGTACCTGCTAGGTTTCCCCTTATCTGACAGAGTATAGAACAGTTATTGTGCTGGTCTCCGGAAATTTTGTCTCGCGATCGTTATCCCGAATATCCTCGTGATTACGAGCGGTGTTCTTGGTTGTGAGTATCTCGAAAATTCGGATTGTCCACGTTTTCACAGGTCTGAATTTGCAGGAATCTGTCGAATTGGGATGCCGTAGGAGCTTCTCTTCAGTTCTTCCTCTTCTGCCATATCTGGAGCTGTCCTCAGCCTTCCAAAACAATCGGCAGAATGGCAATGGCCCCTACTGTACAGGTGGTCTTAGGGTCAGTCGCTTTTGTTACTTTCTGGATTCTGGCAGTGTTCCCTGCCGTCCCTTTTCTACCCATTGGAAGGACTGCGGGATCTCTTCTAGGAGCTGTGCTGATGGTCGTCTTCCAAGTGATAACTCCAGACCAAGCTTACGCAGCGATTGACCTTCCAATCCTTGGTCTCCTCTTCGGAACCATGGTGGTCAGCGGCTATCTTGAAAGGGCCGACATGTTCAAGTATCTGGGGAAGCTGCTCTCATGGAAAAGCAGAGGTGGCAAGGATCTGCTCTGCCGAGTCTGCGTCGTCTCCGCCATTTCAAGCGCCCTGTTCACCAACGACACCTCCTGCGTCGTGCTCACAGAGTTCATACTGAAAATCGCGAAGCAGAACAACTTGCCTCCCCGGATATTCCTCCTAGCTCTTGCTTCCAGTGCGAACATTGGATCTTCGGCAACTCCAATCGGTAATCCGCAGAACTTGGTGATTGCCATCCAGGGTAAGATCTCCTTCGGCGAGTTCTTGCTTGGGATCCTTCCTGCAATGACTGTGGGGATCCTTGTGAATGCCGCCATCCTGTTGTGCTACTTTTGGAGAGTGTTATCCAGTGAGAAGAGCGAAGAGGTGGAAGCAGCTGCTACAGACATTGTAGCGGAAGATGATGTAACTTCTCACAGATTTTCACCAGCCACAATGTCACATCCCTCTTCCACGAATTCTCCAGACCAGAGTCCAGAGATCGACGGCGTCGTCCAAGTCTCACCATTGAATGTGGATTCTGCGCGTATGGAGACTCTCAGAAATAGAATAATCATCAGTGAGAGCGCATCTTCAGCTGTCAGTGTGGACTCTGCGAGGAATGTGGTAAATATAGTAAGGGCGGGCAGTTCCAGAGAGGAGATCATCTTTCCCTCTCTTGATGTGAAAGAAAGCTCTATTGACAGGTGGAAGAGGTTGCTGTGGAAGGCCTGTGTTTATCTTGTGACTCTTGGGATGCTAATTTCCCTGCTACTGGGGCTCAACATGTCATGGACCGCCATTACTGCTGCTCTTGCACTTGTGGTGCTTGATTTCAAGGACGCCCGCCCTTGCCTAGAGAAGGTTATACTCCTTCTGTCATCACTTTGTGGGCAAAGTCATGCTGTGTCTATTGATTCTTCACTCTGTTTTATGAACCCGAGAGAGTTTCATTTCCCTGTGTTTTATGGGCCAGGTTTCCTACTCGCTGCTGATATTCTTCTGTGGCATGTTCATAACCGTTGATGGGTTCAACAAGACTGGAATACCTAGTGCTTTATGGGATTTCATGGAGCCATATGCGCAGATTGATCGAGCTAGTGGCGTTGTATTGCTTGCCCTGGTGATAATTGTCCTCTCAAATATTGCATCCAATGTGCCCACCGGTGAGTTTTCCTCGCCTGTCATTCATGCCAGCTTTCATTATCACACAATCTGTTTTCATCAGTTCTTGTTATCTTGCGGTTTCTAGGGCTCTTTGCATCGCATGTGATTGATTCAATGGGCAGCTGTTGGCCGATTCATAAATATATGGTTTGGTATTATTGATTTAGTGTAAAATAATTTCGTATTTCAGTTGGATCATATGAGTTTTAAGCCAAAAAAAATTAAAATTCCTTTCTTATTTAAAAAAAATATTATTTTGAGTAGTTTATTCAACTGGGCTCCGAGCAAGAACATGATCAAGTCTTCATCCTAATCTACTAAAAACACAGTTGACTTTTTCTCAATATGTTCAGAGAAGACGATTGGATTCAGGGTTACATAGGAGCAAGATGAAGTCAAATGTCTAAGAGAATTGATCTTATAAAACAACAAGAAAATAAATTCGGTGGAAATCCAGACATTATCATTGAATGTATATTTGTTCTAATGTCGATCATACAAAGTATATGGCCTTCGCTGCACTTATTTATCAAAATTCTTGTATGAATCAAACCTAGTAATCTCAAAAAAACTCTTTTTTCTGATTATAATGTGTATAAATTTCAGATTATCGACACCATACATAATCTGAAATTTATACACATTATAATATAATATAAACCCGCACGCAGTCAACATGACGTTCACTCTGTTTGGATCATAATTCAGATTAATCTGCATGATGCATCTTATCGAATTGGGCATTCTGCAACTTTTGCAGAATTCAGCGCCCACATATTGATATCTCTAATCTTCTCGTCTGATGCCCGATTTCTGTCAGTTCTCCTCCTCGGTGCTCGGGTTGCAGCATCCGCATCAGCAATCTCACCGGCCGAAGAGACCAAGGCATGGATCATATTGGCATGGGTCAGCACAGTTGCTGGGAACCTCTCTCTTCTGGGCTCTGCTGCAAACCTGATAGTCTGCGAGCAGGCCCGGCGTGCTCAGTCTCTTGGGTATAATCTCTCCTTCTGGAGCCACCTGCGCTTCGGTGTGCCATCAACACTGATCATCACCTCTGTAGGCTTGCTCCTTATAAGGAATTACTGAGGGATTTTACCTGAAGGTTCCCCTGAAAATCGCCATATAAGATGCTAAGTCTCTGATGATCCAAGTATTATATTCTTCTATATTTTCTATTGAAGGAATAAATAAATCCCAAATAAATAAATTATTTTCTTCCATCTTGTTTTTTTAGTTGCTTTATTTATCAAATGTTTTTTTTTTTAATGTAGTCTGTAGACTGAATAGGTTGACCCCAGCTGGGCAAAAAAAATGTCAACTATATTTTTATCAGATGGATAAGTTTCGATGATTCAGGCCCATTATTTTATGTTTTTCCCAATTGAAAACGAACCGTATTTTACCTGCTTTTCTCTCTATTTTTTTAATTTTATTTTTCTGGACTCAAAAAACATAGTCTATGTGAGATATTTTCTTACATATTGATGGCGCATAATTAATTATGCTATTTTCGGAATTATGAAATAATGATGCCACGGTGTTCCATACTGCGCCTAAAATATCTTATTTTTATCACATTTTTGCATTAAATAATCGTACGCTCGAGTCCACGGACTATTTCAATAATATTAGTGGGTAATTAAATAATAATATTTCCTCACCCTTATAATATATATATATATATATATATATATATATATATATATCAGGGTGGCCAACGGCTATATCAGGATCCTCGCCAGGTTTTAAATTTGCCGAACTTGCTTGAAATGGTTGGTTACCTTCCCGCCGTGGCTATCCAATGAGTGAAGGCCACGTCATGGTCCTACAGATTTAGGACGCGCTAGAAAATATCAGCAGTTTACATATATAACCTGCCAGGTGCTCTATTTCCCAGATACACCCACCGTGGCAGTAATTCCGAACATAAGGGGCATCTTACAATATCCCAATTCGCCCCTTAATCCCCAAATGCCTATTGAATCTGCCCTGTGGATACATCCCCTTGACGTCTTCTATGTGAGGAAAATGTCGCCGCTGATAGACACTACAAATAATAAATAAAAAGGGTGTATTTGAAATTGGAAGCTTATTTTTGGTTTATTTTAAAAGTACCAAGAAAATAACTAGGGGTAAAATGGTAATAATTCTGCTCGTCGTCCCTTATCGTTTTCCCGTCCGGCAGTCGTCGTCGTCCTCCCTCCCTCTCTCTCTCTCTCTCTCTCAGAGACCATTGCTCTTTTGCGTAAGCAATATTCCACACTACTTGGAACCTTTCAGAAATTGTAGACCTCGATCTTCCCCTTCCAGCCTGCAGCGGTGAACCCTACCAGGCTGGGGCGAGTCCGATTGGGCTGAATAGGATTGGATTCGCTCCCCTTCTCTCCATGGGTATTCCTTAGCTAATCCCTTCCCCCCCCGGATCGCAGCGAGCCGGGCTGCTGGATGGCGGATGTCACCCCCCGACGGCCCCCGTCTACCGAAATGCAGGACTTCGTCCACCGCTCCAGTGTCCGGTCGGGTCTCAAGCGAGAGTTCGCCTTCGCCCTCAAAGCCCAGACGGAGATGCTGATAACCCCGAGGAGTCGGACCCGGTCTGGCAGAATCCTTCATTCGTCTACCCCATCTCAAGAGCCGACCAGCAAGAGGCCTAGGAAATTGGAGCCATCCAGGAGCTGGGACGGGCGCAAGGAAGTTCCTTGTCTTGTGCCTCTTATCGCTGGGGACCTGCGCAGGGCGGAACCTGTTGTGGAATCTGCGATCGCGGTAAATTTAGCGAATGAACAAGGCCCCGTTGGTGGTTCAAATGCGGTCCCTTCGCCAATTCAGATAAATGGAGAATCCGCGACAGAGATTCCTTTGTCAATTACTGATTCAGAGCCTCCGAACCTGACGCCTTCCCTAATTCAAGTGGAGATCAGAACGATGGAGGAGATGGCCTCTTCTTCTCCTGTTGAGCTGCGGCCTTTGGTGGAGTCTCCTGCCGCAATGAGCAACCAAGTTTCTCGGAACTTCAATGGCAAAAGTGTAACGTATGTCAGAAGGTTCACTCGCTCCTTACTGAACAGTGAAGTAAACGAGAACTCTGGGCCAGGAATGTCGGTCAGGATCTCCACTCTTTCCTCATTGAAGTCTACAGAGGAAGAATCATCGATTCCCACAGTTGAAGAATCGCCAATCCTTTTGGGGCAAATTTCTTCTGCAGCCAATGGAGGGCCAGATGGATTTGAAGCAACTGAAGATGCGGCTGAAACTGCAAATGGGTCCGATGAGCCATTGGAAGCCACGCCAAAGAAGAAGATGGTGTTGAAAATGTCGAAGATTTCTTCGACAAAGAATCCGTCAAATGTTAAAAAGCTTCTGGGGACGGGCTTGCTAGAGGGTTTGAACGTCAAATACGTTACTCGTAGCTATCACAAGGTATGGTTTTTACATTTTCGGGATGGGAAACCCAGATCCAATTACATGTTTTTTTCTTATTTAAACTGTATTTTTTTCCTTTTTCCCTTCCCATTAGTATTCCACATGTGGTGCACTGCACTGATTGGCTAATCTTATGTCATGTTACACATGGCATTTTTATTTCCTTTTTTGATATTTCTTTTTATGCATAACGTTGTAGCAACTAATAAGTTACGACAATGTTCAGGTTGGGTGCTTGGTTTTGCATGCTTTTTCCTTCGAAAATACGTCAGTTTTCCTTTTTTACGTATTTGTTTGAACATTTCTGCGTTACTAGTGCAAATAAGTTTCTCCAGATTGCTTACTGAGGCATCGTTTTTCTTTGATAATGCAGGAGTTTACCCTACCCTGATGAAAACGTGTCGCTCTTTTCATTTTCTGTTTAATTATTCCGATTTACTGCTTATCATTCTTCATTTTACTTTATTAGCTAGTCTTTTTCTTTCTAATTTCCTCTGTATGCCATTAATCTGCAGAAAGGAGGGCTCTGTGGAGTGATAAAAGATGGAAGAATATTGTGTTTCTGTAGTTCTTGTCAAGGTTTGAAGGTACGCGATCATCTCGTGTTATTATTCTTGCTCATTTCTGTTTTGCTTGGTGAGAAATTCTATACTCTTGTTGACCAACTGAGTAAGAACTCATATTCTGACAAAGTTTTATGTACTATTATACATGTTGCAGACTGTTTCTGCTTACCATTTTGAGCTGCATGCTGGCAGCACAAAGAAGCACCCATCTGAAAACATTTACTTAGAAAATGGAAGCTCAATACGTGATGTCATACGAGCATGCATGCAAGCTCCTCTGGACACGTTGGAGTTGACAATCCGGAATGCAATCAGTTCTGTTGGAGCCAAATCATTGAGTTGTGGCAAATGCAAAGGTGACAATTAGTTGTTGGTCATCCTGCTGCTAATTTATTGTAGAGATATCTGACTTTCATCTTGATGCAAAAAAATTGTAGAACCTTCCGATAAATTGCACAATGGGACATTGGCATCAGTATGTGAGTCATGTTTACTTTCAAAGTTATCTCCAAAGGCCACGAAGCCAACTCTGGAGAGCGCTGATACTTCTAGGTAAATCTACGGTGACTTCGTTTATTTTTCTCAATTTTCTATCTAACCTCATACGACCTGTTAAGAGCCGTGTATTGTGTTTCTCAAGAGACTGAAGTACAAGCTATAGCCGTCTGTTGACCCTACAGTTTTCTCAGGTTTTTACTAGAGCTTAAATAGCGCATGATCATGTCGGACATGCATGCCAAATATTTTGAAATTGAGTTCAAGCTATTAGATTCTGAGCAATAGCATGTATACTTGACTTTACGTGTGTTTTGGTGTTGAAACTTGTGACTCGTGTCTTGTCCCAAGGGTTATACACTAATCTTTCCTTACAAGTCTGGTAGAGATTAAGAGAATTATATCTATATTTTCTTATATTTTACATTTTCATTTAATTTCCTGGATGAAATGGTGCTAAATGGTAACATTTTAGTGAAATACAGTTTATCCTTGCATGCCAACCCCCCCTCCCCCCACCCACCCAGTTCTGTCATTCTTTCCATTATTTTCTCTTTCTGCACCACCATCTTCACCTTCATCTTTCTGTAATTCATCCATTCCCCTCTGCCACAAGGTCTTCTCCCTTGTACATCCCATGCCTCGTTCTCAAAAGCTCAGGCATCTGGTAGTAACTGATTTTCTTGACCTTCCTGTATTACTCTTTCATGAAACAAAATGCATCATTACGGAATTTGAATCTTATTCTTCACGGATATGAGGGATAATACAAAATTAAACACCAGGAAGCTGTTGAAACTGTATTGGGAAATTAACTTTAAAGTATATAAATGGGTTTTCTTTCTTTGCTCCTCCTAGTATTATCAAATTTCTATTCGCTTGTATTTATATTACTTTGTGTCGATATAAATTTATTGGACTTATGTATCATCTTCTGAGTTCTTATATGTGCTTTGGCGGTCTTTGATGCATTATAAATCACTTAGTGTTGCAGAAAGTTGGCTTTGTTTTGGAAAAAGATTTACCCTTCTCCTTTCTCCATAGGCTTTCAAAACCCGTTTTGTCTCCAAATTCTCCTGATAGTAACTCAAAGAGTATATCGTCACAGAAGAAGAACTGTCGAGGGCGAATGACTACAAAGTTAGTATTTGACCAATTCAAATATCATTTTATCATCCCAATACATGTTATTTGTGTAACCAGTGGTTAATTTTGGTGTTTTGCATGACCCATATTTAAGGGATGTGCGCCTGCATAAATTGGTATTTATGGATGGCATCTTGCCAGATGGGACGGAAGTTGCATACTATGCTCGTGGGCAGGTTGTTTTCTGAAGATGAGTGGTTCTCCTGTTAATTTATTTTTTTCTAATTGTAAAATGTCTTTCCACGTTTTTCTTTTTTTACAGAGGCTGCTCCAGGGTTACATTAAAGGGAGTGGAATATTCTGTCATTGTTGCAATGCAGTGGTAAAATTATATTATTTTGCACTTTTATGACCTTTTTTAGTAATGCATAATAACTGCCTTTTAATTTTTGATATGCAGGTTAGTCCCTCTCAGTTTGAAGCTCATGCTGGATGCCCTTCACGACGCAAACCGTAAGTTCTTGCTCTCGTGTAATCCAGGAACATCTGATTCATTTTGGGGCGTCTTCTTCTATTGTTGACACTGCGATGTCTAATTGTCAGCTACCTGAACATTTATACCTCAAATGGGGTATCGCTTCATGAACTATCTGTCTCTCTTTCGAAGGACAAAAGGTTTTGTACTGGTGAAAATGATGATCTTTGTAGAATCTGTGCTGATGGGGGTGATCTTTTGCTATGTGATCTCTGTCCCAGGGCATTCCACAAAGGTAGCATGATGTGCTGCTTCCTATCTCCATTCGATATTTTCCTCGTGTTCTATCTGATCTAGACAGTCAACTACTTTTATGACTATTTATTGTCTTATGAATTCCCCTCTGTTGCAGAGTGTGTTGGGCTGACCAGTGTTCCAAAAGGGGATTGGTACTGTCCATATTGCCAAAATATGCATCAAAAAGAAAAGTTCGGAGAACATAATGAAAATGCTATTGCCGCTGGAAGGGTTGCAGGAGTTGATCCTATTGAAGAGATAATCCAGAGATGCATTCGTATTGTGAAGACACCCGAAACTGACATTGGTGGCTGTGTCTTGTGCAGGTCAGCTCTTCTGCTGCAATTGGAAAACTCTTTCAAGAAAATTTACCAGGCTTTGATCATTTTCAATATAATTCTAACCTTAGATATTTAGTATTTTCCCCTAAAAAAACTTTTGACCCTTGTGGTCTCGTTCTCGTTCCACCAAAATTTTCGAGTATTTGCTTATGTTTTTTACTTAACGTAACTGCTAGGTGATTATTCACTCAAACTCCAATTTTTTCTTCCAGGGGCCATGATTTTAGTAAAAGTGGATTTGGTCCTCGTACTGTTATACTATGCGATCAAGTAATGCCTGCTATTTTATTTCTCCTAGTCGAGCTCTTTTCAGTCTGTATCAATTGTCTAATTCTACTTGTGCGATTCTTTCAGTGCGAGAGGGAATTTCATGTTGGGTGTTTGAAGGATCACAGCATGGGTGACTTAAAGGTGCCCATCGTTTTGTGGGTTTTTCTGTTGTGACGTTGTATCATTTCTCCAGGACAAGAGATGACCGTACCCTTTATCTTTCCTCTTTCGACAGGAGTTGCCTGAGGGGAAATGGTTTTGTTCCCCTGATTGCAGTAGAATACATGCTGCCTTGCAGAGATTATTGACGTCTGAACCTGAGCAGTTGCCAAGCCTTCAGTCAGATGTTATAAAGAGGAAACTTGAGCAAAAAGGTGCTGGGGAAGTCACTGATCTCGACATTAGGTGGAGACTTCTCAGTGGCAAAGCTGCTTCTCCAGACAGCAGGCTGCTGCTAGCCAAGGCACTATCTATGTTCCATGTAAGTTGTTCAAGCGCATCAAAGATAAATTCACGCTCCCCTCTTCCTCAAATGCTATCGATATTCATCACTTGCTGGTGGGTTGGCCTCCTCATCTTTCCCTCTTTGTTGGTACTATCACAGAGTCCAAGAGAGATACCATTTTGCATTGGGTTATCCATAAACTACATCTCGTTGACTCACACTAATCGTCCATCCGAGCTTACATCTGCTCAGAAAGTCTGGAATAATTTTGTTTGTTGACAAACCAAGTGCATTTTTGTCCATTTTTTGTTAATTTCTGTAATAGCAAAAAAAAAAAAAAAACTGTGTAAGAGGTTTTCATTCAAGATTGCAAGACTCAAGATAAATGCAGGATGGTTTGGTGTTTCCTAAACTGGAAAATTGATTTCCTTTCTCATCCCGCGGGTGATGGAACTGATTCTTCCTTCGTATGTCTTTTAGTTTCAATGCAGCTACTCTTGCTTGACTTTATGGTGTACATATTTGCTCCATATATTTTTTTTTTTCCGTGGTGACAAAGATTGGATGCCTTGATGTCTCTCATTTCATGCAGGAATCCTTTGACCCCATAATAGACTTAGCCACGGGGAAGGATCTCATCCCTGCAATGGTTTATGGGTGAGAAAAACTATCCATCTTTCCTGAGTTTCTTGCTTCGTGGTCTTGATTATCTTGTTTCTTTCTGTTTGAAAATGCTGCCCATTTTCTTCATATTTCTTTCGCCCTCAAGTTTTCTGACCAATTATCGGCAGAAGGGACATGAGAGACCAGGAGTTCGGAGGGATGTACTGCTCGGCGTTGACTGTGAAGTATGAACATAAACTGAAGGCAGAGTCACGGCCTCACTTCCTCACGCTGCTCGCCTGATGCTTTGCTGCGTTTTGCAGCTCATCCGTGGTTTCTGCTGGAATCCTCAGAGTCTTGGGATGTGAAGTTGCAGAGCTTCCACTTGTGGCGACGAGCAGAGAAAGCCAGGGACAGGTGACTCCATGTTTTCTATATAAGTAGACAGATATAGCTCATCCCTTCTCTCACCTGTCTCTTTCATTCCGACATATATACATATATATATGTATATTATGTACAGGTATATTTCTTGGAAACTATATGATACTACGAATCATTGAGAGATAATGTGCTGAGGCCATTGTTTCAATCTCACGCCCTTTATCTCTAGAGCAGATTCAGCCATAAACTTGCTCTCTCTCTCTCTCTCTCTCTCTCTCTCTCTCTCTTCTAAATTTCAGATGCTTGTCTATATGCAGGGTTACTTCCAGTCGTTGTTTTCATGCATAGAGAGAATGCTGAACTCTCTGGAAGTCAAACATCTCGTCCTCCCGGCTGCAGACGAAGCTGAATCCATCTGGACGAAGAAGTTTGGTTTCAGTAAGATCACCATCGACGAGGTCAAACCCCGCTGACCCTGTGAGTTGCCTCCCCGTCGATCTTTCCCCCGCTGACTCGCATCTCCCACGCAGCTGAATGAGCTCGCCAAGGGCTGCCGCCCGACTGTCTTCCACGGGACCTCGATGCTCCACAAACTGGTCGCCAAACCTCCGGCAGATGGCTTCCAGGAAGAAGGAAAAGAAGGAACCGGGTCAACGGCGTCTCTCTCTCCCCTCCCGCTTGGTGGGCGCATCTGAAAGCGGCGATTTTTGCGACCATTTTCGAAGAAAATGTGCGGGGAAGGGTCTGCTGATCCCACGAGAGAGAGAGAGAGAGAGAGAGAGAGAGAGAGAGAGAGCTGTCGTGGGCGGCGCCGCCGTTTTCCTCGCTGGAACCTCTTGTACAGGTTTCTGATCACCTACTGAAGATTGGACCATGGTTCCCGATTACCCTTATATGGGCTTTTTTATCTGGACCCAACATTATTGGGCCTAAACAGAGGCCCACTCTTCCCATTATAAACGTCGCCGTTTCCGTGGGCCCAGACCAGCTTGGGCTTCCCCCCACGGCAAGTCTTTCCAGACGCATCCAATAATCCGCCCACGGTAAAAGCCGTAAACCGGCTCCGATGACGTGGAAATTAGTCATTGGAAGTTGCGAATTTTCCCCACGTGTCCTTTCAGGGCGTTCCCATTGGTGGGGAGGGGAGCCTTTTTTAAGCGTCGCAGATCTCTCCTTCCCCACGAAGCTGATGGCGTCCGTTCTGCTCTCCACGTATCAGTCTGTAGCTTCTCGCCGGTCGGAGCGGAGAGCTCCGGCGAGATTCCCTCGGATCGCCGCCGCCGTTGACTTCTGCGCGTCCCCGTCCCAATCCGATTGTCGTTCCCTTTCCGGCGGGTGGCGGAGGAACGGACGAGCGAGGGATCGCCGGTGTCCGGTTGTCCGTGTTGCGGCTCCTTCGTCCTCTCCGGCGGCGAGCCCGGCGTCCGATGAGGAGCAGAGAGAAGGCGCCGCCGCCGCCGCCGCTGGAGAAGAAGAAGTCCCTGGTTCTTCTTCTTCGTCCGATCTAGAGTCATTCTCATGGAGGGACAACTGGTACCCGGTGTCACTGGTGGAGGACCTTGATCCGTCCGTCCCAACGCCTTTCCAGCTTCTCAACCGAGACATCGTCATCTGGAAGGATCCCTCCACATCCGAATGGGTCGCTTTGGACGACCTCTGCCCCCACCGCCTCGCTCCACTCTCCGTTAGTACTCTCTTCTTTGTCTTCGATATCCTTTGATACACCATGTCTTCATAGTCGTACAGAGTATGCGAATTTTCTCGCTCAACTTCTCTGGAAGAACAGAACCCGTACATGTCTCATGGCTTAGCTCGAACTTTGGGGAAGAGGATTTTTCTTCTTTCGAAGTTTTTGCGTGAAATTCTATTTAATTAATGATTTATTACGTGGTGACAACAGGAAGGGAGGATTGATGAAGATGGGTGGCTGCAGTGTTCGTACCATGGGTGGTCTTTCGATGGCGCAGGTTCATGTAAGCGGATCCCGCAGGCAGCAGCAGAGGGTCCTGAAGCCCGTGCCGTCAACTCACCGCGGGCATGCGTTGCCAAGCTCCCAAGCATGGTCTCCCAGGGGCTTCTCTTCGTGTGGCCTGATGAAAAGGGATGGGAGAAAGCCGCGACCACGAAACCCCCCATGTATGTAATAAAAACAGTTGTGGTTTCGTCAAATTCAAACTCCATTAAGTCCCACGTCATTAGTTCTTTCCAGAAACTCATGATCTTTGTTTTCAGCAAGTTTTCCTGTTCCGTTAATTAGGAAGACTAATTTTTTATATATTTTAAACTTTAGGCTCCCTGATGAATTCAACGATCCAAACTTTTCAACTGTGACCATACAGAGGGATCTCTTCTATGGGTATGACACACTCATGGAGAACGTTTCCGATCCATCTCACATTAACTTTGCACATCATAAGGTATGTTTCTCTCGCAGAATTGAGAATAAAAAAATGCACGATTGTCATTAACAGCATCAAACTACTAATATTGCATTAGCCTGCATATTTTTTCAATTCCTATAGTTGTTTCGGCAAGTAAAGGATTAATGAATGCTTCGTTTTTTCAATCAATAACTATACGCCAGGGTATAGTATTCTAATCTTTGTTCTTCCTTTGACGAGCATAAGTATTCTAATCTTGACATATGGATCGCTGAATTCTTCCTCACAATCTTCTAGAATCTTTCCATACCAGGATGTTCATCAGAAATATTCCTCCGTTACCATGGTAACTGATACCTGGTTTTTCTCCCTGAATACCCCTGATCTCTGAGCTATCATTTGTTCTCATCAAAATATTTCCTGGGGGTTATCTTAATACTTTTTGTCATCCATCATAGCATCCACCCATAAAAATCCTTGTAAAAATAGTTAATCATGATAAATTTTGCACATGATCATGAAGTTGTCTGACATTGGGTGATGAATCAAATTTCTCTTTTGAGTTATATAAAATTGTTGAACAGTTCTGTAGTCGTACTGGACATCTATTTTATTGGAACTTGTTAATGAATGCAAGATGAACTGAACCTTTTGCTAATTTCCTCCAAAGAGGACACGTTTTCAGATCGTAGTCTAAGCCAATGTTGCATTTTTCCAATTTTCTGATAGAGCTTCATGTTTATTTATTTCATTTTTTCGTAACTTTTTTGTACAGGTTTATCTGACAGACGATGGACTGTGTATATTTTTTTTCTTTTCTTTTTCTTACTAGCATTATCTTGCAGGTCACTGGCAGAAGAGATAGAGCCAAGCCTCTTCCCTTCAAATTGGAGTCTAGTGGTGCGTGGGGTTTTTCTGGATCAGATAGTGGGAACCCTCGTATCAGCTCATCATTTATTGCTCCCTGTTATAACATGAACAAGTGAGTTAATCCTGGACCTGTAGAGGCATATTTTGATGTGTTTCTAAATTTGTTACTTAGTCTCCGTCTGTTTGAGATGTTTTGGATCCTCGGAATTTTGGCAGAATAAGATGTCTTTCTAAAAGTAGGACATAAACCCTAATCTTTTTCTGTTCATCCAAATTCAAATTGCAGACTATATTCATGAAATCATCTTTTTATCATATCCAGCTCTGTCGCTTAAAGTTTGACATCCATTAGGGGCTTGATAATTCAACATATGATTGATACCCAGTAGAAACTTCCTGGTCGGATGGTATAGTCAACGTGACTTCTTATGTTTTGACTAATGGCATTCACTGATTCTCAAATTAGATTCTTAACCAGTATACATGTCTCGACGAGTGTGCATAGCTGCATGTATGGTCAACTACCTGTATGTGGCATATCCTTGAGTTTTCTATAGCTTTATTTGCTGATGTCTCCACAGTTGTCAACATAAAAAAAGTTCTGTGAAGCTAATGAATTTGCAGGAGAGTTGACTGTATTAACAGTAACCGTCCCTCGGTCTGAAACAAAGTCAATGGACATCAACCAATCACCAGTTCCAGCAAAAGAAACATTAGAATGCGTTGTTTTTTCATTAGAATGAATCAAACTACTGCCGTCTGTGTAATATGCATGACAAAAGAAGGCCTAAATCGCTTACAGCCATAAGAATAATCATATAGCTACTTATTTCTTGTAATATTTGCGTTATTCTCAGGATAGAAATCGACACAAAGCTACCAGTTTTGGGGGACCAGAAATGGGTCATCTGGATCTGCTCCTTCAACATACCAATGGCTCCTGGGAAGACTCGATCAATCGTCTGCAGTGCCCGGAACTTCTTCCAGTTCACAATGCCGGGGTCTGCTTGGTGGCAGGTATGAAGAGATCAAGACCTTCTTCTGCAGGCAATCTCGACGACCCAGATTGATCTATGAGGGCTTTTCCTCCGTGATGCAGGTTGTTCCTCGGTGGTATGAGCACTGGACTTCCAACTTAGTCTACGACGGCGACATGATTGTTCTTCAGGGCCAAGAGAAGATCTTCCTCTCCAAGTCAATGGAGGATGGGAGCGATGTCAATCAGCAGTACACAAAACTTACTTTCACCCCAACTCAAGCAGATCGCCTTGTCCTGGCGTTCAGAAACTGGCTGAGGAGACATGGAAACAGCCAGCCCGACTGGTTCGGCACCACCACTGGGCAGCCTCTGCCATCCACAGTCTTGACCAAGCGCCAGGTACATGAGCTCTCTCTCTCTCTCTCTCTCTCTCTCTCTGTAGCCTCTCAATCCTGACAGTCTTGCCTACTCTCACAGATGCTGGACAGGTTCGAGCAGCACACGCTCAAGTGCTCGTCGTGCAGGGCCGCGTACGCCGCGTTCCAGACCTGGCAGAAGGTGCTCGCCGGAGCGGCTGTGGTCTTCGCCGCCACCGCCGGTGTGCCGGCGGAGCTCCAGTTCAGGGTCCTTCTCGCCGGGGCGGCGGTGCTGAGCGCCCTCCTCTCCTACCTCCTGCACGATCTCCAGAAGCACTTCGTCTTTGTTGACTACGTCCATTCGGAGATTGACTGATTGCACTGCACTCGGTGGGGTCATCACAGGACTGCTTTCTTCTGTATATAGTTAGTTAGTTAGTTGCTCATATTATCGACATAATCGGAAAATCTGATCCTTTTTCGGCCTGGGCCCATGACACTCTTTCAGTCCCGGGCCCCACCGTTGACTCTCTCTCTCTCTCTCTCTCTCTCTCTCTCTCTCTCTCTCTATCTATCTATCATTTGTGAGGAGATGTTCAGATAAATATGAATATCATTGTTTAGGCGATGAAAAAGCTCGATTATGGTTGTTATTATTTATTTATTTGGCGCTAGGTAGATGAAAATTATCGGAAGTGGTTGAGCTTCCTGGAAGTTCCCCGTTGGTCAACGACAAGCCATCGGCGACGAGGGTCTGTAGGTACTGTCTGGTCGTTCGCAGCAAATCCAATGGCTCTGATTGGTGATGAGTCTGCGAGGAAAGCTTCGAGCTCAAGGTACCTCCCGGAGGGGAAGAAGGGAATTCTCTGATCCCCGCGGAGGATGACGAAGCAGATCGTACGCTGAAGCCGTTAAATTTCCCCCTCCCACTCCCCGGGCTTCTGGAGGGAGAAGACCATGCCGGTCGCCGGAGGGATGGTGAACGTTATGCTGGAAGTTCTGGAGAAGAAGACGACGCCGGTGGACCTCTACCGCCCCCTCCGCGACTACATCGCCTTGAACTACTCGGAGCGGGAGGCGCAGAAGCTGGAGGACGATCTTCAGGCGGTTCGACGGATGCGGTCCGATCTCGAGAAGGCTTCGCCGTCGCAGGCGCTCCCCGAGGTCCGTCGTGACCTGCTCCAGTCCTATTACCGCGCGCTGTGCGCGATCGAGTCTCGCTTCCCCATCTCTCCAGATCGGGAACACGTGAACACGCTTTCCTTCACCTGGTGCGACGCGTTCAAGCCCAACAAGAGGGCGTCTCAGCAGAGCATACACCTGGAGAAGGCCGCCGTGCTCTTCAATCTCGGCGCAGTGCACAGCCAGATGGCATTATCTGCGGACAGGACGGCGGCTGGGGGCCTGAAGCAGGCCTGCAACTCCTTCCAGGCTGCGGCGGGGGCCTTCGCATTCCTCCGCGATAATCCCTCTCTTAAGGCATCTCTGGGTTCGTCTGCGACAGTAGACTTGTCGGCAGAGTGTGCTGCGGCACTTGAGCGGCTTATGCTCGCCCAAGCACAGGAGTGCTTCTTCGAGAAGGTCATCGGTGACGCAAAGGCTCCTGGTCTGTGCTGCAAAGTAGCGCGTCAGGTCAGTTTTAGCGTTATTCATTGACTTCTTTAGGTTGTTTTGGGATTCAAGGAGACACTTTCCTTTTTCTTGATTCACTTGAGATGAATCTGCAGAATAAAAATGTTCCTAGTCTTGGTTCTAGGCCTTCGTGGGTCCAATGTGAATTTAAAAAACGGGCTGTTTTCTAGACATTCCCCACGTTTCAACGAAGAACTGTTCATTGTAAAAATTCTTGATTGCTTCACCATGTTCCAAACCTGATATTATAAGATAATGCGGCTGGAAGATTCCTGGGATTGCATTTTAATGCCCAAAATCTCTTTTGTTGAACATGCATCTTAGTTTCTCGGCGTTTTGCTGTTTTTGGGCTCAGATCTTATCAGCCAGGGACGCTTTGATCAGAATTTTGAGCATCAACTTGTTTGAAGATTCTTGCAGGTCAGTCTCTATTATGAGGAAGCCTCTGCTGCCTTGAATTCACCACCACTTAACCAGCACTTCGATCGAATGTGGATCTCTCATGCCCAAATAAAAGCAGCACATTTCTATGCGGAAGCCTGCTATAGAATATCATTGGATTTACATGAGAGAGAAGAGATTGCGGAGGAAATTGCAAGGCTGAAGAGTGCAATAGGTGCCCTTAACGACTCCAAGCAGTTTGCTAGAGGAGTAGCGGCACCTCTTCTTGATGCAGTCAACGACTTGGAGGGCTGTCTAAATCTCAACCTGGAGAGAGCACTGAAGGAAAATGACCGTGTCTATCTAATGCGTGTTCCTCTAATCAGCTCCCTGGCACCACTGCCCGCTGCTTCACTTGTAAAGCCTTTCCCCATGGCCGATATCCTTGATGCAAGCAAGGAGAGGTTATTTGCTACACTTGTGCCTGATAACAGTGCCAAAGCTCTCTCCAGGTACACTCAGATGGTCGATGATATTATCCGAGTGCAAGCAGAGACATTGCAGCAGGGGAGTGAAACCGCGAGCATTAGGCTTAAGGAGATGGATTTGCCTCATTCTATCCTTGCGCTTGATGGAATTTTCAGTTTGCCAGCAGACATTAAGGAAGATGTAGAGGCTGTGCTAGTTGTCGGTGGACCAGCTGGTTTGGATGCTGAATTTCAGCAGCTCAGGGACTTGAGGAGGGTTAATCAGGAGATGCTGTTGCAGACTGAACAGATACTGGTAAAAGAAGAAAGGGAGGACGCTGAGCTTAGGTCCCAATTCGGGACACGGTGGACAAGGCCTCAATCCAGCGCCCTGACGAAAAATTTTCAGGATAGATTGAATAAGTTTGCTGGAAACCTTAAGCAAGCTGCTGACAGTGATGCGCGGATTGAGCGTTCAATAGAGGATAGTTCGGCCCTCATGGCGATTCTCAACCACAGGCCTGTGAGTGTGTTATTATTTACAGCTTATTTTCCCTCAATACATTTTACCAGTCTTGGCATCATATTTAAGCCTACTATTGATAGTTTTGTATGCACCAATATAGTTTTCAGAGCTATTTTTTGGTGACCTTTATCCTCTATCAAACTCTTATATATGCGAACCTATGAGTATTGTTTCAAGCCTTGCTGAATGGTGTTATCTAAAAACCATGGCTTAAAACCTAGACTTTAATACTTTACTTTGTATCTTTATCTACTTGTACTCATTTTATCTTCTTTTTTTCGTGAGATTTTCGCTGGGTTTTTTACTCAAAATGTATGCAAATGCCTCACACATTAAAATTCTTAGGAAATCACTCTTCTCCTTTGTCACCTAGATCTATTATTTTGGATTACAGATAGAATCTGCCCTTCCAAGTCTTGGAAAACCTATGATGTCATTGAACGAAAATGAAGATGCTGTAGTTGGAGCTCTTAAGCAGAGTTTGGTAAGTATCCTTTTTTGCTGCTCCCTCACGTGCTTATTTTATCTGTCATTTCCCTTCCCCCATATTTATTCATTTTTTATTCAATCCTTTTTGCTTGGTCGTCTTTTCGTTTGGAAGATATTGCTTGTTCGTTGACGTTGACGTTGACACATTTAACTTCACCAATATGAATCATGCTTTCATTCAACATTTTCTTGATAGTTTCCCAAAAGAAGATCACAAATCTCTTCATGAAATATGCCACTTTTCCATGGATTGGGGTGATGTATGCGGAAAGCTTGTCTTGGCTAGAAAATGCAACTTACTACTATTTGCTATCTGGATCGTGTACATGATGAGTGAGCTGTTGCCACTGTAATCTTTTCGACAGAATATTTCCTTCTTTTTAATTTAGGGAAGCGAGAGGCGCTGTCATTGGTTACGAGAGTATTTTGCCACATGCCACATTTTTACTGAACGCAAGTTTTTTTCTGAGCTACTTTTCCCTTTGGATCGAATCCTTGATGTCTGCTGATAGTATGCTTTTTCTATCTTAGGCAAACGTCTCTTGTCAGTACATAAGAAATACTGAATTTCCTATATTTTCTTAGTCTTTTTTTCTGGTACACATGAATTGTTAGCTTTACCGTTCCCACGCACCCTAAGTTCTGAAAGAAAGAGGAAATTTAGGGGGATGATTGTAATGACGTTTATAATGGAATTATGTCACTCTTTCCATCTTATTGCAAATGGAGACTCTAAAAGCTAGAGCGTGATAAAGAAAATAACTTTAAAGATACGCACGATAGCTCGCTCATATTTTTATGGTTCAATATTTTATTATATTCGAATTTCCTTAGTATGGCTTTTCACTATTGTTAATTATTTTTTTGTTTAATTAGAGGCATCTGGAGACTCTTGGTTCTCAGAGGGCAGGTCTCGAAGACATGCTCAAGGAGATCAGGAGAAAGGTACTTCTGTTTAAACCGATGGTCGTATCATACCTCATTCTTTTAATCTGTTCAATCCACAGATTTGTATATTTTACATCTTTTCCTGAATTGCTTCCTTCCTTTCTCCAAAAAATGAAGCAGAGAAAATGATATCAACTGGAAACATCTGTGAAATTTTCCTGAGTTATTTTTGTGCGTTGCCACTGTGAGAAAGGCGTCTATTTTATTTCTCTCTTTCCCCCCTCCCCTCTCTCTCTCTCTCTCTCTCTCTCGCTCTCACTCTCTCTCCCTCTCTCTCCCTCTCTCCCCCGCTCTCTCCCCCCGCTCTCTCCCCCCTCTCTCTCCCATCTCTCTCTCCCCCCTCTCTCTCACGCATTCTGCTCACAGAAAACCTGGTCTCCTTGAGCGGCACCCCCAACCCCCTCCCCTCCTCTTTCTTTTCCTCCCCCCCCCCACAAGTTCCCCACACTTACTTTCCCCTTACCCCCTAACCCCCCACTCCTCCCCATCTCCTTCCGCTTTCCTCTCCCAAAAACGAACTTCACCCACATTCCTTCCCCCTTCCTACAGCAGATCATATGCTGAAAGTTAACTTTCTGATGGGAGTACTTGTTCAAGTGTTGCATATCCACGACCACTTAATGTGCATGCATATTTTTTGTGGTTGAATATCTGCTTAATGCCATCTAACTGTCTAGATTCCCTTCCTCTTTTATGTCCCATTTTCATGATGGATTTCTTTGGGTTGATATCTTTCCTTGTAATTTCATACATATTTCAAAATTTCCTCTCAGGATGATATACTTCCAAAGTTGATGTCAATCACTGGATCTTACGAGGATCTTTTTAAGAAGGAGATCGAAAAGTATGATCGTGTATGTGAAGAAATTGCCCAAAATGTTGAAGCCCAAGAGCTTTTGTTGATTCAGATTCAGGTTACTCGCTCAGTTCTTCCTGTTGCCACGCGAACAGTTATCTTTGCTGTTTATATTGTTCTCACTCTTCGAGGGGATAATAATCCTATGCCGTCTTTCTTTATGACGTGTGGCGGTGAGATGAATTACAAACTCTGGGAGTTACTTTTTGAGTGTACCACTCCACTGAAGTCATTGGCCTTAGAGAAATCTAAAAATAATAAATATTATATTGTTAACCTTTAATAATGTAGCTAAATGGCCAAGGGGCATAAATTTTGTTGTAGGCAGTTCTGATGAATTTTTCTTTGGCTTTACTCTAAAGATTTGGAAAACAGGGAGCGTAGCTGCTTATGTTCCCGCAGAGCAGTCCAACTGCAAGGACGTCTTGAACTGAAATATTCCCCCAGCCGCCCAAGAATTTCAGATCTGTTGTTACCAAGTCATGCTTCCTTTGATTGTTTTATTCTAACTTTCCTTGGATTCTGACTACTCCCTAAGATTGCTTACGATGTTTTTTCCACAACTTCGATCTAGTAAAAACTCCTTCACATTGGAGTTTATAGCAAAGTACCTCTTTATTTCTGGTGTGGGCAGAATTATTCTCCTTCTGATGATACATCTTAGCCAAAACTCATTTTCTTTCTTTTTTGCTGATATGTCTGACATTTGGCTGTGGAAGGTGAGGATCGGGTTCCTCTAACTATGGGGAATTTCCTTTTTAAGGAGGTTTTTAGATCCTTGACAAGCTTGTCATTTCCATTTAAAGTTTACAAATTAAATTATAGAACTTTAAAATGTGCCAGTTTATGCATGTTTTTTTCCTCGAAATCTATTCATTTTTTTGTCAATCTTGTGCCTCCTGCGTTAAACTGATAAATGAGATTCAAAAAGGATGCTTGCACGTTTGAATTGACATAAACTGCTGGAAATAGCTTAGATTATTTTATGTACTTTGAATCCACTTCATTCTCCTTTTTTTGGCACAGAGGGGTTTCCTTTCAGGATTGTTCCTGACTTCACATAATACAGAGATTGCTGCATTGATTACTGAGATATCTGGTTTACTTGATTGCAGGAACAAAACGATGGATTTGAAAAAGTCTTTAATCTTGAAGACTACAAAGGTGTGTGATATTATCTCATGTAATCTGTCACCCATTAGAAATGAGCTCCTCGAGCTTTGTTTATTGCTTGATCTTCATATTTCTGCACTCTTGTTTTATCACAAATGCTCCCTTCGAATCCGTCAATACTACTTAATCCAATCGAGACATGGAAATTGACGAAAGCCTTGTTATGTCAACATCTAAACTAGTTTCTAACCACGGAAATACTTCTACGTCCTGAATAATTATTTTGTTGATCTAAGGTTTACAATGAGGCTCGTAGTTACCAAGGTTGGGCCTACCACCGTTGTATTTTTTATCTGTGTATCACGAAACTGACTAAATTCTTACTTAATTATCAAGTATTCTTACAACATATGTTAGTTTTCATAAGTTCGAAGGGCATGCCACCATGCAAGTAAATACAAGACGCTGGAAACATGTGAATGAACTCATAAAAAAAATATCCTTTGCCATTCATTAAAGTCAATTTAGAAATTTTGAAACAACTTGATCTGATAGGTTCAAGAAGAGAAAAATTACCTGGAATTTCTTACACACTCTGCAATTTTCTCCTTCAAAATAAGGGATTAAAATTATGTGCAATCTCCACGGCTCCCCTTTTTTCAATGCAAACTCAACCAATAGACTGCCATGCCCTACTTCATCTATTCCCGAAAATCTCTGGCAAAAAACTTGTAGAGATCAATTGGTTCCCATTGACTTATCTACTCATCTCTGATACATCCCCATTGTGTTCTTCATTAATCTTGAAAGACTACTGAATCACCCACACACTAGAAAGTCATCCCTTTTCCATTACTATTATTACTAAATGTCAAAACCCGGCCACTGAATCATAACCTTTTTTTTTTTTCTTTTAATGGCATACATCTGTACACGCATCTGACTATCTGGGAATTTGTTCCCAGCTTCTTGCGACAGGTGCTACGAGCAAATAGCCACCGCCGTGGCAAAGTTCCGAGAAATCAAGGGGAACATCAACGAAGGTCTGAAGTTCTACGTCACTCTTCAGGTACCTGGCTTATCCAACGGAGGGTCCAAATCGGTCTCCGCTGCATGTTTCAGGAACAGTGTCTTCAGTTCTTCTCTCTTCCTGCTTCCCAGCCTCCACCCAGATCGGCGTTCCCTTCATCTTTCTTCTTTTAATTCTCCCCTTGCATTGATTTTCTTCTCCTCACGGCCTCTGAACAGGATGCAATAGCGAATGTGAAGCAGCAGTGCAGCGACTTTGCAATGACCAGGAACATCCAATGCAGGGAAATGATCGATGATGTGAAGGGTCAAATGGCCGGCCTCAGATTCTCCTCCAGCAGGGCCCCCCAACCAGCCAATCCCCAAAACCCTCCACACCCGCCACCACCCGAACAGGAGAAGCCCAGATTTTCTCACTCATACCCTCTGTACCCCACATCTGAGCTGCCTCCCTACAATTCTCCTGCGGCCATGGATACCCATTACCAGCACCCTCAACAGCGCTACAGTGAATCCACTCAGCAAGCTGGATCTCATCCTCTGCCTTCCTACACCCTCCCTGGAGGCCGCCCCTATCGCCAGGGCAGCAGCCACTCCAATAAGCCAGGTCAGTAGATGATCACCGGAATTGAGATTTGTTTCCCTCTGTACATATCTATATCTATATATGTATGTATATGATATTTTGATTAGCTTTTGTTTCATCAGAAAAAAATGATGGGTTTATCCAATAATGAGAAAACATTGTTGTCCACCTACACCGGACCACCATGAACGGGATTCTTGATGCTATGAGTGGGTCTGGTACTCATTGGACCAGACCATCTCTCTCTCTCTCTCTCTCTTTCTCTCTCTCACACACACACACACTCAGTGTTCCTTCCATGGGGTTGTTGCTGTGGACGGAGGACCAAGTGGCGCCACTATGGCCACACAAGCCCTTGGATGGAAAAGCTGAAGAGCACTATGTGACAGAGCGGAGGAGGGTAAGGGATGGAGAAGATGGCTACCGGAGGGGAAGAGGAGCTGCACGATGAAAAAGGACTGGATATAAGGAAGAGCCCCCGCGGCGGCAGAGGCGTCCCTGATGGCGGGTGGTGGCAGGCTTTTGGCCGTGGCGGTGCTGCTGCTGCTCCGCGCGGGGCTCGGCGTTGCCGGTAGAGCTCGACTCCTCGCCGGCGGCGGAAGTGGGTGGGGCTTCGGCTCCGGCTATGGCTCTGGTTACGGTTCCGGCGGTGGCGGTGGCGGTGGCGGAGGAGGAGGAGGAGGAGGCTCCGGCTATGGCTCTGGTTACGGTTCTGGCGGTGGCTGGGGTGGTGGCGGTGGTGGTGGTGGTGGTGGTGGCGGTGGTGGTGGTGGCGGTGGTGGGGGGTATGGGTTTGGTGGCGGGTTTGGGTACGGTTACGGTAGCGGCTTTGGCTATGGTTCGGCGGAGGGGGGAGGCGGCGGCAGCGGCGGCGGCGGCGGAGGAGGAGAAGGTGGTAGCGGAGGAGGAGAAGAAGGTGGCGGAGGAGGAAGAGGAGGATGGCATGGCTGGGGGCAGGGTGGAGGTTCTGGATATGGCGAAGGAAGGGACGGCTGGGGAGGCGGCGGCGGGGGAGGAGGAGGAGAAGGTGGAGGAGGTGTTAACGACGGTGGCTCTGGGTTCGGAAGGGGTTATGGCTACGGCTCTGGAGGCGGCCAAGGCGGAGGAGCGTACGGCTGGGGAGGCGGCGGCGGCGGCGGCGGCGGTGGAGGTGGCGGCACAGGTCATGGGTTTGACTTTTGGCCTTGGTACGGCTTTCGTCGTGGTTGACCCACAGCATTGACCAGGACTTGAACAAGTCAACACAAAAGCACCCCTGGGCTCCAATCTTAATAAGCTTTAAACGATTACGCTCTCTCTCTCTCTCTGTCTCTCTCTCTCTCTCGCTCGCTACCTGTATCTTATTTGGGCTTTGGCCCATTAATTGATGACGGAAATAACGCAAAAAACATAAAGCACACTTCTCGAAGACTAGCCCATTAGAGGGGGCCCAAAGAGCTATATGTGGGCCTACATTATTGGCCCATCTGGCCTGGCCACGCTGTCTCCTAAGATTTTTGGCTTTTTTTCTCCTCTTCTTCCGTCGCCTTGTCGCGGTCTTTTGCAGAGGAAGGCGATGGCTTTCCGAGGTTCGTTCTCCCGGTCGGTATACGCCGCCGCGAGATCCTCGCTGCGGTCCCCCGCTCCTGCTCCCAGTCACCGGCCCCAAGTGCCTGGAGCGAGTCTGCTCGGGCGGCGCCGCCGCCTCAACGTTGTGGCTGCCAGGTCGGGATCCTCGGAGCCAAACCTCGCGGGACCTTACGACCTGAATTAGCTGCTCTTTATAGAGTCGTGTTCATGCCTTTTCCTTGTTTTCAGGCCTGCGGCGGCTCTGGGCGGCGCATTTTCTCTGTTGCCGTTGCACAGCGCGGTGGCGGCCTCCCGCCTTGCGTCTCACTTGTCGTTCAACGCTAGAGCTTGTTGTGAGATTTCTCAGGGTATTTTCTTCTTCATCATCATCTTCTTCTTCTTCATCTTCTCCTTGTAAACCTTTCTATAGATGTATGCATCATAAGCAGACTAGTGTTTTTGTCTCGATTTGATCTTATTTGGCATTGATGATTGACGTAATGCATGGGGATGTCCATTGATATGCGCTTCGAGTCCCCGTTCTTTGGCACCTTATTGCGCTTCTGTTCATGGGCTATATTGGGGTTTGAGACTTGATGGGTTGCGGTGGAACAGCTGGGTGATGCAATCCCGAGAGCGAGACTCGCATCCATCAGAGGATCCTAAGAGACGTAGGTCTTCTTTTATATCCTTGATATGCTTGCTCGGTCGTAGGTTGAGAAATCTTGGGAGGAAATGTGATGGCCATTAATTGAATTGCATATTCTTTTATTGTTTCCATTTCATTCTGATTCCTTTGTCTGCCTCATATTTTCTCAACTTTCTGTACTGCATCTCAATTAAACTTTTACCCTGTGATAAATTGTCTACGAGAGAGAGAGAGAGAGAGAGAGAGAGAGAGAGCCGATGAAATTTATTTGGAACACCCATTACAGGTTTTCCTTTGTGACTGATAAGATCAGGATTGATCTTTTCTGATCCGGTTTCGAGGGAGGGACAAGTCCCCCCCTTTGAATTTTCTTCTAAAATCGCAACTTTAGCCTGGAATCACTTGACTTCTCATAGATTGGCTGACTTAGGACAACACTCTGGCCCGGTTCTCCTGTGTTGTGTTACCCCATCGGGCCTCTACAGTGACGGAATCATGAGGCCCAGTTCTCATTATCGTCAAATATTGATTCCCGTGGTGAAGACAGCAGCTGCCTTTCCCGGTTCTGTGCAGAAGGACTCTGCATCGTCTTTTGAATCCTCAACACATTGACCCCCTAATGGGTTAAACTTTCTTGCATATAGTCTTCTGCTGCTTGCTCTTGCTCTTGCTCTTTTTTCTTTTTTTTTTCTGTGCTACTGATCAGGCCTTCCTTCTAGTTCTCACTACGGCATTGAGAAAAGAGGCCTTTTTTTTCTTATGGCCAATGATTCTGTTGTTTATTGAAGCCATTAGGGCTGGCCTTTTTGAGCTAGTTCTTCAGTGGTGTAAGGAAATCGACGCCTGTTCTACAGATAGCTCCATTTCCTGAATCTCTTGGATTGGCTGCCACAGATAGTATGACTCCTGATGGATCTGGATTCCTCCGAAAAATTAAAAGATGCATACATTACACTCTGCGCCTATATTTCAACATCTGGGATTCCTTCTTCCATTCTATCTGCAGATGGAGCTCTGCTTCTTTCAGACTGTTTTCAATAGCACTGCTTTCTAGGATAGCAAAACACCAAAACAGAAGGTGCATGTATGGCCCAGGTAACTTCAGCTGGCCTCTGAACCTTGGAAGCTTCTCCCCCCACCCACAAAGCAGTGTGTAGTGACCCCCAACACATCATCAGCGTTGACCTGGCCACCTTCTCCGCCCTCTGCTCTCTTTTTCCTACAAGCACTCCCCTTTCTCCCACAGCCCTCCCTGACCATCACTGGTGACCATCAGAAGGGGTTGCTAATTATTGCCTTGACCCATGGCCGAAAATCTCTCTTGCCCTGTGAATGTACTCTATTCAGGGTTATTTTTAGCATTCTGCCAACCCCCGCCCAAAAGGCTGGCCCTGATTCTCGTCCTGCAGAGGCGCATTTTTGGTGTAGCCAGCGGTGAGATGGCACTCTGTAACTCTTTAAGATTGATGGTGAAAACCTGCAGAAGCAAGTGGACGTTGCTCTGGTGTTGAGTGCGAACCACCATAGCTCTTGTGTGTGTGCGCTTCTCTGTAACCTGTATTGGGTAAATCAGACTCTTGGTATCAACCTCTATAGCGCAATCAAGGCTTGCTCTTTGAATGATGTTGCTCTTGGTGCAGGTACCTGAGAAACATCTTGAAAGAAAATGAGTGGAAATGAGGAAGGGGGAAGCGAGGAGCAGAGCTGCTGCGATCATGAGCTGATGATGCAGGTTTTCAGTTCATGGTCGGCTGAGATTGCTTCATAGGCATGCTTTTAAGGATGATTTTATTATTATTATTATTATTATTATTATTTTCCCTTCTGGGTTTTCCCCTGCCAGAGTGCTTGCATTTGCTTGAAGGATGAGACATGGAAAATAATGTCTACGATATTTTGCTGATTCCTTCAAATTTGATTAGAGAGTTTCTTATTTTTGGATTCACTTCTTCGAGAGTGGTCCAAGAATCCAATTCTTCATGGGATGTTCCTGTCAATTGATTTCTCACAGAGGGTTAATTAGTAATCTGTTCTCGAAAATACCCTTCTTTTCCTGGATACTTTCACCAAGTATATAATAATTCGTTCAATTTTTATAATAATATTCCGAAATATACGATGACCATAAAAAAAATTATCAACTGAGGAATGTTAAAAATGCATGTCTTGATGCTCATATATATATATATATATATATATGAGTATGAAAGGTAAATAATTGCTGAAATCGTTTTTAAAAAATAAAATATGATATTTTATAAATGACTTCTCTGAAGACATGGATTCAATTAGGGTAAATACTGATAACTCTAGAAAATGCTAATTAAACCGTTAAGATAAGCATTAATTATATTAAAAAAAAATTAATAGTGGTCGTCCTGAGAATAGATTTACTTATACTGGATACTCACAAATAGCATGTTCAATAATGTAGCAAATTTAAGGTGGGGAATGACTAGTTATTCGAATAAATTCCTAGATTATGCTGGGAAAATGAGATTATAGGGGGGCATTTTAAGTGGGTTTCGTAGTATTTTTCTCTATTATTAGTCGTTCGTTTGACGATATCTCTCCAGTTCAAAAATAGGAAATCCCTGATATAAAAAAATAATCAGAGATGGAGGTAATCAGAAGGTCAAGCCACCTCTCGGGCGGAATGAAAGAGGGACGGAGAGACGCAATGAGAAGCTCCACGCACCTCTCGGAACGGATGAGACAGAAACGGACGGGGGGAGAGACGCACGCGCAGACGGACGCGGGGCACAGAGAGAGAGAGAGAGAGAGAGAGAGAGAGACGGACGGACGCGGACGCGATTAGGTGGGAGTGAAACAAGGGTGGGTGGGTGGGTGAATATAGGGACGGTTCGATGAGCCGTTGGAAAAGTCAACCTCGCCTCCTTTCCAAATTATAATTTATCCCAGAGAACCCTCCCTCCCTCCCTTCTCTCCCTCTCTCTCTCTCTCTCTCTCTCATGGGCTTACTTGAGTGAACTTCTAATCCCTCAATCTCATAACCGTTGGGGATAAAAGTTAAGCGGGCAGGGTTCCTTCCCACCTTTCGGCCGCCTATTTTACTCGAATAAGTCAACCCACTTTCTCCGAGTTCATCCGAAAGCGGGTCTCACGTGATTCGCCGAGCCATCATCTGAGTTCATCAAACTCGCGCATCCGGGGCAAGTTAGTCCTCTCCAACTCCGATTCACCGATTCCTATTTTCGGTTGATTTCCCGACGACTCAGAACTACAACAACTGTAGTCCCTTTAATTTAATTTAATTTAATTTAATTTTTTGGGTTGGGGAGGTGGGAAGGGTGGGTACCCAATTAGGTTCCTAATAAATGGGAAAAATTCACCATTTTTTAATATAGGAACGGTTTTTATTATCAAATTCAATCTCTTGAAGACCCCCTTTTTTTTAAAAAAAAAACCCATTCCAATGGATTTATCGTGTATTTAGTCACTGAGATTCGCTCAAAGTTTGATTATAAAAATCCGCTTAGCACCGCTGGAAAAGTCCTCGTAATTAATACGAGAGATTTCCAATTTAAAATAAAAAAGAGAAATAAATCGGCATGTGAACGCATTAATTATCTGAAAAGCTCGTCCATTAAATTTATCTCCTTTTTCATCTCACCGCTGGTAAATCCGATTCCGTCGAGCATCGCTCCAGTTTTATTTCTCACGTCAAAAAAAAAAAGTACCAGCTCCTATGACCGTCGGCTGTCGTCAGGCTCACGACATGATTAGCCGAGTGGGTAGTCCATCAAAAGGAGAGGAGAAGAGCCCCCATCTCCCCCAAGTCGCATTGTGGTCCGCGGCGCACCACACCGCCACTCCCAGGCGGAGGATCGGATCTACCCGTCGCCGCCTCACCGCCGCCGCTGCTGCCCGCCGGAGACGATGAGCGGCGGGAGCAGCAGCAACAGCCCCTCGCCCGCGGCGCCGGCGGAGGGCGGTGGCGCCCTAGCGCCGGGGTTCCGCTTCCACCCGACGGACGAGGAGCTGGTGGGTTACTACCTGAAGCGGAAGGTCCTGGGGCGGCCCTTCCGCGTGGACGCCATCTCGGAGATCGACCTCTACAAGACGGAGCCGTGGGACCTCCCCGGGAAGTCGCGCATACAGAGCCGCGACACCGAGTGGTACTTCTTCAGCGCGCTGGACAGGAAGTACGCCAACCGCTCGCGCACCAACCGCGCCACCGGCGCCGGCTACTGGAAGACCACCGGCAAGGACCGCCCCATCTCCCGCGCCGGCCGGATCATCGGCATGAAGAAGACGCTCGTCTTCCACGCCGGCCGCGCTCCCAAGGGCCAGCGCACCAACTGGGTCATGCACGAGTACCGCCTCCACGACGCCCACCTCGCCGCCGCCGCCCTCCCACAGGTGGCCGTTCTGAGTCGCCCACCTCCGATTTGTGAGTATTTGACTGTGCTGCCGCCGCTCACCCCCTTTCTTTTTTCTTCTCTTCTCCAGGATGGGTTTGTGGTCTGTCGGATATTTCAGAAGAGGGGGCCGGGGCCGCAGAACGGCGCCCAGTACGGGGCGCCGCTGCCGGTGGAAGACGAGTGGGACGAGAGCGAGCTGCCGGCTATCAAGGAGGAGTGTGGAGGAGAGGGCAGCGACTCGATCGTCTTCAGCAATCCCCTGCCGGCGGAGATCGGCGATGATGATGATGATCTGGTCCGTGCCCTAATTGGGGAGATTCTTTCTCTTTCTATTTCTCTTTCTCCGCCATGATTTCTTGATTGACTTTCTTATGCTTCCATTCTTTCGTCCATCTCCCCCTTTTTGTTTGCGGTCAATCTGCCCCCTTTTCCTTTGCGGGAGGATTGGGGCTCCGCATTGGTCAACCCAGGCCTGCTTGGTCTTGCGATCATCTTCATGCCAGGGGTCAACGCCACAGCTCCGTCCCTCAATCTTTGCCAAATTCCGAGCCGTTGACCCTTTTTGCACGGATTTCTTCTGCGTGCAGAACGCAGACCAGGGCGACGAAGACCAGAAGCCCGTCCTCTTGCTGATAACCGGCGGCCATGGCGGCGACCTCAATGACTGCCATGAACAGGAGCTCAGCAATGTTGTGGATGGTAGCACAGAGGGCCGTGAGCTGCAAGAAGGGGATCATAACACAGATCAACGGAGGAGTCATGCGGTTCTCAAAGACGGTTACCTGGAGCTGGACGACTTCGCTGATTCTGTGGGCGCCAATAACCAGGAGGATGCTGCTGCTTACCCTGGAGAAATTATTCATAACCATGAAGATTCCTGCAAGGAGGATCTGAATGATGTGAAAGAATATTTTGCGCTCAATGATGAGAGCGACGACGACGACGACCTGTCCAGACAGTTCTCTGAAACTGGCGGGGACAAGCGCTTCTTGGCGCTGGGCGATCTTGCAGGTTCTGAACCTCACGGCTGTTCTTCTGGTGAGGCAGCTGATGATGGGCTGGTGTACTTTGACGCGACCAGCCATTACCCACATGGTGATCGTGACTTTTCTTCAGGGATGAACTGTTTTCTTGATGCTACCATGGGCGGTGAAAACGATCTCATGGACGAGATAATGGCATACTTTGATGCGACAGAGAACTTGCAGCCTTCTGATTTGGATATCGGCAGTGGGGCTTCTTCTGCAAACCAGCCTGGCCTTGCTCCTGTGGTAAGTCATCTCCGAGGACCCGATAGCCATTCCGTTTGGAAAAAAGTACGTCAATGTAATACTGCAAACTGTTTAGATAAAAACCCGTTGAATATATGTCATGCCAACAATTTGAATCTACAAGATTGATTGATCTCATGATTACAAATGATCATACTGCATGTTATTGATGCCCTTGGTTTTGATACTACAAGTGAAAATTTAGTTACTGAATATTTACTAAGTTATTCCTTGAGATATTTGTATGCTTAAATAAATGCAGAAGAATCTCATTCATGGACATTGTATTATTCTATAACAGGTGACTAATATGGACCATACAGAAGCAGACAATGCACCCTTGCGATCACCAGCAGAGGCAAGTTGTAGTAGCGCTTCCCCATCATCAGCACCAGATGCTGGCAAGCAATCAGGTTCTCAAGGTGTTGATATCCATGGTGACACAGGTACACTTCTCTCACTCAGTAGATTTGTCGGTAATTCCTTGTGGCAATGGTTTTCCGATGAATTGGGTTTTGGTTGGGTGCTAAATAGATAGTAGCTCTGCCTGGACAAGTACCTCGGAGGCCTCATCATGGTTCTGTAAGTTGGTTGATTGGCTCTGCATCTAGCTTATCTCCAAAGTCACCCGGTTTTTACCACTCGGTGCACCTGTTTATGTGATCATGGGGCAATGATCCTAGGCAGGGATGAGATTCTCTTTCTCTGTGTGCATGCATCAAAGGGTCCTTTATACAATAAAATTCAGTCCCTCTATGGCGATATGCCATGGTGTTTATGAAGTACTTCATATGCATATTACCTGATAGCATTCCCTTGTGATTATCAAAATCGATAGACCAATTTATTTGTTCAAGTATCATTTTGAATGTAATATCTGCATAGATCATCGTCGTCGTCATCATCATCATCACCATCATCACCATCATCAGTTTATCTTCCATGAACTTGAGCTAGGATACATCTTACTAAGCACATCAAAATCTTGCTATCATTTCACGATTGCTTATGTGTTTAGTGCCTCCCAAAATAGTAGAAGAGAATCCACCATCAGATCTCGTCACACAGGAGTGTCTGTTTTGGTTCTTCCCTTGAATTGTCCATGACCTGCACTTCAATGATTGTGGCATGGGAGATTTATAAAGTCACACTCAGTAATCAAATCAATCATGATCTACCCGTGAAGCAGTTTTTTCAGTCTCCTTGTAGGTGGGACAGAAGTTCCCCCATAGTGTTTTAAAAAAAAATCAGTGTGTAGGCAAAGCGGCTAAAAGACTGATTCGATATGGAGATACATGATCATTTTATAGTGAATTATTTTCTAATCGTTCAGCTGAACTGTGGTCCCACATCAAGGGATTGTTAGCAACTGTCTGACAAAGAGTGAGCTTAGGCGTATGGTTTTTTTGTAAGTGGTTTTTAAAGGCTTGACCTTAAATCCAACAGCCAGAAAATAAGACTTCTATTTGTTTTTTCCATGCTGTTCTTGTTCTATCGGATACATATGTGAGGGATTTCTGAGGGACGAATCTTACCTTGTTGGCAGAGCACAGATGAGTTAGGGAGATTGTGCTTGAGAATTAGAGGTGTTACATGGTCTGAGTTTATGGGCTTGTGTAGAGGGAAGGTTGTGGATTCCTGGACAAAAAAAAAGTGTCGTTTGGGGATGTAGACATCTTTCTGCCGAAAATGTTTGGTGCGCTAGTTCATTCTATATCCCTTGTCGTGGTTCTCCGATTCAAGTTCAGTAAAAAATGCCTCTCTGAGATGAAGCGGCTAAAACTTTAACGTAGGTTTCCCGGGGAAATCGATGTGAATTTGTTGATGCCTTGTGGGATTTCAGCTCATAGAGAAAATTAGTGGTGTGACATGGGGGAAAAAACATCGTGTATGAGGAAATGAGAATGAGGTATTTTCACTTTCAGGGTGGGCAGTGCTAGTTTTTATTGATGTGGGGAGACAGAACTAGTTATGACATGCATCTTGGTTTCAAACGTCCTACAGTTGGATCTCATGCCAAAAGTAATGATCCTTAAGAACCCAACCAGATATTCATGAGGTAAGAATCTTCAAAATGTTCAAAACGTAAAATACATCGGATGTTGACAAGAATACAGCACTAATGATGAGTGATCCAGCCTTTCCATTCACTGGAAATAATGCATTCAAAACCCTGGAAATTAGTGTGTGCCACGGGTAAGATAACTCACGGACTCCAGAAGTGCTTTAAACTTGAAAGAATAAAAAAAGCTACTGTGAAAAAAGGCACCCATCTCTAGATATAGAGGGACATGGTTCTCATCCATTCCCTGTTCTTCTCTATAAGAACCCTCAATTTTTATATCCTAAATCTTGGAAAATCGGGTAGTCATTTAGTGCATGTACTATTCTAGAGAATTATCCATTGTTTTACAGAGATAAATCTAGCACCTAGACCAGATGAAAGTGAGGTAAATTGTTGAAAGAGCTTTTCAATAGTTTATAAGAATCTTAAAAAAAAATGTTCAAATGAAAAGCTAAATGAAAAATTCGTGGATGGGCGTGTGGTCAGCATGTAAGATGGGTCTCTACTTTGATTCCCTCTGTTGACTCAACTTTTTAGGGGCTTCCAAAAAGGACGAGCATATGCTTGACTACCTGTGCACCAATGATCCCCAAAGGATGTCTTGGGTCATATTTTTACCTTAACAGCAATTTTCGTGTCCTATGTGAAGTTTGATTGTATACCTGAGAAACCTTGGCTGTTTGGATAACCAACACTAAGTTCAAGTTAAAAGCCTCATTCGTCAGTGTGACTTAAGTGGTCCTCGTCAATTGGAATCTAGCTCAAGCCCGGCTAAGTTCTTTAACTGGTCGTTTTGTTGCTTCCTTTCTCATCCGCATTGCCATCCCTGATAGTCATTTACAGATAATAAAAATGAAACGAGCTTACGAATCTACCTCAGGCAGCCAGCACCATCCATTCTGGTACTTGTCATTGCCTTTGCCATTTTGTCTTTCCACTTTCCATGACTAAAATTCACTGCCAGTTTCCGAAGGAGGTAGTGTGATATTTATATTTGAAGAGATTGAATATATTTGTAAATGTTCAAGTCCAACTTCAATCTCGTATAGTTTTAAGCTTAACAGCTTGTTTGGTAGCTTGAAATCATAAAAGTGAAGTTCTGAGGAAGGTATTCAACATATATGCTGAACCATGTTCTCCTTGAATCATATTGAGAAAATGTCTCTAAGTTCACTTAATCAACGAATCTAGCGCTTATACTGACTTGTTCATAAACATCAAACTTATAACTGAGCATAATCTCTTGTCTACTTGCATTCCGGGCATCCGTATGTCATCTGTTATTTCGCCCCTCGTCTCTTGAATGGCACTGTCTCGCATTGCTTTGCTATTGGTAGACAGTAGTTTTTGGTACATCAATGGCATTTTCTTAACTACGTTCGTTCGAAACTGTGATGCAGATTTACAATCAGGTAACACCTGGGAAAAGGCACTGTCGAAACATCTTTTCAACATGTTAGATGCAATCTCTCCACCTCCTGCATGTGGGGAAGGACACCCAATGAAGGGATCTCAGACAGTTCAACATCATTCCACGGCTCGGCCCTCGAGCTCAATCCACATTACCGCGGGAATGATCCAGATACATGGTGTGATTATGCCTGGAAATGGGAAAAACTGGTCGATGCAGAAGAACATAGATGTCAGTTTCGTCTTCTCCTACAGTGAGACCAGTAATGTGATGGGTTATGGGAGAATGCTGAAGACACCTGGTGGTTTCCTTTTGCGGAACTCTTTCCATCTCCTCTTCCTCTCTGTCCTTTTTCTCACTGCGACCTTCAAAATAGGTCTCCACGTCTACACGAGGTAAGCCGTTACTCAGGTCTACTTGGGACTTCAGCTCAAAGTCTAGAAACATTGTGATTCTGAAAAGGGAGTGTTGTTTGATGATCAGAAGAATGGCCTGTGGCACTAACATGATACTTCCTTTCGTTTGCTTTACATTTGTCAGATCGAAAACTCTGAATGACTATTGTTTCTAAATACACAATTACACGGCATACCGTATTGAATGAATGACAAGCATGAACGAAAAGGGATGCTCTGGTGTCCATGTGTGGTTGATGCGTTCTTCCTGAAGGAGTTTGAGCCATACTAGGCCGTCACCTGCAGCTAGAAGCAGCTTTGGGCCTTACAAAAGTGCCCCCGACGCCAGGCTCTCTTGAGAATCTGATTTGCCAACCCTGTGAATTGACAAAACCTACTTGAATCCCAATTACTTTTCCCGCTTGCGACTCGTGTAACTGCTCATTTTTTCCCAATAATTCCGGCGTTACTGTGGTGATCCATGATTTAGGATTAGAAGTAACTTTCCGACATTGGCCGGCCTTCATCGGGTACACGAATGCCGTTATCAGAAAACTTCAGATGAAGGAAAGTAATTTTCATCTAATACGACAGCAGATATCGAAAATCATAGTTGCGAATAATTTACGAATAACATTCTCGTTCCCAAATCGTTCAACATGACAATGATAAATGGATGGAGTCAGGAGATGGAATAAAACGAGAGGTGCAATCCAACTTCACGATATCTTAAGAACATCGAACGATACCGTGGAATAGCATAGAGTTAAACGCTCAGCGTCAAACGTGGAAATCCGACAGAGCACGAGATTTACTATACCCGGCAGCATAACTTGAAGGAGAATGACTGCCGATAACATCTTCCTACCTACTGAAGCGGGGGCTCAAATCCATGAATGTTACCTGGAGCAGCGTTGCGACAGAGGCCAAACGTTGTTCCGGACGCACCACCGCCCGGGCGCAAACCTCCGCAACGAATTTCGCCATATCTGCGGCGATCTTCATCTTCCACTCTCCCTCCCCTCCCCTTCCTCCCCGCGTTCCCTCTGTGAGAAACGGAGCTTCCCTGCTCTCCCTCCTTATTAACTGCCTCGGAGAAAAACTTTCCATAAATGCCTCTTGCCCACAAATGGCCACAGCATTCAAATCTCGAGCTTTCTAGGAGTGCAGTCACCGGCAGCGGATGGCCCGTTAAGCGCAGCTCTCGGGCCGACCGGCCCATTAATCATAAAAAAATCCTAAAAAACTGGCCCAATCCAGAACCTGGCCTTCCGAGTCAAAGTTATATCGGAATATATTACCGGACAAACTTCATTTAAGTTTTTAAATATTTTTTATTAATTAAAAATTATAAAACCATTTTAACGTACGTATTTTAAAGTCATAATAACTTAATAAATGATTTTTTACACATTTTCAATATTTTTCTTAGAAAAAAGACTCCTTGCCCATCGATCATTCTCCCATCACTATTGGGCCGGTATTCAGTATTGGGCCGGCTTCATATTGGGCAGGTCAGAAGGTGGTGCGTGAGCTTGGGGTCGTCGTCTTCACCACATGGGTTTCCATAAAAGAGCCGCTCAACTGGCCGTCTGGACATCAAAGGGGAAGCTTGTTCTGTTTCTCCCGGTCGTCTTCTCGTTCGACGCGGGAACCTGAAGGTTTTGGGGCAGGGGGAGGGAGAGGGAGAGGGAGAGGGGGAGGGGGAGGGAGAAGGAGAGGGAGGAAGAAGATGGGTTGGGTCAGCGAGAGCCTGGATTCCATAAGATCGCTCCAGATCAGGCATGTCCTGACGCAAGTTGTTAGTCTAGGTACGAAACCCTCAACCATTTCGTTTTTGCCGGGTTCTAGAGATTTATTCTTTATTTTGATTTTCGGAAGCCTTCAGCTGATTTTCCTGAATTATTAATTGTCGATATGCCAGGATCTCTCTCTTTTCTTTCTCTTTTATACTGCGTATGCCCGAAAATTTGAAAGTGCAGACGGACGGTATGTCAGTCTGCAGTGAGATTTGTGGGTGTTATCGATGGATTTAGTGTTTCTTATTTTCTTATTCTTTATGCATCCTGCATCGATGTTTTCTTCAACCTCTATCCATAAGAATATGCGTAATTGGTGGCTGCTTGCGATACTTGTTGTCGGTTTCCCTTCATGCTCTTTTTATTTCGTTACAAGGAATTAAAATAGATTTTTTACGACATCATAAGGACGTTAGTGTCAAAAACTTGGCGGAGAAGATATAGAAAAAAAGTGCAGAATATTTCCCATGGAGCTATTGTCCGTGTGAACACGCTGACCATGCCTTGTTGCTTGCCTTCACGTTGTTATTTTGGATAGAGATAGTGTCAGGGTCTCTTACAAGATAAAAATAGGTTGTGAAGCTACTTTGGAGTTTACTTCAGCTTAACTTATGGAACGTGTCTCCCAAAGCTTTCAGTCCATTTGCACCGCCACATCTCTAAATAACTTACTCGAATTTCTATTTATTGTTTATCTCTCTCTATCTCTCTAAAACTGATGTTAACTATACTCTAAAATGGTCCTCAAGCTCTTTCTTTCTACAAGTTTTCTTTTCTTCTTGCGAAACCATAGAGTGATTACATGCTTCAACAACATCAAATTCATCACCGGGTATTTTCTGTGCCAACTTTCCTCCTCGATGCTAAATAGTGGAAACAATGGCAGAATCAAGGAGATTACGGTGGTCTCCTGAAGAAACTGCTTAAATATGATGACTAATAGTTTTTCTCTCTCAACCCCCCCCCACATCTGTACTTCTGCTAGCACCTTTAGGCGTGTTTAACTTCACACTTTGGGAGCTCTTTTTTTCTGGGTTTGGCAGAATAAGTTTGGTTGTAGAATGTTTTGAGTTGTCCACGTATCGATGCACTTATGTCAATGAAATAATATTTATCTTGTTGTTATTTCAGGCATGATTGTCACATCCGCCTTGATCATATGGAAAGGTTTGATGTGTGTCACTGGCAGTGAATCTCCTGTTGTGGTTGTTTTGTCTGGGAGTATGGAGCCTGGCTTCAAGAGGGTGAGCAATGATTAATACCTCGGCAAGGATATTGGTGTTTGTTCCGTTTAATCAGGAAACGAAGCTTTTTTTCGAGTTGATAACTTTTTTCTATTTAATTGAATTTAATTTGTTAAATTCAAAAGGTTTTAAATGCATCTTCCAGTTTGAATAGTATTCTGAACTTCGTTTCCTTTTGTAATAACACCGGCTGTACTTTTGACAAAACTTTCAGGGAGACATCTTATTTCTACACATGAGTAAGGCTCCTATTCGAGCCGGTGAAATTGTTGTGTTTAACGTTGATGTAAGGCTCTCTGCGCTCTCAATTTATGATCTAGTGGACATATTTAAATCTTAGTTTAGTATTATGTCTTATTTTTTCATCATGATTCATTGATTGAATCCCAAGTGTGTTGTTAGATCCTACCTTCCCATCAGAGTCTGCAAAATTGTGTATTTGATTGGATTAGTGCATGGTCATGGGTTCGTTGATGTATGTATACATGCCAAACTTCTCGCTTTCAATTGGAGCGAAAATGTGCCATTAATTTATTTATACATTTAACATTGCCACTGAGTAAGAGGGAATGTAATACCTCTTTTTTACTTGTTTTAAACAAGTGAATGATGCATTTTTCTTTGAAAGCTAATCCTTTATATTTTCCAAACAATGATAATGCATTATTTGGATGAGTAAATCATTTCATAAGTTAAGTTCAAAAACATTGTTTGGGTTTGATCTTTTTATTGATTGTGTCGTCAATGTGATAAGTATCATCATTTTATATGATTTTCTAGTAGATGGTGAATGTAGTTTTTCCAAGTCATCAGTGTAATTTTAAATTAATTTTATTCGGAATCAGGTAGCATCGAATAGCCACGACCTGCCGAACCTTCATTTTAAATTAATTTTATTCGGAATCAGGTAGCATCGAATAGCCGCAACCTACAGAACCTTCCTTTGTTGATGTAGTGCCAGTACTTGCGACAAACCTCAGAAGTTTCACTAGTAGGATGTAAAGCCTCTTTGTGTTCTAGCTATTTACAACTATCTACGTTTCCACTTCCTTAAGGGAACTACAGTTCCTTTCATCTCATCCTCATGTTCCACTCAACCATACACCTTGTCACATTTCTCAATTAATGCAAAATTCTTTAAGAGATGGGAAATATGGTCTGACACAAGTTTGATCAAACTTTTTAATTCGTTGATTATGCATCTCTGATGGCATCTAACAGACACCATGCCATCGGCCAACTTCAACTTAAATTTCTCTAACGTTCTCTGATTTTTTAATATTCTTATATTGCCTCATAAAGTCTGTGTATTCCTGTTGATTTTGATCTAGCCCCTATCCTGCATATTCTAGTCTTTTCAATTTAACTTCCTGCACTGCAGCCTGATCTTTTCCTTTTGTGCTGCTCTGAAGGAGTTTTATTTTCCTGTTGAAGCTTTTTATGGACTTCTTTTGCCTTTCAAAAGAAACCTCAAGTAACTTTCCAAACAATCATATTTTCTTTTCTCTTTCATGATTAATCGATGGTTGAAACATGGCCAGAATTTTAACAGCCTCATTCAGTTGGACAGGGTTCAAGGCTCACTTGAGGCTCTTAGAGGCTAAAGTGATCTGCATATGTTTTTTTGTAATTTCGGTTTATTAGGGGTTGCAGAATATATAGTTTGGATTGGATGGGACTGACAAAGGATGGTTTTCTCATTACGATGAGATGCTTTGGGCTTGCTTCTAAAGGAATCTCTGATCTTTTTTTAAACTAACTTTAATGGTTTTTTAAAATTGATGCTTGAAACTATCCTGTATCTAATGTCCACGTCTCAAATATCCTGATCCATGTTGATAGACGCTGCTCTTCCTCATCTTTATTGGGGATGGGTTGTGGGAGTGTCACTAGCGACTGGACCATGCAGCTTGTTTAGGGAATTAGGTGACATAAGTTGGCAGGAACCTCAGGCGAGTAAGTTCCTGAGATTTTCTGAGATTGATCCTCGACTCTCGTACCACATCTATTGTTGTGCATATCGTGCACAGGCTATTGCGATCTGCAGTTCATGGATACAAAGTCAAAGTATTGCTCGTTTTGTTTTATACATGATATGCTCTTATAATAATCCCATTTATTATTCTTCAGGTTTGATTTTGTATGCATGAACTGCAGTCTTTTAGGTAGAGATCTTTGTTCTTACTCAGGTTCAGTGGGACGTAGCCTTAGTCAGGCCTTTGCATATTTCTCAGAAGTATTTCTTTCACCCCTTTGTCTGATCAACTGATGAAGAGATTGTGTCATGCTCATAATGAGATTTAATTGGTTTAAATGCTAAAGCTGAAGGCCCCCATTCATAACTGATAAAAAATAGCGATTCATAATGATGGCATTTGTTTGATCTTTTCTTCTGTTTTTTGGCCTCAGGGACGCGAAATTCCGATAGTTCACCGAGTGATTAAGGTAATCTGTTAACCTCGCTTTTCTCTTTCTCCAATGGAAGTATTTCTAGGCTTTTAGTCCGCCTCAAACCCCCTTAATCACTCCATCTCTCCATTTTGTTCCCCTTGTATTTATTTTCAGTTGTTTATCTGGCTTATTCGGTGGAATCCATTATACTGCAGTTGTGTGACTATGACCTTTTGGGTAGACATGAAATGGCTTCCCATTTGACTAATGAGAAAAAAGTTTATTTATTTATTTATTTATTTATTTTTAAAACCTTGTCCTGTTCCTTCTCGATGAATAAAAGGCAAAGCCATTACCGGAAGTGAATTAGAATTGTAATAGGATGTGTTCAATTCAGTTTTTTTTTTTTTTTTTTTTGAGAACCATTTGATCTTTTGAGTTAAATGGTTCTGGAAAAAGCTTGCACAGATTTTTCTCTACTGCGGACCGATTATTTTATTATTTCTTTGAATTTTAAAATGGTTTATTCAATTGCATACTAACTTAATATGAATGAGCCATCATTTATTTCACCTCATAAACCATGAGCGCTCAGAGTCTCTGCAAGCCTTGGAAAGCCATTTATATCCTTATTCCCTGTTTTGTTTCTCCAAAATGATGTCTCTAGTGTAGTTGTCATAAATATATATTTATAAGAGGTTGAAAAGCTTACCCTGCTGTGATCTTAATGGGTGACGCAGGTTCATGAGCGTAAAGACACAAAGGAGGTCGATGTTCTTACAAAGGGTAGTGCACCTCTGGAATTATTACCCTTTATTTCCCTTTATTTATTTATTGGAAAACCGTAAATGGGTGCCATCGATGAATTATTCTTTTGAACGTTGACCAAATATATATGAATGAGGCTACATAAAAAAAACACATGCCTCCTGTTCTGCAGTAGTGAAGATAATCTTTTTTCTTTTCTTTTCTTTTTTGGTGAAAAATTACAGGAGACAACAACTTTGGGGATGACAGGCTTCTATACGCTCATGGGCAGCTCTGGCTTCAGCAGCATCATATAATGGGGAGAGCCGTAGGGTGAGCATTGATTATTATTATTATTATTATTACTATGATTACTTGTATTAATATTCATCCCTGAATGCACTGGAGACATCTTTCTGCAGGTTCCTGCCGTATGTTGGATGGGTCACCATCATAATGACGGAGAAACCATTTATCAAGGTCAGTACGCCATGGGAACCCTGGTAATCGTCTCCTGTGAAGGATTTGTGCACTGAGGAATGTGTATTTACTCTGTTTTGCGTATTTATTTGCAGTACATACTCATTGGGGCTCTCGGTCTACTGGTTATTACTTCCAAGGAGTAGTGAGTGGTCCAGTAGTTTCTTGAAAATCTTGGTCAATACATCCAACTGATATGGTCGGACCCCGCGATGTGTTCTTTCCCAGAGCCCACCCTCTTCTTCTTCTTCTCTCTCTCTCTTTACCCCTTCTTCTCTGTCTCTGTCTCTGTCTCTGAACGTCCTTGTAATCTTTGCCTTTGTTTAATCTTTATTTAAGTGAAGACTTTACTCAGAAGACGTAAATGTGCCCCAAACCGGGAAAAATAAGATTCGTTGGGTTCGAGCGAACCATTGAGCATCTGGTGTTGATGTCGGGAGTGCAGGAAGTCTCTGACTCAAGCGTCTCAAGTCGTAGCCTTGGTCGGCGTCGCGTTGACCCCGAGTTGTAGTACAAAGCAGGGAGGCCCCTCCGAATCCCCTCTCCTTTCCTTTCGATCCGCCACGGTTCCCCCGCCGGCTGCCGTTTAGTAAGACGGTGCGCAGAGTTCCAGTTTACCCTTTCCTATTCTCTCTCTCTCTCTCCATACACGCACACTAAGAGAGATACAGGAGCAGTCGCCGAGCCGGTTCCAGCCTTTCTCACTGGCCAACTAGGGGAGCGAGAGAGAGCCGCAAGCCGGTGGCCTGTCCTCGTCTTCTCTCCCGCGCCGTCTCTCTCGCTGTTCATGGCGCCTACCAGCTGTTCGATGAATGTGCTCAACCACGAAGTAAGTATAGAATGCCCCTTTCGCGTCTTCTTCCGCAGATTAATTCTGGTAACATCTCTTTAGATTCTAACATCGACAAATCCGACTCGAAATATCGAAGTTAAGCCCCCGTGTTCGAGGCGCCATCGAGCGAAACCGAGCTGAGCCGTGCGTACCCAATTCTTATCTATCTACCGTTGTAGGTATTTGTTGCGTCTGAGACTCGTGTCCATGTGGTAGCTGTTGCCCGTGTCTGAAAAGATCAAGCAAGCTTTGAATTTTTTAATAGTCATGAATACGATTCTCCCCGTCGAACAAGATATTTCATTCGAAAGGTGTGGGGAGGGAGAGGAAGGTAGCCATTGCACTGTAGATGCTCTTTACGTTCTCGTCAAAATCTGCTTGAAAATTGCGAGACAGTCACCTAGACTGATACCGTCCATGAACCACTTCAACTGAGCCTTAGATCCGAAATCATGTCCGAATTCTTCTGATTACGTAGCCCCATCGTTCAATTGCTGGAGCAGCAGAGCTAAAGCAGACTGCTGCCAAGAATCAGCTGTCGAACGTGATTTGGGCAATTATCTCATGGATTCCCATGATGAATGACTGCAGTTTTCGTGATGATGATATGCTTGAATCTCTAATTAGTTTCTGTTGTGAACCACTAGAAATAGCGGGTAGCGGTCTCATAATTCCCCAAGATTTGAAGAATAAATATACGGAAAGCTTTGGATTGAGAAGCTTCGATCAGCAATCATGGATGGTATGATCTGATTTCTAAGCTTTTCATTTGCGTTTTTATGTATATGACTGATACATGCCTGAACTATTACCTTGTTTGGATGGTAGCCGAATATATCAGAACATTTGCTTTTTTTATTCATATCTTCTCTGCGTGTCTATGTATACATATACGTATAGACAAATGTATTAATGTGTAAGGAAGTTCACGACATAGCTTGAAATTTTTAATATTGAATACATTGACATGCTCATATTTGGTGAAATTGGTGGAGAAATGAAGGCTTTGCCACTCAAGAACATCCCGGGGGAATGGATCACCGGAGAAAAATTGTGACAAAAGCTATGAAATTAAATTTATTAAATTTATCCTCATATCGCTTTATCTTTGCCCAAGCACTGGTTAATTCAAATCTCATTTCAAAAGCTATGAAGAAATTATCACTTTTTTTTTTTAACTATCCTTCCTGAAATTCAATTTTTTGACGATACCTACTTGATTTCTGGAAAGTGATTCTACTATAGTCTTGACAGTATGTCATGTGATTGCCTGAAATATTTTACATTTGGACATTTAGGTCACTTGATTATATCAGTTTTGGAGTTGATGCTAATAGTTTTTCTTCTTCTCTCGGCTGACCTGGTGAATTTCAGTTGATTCGCAACCAACAATGGAGGAAACTATTCTTGTGGGCGATGATCTCATGCTGGGCCCACCGTCGCCTCTCATACCAACCGAGATCGCATCTCATGTCCTTCAAGGTGTTGATTTGTGCGACGGGGTATTGAGAAACCTCTTCCTCTGTGAGTGCCAGATGCCTCAAAATCCTTCCAGATGGGGGGCTTTGGCGTCTGGGTCTGATCAATCTCAATGGTCCAGGTTTGCAGATCAACGACATCGAACCCTTTTGCCAAGATGAGATCGTGTTGTATCGCCAGTGCGCTGAAAATAGGGTATCATTTTGGGCCCCCCAGAATGTGGGGCCTTCTCTAATTGGTCTTATTTTATCGGCCATATTTTTTTTAAAATAATTTTATTTGATCGAATGGTTTTCCTTGGAATGCGTTCTTAGGACAAGTTATTGAGGCAAAGACTTCAAGAAAGTGAGCACAAACTAGGATTATCAATGCCCCTGGAGGAAGCGAAGGAAAGGGCTTCTCAACTTCAGGCAGAAGTGACGTCGCTCGAGAGGTTCTAACCTTAATCGGTTCTGGACCGACATATGCTGCCATAAACATCATTAAAGATATTTGCTGAAAAACTTGATATCATGCAGGAAAAATGTGGTTAATTATTTTTCCCTCTTCTGGGTCTCTTATATGAACTCTGGATCCGTATGAATTGGAGATTTAAGCGTCTGTAGTTAAAATTTCCTTTATTTTTTGGTTATGAAGGAGGATGATTCTCGCCAGTGGCGTCCAGGGAATGGAAGGATTTCGCCAGAGGTGGAGCTTGCATGGACGCCTCGAGGACACCAAGTACTTCAATTCTGCCCGTATCTTTTATTTTCTATATTATTTGAATTATACATGACATATTGGCAGTCGTTTGCTTAGTTGTTAATATTGCAAAATGATCTAGAAAAAGGTTCGGAAAATGGGCTCTTGGCTGAACCCACCCCATGAAACACGTGATTCTGGGTTGGGTCCTGCCTGGATTAATCTGCATGCATCTAGAGAGAGAGAGAGAGAGAGAGGACTGCCACGAAGGAGGCGCAATCAACAAGAAGGACCTCTGGTTTTGTATGTCGGATGGGCCTTTTCGTTATGGGTTTGATTTTGTTGTGGAAGGCTAGGAAAACCTGAACCAGCTATGCTGTTCCTTCCCCTAGGGCCTAGTTGGCATATATCAGTACAATTTATTGGTTGGAATCATCCAGGAACAAAATTTATTATATTGAGAGTATGAGCACCACTGAGATAATTAATCTCATCGAAATCTAGTGGGTAGTTTGTTAAAAGAATAAAACGCTACTATATTAAAGGGGGAGTTCATGTGATACTCTATTGCGAAATATTTGAATGATTAAAGCTATCTTCTGATTTGGAGATGAGTTTCTCTGACGAAAGGGAAGCAGATTTTCTTGGTCACATTCCAGAACTTATATGATCAACCTGGTGAAAATTTCGTTATATTTCCTTTTGTTCCTTTTCATTCATTCTCAAGGGATGGAGATCTCTAAACAGAAGCCGTCTCTCCCTGCAGGAAAAGATTGGAATCGTTAAACCGAGGGCTTACCAACAGGAAGAAGGAAGAGTCTCCGGAAGTTCCAAGCATGCCAAGCCGGAAAAGGTGGTTCTTTTGGTAGATTATACCGGCAAATCTTCTATACTCTTCTGCGCGGACGATCAGAGTCTCCGGGAAGTTCCATTTTTATGGTCGTCTTCTCACCGACTTCAGAAAACGCCACCTTGTTTTATCTGATTTTATTCAGTGGATGGTTGGTTTAATCTTCATATTCATCGTATGAATGCTTTCCCCAGTGATGGAAAAAACCCTTCCTCTTGGCCTCCGTGAATCCTTGTCCGTGCCCCGACGCGGGGCCGCCGCCATATACGTGAGCTGCCATGGTTCCGCCGTTGTGGTGGTCCTGCGACGGCAACATCCACAACCCGAGAGCGAGACTGAGCCACGAGTCTTCCCGGTAGGGGAGGCGTATTTATGGCAAGTCCGCTGTATGACGCCACCGTCGAGGAGATCGCCAGTGCCTGATCGGATGAGCTGGAATCCACAGGAGAACCTGTAGATGGAAAACCGAGCGCCACGCGCAGTGCGGCAAGATCGAAGACGACGACGGACCACCGGCCCTGCTTTTGACCTCTGTTGTCATCGTCTAGGCGCGTCGGTGCGTGTGCTGTAAAGTGGAAGATGGAGCAGGCCCGGCGATTTGTTTTGATGGAAGCGGAAGAAAGCCCATGAAGATCGACGTGTTGCCGTCCTTGGAATTATCTTGTGTGGGTCGGAAGGCCCTCCTGCCTCGTACAATCTGAAAGGAAACGAGTAGCCGCACGATGAATCTCTCCCCTCCCACCATTAGCCTCTCCCTCTCTCTCTCTCTCTCTCTCTAGCGAGAGAGAGAGAGAGAGAGAGAGAGAGAGAGAGAGAGAGAGAGAGAGAGAGAGAGAGAGAGAGAGAGAGAGGGAGAGGGGGAGAGGGAGAGAGGGAGAGGGAGAGAGGGAGAGGGAGGAGCCTTTTCCAGACTCCTACTATCAGCTCGACTGGGATCAGCGTGGCGATGTGCTGCCCCACCAAACTCTCTCTCTCTCTCTCTCTCTCTCTCTCTCTCGCTAGAGTGGAGTGGTGGTGAGGATGTAGTCGAAAGGGGAAAGGGCCGAGTTAACTATGGTTTCACACGACAAGAGAAGAAACAAATTTATTAAGTGAGTGGAGACTGGGTGAGAGGAGTGGCGGAATGCAATCCATGCAAACCCTATAAATACCACCCTAGGTCCCAGCTCCAGACAGCCTCGAATCGTCTCATCTCCTTTTTCTTGATCAGGAGCCATGGGGTGTTCTAGGGTAGTGGGTCTGGCTTTGCTGGTGATGCTCTTCGTGGGTACGTCCTCCGCCACCAGAGTCCTTACGGGGTACGCCGGCGGAGGTCCCGGCCGTGGATACGGAGTCGGATACGGCTCCGGTTCCGGGTCAGGCTACGGCGGCGGTGCTGCGGGCGGCGGAGGCGGCGGTGGAGGGGGCGGTGGCGGTGGCGGTGGCGGAGGAATTGGAAGTGGGTCGGGGTACGGCTCTGGTTATGGGTCCGGAAGTGGCTCTGGGTACGGTTCCGGTGGGGGCGGCGGTGGGGGCGGCGGCGGCGGAGGCGGCGGTAGCGGGGGACCTGGGTCGGGGTCTGGCTATGGCTCTGGCTACGGCTTCGGCTCCGGGCGTGGTGGTGGTGGCGGGCACCCTTAAAAGAGGAGGCCCCGGAGACTTTCAAGCCATGCATATTACGGCCATCACGCTCTATCCGCAGCCACCAAGTACGAATCGAATAACAGAAACTGCGGTCAACTCGGTCGGCTGCCCTTTGCAGGGTTGACGCCTTCCAAGTCCTCATCTGCGTGTATTTCCCAGCATATTATGTGAGGATATAATGACGAATGGATAAAATAAAAAATATATTATTCTAGAAATCTATTGACTATTTAGCAGCGGCAAGTCCTCTGATACGTGGCTTATGGGTGTTAGCAGTAGTAGCCATCGGCCTGGAATGAACCTTCTCAGTGGAGGACACGGTTTTCACCAGGACTGTCGTAGTTAAGTCTCAGCTCCTCTAAACCTACCTCTCTCTCTCTCTCTCTCTCTCTCTTTCTCTCTCTCTCCTCTCTCTCGTAGATATGCGTAATGTACGGGTCAGACTTTTTGGCAGCTGTTTGATAACCAGTTAGAATTGGAATAGGCTGGGTTATTCGGATTTTATCAAAGAAATATAGTCAATAGAGTTTGTTAAGTCCAGACTACTTAGTGAATAACTAGACGTCTGATCGGAGATAACCACGGATAAAGTCACTTCAATTATTCAACTAAAATGATCGAATGGTGAAACCCAGTTCGATTATCAACTTCTGTTCAGTCGTTCAACTGAAAACGAAGTTATCTCAGGTTAACGTATGATAGAGATAAGTGTGTTATTGCTTTCCGGATAAAGTAGAATCGGAAAGGGCTAGGTTAACGTGGTAAATCCTATCGCTGTTATCAGATCAGGCCTTAAAGATTAGGGCTTGGAGCTCGTTTTGGTGGTTCAATGAGATTTGGGTACTTGTCTAGAAAGACCAAACCTGAGTAGAACCTTTGGTGCGGATGATTATTTTCTTTCTTTTCTTGCGAAGCAAAGAGCTTTGCGAAATTATCATACACGAGCTTCCGTCTTCATGACTTAAGTGAAAAATATTTCACCTTTATTTAAATTATATAAATACAAAATTTAAGATATATTTACGAGTAATTATCTTTCATCGTCTTTGCTGCATCTCTGATGACCTGACGTGACAAACATTGGTAGATCGCGTTGGACCATCGATGAGATGGACTCTCTCTCTCCCCCCACTTATTCGTAGACTTAGCGGGCACATTGCACTTTACGCCCACTGTTTTGTCGACCACTTTCCGAAGTCTGCAGCGCGGCTTTTGTAGGTGCGGCCGAATGAGAACACCATCCCTTTGACGATCTACTTTCAATAATCGTTGAAAAATGGTGACCACATGGAATTCTCTCTCTCTCTCTCTCTCTCTCTCTCTACGTACACTTGGTTATGATTGAGAGACCCGGGACATCGCGCTTCACAGGATCTATTTTATCGACCACTTTCCAAGGCCACAGAGCATGGCTTTTGTAGATTCTCCCCGATGAAAAAAAAAAAACGATCCTGCTGGCCAACTTTCAATAATCTGAGAATTGTTGGTAACATGGAATGCGCTCTCTCTCTCTCTCTCTCTCTCTACGTTGATGGGAGTCCCGGAGTGTGAAACCAGCGCGTGCACTCCTATCCTCGGCCATCACTCGCCAAAGCTGTGGTGCTCTATTTTTTTGCCTTATCTTCATATAATGATGGCAGTTGCATCCTCCTCCTCGAAGGCAGCTCCATGAACCCTAGAGCGATTTTTTAAAATTTATCTACCCTTGAAAGTACGATCCGGCTATGCTCAAGATCTTCACCGAGCTATGTAGTAAATTCAATCCATTTGTCGCCTTCCGCTTGCTGGGTGGATGACCCAAGGACTTCCCGCAGCAAAACGAAACAAAAAAAATTAAGATCTGGAGACGTTTCAATGGTTCTACGTTCGCCCTCTAATGAAAGGGCATATCTTCCTCTCGCCCGCGAGGTGATCCGGAACCTGGTGTCTCTGGCCAAATATCTAGCACTCTTCAAATCAGGGACCGAACGTAAGACGTAGGGGAGGCCGGGTCAGGGTCTTCATCTTGGTGTTTGGTGGGCTGATGTAAGCGGTAGTGAAAAGAGAAGAGATGCCCTCCTCCGACCTCATTTCACACAGACAAAAGTGAGGAATCCAAGCCAGCCTGTTAGACTACGTGGCGATGGAGGAAGTGGGACAATCCACCGCGTAAGACCCTTCCTATAAATACCATCTTCGTTCCTCCATCCAGCAGATCGTCTCAGCTCCTGTCATTTGATCAGGAGCAATGGGGAGCTCAAAGATAGCGAGTGTGGCCTTGTTGGTGATGCTCTGCGTGGGCATGTCCTCTGCCACTAGAGTTCTCACGGCATATGCCGGTGGAGGCGGTGGCGGTGAAGATGGCGGAGGAGGTGGTGGCGCCGGTAACGGTGCCGGAGCCGGTTACGGGTCGGGCTACGGTGAGGGCGGCGGGGGAGCGTACGGGGGTGGATACGGTAAGGGTGGTGGCGGCGGCGGTGGAGGGGGACAAGGGGGTGGCAGTGGATATGGCCAGGGATCCGGGAGTGGGTACGGCTCCGGATCAGGGTACGGAGGTGGCGGCGCGAACGGTGGAGGTTACGGCAGCGGCGGCGGGGGCGGTGGGGGCGGTGGAGGTGGAGGAGGTAGCGGTGGGGGGACGGGATATGGGTCAGGAAGCGGGTCCGGGTACGGTTCTGGAGGCGCCAGCGGCGGTGGCTACGGCAAAGGCGGAGGTGGCGGGGGTGGTGGAGGCGGCGGCGGCGGATCTGGATCTGGGCCAGGCACTGGCTCCGGCCATGGTTCGGGGTCCGGCTTCAGCGGCGGGTTTGTTCACCCCTGAGTAGGGAACTGCGTAGGTGTTACACAGCGTGTCCCTATGGCTCCATATGAGGAGCGCGTTACAGTGCAATAATTTTAAACTATCCGTGTTCTTGGGAGGTGGCGGGAAGAACATGTAGGACCCCAGAAATCTCGAATAAAATATGAATCCTCAACTTTGCGGCTTATCTTTATCCTCGTCTGCTCCAGCAAGATTTATGTATTCTGGGACCTTGACTTATTATTTTACTCTGTCATAGAATTTCTCTTCTGACCAATGTTGAAAGAATTCGTCGGCATCCCATTTAACTCAAGTTGTGAGGCGACGGGCCACTTAGAGGAGTTGACCATGTGGACTCTTTGACTCGTATCCTAAAATTCTTCAATAAATTATCGGATAGACCCTCGACTCAAAATTCGTCACAACCATTCCGTGGTATCTCTTGTTCCTACTGGGCACGGTAAATTCCGCTGGATTGTGGCCGTACCTCTTAGGTCAAGCCAGCAGACGAGAAGAACTGATGTGGAATTCTTGATGCAGCCCGAGCGGTCAGCATTGATTGAACTTGAACACCGCACCGTTGACTGGTGTTACCCTCGGAGGGTTAGGCAGCCTGGCTCCATGCCAGCTGCCAAAAAGATGAGTTTTCATACGCATGATCGAAGGCATTCGGTGTCTCTTGGGGTTGACCACGAGCTATGCGCGTGGTGCCCACAGCCGCGACGTGGTTTCATTCAGGAGGAACTTGATGGTCTCCCCGGTAGGGAAGCCACGGACTGTAATGGACAGACGGAGAGAAGTGGGTGTCGGGGTTTGGATGAAGGTTTTAAGTACGACGTCAGATTCAAGGTTCCTTATCGATGTTTGGATCCGCTTATGCCATGCAAAGAATAATTTCACTAAAACCAAGCTCGATGAGCAAGCCAGAAGGGATTCCGAAGGCAATATTTTCCTCCTATTTGTACGAGGGTATATGGTATAAGAGGATTCTTAGGCCACAATTACATGAATATAGAAAAATATTAACGAGCTCAGCATAATTGCTTCATCTATTAAATCAAGATCCAAAAGACCTACTTTGCTTGATTGATAGATAATGTTTTTTTGACGAATGGCACATGAAAGAAGTTAGTTTAAGAAGAGAAAAAGTTAAGAGAGCTCAACATTTCGGATAGAATCGAATTGAACTCATCTTGAGTGTTTCACTGAAATCATATCTCCTAACGAATATCACATATTATTTGAAAATTATAAAGTCACCAAGCTTGTGATTCAGCAGAGTTCGAATAAACAGCCCATTGAGTATTAACAAAAGGTAGACCTATGCTGCTTGCGTTGCGGGAGACGCCCGTTGGGCCCGGCCTGCTTTCCGCCCGAAAGAACCGCTCACTAGCTAGTCGGACTAGTGGTAGGGGGCCCGACCGTAACCCTGCCTTTCGAACTTCTTCCAAATCAAGGATTCTATTGATAATCACAGCATGTTTTTCTTGGAATGGCATCGCTCGCTCAGCTTCCCGCAGGATAGTATTTACCCATCGGGCTAAGAAACAGAGGAAAGAAACCACGAGGAAAGTTCTCTCACGGAAGTCGGCTAGAGCCACCCCGTATCAGACCTATACCCAGAGCTGTAGCCCGAACCAGAGCCAGTCCAGCCTCCGCCTCCTCCACCACCGCTTCTATAAGCTCCGTTGCCAGCACGGAAGCCATAGCAAGAACCGCCGCCGAACCCGTAGCCCCAGCCGCTTACGTCCCACTTTCGCCATCGCCTCCACGCCGCCGCCGCTTCCGCGCCGTTGGCACTCCGAGAACCGTACCCAGACACCCCACCCGATCCAGACCCTTACCACTCCCTTCTCCACCCCCACCGCCACCGCCACCCCCTCTTCCATGGCCACCACCGCGTGCCCCACCCATGCCTTCCCCTTACCCTGAACCGCCTCCCGAGCCGTAGCCAGAACCGGAGCCATTGCCCGACCCGTCGCCTCCTCCACCTCCTCCTCTGCCGCCACCGCCACCGCCACCGCCACCAGCACCGGCATAGGTAGTAAAAACCCTGGCGACGGAGGACATGGGCACGTAGAGCATCACAACCAAGACCACACCCACAGGATTCCTATGTTCTGTTGGACGTAGAAGCCAGAAGATGGAGATAATACTTTGATAGGAATCGGAAGGGAAACGTCGGGGATGCCGACGGTGTCCATCCATTCCAGTCAGAGTGGTAGTGAGGATAATGACGGGGAGGTTGTCTCTGTCGCATTCTGATACGTGAGACGGATAGAAACCGCCCGCCCGAATTTTAAAACCTTCGAGCACGAGTCAACTTCCATCGTTGACTTTACATTTTGGAGCCTTGACGCGACCACCGTTCATCCCCGTGGTCGTCGACGGCATTACTTGGTGACCATAACGGTCGAGTATACTAAAATACCGACGACCGGGCCAATTCATCACCATGCGACTCACTATATAGATATCACAGGGAGAGTTAGGCAGCCAGCCTGACGCTATCTCAGGCTACCTTCAATGAGGAAGCTCTTCATCAATTGGATTGTTATCTCGATAGATTATGTTTAGGTCGAGGTCTCGATCTACAACCTTTCCGGCAATACGTTCTGATGCCGACCCTCATAGCTTAGACATCCATGGGATTCTATATACATATATTCTAGAGTTTTCAAAACTAGACGTCTATACGAAACAGGCTCAACTGTATGTACAAACACTCGATACATTGCATAGCCTTCTGCCCAAGTAGCCTAATCTTAGTTTAAAATGGGCGAGAACCTTCCTTTACAGACGAAAGATCAAACAATGTTAGGCTGCCTAACTTCACTGCTGGGTCAGGAATATAAAAGAAAAAGTCGAGTACAACTCTCACAGCTTATACTAGATAGTTCGGCTGGCTCGTCGCGAATGGAGTAACTGTATGTGGGAGAGTGCCGAACATGAATGTAAGAACAGATGCGGCCACCCAGGAGCCAACCAGCAAGCCTACGCTGAATTTTGACTGAAGCACCAGGTTCTTGAAGGTTTTCGAATAAGAGAGAGAACGAGAGAGTGTGAGTGCGTGCGTGTGTGTGCGTGTCTTGTGTGTGTGCTTGTGTGTGTGTGTGTGTGTGTGTGTGTGTGTGTGTGTGTGTGTGTGTGTGTGTGTGTGTGTGTGTGTGTGTGTGTGTGTGTATGTGTGTGTGTGTGTGTGTGTGTGTGTGTATGTGTGTGTGTGTGTGTGTGTATGTGTGTGTGTGTGTGTGTGTGTGTGTGTGTGTGTGTGTGTGTATGTGTGTGTGTGTGTGTGTGTGTATGTGTGTGTGTGTGTGTGTGTGTGTGTGTGTGTGTGTGTGTGTGAGAGAGAGAGAGAGAGAGAGAGAGAGAGAGAGAGAGAGAGAGAGAGAGAGAGAGAGAGAGGACTTTTTAGATAATAAAAAAATATAAAATTATTAATGGCATCACTCGAAAAATGGATTAAAACCATCGTTAATCCAAAATTGAAAGCCACAAATACATGCTTTAATCTTTTACTTATGGCCAAGTTCGATTAGTTTGTTAAATCCCTCTAAAGCATGGAAACGAGAAATTACATTGGATTATACTCCATTAAAATAAAAAATATTTCGAAATATCACCCTAATTCCATTTTTGTTGGATTTGATGAATTATACAGACAACTATATTGCACTAGCACAAACAACAACAAAAATAATAATGAAATAATATATAGAGAAAAAAAATTAAAAAAACGAAGCCGTTCCCTAGTAATAACCATCGTCACTGGGTATTGGTGATTCCTTGTGACGATCTATGAACACAATGCCAAGAAATAGTTAACCTCTTGCTGTCTTATATGTTACTCACATGAGAGGATAATGCGGATTTTTTCTAAAAAAAGTTATGAACTGAATTTCACCTATTAATTTATTGTTTTCATTCATCATCCAATGAGGACAATTATATACTTTAGAATATTATATATTATTTATTTCCTTAAACCCAAGTGAGGTTCTTCTCATGGGTCAGATAATATAACCAATCTAAATAAGTTGAACCAAAATCCAGGGCTATTTATTTATAACAGTTATAAACAGCAAGGATTATTCGTGTGGCCAATAAATCAAAGCATGCCAATCTAGAAATGCCCAAAATGTTCAAAGTTCAGGTTCTCAGACGCTAATATTTCAGTACGTAAGCAGACGCATTATTCTCCATGACCAATTGTTTGAGCTGGTTTCTCAGGCGCAATGGTCAGCATTCAGGGTGGACTTTCAATTGCTATAAACAGCGGCATCTATGGGTGGGGACGTATCAATTTCTTTGAGAGAAGGGCGAGTGAGCCGAGGATAACTGTATGTACAGTGGCTGCTACTCAGGGACTATCCTTGGTCTTTTCCAACAAATTTGTCTCGCTGATGACTTTTCGGCTTTCTTGTGTCTTACCTATGATCCATACCCCGTGAATCCATGTAAGCAACCTGAACTCATGGTCAACGACTCGCTCTACTGTAAAGAATGCCATAACCCACCCTCCCCTCTCTCATCACGCTGGTTTTGGACAGAGCCTGGCCTTTCCCGTCTCCCTCGTCCTTTGAGATAAATTTGCTTCAAAGATAACACTTTCTTATATTATTAATAATGGTCACAGATCGATTAGTACGAGGTTAAAAAAACGATTGTAAACATATTCTCTCTCGGCTCATAATTAATTGGCATCGTGTTTGATGATCAGACAACTTGGAAGATTAGTTTTCATCACATGGCGGATGCTTAACTATGAACATGAGCTATGGCTTGGACGAGTATTATCACGATGTTTTTCTAGGTCCTGATCTTGAAGATGGGCCATTCATCCGTTCAATGTGACGAGATTTATTCAATTATAGATGTCATTCTTCAAGTGCGACATGGCGACGCTTATTTTACGTACACGTTAAGATGCACGCAAAAAGGAAAATAAAGCACTTGAGAGGACTGAAGGTGGACTGAATGACGAGCCATGGAGAATGTCGACTCAGTATTAGGGATGGCGACTGCGCCTCTGTGACTTTTCTCATGGACGTCCCCCAGATCCGCCGCCGAATCCAGACCCATATCCAGAGCCGTAGCCCGAACCAGAGCCGGACCCACCTCCGCCTCCGCCACCGCCTTCCCCGCCTCCTCCACCACCGCTTCCATAAGCGCCGTTGCCGGCAACGGAGCCATAGCCAAAACCCCCGCCAGACCCGTAGCCCCAGCCACTTCCGTTCCCACTTCCTCCGCCGCCTCCACCGCCGCCGCCACCTCCGCCCCCGCTTCCGTAGTCTCCGCCGTTGGCACCCCCAGTACCGTACCCAGATCCTCCTCCCGACCCAAAACCATACCCGCTCCCGCCTCCTTGCCCACTGCCGCCACCGCCGCCACCGCCGCCACCGCCACCTCCGCCACCGCCGCCACCGCTACCTCCGCCGCCTCCACCGGCCCCATATCCACGGCCGTTGGCTCCACCGGCCCCATAGCCGGACCCGGAGCCATACCCACTTCCGTAGCCGTTTCCTGAGCCTCCGCCTCCGCCTCCCCCGCGTCCCCCACCACCGCCACCCCCTCTTCCATAGTCACCACCGCGTACCCCACCACCGATGCCTTCCCCATGCCCCGAACCGCCTCCGGAGCCGTAGCCAGAACCGGAGCCATTGCCTGACCCACCGCCTCCTCCCCCACCTCCTCCTCCGCCGCCACCACCACCATGACCGGCATAAGCAGTTAAAACCCTGGCGGCAGAGGACATGCCTGCGCAGAGCATCACCACCAAGACCACACCCACTATCTTAGGATTTCCCATCTTCGGTTGGACGTAGAAACCATAAGATGGAGAGATACTTGGATGTGCCTCGGAAGGGAACTGCGGGGGCTCATTTATAGGACTAGCGCGGCTGCATGTTTACTGTGCCGACTGTGTCCACGGATTCCAGTCAGTGTCGTACGGAGGATAACGGCAGTTAGGTTCCATTTAAATGTGAGCTGTCCTTACAAACTATCCATGCCTTGGAGATCGAGTCAACGTTGATCGTTGACTCTTCAGAATAAAGTGGAGGCGTCATCGCTGTTCATATTCTACACAAAAGTTTTCCACTACCATCCACAGAGACCCACTGGACGGATGACGGCTCTCCGCCGGCGCCCCTGCCGAACAAGTAAATTGAAATACGCATAACCAGGCCACTTCTTCGCTGTGGGAGTCAACCCACTAGCCGGACCCCATTTCAAGTGTCGTGTTGGATTCACGATCGACGGCTGCTGGATTCCTTAAAATTTGTGGTTTGACTGAGGTTTTAGCCGCTTCGAGTGTACAATTGTCGAGAGTAACGACAGCTGTAAAAATCGAACGTCACAAGGCCTAGACTTAATGTTTTAGAAATTACACGGAAATGACCTCACGAACCTTCCAAACCTTGTGTCGCTGAAGTCGAACGTCACAAGGCCTGTACAATTATGGGTATGGTTTGGGTGGGGGGTCTGGATACACGCTGGGGGTGACAACGAACGAAGCTGGAGTAGAGGCATCGGCGGTGGCGGAAGTTGGAACGGAACTGTGTTCGACAAATTCTTTTGCCTTCTGAGTTCCTCCTGTCTTATATGCCGACATGTGTTTTGAGTCAAACGATGTTTGTTGGATCTAAAATTGTCCTCATATTGACGATTACTCCAGCGTCGAACTTATGTTGAATCCCGTGCGCAAACGGCCAAAACGTATGAATTGCCATCCTCTCTCTCTCTCTCTCTCTCTCTCTCTCTCTCTCTCTCTCTCTCTCTCTCACGCACACACAGAGAGACAAAGGCTACTGCGGACATACGAATGCTCAAATAATAGGAAAGCACGGTATCAACGTTGCGCATTCGAGCTGCATAACGTCACTTCTTCGTTCCAGTTTTTATTCTGTGTGCGAAGCCTGAACATGATACATCACCTGTTTAGATAAAATATGCCCAGTTCATCACCAACCTGACTCCGAATGCATGGGTCCAGGCATCTAAAAAGTGAACGTTTCTATGTTCGCAGCGCACCATGATTTTCTGTTTCACTTATTTCGTGGTAGGCTACCCAACCCTACATAAATGTCTACAGTGCACGGTGCAGTATAGGGACGCAATCAATTACAGCACCTCTGGCTGCTGCCTCCAGAATCCAGCGTCAATTGTGTTCCTCTGCGGGTCCAACGCTACAACACGTTCGTCAACACCAAAGCGGAGAATGGAGGTGTGGCGGGATGAGGCCGAGCTGCCAGGTTTGAAACTTTGAACGCGTTGTCAACGTTTGATCGTAGGCCAGTCTGAGTCAAAAGGTAGTCGCCCGCCATGGACGTGGGCATCTGGGAGAAATCGTCGGCGGGGACGCGGCCGCTCGGAATAAGGATTTGGGTAAGGTGCGGGTGTACCCAACAGCGGCGAAGATGGAGATGCTGGCAGCAGAATAGAAGGCGGACTTGGTAGCGGCAATGGAAATGGTTGTGGGCCTGGCCTGGAAGGGGACAAGGTACGGTTACTGGAGTTTTAAATGGTGACGGCGACGGCAACGGCAGGAAGGCGAAGGCTGGGCTTGAAACAGTATCCTAGAATTAGGATTTGGTGGTAGCTATGACTGTGGCCGCGGCACATGAGCGTATCAAATCGGTGAGGTGGGAGGGGGAACCGGTGGACTTCTGTCCGGTTTACAAGTTCTTTAAACCTCCGAATGGTACATCGAGAGTAGCCGTTAGGCCCATGAGAAATACAGGCAGATGTGAAAGAGAGAATCCCGTGTCCAAGGGTGAGTTTGGGAGGGAGAAAATGGAACTGTATATTAGAAAAATAATGTTGTGATATAATATAATATCACAAGATATTAATAAGAAGTTAAAATTTATAAAATAACGAGCATGAGATAAGTTGGTGGTCCAAACAGTTATGAAGCATTGGAATCAACTATTACACAAGACGTTCTCAGCCCCCCTGCGCGTCGGGGGGGGAGGTTGGGAGGAGAGAGAGAGAGAGAGAAAGAGAGAGAGCGAGGGGGAGATAACATCTTTCTGTAATGTTACGGCAAAAGCGTGCGTGGACTCGAAGAACACAATCTCCCATATTCAATCGTCGAGCAATCGTTTCTTAAGGATATATCGAAGAATCGAAGTCAAAGGCTTCGCATGGCCAACACCTCAGTAGCGATCGCCGCTAGAATTTGAGTCAGGTGGCATAATGAAAGAAGACCGATGCGGACAAATTCCTTCGTCGTTGCTCAGCAGAACAGTGAAGACTTACGTACTCTGGCAACATAAAACATTCACTACGGAGAACAATACAACAAAGATGGCATCCAGAAAACAAGTCTGTGTCACATAC